ACCCTAACCCTAACCCTAACCCTAACCCTAACCCTAACCCTAACCCTAACCCTAACCCTAACCCTAACCCTAACCCTAACCCTAACCCTAACCCTGAGTTCTTTGTCTCCCTGGCAATTGGTGCCGCAGCGGCAGCCCCGCTGTGTTGGCGTATGGCTGGATACTGGCAGAATATTCTAGCTCTAGACAGCCAGCACAGCTGATATACGACAACGCGCTCCGTCCCTCAGGGGTCCATCCGCCCTCATTGACGCGCGGCGGCGCAACAAAATGAGCAGAGAGCTTGCCGCCGCTGCGTGCCCCCACGGGCGCCCCTCGCAGAGCGCTCATGTCTATTTCGAGCCGCTCGACGCCGTGCCTGGGCCCCGCTGCCGCAGCGAGCTCATCTGCGCGAGACAGCCGGCCGGCGGCGGCGTGCCTTCTCGCACCCATCAATCAAGCCCCTCGCGGCCCAGTGACACAGACGCACAACGCTCGGCGCCCGCCCTCACCGGCAGGAGAGCAGCAGTGCTGGCGATGTGGCTGTGAGCGCGATCGACGGCTAGGACACGCCACGACACGAGTGCTGTGGTACCGAGAAGGGCGCTGCAGGTGGCCGGCCGTCGCACCTTCTCCGGCGAGCAGACTGGAAGCAAGCACTCTCGCCGCCGCCTCGTTCGGGCATGGCGCCAGTCAAGCTCGCGGCAGCGCCTCTCACCTCACGACTCTTCTCGCAGATCCCTCTCGCGCCCCTCCTTCTCACCACCACACCTCCGTCTGCTCTCTTCCTCTGTCTGCACCCGATGGCGTCGTCGAGCTACAGCGCCGTGTCGCAGCCCGACGATCTGTCAGCGCCGCCGTCACGCGCCAGCAGCGCCGCACACCGCCCGCGCCACCACATCGTTGTCACGCCGCCGCCGGGCATCGCCCTCGGCCCGCCGTCGGCGAGCAGCTCCGAAGACTCGACCGGCCTGGGCACCGGCATGCCGCTCATGGACGGCGCCAGCGGCTCGAGCGCCAGCGAGCACACCACCCACGTGCTGCGTGCGCCCGCGCAGCCGCCGGCACCGCGCCGCTGGGCCAGCGGACGGCCGCCTTCTTCGCCATACGGCCCCACTCTCGCCGTCGCCAAGGGCTCGGCGCTGCCCGAGGTCCCTGCGGCCATCGACGCCTCGTCGCTGTGCTCCACGCTACCCGGCGGGAGCTACGCGTCGGCGTCTATCAAGGGCAAGACGATGGGCACCACGGGATGGGAGGAACATAATCTAGGTCGCTGGAATGTGGACGCGGTCGAAGACGATGATTACCTGCACGACCCGGAGAAGGACATGCCGGGGTGAGTGCAAGTAGCTCCGCAGCTGCGACGTGCTACTGACCTGCACAGACGCTCGACGGGCGCGCTCGGCCTACGTGCGCTGCTCAACGGCGGCACGATGCTTATCCTCGTCGGCGCCGTGCTCGCGCTGTTCATGGGCTATCCGCTCGTGTTCCACTACTTCCTCTCGCCGCAGGAGGGCCACCGCGGCGGCTTCGGCCTCGGCGGCACCAACTCGACGGGCCAGGTGCCGACGTTTGAGTCGATGGTGAGTGGCACGGCAGCGGATCTGCGTGCAAGGCTGACTCCGCATCAGGGCATGCGCTCCGACCTCATCGACCCCGACACGGACCCCGCGCTGTACAAAATTAAGGGCACAACGGGCCAGGACCTCGTGCTCGTCTTCTCCGACGAGTTCAACCTCGACGGCCGCTCCTTCTATCCCGGCGACGACCCGTTCTGGACCGCCGTCGACCTCTGGGCGCACGGCACGGGAGAGTGCGTCGCATCCACCCACGCTTCTCACATGCGCTGACACTCCTTCAGCTACGAGTGGTACGACCCGGCCGCCGTCACGACGAGCGATGGTGCCCTGCACATCACGGCGTCCGAGTAAGTCCGCCGCGCATCGCCGTGACTCTCGCTTACCCTCTGCGCCAGAGACGCGATTCACAACCTCAACTTCCGCAGCGGCCAGCTGACGACTTGGAACCAGGTGCGCCCACACGCGACGCACAGCCCGCACTCCGCTGACACTGCCGCAGTTCTGCTTCACCGGCGGCTTCTTCGAGGTCAGCGTGCGCCTGCCGGGCAGCCCGCAAGTAAGCGGTTGGTGGCCCGCCGCGGTGAGTCGAGAGGTCTTTCCTTCGCAAGCTTCCTGCTCATGTATTGATAGTGGACAATGGGCAACCTCGGCCGCGCCAACTATGGCGCGACGACAGAGGGTAAGCTTCGCAGCCCTCGCGCGTCGAGCCAGACTGACACGTACCAGGCATGTGGCCCTACAGCTATGACACGTGCGACACCGGTACGCTCATCAATCAGACGAACCCAGACGGACTCGGCCCGATCTCAGCGCTGCAGAGCGGCGGAGAGACTGTGGTGCGTAAACGCATGCAGTCATTCGCTGTCGCTCCGCTAAGCCGTCGCCGCAGTTCAATGACAAGTACGACACGACGAGTGTCAGCTGGCTCCCAGGACAGCGTCTCTCGGCCTGTACGTGCTCCGGCGACGATCACCCAGGGCCTACTAGATCGGACGGCTCGTACGTTGGCCGCTCAGCGCCCGAGATCGATGTGAGACGCGCGCGGCACACCTTCGCAACTTTGCTCATCCGTCGGCTTCAGGTCTTCGAAGCGCAAGTCTCAAACGAGCGCGGAGACGTCAGCTTGAGTGGACAGTTCGCGCCTTTCAACGCCGGCTACTGGCTCAACAACGCCAGCGGCACCGAGTGGCAAGGATATGACCCCACATTCCGCATCAACTCATACCGAGGGTGAGCCGCTTTTCGCTCCCCGACTGCGCTCCCTGCTTACATCCTCTAATCAGCAACGTGCTCCAACAAGTGAGGCCCAATGGCTCGAAGCCCTCTCGCCTCATCTGACGCTAGTCTTTCCAGAGTGCATCGGGCGTGGCCGATACTAATCAAGATGTGAGTCCTGGAAGCCGAGTGCTCTCGCATTGGGCTCATCACAAAGCGCGCGTAGGCGTACGAGCTCTCGGGAGGAACCTTCAGCACAGTGAGTGCACCAGCTGCGACGCACATTTCGCTGAAGTCGCTGAACCCCGCCCCCCCCCCCCTCAATCAGTACGGCTTCGAGTACGTGCCCGGCCTCGAGTCCGACGGCGCCTACATCACCTGGTATCTCGACGGCAAGCTGGCTTGGCGGATGAACGCTGCCGCCGTCGGCGCAGACGCACGCGCTCAGATCAGCGCGCGCACCATTCCCGAGGAGCCGATGTATCTTATTCTCAACCTGGCGCTCTCGAGCGGCTTCGGCTACGTCGACTTTGACAAGCTCACGTTCCCAGCGACGATGAGCGTCGGTAAGTCGCTGAGGTGTCCGCCTGAACTTCTAACCTCCACTGACGCTGTAGCACACGCCCTCCTCTTGCAGACTACGTGCGCATCTATCAGCCGCCGGACAAGATCAACGTCGGCTGCGACCCGCCGAACTTCCGTGAGTCTGGCGTGCGCCGGCCTTCGCCGCATGCTCACCCGAGACTGCAGCAACGGCCGACTACATCCAGAAACACCTCGAGGCCTACACGAACTCAAACCTCACGACATGGGGCAACACTCGCGACGTCGGCGGCTTCGAGCAAGACTGGCCGCGCAACCGCCTGTACTCCGGCGGGTGCGACGTCGAGCCGCGCAAGTATCCTGGCCGCGAGCGCGCGTCGGCCACGGCCGCCTAGCGCGGTCCGATGACGAGGAAAGTCGTAAGCGCTTTCATCATGTATCTCTCGCTCTCTGGGCTGCCTCTGCTCCTTCTATCTTCCCTTGCTCTGTCTATCTGTCGTTCGAGTCGCCCAGGTGCGATTCCTACGCGCCTAGTTCACGAAATGCTATCGCTCGTGCTGCGATCCCCTCTCTGCCCGTGGTTTTGTTCTCGACAGACTCCTGGCGTCTATTTCAGCATAGGAACCAACCCTCAGTCTGTGCGCGCTCAGGGCCTGTGCGTATGCCGAGTGCAAACGAACCGCGCGGCGAGCGGCAGCAGCGCGGCGCATCGGGCTGATGCGCGCACGGCGCGCGGCGGCACGGCACGGCACGGCTCAGGCACGCCTGACAGCCTCTGTCTACCTCTCGTCCGCAGCATCGAGCTTGAGCCGCATGCAAGCCGAGTTCGGAGGTACCAAATGAGTAGCTTAGGATTTGTTTCATCTTCCATGGGACTGCATTGCTCGCAGGTTCAGTTGATGAGCGAATCTCGGCGCAAGAGCAGTCTGCAGCCGCACGGCAGGACGACGCGTGTGCTGAGCTACCACGCTTCATCCGGCGCGTCCGTGCGGCGCACGCCTCGTGCTTCCCGACGCCCACCTCCTCCTCCGCGCCGCAGCTTCACCCACTCCGTCCAGCACCGGAGCCTCGCCGCCATGTCCGTGCGCGCGGGCCGCTCCAGCATCGCCAGCCTCGCGGCGGCGAGCGAGCACAGCGCCGCGTCCACGTCGTCGCCGCCGCGCCGCCGCCACGCGCGCACCGCGGCGCTCAACTCGTCGCTCAACGGCTCGCTGGCGTCGCTTAGCTCGCTCACCGCGCCGCCGTCGGGCGCAGCAGCGCCGGCACTCGACCCGATGGCCGTGGGCGACGCCGACGTGGTGCTGGAGCGCATGGGCGTGCGCGAGGCGACGGCATGGGCCGAGCGCGTCGGGTGCGTGACGCCGTGGGCACGCAACGGACGCATGGCTGACCCGCCGCTGCAGCACGGCACACGCGGCTCTGCAGCAGGACCTGCGCAGCCTCGTCTCGGAGCGCTACCGCGACATGCTCACCACCGCCGACACGATCATCTCGATGGGCGCCAGCTCCACCTCGCTCGTCACGCACCTCTCTGCCGTGCACGCGGGCGCCGACTCTGCAGCGCCCGCATCGCGCGGCACAGCGTCGAGCCGGCGTGATGATGGCGAACGCGCCGAGGAGCGGCAGGCGGCGCAGCTGGTGCAGATGGCGGCGAGCCTGCGTCTTGTGCAGGAGGCGCCCGGCGTGCTGTGGGAGGCCATCGCGCCGGCCGGCGATGAGGCGACGTCCGCGGCGCCGCGCGGCGAGGCGCAGCAGCCGGGCGCCGTTGAGCCGGCTGCACTCCTGCGCGCAAGCTGGATTGCGCGGCTGGCCGACGCTGCCTGGCAGGCATGTCAGCAGATGGACGCCGACGTGCAGGTGCGTGTGGCAGGCCTGGCCATGCCCTCTCAGCGCTGACGCCCCTGTCGCAGCGCCTCTTCCCGTACGTGGCCGCGCAGCACGAGGCGCTGGCCCCGCTGCGGCTGCGCATCTCGGCGCTCGTCTCGGCAGCGCTCGAGCGCGTCGGCAGCTACTCCGAGACGATGACGCTGCTGCTGTGCAGCAGTCTGCTCTCATCAGGCGACAGCGCGAAGCTGCTCGGGCTGCTCCTGCAGTGCCGTCAGGACGGCATCGACAAGGCCCTCACCGCGCAGAACACGACGGTCACGCTCTCCGCCGCGCTGCGAGCCTACAGCTCGACTCTCGTCCAGGCGCGTCGGGCCTTTACGTCGAGCGCGCCGGGCACGCCGTCCCATATCGCAGAACTCCTCAGCGTCCTTGCGCTGCCAGACCCTGCCGCCGATGGCAGCATGGCTGCAGTCAGTCCGCCCGCTTCGCGATCGCCACGGGACAGCCGCCGCAAGTCGAGCTATGGCTTCGCCGTGCAGTCGCAGGCAGCGATACGACCATCATTCCCGCCTTCGGCCATGACCGCCCTGCAGACGATGCCCAGTGCAAGCCTGATCGCGCATCTGCCCGCCAGCGTGCGCGGACACGTTGTCGCAGAGTCGGCCAGCGAGTCGTCCAGCGCAGAGACGCAGATCGCGGCGTGGGCAGAGGCCACGCGGGCGACGTTCCTCGCACGGATAGACACGCTTGTGCAACGGCTCGGCACTGTGCAGGCCCTGGGTCACGCTCAGGCAGCGGTGCAGTCGGCGGACAAGACTGCACGGCATGAAGTCCGTGCGCTTGCCGGCGAGCGAAAACGCGTGACGCGAAGCGAGTACGTGGCGTTCGCAGATGTGCTTCTTGAGCGCCTGGCGCAGCAGAGCCTGCGCGTCGTCGAGATGCAGGTCGGCCGCGTCGTGGCTGCCGTCGAGCTTGGCGCGCGCACTGCGACCACGCAGCCAGCGGTCGAGATAAGTGAGTGCACCAAGCGCCGGCGTGGTCCTTGCACGCCAGCTGACAGAGGCCTCGCAGCGCCGCTCGCCTTCCTGTTCGATTTGCCAGCAGAGTCGTCACAACCGCATGCCTCATCTTCATCTGCACCATCGCTGTCAATGCGCCTGGCACAGCGGACCGCCTCGCTGGACGCCTCCTTGGCCGCCGTTGAGGCTGCTGCCATCGCTGCCGGCGCAGACGTGACCTCGTATGCCCGGCGCGCGCATCGACAACGGCGGGGCGGAGGTGCAGAAGAGGCTACGATGCCATCGGCACACGAAGTGCTCCGCAGCGAGATCGTGGCCCGCATGAGTGCGAAGCTGCTCGCCGCTCTAGAGGCCCTCTTGGCCGAGACGCTCGCCGGGATCGAGCCACAAGAAGAACGAGCACGATCTCTCGGCCGTCTGGCCGCTGGCCTGGCTGCCTCGCGCACATTCCGGGAGGCGCTTTGGCCGCCATCTGCAGGCACCGACGCGTTCGCGAGCGTCCAGTCGGCGTTGCTCGACATCTACCGACGCAGCATGGCGCCGTGGATAGCACAAGCTGCAGGCGCTGCAATGACCGCGAGAAGCATGGCCTCAGATGCGCAGCCTCGATCAGACGATCCGTCTCGCGCTTCCGAGCCGCTTCTCCGAGCCCTGTCATCGCTGGCAAGACGCGTGCACGCTGGCGGGCTCGGCTGGGGCAACGCGGAGCTGACAAAAGACGCGCTCAGCGCCTTTGTGCGCGAGTGGCTGGCAGCAGGCGACGTGCAAGCATCCGACGCCCAGCTGTTGCGCACGCTCCTTGCAGCCAGCGGCCTGGACACGGCGCCTGTCGAGAAGCTGGCAGCGTCGTCGGGCCGCGACGAGCTTAGCGAGCGCTCTCGGCGAGGGCAGCTGGCAGGTCTGCGCCTCGAGCTTGCGCCTTTTCTGCCGCCCGACTTTGCGCGCGAGCTGGCCTCGGCGCCAGAGGCCGACGTAGCGCGAGCATCGCCATCACCCGACGGACCTTCTCTGCTGCGCCTGGCGCAGCCAGCCCGGGACCTGCCGGCTCCGCAGCTCGTGTCTGCCGAGGCGGTGATGCAATAGATTACAGTGCTCAACCGTGTACGAGCGCCGCCTCCTCGTCGCGGATCGAGTAGAGCCACTGCGAAGGTCATTAGCGACAGCGTGCGGGCGACGCGACGGAGCCACTCACGCATTTGCCCAGCTCGGCGATGTGCTCGAGAATCTGCTTGATATACTCGCGCTCCTCGCCGCCTTCAATGCGCTCGCGCGCGTACGTGGCAGCACAGAGCTTGCGGAACGAGGCGCCGCCCAGGTCGACGGCGACGACCGGCAGCGCCCGCGCGTCGTCTGACAGCTGCAGCACGCGCTTGGCGGCCTTGGACACGGCCGGCAGATGCTGCGTGCGCATGCGGCGCTCGTTACCCTGCCGCTCCGCCTTGCGCGCGCTGGTTGGGGCGCGCTCGGGCAGCACGAGCTGCACGTTGCTCAGGGCCAGCGCATTGGGGTTTCCGTGGTGCTGGCCAGGAGTGGCGTGCGCGGCGTTGGCGCCAGGCCCGTGGGACCCGCCTGCGCCGGCATTGGCGAACGGGTGATTGGACCCGCGATGACCCACCACGGGCACAGTGGAGCTTGCGATGTCGAGGTTGCGCTGTCTCGTGATCTGCTCCGCGAGCCAGTTGCACACTGCAGGCCGTGATCAGCACGATCGCCATCTCGCCGCACCGCGCTGACACTCACGTTCATGGCGCGGAACCTCCTCAAAGTCGTTCTGCACAATGGAGCGCACCTTGCACGTCGGCGCATGCTCCGACCGCTGCAGCACGAGGTAGAGGATGCCTTCGGCACGGCACATGGCTGCCAGCACGTCGGGCGACTCGGACACGGCGTGCTCGTACGCCAGGTCCGCACTGATGCCGGCAGCCCAGAGCTCGCGACAGAGCTCCATCCTCTGCTGCAAAAGGCCAGCGGTGCTCGCAGCCACGTAGACATCTGACGAAAGGGCTCAGTGAGCGTGTGCAGACGCGGTAAGTTTTGCACACTCACCGCAGCGTCGCGGCGTCCAGAGGCCAAAGGAGCGTTCTTCTTCCGGTCGGTGGCGCGCCACTGCGCTCTCCTGGTGTCGTGCCAGCGCGAGGGCGATGCGGCCGGCCGCGAGCTGAAGGCCGACGGCATGAGGCATCGGTCGAGAGGCAGTCGGGTTGGCGAACTTGCGCAACAGCCAGTCATAGCGGCCGCCAGATGCCTAAGGGCCGTGTCAGTCCACGGTCATGGACGAAAGCTGCGGAAGCACTCACCAGGACGTCTCGACGCTTGTTTGCACGAACGACCTGGAAGTGCACACCCCCTCGATAGAAGCTGTTCGGCGTCAGAAGAGGCGTGAAGAGGAAGCGCCTCTGGGCGCCGAACTGATGCAAAGTCGATTCAGCCGCAATTGCGTGCATGCTGCGCGCTTTGCACTCACGCTACGTGCGGCCTGGATCACATCGTTGAGCTGAGCGACAGCATGGCTGAGCTTTGGTCTGAGATCGATGGCGACCAGGCGCTCGAGGCGCGTGTGCACCTCGGCTACATCGCCGGACACGCCAAAGGCCTCGAGCTCTTCGATGACCGAGCGCGGCAACCCGAGTTCAAGCAGCTTAGTGCGCGAGGCGCCGACGCCAACGCGGCTCGAGATGCCTGCCACAGCAGATGCGACGGCAGCGTGATGCTTGCGCGGCACACGCTCGAGTGCGAGCTCGAGCACGTCGGAGTGCGAGATGAGCACCACCCAGTCGTCTGCCGCGAGGCCGGGCGTAGTCTCGAGAATCTCGTCGACCATGGCGAGCATCTCGCCCTCGGCAGCGCTTGTGTCGTCCGGCGAGACGATGTCGACGTCGATCTCAAGCAGCGATCGCGGCTGTCCGAGCACATTTGGGCGATACACAGGCGACATGACGAAGCGCTTGAGACGTTGGTTCTCGGTGCGTGCAGCGAGGCGCGCAAAGGGCACGAGCAAGTCGTACGGCACTGGTCAGGCGGTCAGCTGTGCACAAGATCAGACCACGACCAGAGCTTACACTGCACCATGCGGCCCGTCTTGTCAAGCAGCTCGACGGGATGCTTTTCGTCGTAGAGACCGTTTGGCGGCACGAGCAGCGGCGTCTCGAGCTCGACGGCGCCGTGCCGCTGGAAGATGCTCCGCAGGTGGTCGCAAATGACGCCCACCAGACGGTGATCTTGCCCTGCAGCGTCCTCGGTGCCGGCGTCAAAGGTAAAGTCGCGCGCCAGCCGGATGTCTTCTGCCTCTTCGCGGGTGAAGAGAGCCTCGAGAAGCTGGTGATTGTACGCGCTGGACGGATTGGCCATCAGACGCATGCACTCGGCCAGCACTTCGTCCTGCGGAGAGTCAGCATACGTCACAACGCAAGTGCCCTCGCATCTCTCACCTCCAGCTTGGCCGGCAGCAGATCGCTCTTGAGTAGCTCAATGGGAGACGGCCGCTTGGCAGGGTCGTGGTCGAGCAGCCAGCGGATGATCTTCGTCTGCTGCACCAGTTGCGCCTCTGGCCAGCCCGATGGGAGGCAGACGTCGGCACCACGCAGCTGGCGCAGCACGCCGGCACGCTCCATGCCCGTCTGGTACACGCGCTGGGCGGCAAGCATCTCGAAGAATATGATGCCCGCGGCGTACAGATCGACCTTGGCGTCGTAGCGGATGTTGCCGCCTGTGCGAAGGACCTCAGGGCTTGAGTAGGTCGTCAGCAGGATAGCGACAGGCACCGGCGCATGCTGGCTCACGCAATGTAGAGGTTCGTGCCGACATCACTGCGCTAAGTGTCAGAGCAGCAGGTTGGAAGAGCAAAAGACAACCTACCCCGTCAGATCGGCGCTGGCGCTGAGGTCCTCTGCCGTTCCATAGGCAGCCACACCGTCGGCATTCGCATGCTGTGCCGTCGTGGCGAGGCCAAAGTCGCCGATCTTGATGCTGCCTCCGCTTTCGATCAAGATGTTGGATGGCTTCAGGTCACGGTGGATGATGCCAAGTGAGTCTGTTTTGCGTGTCAGCGGAACGATCAGCCCGAGGCCACATCGCACGGCTCACGGATGTGCACGAGCGCCTCGACGATCTGCCTGAAGAGCCGCCACGCCTCGTCGACCGTCATGCCGCGGTCAATTGTCTCGCGCAGCGTCAAGTTCTCCACCAGCTCCATCTGCACGTAGAGCCAGCGAGGCCTCGTAGGTGTCGCCGCTTCCCGAGCTCCAGATGCCTGGCGGCGCGAAAGGTCGTTGCGCCGGCGGCTGGGCTCTCGGCGCGAGGAGAGTGTCGGCGTCAGGGCTCGCGTAGCCAGCAGACCGCCGCCACCACTGCTGCTCTCGTCCGAGCTGTCTGTGGCCGACTCGTCATCGTCGCTGTCTTCGTCGGACTCCGAGTCGTCGTCGTCGCCAAAGTGGATGTCATCTGCGCCGCGCGAGAAAGCATCGTGCCCGACGGAGAGAAAGTCATCGTCGCGGAAGCCGACATGAAACGATGCGTCGGCGCTTGTCGGCTGTGAGCGCGACGTCGACATCATCTCGCTCGAGTCCGTCGAGGAGCTGCCCGTGGTTGCATCGTCCTCCTGGATCCAGCAAGTGACGTAGCGCACTGTTGTCGCCCATCAGCCTTATTGTACGCATCCCCTAGCTCTGGCCACGTACCAATGTGCGCGTGGTCGAGACGCGAAAGCGCAGTGATCTCACGCAGCGTGCGTTCGTCGTTCTCTTGCGAGCTCGATAGCTTGATCTTCTTGATGGCGTAGGCGCGCCCATCGAGACGATTCCGACTCTTGAACACCGAGCCATACGAGCCTCTGCCGAGCAGCTCCAGCTCGTCAAAGTCGCTCTGATAGCGGCTCACGCCGCCAGAGACGCGCGGCGTTGTGGCGTGGCGCAGCTGCCAGAAGCTGCCGGGTCGCGGCGCAGCCTGCTCGTCCTCGCTCTGTCGCAGCCCAAGCTTGGTTGGTGCCTTGCCGACCGCAGCAACGATGGCGCGGCCATTGGCGGCAGCTGCGCCCGCACGGGCGGGAGCCTGGGTTGCACTGCCGGACTGCAAACTGTCTTCATACTCGATGACCTCCTGCAGCCGGGTCAGCACTTCTCCAGCAAGAGGCCGCCGCTTCGTTGCGCGCTCGAGCATGCCTGCCAGGAACTGCCGAGCGTGTGGCGGCAGCGCTGCAGCGGCTTCTGCGCTGGCCAGCGCATCTTCAGGCTGCTCGTGCTCGCCGATGATGGCGCTGCCGAGCACGAGCTGCAGAGTGACGACTGCGAGGTCCCAGACATCGACCTTGCGAGAATAGACGCGCTTCTCGCTACATTCGGGGGCGAGCCAGTCCGTCGGCAACCCCTCTTCGGCGTCGATAGACGCGTTGGGGCAGAATGGATGCGCTGCGTCGAGCTCGCGGAGGCGCTGCACATAGCCCGCAGCAGCGAGACTGACCTGTCCTCCCGGGCCCAGGCAGACGTGCGACAGCGAGATGCCGCGATGGATGATGTTGTTGCTGTGCAGCACGAGCAGCGCCTCGAGCAGGCAAGCGAGATGCGTCCTGACCCGTGACCACGGCAGACTGGTGCCAAGATCGAGCAGCTGAGCCGCAGACGGACCCGGCGCTGGCTGCCGGAGCACTAGCAGCTGCCGTCCGCGCGGTGCATCGGGCACAAGCGGAAGCGTAGACGGCCCAGCTCGAGGTGCCTCGGCATCGGCGTAGACAAGCGCGCAGCCGACGATCTCGAGCAGGCTGCTGTGCTTGACGGCGCGCAGCCGATCAAGCTCCCACTCGATCTCCTCGAGCTGCCTGCGGCCGTTGACGAGAGAGTAGTGCGGACTCTCGACGGGGTACACCTCGACGCGCCAGGGCGCTACGGCCTCGCTGCGCTCTGGCTGGCCCGCGTGCGGCTCCTCGACGGGAGAGGCGAGGTGCACGCGGCACAGACGCGACTGCTCCAGCAGTGCGCCGACGCGCACTACGTGCACAACGCCGTCGTGCCACTCAATGGCATCGAGGAAGCGCACCGTGCCGGCCGCAAGCGGCGCGCTCGCCTCGGCCCAGCTGCTGTCGCGCGACACGCCCGGCGAGCGCACGCCGTCGGACGGCTTGACCGGCGATGCGGCCGCAGCGGCGGCAGCGCGCTTACGGTTGCGCTCCTGCTCCAAAGCCTGCTCACGCAGAGCTGCCTGCTCCTCGATGAGCTGCGCCAGCTTGCGAGCGCGCTCAGCCTCGGCGGCGGCGGCGCGCTCCGACTCGGCCGACGCCTGGGCGCGCGATGCCTGCCCGATGGCAGAGTCAGCGTGTGCATAATACTGCCAGAGCAGCACGTATGACTGGCTGCCAGTCTGGCGCTAGTCTTCCACGATTCCAACGGCCCGCCGCACTCACCTCGGCGGCCTCGCGGGCGCGCACGTCGCGCTCCTGCTCGAGGCTCAGCACGGCGTCGGACTCGAGCGTGACGGTGTTGTGCGCGTCGAGCCACTCTGCGGCGCACTCGACGAGCTCCCAGACCATCTCGGCGCCGAGCAGCTCGCGGCTGCGGCGGCCCAGCAGCGCCGCGAGCTCGGTGCGCTGGGCGTCGCTGATGCCGCGCGTGCGTGCGTCGGCGGGGAGCGTGAAGATGGGCGCGACGAGCGGGTAGCGGCGCGGCAGGCGCAGGCGCAGCACGACGGCGAGGTGCGGGCGCAGCGGCTCGGTCGACGGGCGCAGCAGCACGTCGTGCTCCTGCGGCGCGGCGGCGGCGTCCTTGGCGTGCCAGGCCGAGGCCGTGGGCGCGGCGCACATGTCGTCGCCGAGGATGCTGGCCAGCGCCTCGAGCTCCGTCGCCTGCAGCTCGAGCAGCTCGGCGGGCGACGGCGCGGCCGCAGGCGCCGGCGAGCTGGGCGGCGGCGGCGCCATGCTGCAGCGGAGAGTGCAGGCGGTGTTGGTGTGTGGAGGTGGTGGTGGTCGAGACGCAGCGGCCGCCGTGACAGCGAGACGGAGCGAGCGGGTGCAGCAGCGAGCAGCGAGTCCGCCTCCCGCCTCCCGCCTCCCGCCTCCCGCGGCGCCGTGGCCGTACGTCCGGAGGCGCGGACATAAGCCTGGCGGGGCCGTGCGCGGAGCGAAGCCTTGCCCCGCTTCGCCTTGCCGTGCTTGCGACATAACCACCACCACCCAACACCATCACTCGCCTACCCTCCGCCATGTCTGCTGCTGCCGCCAAGCGCACCGTGCTCATCCTCGGCGCCGGCCCGGGCACGGGCGCGTCGCTGGCGCACGCCTTTGCGCGCGCCGGCCACCCCGTCGCGCTCGCGTCGCGCACGCTGCCCTCGGCGCTCGCCGACGAGATCAACGCCGCCGTGCCGCAGCAGCCCGGCGCCACGCCGCTGGCGCGCGCGTGGAGCGTCGATGCCTCGCGCAGCGCAGACGTGGCGCGCTTCGTCGCCGACGCGCAGGCGGCGTGGCCCGAGGCGCGCCCGTGGGCCGGCGTCTGGAACCCGACGGGCGGCTTCGGCATGCGCAAGTACCTCGACTGGAGCGAGGAGCACGTGCGCGAGGCGTTCGAGGTGCAGGTGTGAGTGCAAGAATGCCATCAGCCAGCCTCGCCGCTGACGGCAATCGCGCAGCATCGGCGCCCACACCTTCAGCCAGGCGCTCCTGCGCATCTTCCTCGCCGCCGAGGCGCCGGCCGACGCGCGCGAGTCGCGCGGCGTGCTGCTCTACAGCGGTGCCACCTCGGCGCTGCGCGGCAGCGAGATGTTCGCCGGCTTCGCCGCCGCCAAGGCCGGGCTGCGCATGCTCTCGCAGGCCATCGCGCGCGAGCACGGGCGCGACGGCGTGCACTGTGAGCACTAGGAGTGGCTGCTCGCACCACGTCTGCTCATCTCCCGTCTGCAGCGGCGCACATCATCATCGACGGCATGATCGACACGGAGCGTGTGAGCAGCATGGCCGGCCCCGCCAAGAGCGCAGACCAGGTGAGCACTGCCGCAGGGCCTCAGCATGCTGCCCCCGCTGATGGCAGTGCTGTGCAGCGCATGAAGCCGGACAACCTCGCTGCCGAGTACCTGCATCTCGCCTACCAGCCGCGCGACGTCTATACCCAGGAGCTCGACCTGCGGTGCGTCAGCCCTGGCGCAGCTCCGTGTGACCTCTGCTGACGCGCGTCGCTCCGCAGTCCCGCGCCGGAGAAGTTCTGAGCATCGCAAGGATCTGCTGGCCTTGGCCTGTCGCGGACGTGCAGCTGTGGTATCATCAATTTTTGTACTGTACATGTAGAGTGTGTGTGTGTGTGGACACGCGAATGTGGAGCCTTGCCCGCGGGATGTGCGAGTGCTTTCGGCGCGAGAGCCTTGCTGGCTCGAGGCTGAAGTGATGGAAGAGCACAGGGCTACGCCGGCGCCGCAGTCATGGGCGGCGTGGCGGCAGAGTTGGTTTTGGCAGCGGCGCCGGCGGGCGCAGCACTCGGCGTGCCGGCGGGTGTGCCGGGCCCAGCTGCACCCTCTGCCGCCTCGGCGAGCTTGGCGGAGATGGGGTCGTGTGCACGCGCATCGTCGGCGCCGGAGCCGTTCTGGGCGGGTGCAGCGCCAGCGGGCGCGGCGGATGGGCTGCTGGCAGCCAGTGGAGCCGGAGTCTTGGCGGGCGGTGGGATTGAGGCGCTGGCATCGAGTGCAGCGGCGACCTCGTCACTTGCTGCACCTTGCGCGGCGCCCTTGTCGCTTGCTGGCGCGGCGCCCTTGTCGCTCGCCGGCGCGGCAGCCTGGTCGCTGGTCGCCGCAGCCTGGTCGCTCTTCTCAGGCTCAGGCACGGCCGGGCGAGCGCGCGGCTCGTCGGCTGCTTCCTCGTCGGCACCGTCGTCTACGTCGGTGGAAGACTCGGGGTCAGAGCCGCTGTACTCATAGTCGGAGTCGAGGTAGGGATTGTCGGGCTCGCAATCCCCCCGTGCGGCTGCGCGCTTGGCGCGGCGCGCCATCTGCTGCTCGTCTGCGCGCTCCTTATCGTCGGCATCGCCCTCGCCAACGAGACCGGCGCCGCCGATGCGGAAGCCGCCGAAGAAGCCGCCGGCAACCTGCTTGCTCAGCACGAGCAGCAGATCGCTCGTCTCCTTGAGCTCAATGGGCTCGCCGGGCCGCTGGTACGTTCTGTCCTGCCATGTCGGCGGGCTCCAGCCGAACGGGTACCAGCCCAGCCCGACGCGCTCGTTGTACTCGCCCTCGCCGAGGTACGAGTAGTTGTCCGTGTCGTGCCGGCGGATCTCGTCGATCTCGCGGACCGTCTTGCGCTTGGCACCGCGGCCCTCGACGCGATCAGGCAGATAGTGCGGCGTCTCGACGTCCGCGTAGAGCGGCTGCCACCAGGCCGAGTACGCGTCCCACTCGCGCAGCGGCAGCATGCTCTTTCTCGGCTCCTTGGCGCGCGGAATGCCCAGCCGCAGCGACAGGCCCGACGGGTCCGCCGGCCACACGATGCCCTTTGGTCTGCGCGTCTCGTCGTCGCCCTTGCGCACGGGATAGCCCAGCGGGTTCGCACGGCGATCATCCTTCATGCGCGGCTCGAAAAAGTCCGTCAGCACGAACGGGTACCAGCGGCCCGGCGGCACGTCTTTGATGTGCAGTCGGACCTGAGCGGGCGGCGCAAGGCAGGGAGCAGACCCAGTCAGCCAGGGTGCAGCGCCAGCACCTCGCATCAGCATCTCACATTGAGCGTCTTGAGCGCCGTCGCGCAGAGCGCCTTGCCATCGCCGGTGCCGCGGATGATCTTTGGCAGCGCCGGCGCCTCTCCTTCAATGAACTCCTGCCAGTCAGACGGCGACAGCGTGCAGGCCGCCGGGCCCTCGGGCCACCATTCGTCGTCGAGGAACTCCTGCTTGGGGGCGAGCTCGAAGCGGTTGTCGTTCTCCTGCACCCACAGGCGCTTGAGAGGCGCATAGAAGAACGACCTGTCGCCGCCCACGCCGTAATGCACGCGCAGCTGCTCGAATGACACTTGGCCGCGCGGCCGCGACATGAGGGAGTGGGGCTCGCCTTCTGGCGCGCGGCGATGAGAGATCGGCATGCCTGCCGTCTGCGTCACGACGGGCGGCGCCGGCGGCAGCAGCGGCGTGGCATCCTTGTCCTTTCTGCGGCGGCCCTTGCCCAGGCCCTTGTTCCACGGCACACGCGGCGGCTTTGCCGAGGCTGCGCCGGCAGCCGTGGCCGCTGGCGGCGCCGCCGGCAGAGCTGCGGGCGCCGGACCTGTCGCGCCAGGCGCAGGCAGCGCAGCGGCAGGCGAGGTGGCGACATCTGCAGGCTCCGGCGCAGCGACAGGCTCCGGCGGCACTGGCACGGCGCCGGCCTGCGACAGTGCTGGCACGGCGGCCGGCTGCGGCGGCGAGGGGCCGAGCCCGGGCGAGTAGCGGAGGAGCAGAGGCAGCGGCGCTTTGGACGGCACATGCGGAGGGAGCGGACGCGGAAAGAAGGCCGCAGGCGCATCGTCGTCGAGGTCGGGCGGCGGCGACTCGGACTATGGCGCAGAGAGGGTCAGCGGCTGTGTAGGACACACGGGTGGAGCACCATCTGCGCGTGCTCTGCCCGGCGAAGCTACACCTTGCGGCGCCAAGCAAACACACTTCGTGCCGCAGAGAGAGCCTCTGCTACCAGTGCGCACGTGTGGCCGCGCCCTCGCGCCACCCCTCTCTCCGCCATCACACGGCACACTCACGTGCGCCTGGGGCAGCAGGCCGTCGCCGTCTGCCGCGCCCGACTCGTTGCGCGCCCGTTTGCGCGGCCGCGCGCGCTCGCCCGAGCCGCCCGGCACCGGCGAGGGCGCTGCTGCACTGCTGCTGCTGGCGGCGCCGCCAGTGGACGTCGTCTGCGGCGGCTGTCAGCACCCAGATGCACGCGGCACGCAGCGCGCCACTCACGTAGAGCGCCAGCGGGTCGAAGCGGCTGTTCTCGACGTCGGCGTCGCCGCTCTCGTCGCCGTGCCCGTCCGACTCGTACAGCTCGTCCTCCTCCTCCTCTTCGTCGTCGTCGTACGGCGGCGCGCCCGGCACCGGCGGCAGTGCGCGGCTGCCGACGAGCTTGAGCTTGCGCGCCGGCGCCGTGCTGCCGCTGGCGCCGTCGCCGCCGCCGCCGGGCGCGCCGCCGGCCTTGGGCTTGCGCTTGCGCTTCTCGTGCTCGGGCTTGCGGCTCTTGCCGTCGACGAGCATGAGCTCGCGGCGGTGCTCGGGCTTGAGGCCCATCATGGCCTCGGCGCCGGCGAGCACCTCGGCGGGCGTGAGGGTGCGTGCGCCGTCGTGCGTGGTGAAGGCGGCGGCGCGCACGCACTTCTTCTTGGGCTCGCCGGGCTTGCGGCGCGTGAAGAGCGTCGTGCAGCGCAGCGGCAGCGGCGAGTCGGGGTGCGTGGCGAGGGCAAAGTTGGCGCAGAGGTGGCACGCGCCGGCGTACACCTCGTCGGTGTCGTGGGCGCAGCTCATGCGCATGCGCACGCTGAGGTGGTTGGAGCGCAGCAGCGTGCATGCGTCGCAGCCGCGCGCCGACGTCTTGACCATCGCGGCCGGGGTGTGTGGGTGTGTGTGTGTGTGTGCGTGTGTGGTGTGGAGTGTGGTGTGGTGTGGTGGGGGTCAGGGTGATGGCGGCGGATGCGAAGTGCCGCTGCCGCACAAAACTGGCGCGTCAGGTGCTGGCCCGCTCTGCTGCTGCAGCGCGCGCGCGCCGGCACTTCCCTTGCAGGGGGCAGACGATCGCGGCGCTGCGCGGTGCTGCGCGGCCCTGCAGCGGCAGAGACGGCCGCAGAGAGGCAGCCCGCCCGCCCGCCCGCCCGCGTCAGCGCCAGCCCGCTCACGCTTGCCGCATGCTGCACAGCGGCACGCACCGCGTCACGCCCCCGCCGACCGGGACAGCGCCCGCCTGCGTGGGCCCCTGGCTCCCTCATCGCCGCCAAGCCTAGTCATCGCCAGCGTCTCGTGCTATGGGAGGCCGTACGGGCACACTACTGAGACGTGGCCGCCTGCTCTGCAACACCACAGCCGCGCCGGCGGACCTGCGCTGCCGCCGGCTCAGCTCCGGCCGTGCTCCCGGCTCCGACGCGCATTCCGGGCGCACCTCTCGGCTCTGCAAGCCACAAACCTCTTGAGCAGCCGCAATCAGGATGCCACTGGCATCTCAAAAGCCCAGCGACCGGCAGAAAGGCCGCTGCTGTAGGCCCAGTTGGCTCACCAGCACCTAAGCAGGCAGGTCATGCGTGTCAGACGCATCATGCGTCTTGACGCGTGCCGTGCGTTCGTCTCGATCTCTCCCAGCTGCTGCCGCCGAAGCGGACGATCAAGTATTTCAGCGCAGCCGGCCGAGACCGAGACTGGTCGTGAGGAGATTATGAGAGCAAAAGCGCAGCAGCGGAGCCAACCAGAACGACAGGAGCGAGGCTTAAAGTCGCGCTGCGGGACCGCGCAAGCGTCCTGCGTCGCTTCGTCCAAGGACTCTCAGCAGGCGCCGGCACGCGAATGTATTACGTCCCAGTGAGATTGCATCATCACGGCGGTTGAACATCTGGCGCGAGGCTTGCGCTGATACGTAAGGCGCGCGCACGTCAGGCCAGCTCGGTTGCACGGACTGATGGCAATAGCGAGCTCGCGCTGGGATCTCGCTGCGATCTCCAGGAGCTGCCAGGTACGAAGGCGCAGGCGGGCGGCTCAGGCGCGGTGAGAACAACTACAAGCGCCTGAGATTGGCAGCTGGCCGCCGTTGCCCTCGAAGAAGGCGGTGAGGCGTGTGGCGTCGGCGCGACGCCTGTGCTGCCCGTGCTAGGCAAGCTGCGCGACGGCTGCATCTGCACAGGGCGCTGCCAGCTGGCGAAGGCATGGTCCAGCAGGCCGCAGCTTCTGTGTCGAGCTGCAGCGCGACGTGCAGGCCTCTGTCGCTGCGACCACCCTTGGTCGGATGCAGCATGCTGCGCGAGTGTCGTAGAGAGCCGGGACGGGCAGAAGATTGTACAGCGCCGCTGCTACGCAGGCACGCCGTGCTGTGCGGCAGGCACACCGTAGGCCGCAGTGGCCTCGCCGTCGGCATGCACGAGCGCCGGCGGCACGGGCAGCAGCAGGCGGAAGCAGTCCTTGCCGTTCATGTAGAAGCGGAACAGGCGCTTCTCGCGGATGAAGCCGAAGGACTCGTACAGCGCCAGCGACGCCACGTTGTCGACCTCGGTCTCGAGCACGACCTCGGCGGCGCCGGCGGCGTGCAGCGCACGCACGGTGAGGTGCACGAGGCGCGTGGCCACGCGGCGGCCGCGCCAGCCGGGCGCGACGCTGAGCATGGCAATGTAGCCGCGCAGCTGCTGCCCGCGGTGCGGCTCGAGCTTCGACACGACGACGCCGATGGGCGTGGCGCGGGTGCGGGCGGTGGAGGCGGCCGCCGCCGAGTCTGCCGAGAGCTGCGACGAGGCATCGCTGTCCGCATCGCTGTCCGCATCATCGCTGACCGCATGGCTGTCCGCATCGCTGTCTGACGCATTACTGTCTGCCGTCGCCGCACTCGCCTCCTGCTCGGCCCAGGCGAGGAAGCAGAACTGCGGCCAGGCGTGGAGGAAGTAGCGGTAGGTGTAGACGTTGTACGGCTCGCTGAGCTCGTGCTCGATGAGCGCCGTGATGGCGGGCAGCTGTGCCTCGCCGGCGTACGGCGTGAGGAAAATGCGCGGCTGCGGCGGCGCAGCGGGAGCGGCCATGGGCGGCGAGCTTGTGGGCCTTGTGCTTGCAGGTGGTGGCGAGGAGGAGAAGAAGGAGCAAGCCAGACGCGCACTTGACGCGCACGCTTCTCGTGCGGCAGCGGGTGTGCGCTCCTGTCCTCCCCTCCACATCCACCGCTCACCATGCCCGCTCCGTCCGAGCCCTCGACGGCGCCGCTGAGCCGCGACGAGCTGCAGCGCGCCCTGGCACTGCCTGTGCTCGACGCCGCCGGCACGTCGGCGCCGCTGGCCTCGCACCTCGCCGCGGGCACGCCGACGCTGCTCGTGCTCGTGCGCCACCACCACTGCGGCATGTGCATCGAGTACTGCCGCACGCTCTGGGAGCAGCTGGCGCCCGCCACGCACGACGCGCAGCGCCCCAAGCTGCTCGTCGTCGGCCACGGCGAAGCCAGGGGCATTGCCAGCTACAAGGAGCGCAGCGGCTGGCTCGGCGAGATGGTCGTCGACCCGACGCGCAAGGTGTTTGGCGCGCTCGGCTGCGTGAGCGGGCTGCTCAACGCGCCCGAGAAGCAGGTGCGTGGCATGGGCCCGTGCCGCGGCAGCGCTGACCGGGGCACAGCCGGCGTATCTCGAGAAGCACAGCACCGCCAGCCTCGTGCTGCGCTCCGCGGGCCAGATGCTGCGCTCCGGGCCGCTCGGCATCTGGCGCGGCGGCGACATCACGCAGCTCGGCGGCGAGTTCCTCGTTGATGCAGGTGCGTGGCGGACCGCTTTCATTGGCTGCGTCGCTGACGGCGCCGGCAGACGGCAGTCCGGCATACACGCACCGCATGCGCAACACCGTCGACCACACCGAGGTGCCCGAGCTCGCCAAGCTGCTGGGTGTCGACGCGCAGCCCGCCGCATAGCGGCCCGGGCCACGGCAATGGCACAACGGGACATCTATGGCATTCGCGGCGTGACGTAGAGAGAGCAGAAACCGAGACAGCACAGCACGGCGGCAGTATGAGACCGCCGGCACCCAGCACACAACGCATCCTCACAGCTTCTCGCCGACCTTGAGCGCCGTGCGGCCGCCCATGAGCTCGGCGAGGCGCTTGAGGCCGTGCCACCACGCCGTCTTGCCGCGCCGGTTCTTCATGTCGGCCTGCGCCGCCATGTCCTTGGCGCCGACGAACTCGACGTCGCTGCCGCGGATGGCGATGATGGCGGCCGTGGCGTCGCCGTACGCAGTGCTGTCCTTACGCAGCGCCAGGGCGTGCTGCGTCAGGAACTCGCAGCACTTGATCGCCAGGCGCGTGGCGCGCGCGCGGTCCAGCGGCGAGGGCGTGCCGCCCTGCAGCGTGTGGCCCAGCGAGGCGGAGCGCGAGTCGAAGAGGTCCTGGCCCTCCTCCTTGAGGATCTTGGTGATGACCTCGGTTGTGTACACGTCCGACGCGCGCTCGTTGCTGCGTCGCAGCGTCAGCGTGCCGCCGCGGCCCGTGACATCGCATCGCACTCACCGGATGACCAGCCGACCCTCACTCTTGCCCTTCGTGTCGAGCTCGAAGCGCCGCCTCAGCCACGCCACGTCCTCGCCGAGCTCCTGCAGCCCGATGCCGTGCTCGGGCGTGTACACCAGCACGGCACCCGCCGCGAGCGCGCCCATGACGGCCACGTAGCCGCAGCGGCCGCCCTGCGTCTCGACGACGAAGGTGCGGTTGCGCGACGCCGACGCCGACTGCTTGATGGCGTCGCAGGCGTCCACGAGTGCGTTGAGCGACGTGTCGGAGCCGAGCGAGAACTCCGAGACGGGCACGTTGTTGGAGATTGTGGCGGGAATCGCGGCGATGGGCATCTGCGCAGAAGTTCAGCAGTGGTCGACGGGGCTGAGCACGACAGACGCACGCGGAAGGCCGGGTAGTTGGCGCGCTGCTCATTGAGCTGCTTCACCGCCAGGAACGCCTCGAAGCCGCCAATCACCAGCAGGCCCTCAATCTTGTGCTGCTGCAGCTTGGCGGCGACGGCGCCAAAGTCGCTGTCCGGCAGCACGCGGTTCGTGCCGAGCTCGCTGCCGCCGCGAGTCGTCCAGTTGTCGACGCGCAGCCAGTTGATCTCGGCCACCGAGTCGGCCAGCAGGCCCGGGATGCCGTTGTGGATGACGACGGGCGTGTGGCCGTGCGCCAGGCAGTAGCGCACGGCCGTGCGCGTTGCCGCGTTCATGCCGCCGGCCGGTGCGCCAAGGCTGGAAGACGGTCAGCGGAGGCAGTGCATGCGACACACACGCGTACCCACTGGATGATGCCCATCTTGATGCGCTGCTCCTGCGGCACCAGCTCGCGCTCGTCGATCTTGGAGATGACATCAAACGCACGAAGCCCCTCGGCGAACTCCGAGTCGCGCAGCGCCAGCGCGCCGTCAAAGTCCTGCTTCTCGATGCGCTGCGCGACGAGCTGCGTCTGCTGCACGGCATGCATGAGCTCGATGCGCGTGATCTTGTTCTCGCGGATGCCGATTACGTAGGAGGGCGTCTCGGGCGTCGCCTCGAGCAGCGCCTCGACGGCCTCGACGCCCTGCAGCGTCGCGAGCACGCGGTCCGCGGCGACAGGCTTGCCGCCGCGCTGCGTGTGGCCGAGCGTGGTGACGCGCGTGTCGAGGCCGAGGCGCTCGGCCAGCACAGCCTTGATGTCGTCGGGCGAGATGGGCGTGAGGTCGCGCGCGAGGGCGCCCTCGGCGACGATGACAATCGTCTTGCGCTTGCCCATCTCGCGGTGGCGCGCCAGCACGCCGCACATGTCGGCGCGCCAGTCGCCCGGCGGCGGGCGCTCGGGCAGGAAGACATAGTCGGCGCCCGTCGCGATGCCCGCCATGAGCGCGAGCCAGCCGCAGTGGCGGCCCATGACCTCGACGACGAACGCGCGGCTGTGGCTCGCGGCGGTGGAGGAGATGGAGTCGACGGCCTCGCAGATGCGTGCCAGCGCCGTCGCGGCGCCGATCGTCATGTCCGTCGTCGCCATGTCGTTGTCGATGCTGCCGACGAGGCCGACGATCTTGAGGTGCCGGTGCCGCTGCGCCTGCTCGGCGCTGATCTCGCCGCGCTCGAGCAGCGCGGCGACGAGCTCGGGCCACTCGGCGCGCAGGCGGTCTGCGCCCGTCAGCGAGCCGTCGCCGCCGCAGACGACGAGCGCGTCGATGCCGCAGGAGATGAGGTTGCGCGCCGCGCGCTGCCGCCCGGCCACCTCGCGGAACGCCGCGCAGCGCGCCGTGCCGATGAGGGTGCCGCCCTGCGTGGGGTGTGTCAGTGGTGCTGGAGCGCGTGTATGCGCCGCACGGCACCGTCGCCGCTGCGGCCCGCACGCACCTGGTCCATCCAGCCGCGCACGTCGTCCCAGCCGACGCGCAGGATGTACTTGCCCTTGAGGCCGAGCTCCTCGGCCTCGCCGACGCCCTCGCGCAGCAGCTCGCCCTGGCCGTACGTGCCGCGCCAGCGCCGCGCCTCGCTCGTGCCCGGCGGCTGCGCCACGCTCGGCGGCAGTGTCTCGGGCTCGGGGTGCGGCGGCGTGGCGTCGCCGTCGGTGCTCTCTTCCTCGCCCTCGGCGTTGCCGCGCACCAGGCCCTCCCAGCCCTCGCGCACGACCCACGCCTGGCAGCCGCGCAGGATGGCGCTCTTGGCGACGGCGCGCACGGCGGCGTTCATGCCGGCGCTGTCGCCGCCCGACGTCATGACTGCGATGCGCGGCGCCATGGCAGGTGTCGGTAGGGGGTTGATGTGGTGGAGGAGAGGCAGCCAAGAGCCGGCGCCAGATTGCGTATCAGCGCCAGATTCCGCTGAGCGGGCGCAGCGGATCGGCGCACGGCCGGCGTAACTTCGGGCGGCGGCAGATCTTCCGCGGGGCTGGGCCGTGCCTCAGGCAGCGCACGTGACGCGCCTGCCAGACCAACACGCTACGCCCCGCACACCTCCACTCTCTTGCGCCCTCACCACCACGATGCCGGCCCAGCGTGCCCACCCGCGCGCCTCGGCGTCGAGCAGCAGCAGCGCACTGCACTGGCCGCACGCACTCGCCCCGCCCGCGTCAGACGCTGCCGTGCCCGACTCGCTCTCCTTCTCCCTCTCCGGCTCCGAGGCGCCCGCCGCCGCACCCGCACCCGCACCGCGCGCGCCGCCGCCGAGCCTCGCCCACGTCGTGCACCTGCAGCTCGGCCTCGTGCCCGCGCACCCGGCCGCTCGCCGGCCGCCGCCGCGCAGTGCCCTTGCGCTGCCCCTCGACCCCTACGCCGCACCGGCACCGCCCGTCGCCGTTGCGCCGCTGCCCGGCCCACGCGCCGCCCGCGCCCGCCGCGACGAGGCGCTGGCCGCCGACCTGCGCGCCGCGCCGCTGCCCACACACGACGAGGAGCGCGCAGAGCAGCGGATAGCGCGGCGCCGGCTGCAGATGCGCCGCCGCAAGGGCGAGACGGCCGAGGCGTGGCTGAGCCGCACCGCCCGCGTCGCGCGCGCCATCAGCACCGGCAGCGCGCAGACGCCCGAGAGCTGGCGCGGTGAGTGGTGCGAGGGTGACAGATCTGCAGTGCTGGCTGATGCTGGCCGACGCAGAGCACAGCAACCTGCACGCCGCCTTTGCCTCGCTCTGTGCGCCGCCGCACGGCCGCCTGCTGCCGCGCACGCCGGCGCGCCAAGAGGTCGAGCGCCTCTTTGCCGGCGGCGGCGGCAAGGGCGAGAGGGACAGGCACGCTGCAGGGCTCGTCGGGCTATGAGAGGCGAGATGAAGCATCGCGGACTCCAGCATCGTCTGTGACGCAATGCTATTGCTCGCCCAGCTGCAGCAGCCCGACGCGGCGCCCCGCCTGGCTGCGCACGCTCGCCGCGATGCGCACCGCCTGCGCGTCGGCGTGCGTGACCCAGAGGAGCGTGAGGCGCGGCTCGCTCGCCAGCAGGTCGGCCTCGAGCAGCTGTGCCGTGTGCAGGTCCAGCGCGGCCGTCGGCTCTGTGCATGCGTGTCAGCGCTGCCGCCGACGCTGCACAGCAGTGACAGCAGAGTGCGAGACGGTGCAATGCAGCAGCACCTCGCATCCCTCCACGCGCCCCACTCACCATCGAGCAGCAGCACGCCGTCGCCGCCGCGGCGCAGCTGCAGCGCGAGCGAGATGGCCAGCGACGCACGCGCCGCCTCGCCGCCCGACAGCGTGCTCCAGTCGGCGTGGAAGATGCGCGGCGGCGCGCCCCAGCGTGCCAGCAGCGCTTCGGGGTCCGCAGGCAGGCGTGTGGGGGCGACCGGTGCGGCAGGTGCGGCGCACGGCACGTCGCTGAGACGCCAGCCGGGCGCCTGACGCTCGCCAAACGAGGCGTCGCCGGACGCGACCGCCGGCTGCGGCACGAGCAGCGGCACCGTCTCGTCGGCATCAGCGCTGCGCACGTCGGCGTTGGCGCCGAACGCCAAGATGCTGGCCCACAGCGCCGCCGGGGCGCCGGGCAGGCGCGGCGGGCGCTGCGCCACGAGCGAGACGCGGGCGCGGTACGCCGCAGGCGCTGCCGATGCCGGCCTGCCGCAGGATGAGATGGTGCATGACTGCGGCTCGGAGCCCACTCACTGGCCACGCAGCACGGCGCCCTGCTCGTCGTCGTCGCCGCCGCCGCCGCGCGTCCACGGCTCGAGGCCGGCGATGCGGCGCAGCAGCGTCGTCTTGCCGCAGCCGGACACGCCGCGCAGCAGCAGCACGTCGCCGCGCTGCAGCGCCAGGCGCACGGGTGCGGCGCCGTCGCTGGCCGGCAGCGGGAAGGAGAGGTGGCTGAGCGTCATGGCATCGTGGTGCGGGGTGAAGGAGTGGAGCAGGCTCGCAGGGCGAGGCGGGGCTGCGCGGCGCTTACCTAAGCGCGCCGTGGGGGCCCAGCGTACAAGCTGGCGGAGCGCGGCGCGGATGCGGCCAGTAGAGTCGCGCGCGCACGCACTCACGCGCCAGCGCCGGCGGCTTGGCTAAGGGCCGGCTCGTGCGGGGGCGGGCCGAGCGGCCGAGGCGATGCCATCGTCGTGCAGGCGCGCAGGGGTGACGGCGAGGCGGCAGCGGCAGCGATGCAACGCCGGAGCGCGGCGATGGCAGCACCAGCACCCATCGCCGCTCCACGCCCTCTCGGTCCCCTCCACCACCACCATGCTCGCCCTGCTCCGCACCCCGCTCCTCGCCGCCCCGCGCGCCGCCACGCGCCGCTTCAGCGCCAGCGCGCGCGCCAGCGACGTGCTGCTCTTCGTCGAGCACAAGGCCGGCGCCGTCAACGCCGCCAGCCTCAGTGCGCTGACGGCCGCGCGCAAGCTCGGCGCCGGCGACGTGCACGCCCTCGTCGGCGGCAAGGAGGCCGACATCCAGGGCGTGGCAGACGCCGTCGCCAAGTGAGTGCGGTGCGGCCGATGCGGCACAGCAGCAGTGGCAGCAGCAGCGAGGAAAGGTGTGCTACGGCTGGTGCCGGCAGCTGGGCGCCTCTCGACGTCAGGAGGCGACGTCAAGGGGCGACATCAGGAGGCGACGTCCGGAGGCTCGTCTCCTGCTGTGCGCTGCTGCGTAGCTTTGCAAACGCTTCCGAGCAGTGGCTGCACAGCTGCTACACATCGCTGTGCGTGCCACATCTCTGCACACACTCGCTGACACGCCGCAGGTTCGACGGCGTGTCCAAGGTGCTGCACGCGTCCGGCGAGGCGCTCGGCTCGTCGCTCGCCGAGGCGTTCGCGCCGCTGCTCAAGCAGGTCGCCTCGTCGGGCTCGTACACGCACGTCGTCGCCGGCCACACGGCCTTCGGGCGCGACGTTGTGCCGCGCGCCGCCGCGCTGCTCGACGCCAGCCAGATCAGCGACATCACCGCCGTGCACGACGCCGACACGTTCGAGCGCCCCATCTACGCCGGCAACGCCATCGCCAAGGTCAAGAGCGCCGACAAGCTCAAGGTGCTGACGGTGCGCGGCACGGCCTTCGACAAGGCCGCCACCGAGGGCGGCAGTGCCAGCGCCGAGAAGGTCGACTTTGCCGAGCCGAGCAGTGAGTGGCGCGAGTGCGAAGCATGCCAGAGGGCTGCGAGCGGTGAAGTGAAGCCTGGCAGAGGGCTCTGAGCCTTGATGCGAGGTCTGGCAGAGGTCTGCGGGCCTGAGCGGTGGAACGAGGATTGCCGGGGAGCTGCGGATGTGTATCGCGCTGGCAGCGCTGCCCACTTCGTCCTGCCCAGAGCGCCTCACGCTTCGCCACGCCGCCATGCAGCACACGCTCATCCCTTCGCTGCAGTCTCCACGCGTCTCGTCTCGGAGCAGATCTCCAAGTCGTCGCGCCCCGAGCTGGCGACGGCGGCGCGCGTCGTGTCGGGCGGCCGTGCGCTCAAGTCGGCCGAGGGCTTCGAGAAGTACATTGAGCCGCTCGCGGATGCGCTCAACGCCGCCGTGGGCGCGAGCCGCGCGGCCGTCGACGCCGGCTACGCCGCCAACAACCTGCAGGTCGGCCAGACGGGCGTCGTTGTGGCGCCGGAGCTGTACCTCGCCGTGGGCATCTCGGGTGCGATCCAACAGTGAGTTGCTGCGTGCGTGGGTCCCTGACCGGCCTGGCTAACACGACTCGCAGTCTGGCTGGCATGAAGGAGGCCAAGACGATTGTCTCGATCAACAAGGGTGCGTCTGGGCCTTGCATCACTGATGTACACGCTCATGCTGACAGCCGTGCTGCAGACCCCGAGTGCCCGATGGCCGAGATCGCCGACTTTGCCCTTGTCGCCAACCTGGAGGACGCCGTGCCGGAGCTGCTGTGCGTGCCCGCAGAGCTCGTCACACCTGACTGCGTCACTAACACACTGCGCCCACAGCGAGAAGCTCAAGTCGGCCTAGACTGCATCGCGTGGCATGGTGTGGAGCATCAACGCTGGAACAGGCGTGTAATCAGATCCTATTCATAGTCGACGCAGGGCGCAGCTGAGCGCCGTTCCGCGGCGGCGTCGCTGGCACAGCCTGGCCGGGAACACTCGAGCAGTGCCAGACGCGGTGTGGTCGCCCAGGCCGTGAGCGGTGCGGCAGCCCGCGCTGTGACTGCCTGTGCGTGCGCAGATCTGAAGCACGCGCGGGTCTCGGCCGCTTGTCTGAGGCACGGCTGCATCGCGACCTTGCGCAGGCTGTGCCGGCGACTCTGCGTTTGTCTCGCCGCGCCGCACATGCATGTGAGCGGCGAGGCGTGCCCAGGCGGTGCTGCTGCTGCGAGCCGAAGTGCCGTCCTTGGCGAAGCGCCGAGTATGGCTGCGAGAGGTGCATGCTTGCTGCGTCGCCAGTCTCGCAACGAGCTCAGCTAGTGCCGGGGCGACACTGCTGCGCTACGTCGTCGCCTCTGCTGTCGCTGCTGCTCCCTCGGGCTCGTGCGCCATCTCCTCTGTGCTGGCAGCGTCAGCCTCTACTCCGCTGCTGCACAGTCCAGCAGCCACTCACGCCAGGGCCGCTTGCACATCGGGCACAGGTCCTCGGCACGCGCCGGCGCCTGCTCGCTGCCGCGGCTGCGCTGGCTGGCGAGCCAGCGCATGATGCAGTGCATGTGGAAGACGTGCGTGCAGCGCCCGACGACTGCGCATGGGTGTCAGCAGTGAATGGTAGAGCAGGTGTGGCAGAGCTGAGAGTCCAAGCGTCCAAGTGACAGTCGCTCCTTAGCGACTGAGACCACCAGTGAAGAGCAGATGCTCTGGCCAGCGCCGTTGCCCGTGGCTGCACTGCCGTCACCCGCCAGCACGGTCCATGCTCCACCATCTCATCCCCCGCCGCCGCGCACGCCCCACTCACGCAGCGGACACGCATCGCCGGCCGCCTTGCACGCGCCGCCGCAGACGTCGTCGAAGAGGTGCTGGCAGATGCCGCAGACGTCGTCGGCGTCGCGCACGTCCCACAGCCAGTAGGCGACGGGGCGGAAGTCCTGCACGGTGAGCTTCATGGTGGTGGAGGCGAGGGAAGGAGCGTGCGGTGCGCGTGTCGTGCTTGAGCCACGCGGCCGTCGTGCGGTGGCCGCTTGTGCTGCATCGCTGCGCCGCGTCTCGCGCCGCCGCGCATCCCGCACCTTGCCTCCGCTCCGCCACCTGCTCCACCATGCCCTCGCCCTCGCCCTCGCCGGCACCCGATAGCGGCGCAGAGGCCGCGCCCGCCAAGGGCTCGCCGTCCGACTTTCTCAAGCGTGCGTCGCGCGTGCGCCCGAGCTGCGCCCTCGCCCCCGCTGACCTGCCGCAGACGTCATCGGCAAGCGCGTCGTCGTGCGCCTCACCAGCGGCATCGACTACAAGGGCGTACTCACGTGCCTCGACGGCTACATGAACATCGCCCTCGAGGACTGCGCCGAGTGGGTCGGCGGCCAGCGCCGCGGCGTCTACGGCGACGCCTTTGTGCGCGGCAACAACGGTGCGTGCGGCGAGGGGAGGGATGGAGGGGCAACGCGGAGAGAGGTGTGTGCTGTGGCATGGCATGGCAGGGAGAGCGCAGCGACGGTGCAGTGGGGCGAGCAGCAGGACTGCGGCAGTGCTGGACAGGGCGCTGGCGGTGGTGCTAGGCTCGAGTAGTCAGGCAGAGAGGCTTGGCTGCGATGGACAGCGGACGCATGACAGGGCAGCGTGCTGCAGCCAGCGCACACCGGCTAGGGGCACGCCGCACACACTGTGCATCACTAGCGGCTGCGTGCGCGGCGGGATGGAGGCGCACGCTGAGGGTTGCGTGGATCGCAACGCAGCCGGTGGAGGCAGCCCCGGAGCGCCTTCGATGCAGGGCGCCGGGAGCACCGGGCAGCGGCACCGCTGCTCTGTCGCACAGCACAGCGCTGGGGCGGGTGTCGCTGTCTGCCTCACGCTGGTGTGATCGCAGCAGTGGAGGAATCCTGTGCACGACCGACAGCGCAGCTTCTCGCAGTCTGTGCCTGCTCGAGGCGGCACAAGAGTGCTGGCCGAACGGCCGGAGCGTTGGACGGCGAAAGCACAGCAGCGGCATGTGTCCCTTGTGCCGGGTAATGCGCTGACACACCTCTGCAGTGCTGTACATCACCGCTGCATAGGCTGCAGCGAAGGAGCGTTGGCAGGGCACGGGGTCAGGGTTTACGTGAGAGAAGGCAAATGCACAAAATCCAGCAAGCAGTGCGTGCAGCTCGAGCTGGAGCAGGAGGGCGTCTCGTTCGGCGAGGACAGCTGCTGGCGCGTGCGGCCGGGCCGCTTCTCCGTCGAGCTGGCGCACAGTGCCGACCCGCGCCAACCCGCGCCAGGTAAGCGCGCACCAGCACCACGATCGACGAGAGCTGGACGTGGCAGGGCATCGGGCATGTGTGACTCGAATGAATGGCCGTCTACTTGCGGTAGTCACCCAGCTCGCCCTGCACCTCGGCCCAGCTCTCGAGCTCGCCGCGCTTGCGCCAGCGCTGCAGCCACTCGTTGAGGCGCGAGCGCAGGTCGGCGACGGCCGCCGGCGTCAGGTGCTTCGCCAGCTCGACGGTGCTGCTGACCTCGTTGCTTCGGGCCAGCTCGTCTGCCAGTGCAAGCACGTAGAGGCCGCAGTCGTGCGCTGTGCTCGCGTGTCAGTGGCAGAGGGATGACCAGTCGCACCGGCCTCACCGTTCTCTTGCGGCGGCACCTCGGCGCTGCTGAGCTTGCCGCCGTGCGCCCTCTTGCCCTGCGCCGCCAGGAAGCTCTGCCACACCTTCTCGCCGGCCGTGTCGTTGGCGGGCGCCATCGAGTCGAAGTGTGTGCCGTGCCAGCCATCGTCGCCGCGCTGCACGAGGATGCAGGACCAGTGCGAGCCGCTGCCGCGGTCCGTCGTCGACTCGTAGCGGTCGCTCACTTGGCCGGCAGTCAGGATTGCGTGTGAGGCTCGGAAAGCAGAGCGCACTGACCTGGCAACAGCATCGTGTCGTGCACGGGCGGCAGCATGCCGCTGGCGCCGGCCTCGGCCTGCTCCGTGCCTGTGCTGGCGGGTTGAGCGCTGCGCTGCGCCTGGCGCGCTCGCATCACGCACCCTGCAGCGAGCACATGAGCTCGACGACGCTGGGCTGCCACAGCACGTCGTGCTGCGGGCCGTCGGAGCGACGCCGCAGCACCTCGGCAAAGAAGGCAATGACGCCGTCGCCGAGCCACTCCTTGGGCGCCAGCGTCTGCATGGCCATCAGCGGCGCCGCAGCAGCATGGCGCAGTGCGCACTGACCTGCAGGTCGCTGGCACGCAGGCTGGCCGTGTGGAACGAGAGCACGACGGGGTCCTCTTCGGACGTCATGCTTGGTCGCGTGGGCGCTACCTTGCTGGCAGGCGGGTATTGTGGAGGAGAGCAAAGCGCCGCCGCCGCCGCCGCGCCGCGACGTCACTTTGTGGGCAGACGCGCGCCGCAGAGGGTCCAGCTGGCACGTTGCGCCACGCGCGCAGCAGCCGTCGCAGCAGAAACGGGATGAATGCAGGTGGTGTGGTACAAGTACAGATGATGACGCTTCGCCTGTCCTGGCCCTTCCGGGCGCGCCGCGCTACTCCTCCTCGGGCAGCTCGTCGTCGACGGCGCCCTCGCCGCGGCCCTCGACGACAAAGTCCTCGTTGGCCTGCTGCTCGCGCATCTCGCGCAGCTCCTCCTCGCGCCGCTCGCGCTCCTCCCACTCGGCATCCTCATCGACGGCGGCCGCGCCGCCGGGCAGGCCCTCGCCGTGCGCCGTGCCGTTGATGCCGTTGCTGCTCGGCACCTCGCTGTCGCGCGGCAGGTGCGTCGCGATGAGCTCGAGCAGCGACTCGATCTGCGTCTCCGAGAAGCGCTCCGACAGCTCCTCGACGATCTGGACGTGGCGGCGTCAGCACAGGCCAGCACCAATGCAGCGCAGCTGCTGCACAGCTGCAGCACAGCCACTCACGCAGTGCAGCTCCACGAGCGTCGCCGGCGCCAGGTTGACGCACATGAGGCGCTCGCCGCGCGTCAGACGGGCATCGCCGAGGTGCTCGTCGCGCTCCCAGCGCGCCAGAGCGGCCTTGAAGGCGGCGATCTGCTCGGCGCTCTGATGCGCTGCGGGGCGTGCCGCGTTGCTGAGGTACGCCAGCAGCTCGTACTGCACGGTGCGCAGGTTCGGCGGCAGCAGCGCCATGCCCGCCTCAGCGTCGGCGTCCTCGGCGTGCGCGGCGCTGGGCGCTGCGCCATTGGCCGCGCCCGCCGCTGCGGCTGCGGCCGCCTCGAGCACGGCGGCGGCGGGCGTGCCGAAGACGGCGGGCGCCGGCTGGCGCGCCTGGCGGCGCTGCGTCGTCTCGAGGTCCTTGAGCAGCGCCAGCACCTCGTAGTCGGAGAGCAGCGCGGCACGCGGCTGCAGGACGCGCATGGCTGCGCAGGGCGGGAGGGACGGCCGAGCAGCGGCGGCAGGAGGAGTGCGGGCAGGTGGTGGTGGTGTGGAAGAAAGGCGAGGCGCACGGCAAAGCCGCGGGATGCTTTCTGGCATGACTTCAAGTCGGCTGCGCGCGCGTGTATTGCCGACTACAACAAGCCGCCTCGCCGCGCTGAGGCTGTGCCTGGCCTGGGCGGAGCGCGGCGTCCCGCCGCCGCTGTCTGGGCATCGAGCCTGCCTTGCCTTGCACCCACGACACCGTCAGCCGCGTCCACTCTCCGCATGGGCGCCTGCTTCTCCTCTCCGGCGTCCGACGCCGGCGGCCAGCGTCTCGGCGGCGCCGCACCGTCGCACGCGTCACACGGCCAGCGCCTCGGCTCCTCGGCCTCCGCTGCGGCTCCCAGCAGCAGCGCCGCCGCTCCCTCGCGCGAGGCCCTTGCGGCCGCCGCAGAGGCTCGTGCCGCCGAGGCGAGCCGCCGCGGCGCCGGCGGGCGCGCCGGGCCGGGCAAGCTGGGCAAGCAGCTCGACGAGGAGCGCCGCAGGGGCGGCACCGACGCCGCCGAGCGCAAGCCCGACGCCGTCGAGCGCGTCGTGGTGAGTGCGCGCCGCATCACGCCTGCCGCGTGCTGTCGCTGATCGTGCCGCGCCAGTGGGACTAGGCATCCGTCCGCCTCTCACGCCCCAGATACCCGCACAATCACACTCGTCACCGTCCGTGTCGTGGCGGGTTAGTGCTCGGCGGTGAGGCGCCAGTGTGCGGCGCGGGTGCGTGCGTTGGGTGGTGCGCCTCTGGTGGACAGGCCCAGGGTGCAGCGCATTCAGGCATAGCTGTAGCTGCGAGACAGCAGCAGCGCTGGGACTGCGGGCCCTCGGGCCTTCCGGCGCGTGTGACCTCGGCCAGCGCGCGAGCGTCTCACAGCAGCCGTGAGCGCGCGGCGGCCAGAGGGTGCGTGCGTGCACGGCCCTCTGCATGCCTCATGCATCGGCTCCAAGGTCCGGTCGGCGTACGCAGAACGCCGCATTTCCATTGCCGGCGATGAAGCAGCTCGGCGGCACTGCATGTGCAGCGCTGTGTTCTGGCGCCAGGCCGGCCAGGGGCCGTGCCGTGACCGATGATGCAGAGTAGAGTGGCCTGCACCTGGCGCGATCGAGCGCCCACCTCGTATGGGAAGCGACGCCAGCAGCGACAGCTACCTTCTCGACTACCGCCTCCGCTCTGACTCCCGACAGATCAGGAGCGGACCTGGTCCTCGCTGTGCCGGTATGCGCGTAGAGCAGATGTCGCTGCGCTGTCGCGCCCTTGGATGCACGCGTCCTGCGGCACGCGGCGCAGCACATCTGTGCACCCCGTGGTGGGGCGTGCCTTCGCAGGCGCACGCGCCTGGGATGCACGGCCATCCACGGCACGCCCTTCCGCGAGCATGCTGGTTCCAGTGAGTGAGGTAGCGCATGACTGCATAACGCCTCTGCGTGCTGTTGGGGCGCTGTGGGCGGATCTATACCGTAGATCTACGCAGCAGTGGGGGAGTCCGCTGCCGCAGCGGAACGCCGGGCGCCGGGCGAGCGGCGCTGAACCACGCTGCTCCCCATTGGTGCCCAATTTTTCTTCACCCCCTCGCCGTGCCGTTGCGGCGGCATGGTCACAAGTCCTTGACTTCGCTCGTGGACGTCGTCATGGTCGTTCTCGTCGTCGAGCATCGCCGAGGCTGCGCCTTCGGCGTCTTGTCGGCGGCGCGCCACGAGGCAGCGATCTCCCCTTCCGTGTCGGCGTCGTGCGGCGTCCGGCATCCCCCAGGCAAGGCCTTCATGTACCATCCACACCTCCAACCGCGCCTGGTTTACGATGCACTTTGCAGCGTGGCAGTCTTGCATTGCATCTCTAGTGTACAGCGGCTCGCAGCCGCGTGGTCTACTCATCGCCCTCGCCGGCCAGCACAAACTGCTCCCGCTGCTCGTCCTCGTCGGCCGCCTCGGCCTGCCGCGACGGCCGCGAGTAGCCTGGCGGCGCCTGTGGCCGTGCAGCGCTGCGCCCCGCGCCGTTGGCCGGGAACCAGCCGCGCACCTTGGCCGCGATCGGCGCGAGCGTGCGTGCGTACGTGAGGAACCAGGTGTAGAGATCCGAGAGCGCCAGCTCGAGGTCGCCGCCGAAGCCGTCCTGCGGCACCGCTGCAGCCGAGGGCAGGCCGGGCCCGCTGCGCACGTCGCGCGCTGCAGAGGCAGCGACAGCGGCTGCATGCTCGGTCGCGGCGTGGTGCTTGAGCACGTCCTTGACCGTGACGAGCCCGACGACGCGGCCCAGCCGTGTGACGATGATCACTCGCGGCCCCATCTTCTTGAACAGGTCCATCACGACCTCGAGCGGCATCGATGGCTGCACGCATAATGGCGTCTGTGCAGCGTCGTCAGCGAGAGCGTGGCAGGCATGCGTCGACTTGCTCACCTGCTCCATCCAGCCGCCGAGCTCCAGCACGTCGTCATCGCCCTCGCCGTCGATACCTCCGCCGGCCTCGCCCAGCGAATCGTGCTCGTCATCGCTGTCCTGACCGCCCATGAGGCCCTGGTGCTCGTCATCCTTGCCGTTGTTCGGCTCCATCGTCTCAAACGTGGAGACGATGGGCGTCGGCGGGTGCTGGGCGAGCGGGTGCACGCCGAGCCCACTGGCCTCGTCGTTGTCTGCTTCCGAGGTGAAGCAGCACAACGTCGTGGGCGCCAGCGTCGAGCGAGCACGCCGTGCCTTGGCAATGGCATAGCGCATCTCCGTCTTGCCGGCGTAGCCGAGAAGCGTCGGATCCTCGGCGCTGCGCACCACGGGCAGGCCCTTGTACGGCCCGCTGGCGAGGCGCTGCTCGACCTCGGCCAGCGGCATGCCGGCGCCATAGAGCACGGCAGGCCCGCGCGTCATGATGTCGGCCACCGGCAGGCCAAAGACGTGCTCGTCCTTGTCAAGGAACGGGTAGCCCTGGAAGCGGATCGTCTGGTCGGAGATGCCGCCCTTGCCGTACAGGTCGCCGACGCCCTTGGTGATCATCACGACAAACATCGTCGGCAGGATGTACGTCAGCGCGCCGGTAAGCTCGAACATGATGACGACGACGGCGACGGTGATGCGCGTCACGCCAGCCAGCGCAGCGGCGGCGCCAAGGAAGGCGTACGTGCCGGGCGTGATGCACGGCACGTCGGGCTGGCATGCGCTGAAGATGCTCGCGTGCGGGAACGCCGTGTACAGCGCCTTGACGAGGATGCCGACCATGCGTCCAAACGTGGCGCCGATGGCCATGGACGGCACAAAGATGCCCGCCGGCACCTTGCAGCCGTACGACAGCACGACGAGCGCCGCGCGCAGCACCGTGGCGATGAGCAGCGAGTTGACCATGCGCCACTGCGCCGACGACTGGCACAGCGAGTCGTAGTCGCCGCCGCCCTCGCACTCGTGGAAGAGGATCTCGAGCGACTCGGACATGTCGATGCGCAGAAACTTGTTCCAGTAGCCCACGAACGCCGTCAGCGTCGCCAGCACGATGGCCTCGGCGACGCCGTGCGCGGCGAGGTTGTCGCGGCGGAAGCGCTGCACCTGCAGGTTGTACTTGATGATGAAGGCACCGTACAGGCCCTGGTGGCAAGCGTGTCAGCACAATGGCGGTACACCGGGCAGCAAGCGTCTCACGCCGAACACGCCGATGATGCTGTAGAAGAACATCTCGAAGTAGTGCCAGTCGCGGTCGTACGACACCTGAAAGAGCACAAGCTTGCCCGTCCGGAAGGGGTTCATGAACTGCAGCAAGGGTGTCAGCGGCGGCGCGGGCAAGCGGGCCTCGAAGAGCTCACCGAAAGCGTCACTGTGGACGCAAGGGCGCAGAGGAACGAGCGCCACATCGTCGAGGCTGGAAAGTTGTACGCCATTTCCTGCCAGAGAGTCAGTGCTGCTCGCGGGCCGCTGCTCAGTGTGCTCACCTCGAGCGAGAAGAGCACGCCGCCGATGGGCGAGCCGAATGCCACGGCGACGCCGGCGGCACTGGCAGCGGTGAGGAGTTCGCGCATGCGTGCTGTGTGCGGCTGTGCATGAGCGCTGCACGATGCGGAAGCCTGGCAGCTGCGACGCACCCTGGCTACGGTCGAAGCTCTTGACGAAGCTGGCAACGACGTTGCCGATGCAGCACGCAACGTGCACCGCCGGCCCTTCCTTGCCGACACTCAGGCCTGACGCAATGGCCAGCGGCTGAGCTGCGTGTCAGCGCAGGATGACGCAGAGCCGCCACAGCACTCACGAGAGTGAGACTCTTCACCGCAAACGTCCACGTGCCCAGGAAGCCGTTGATGATGAAGCCAGCGAGAATGCACTTGATCTCGGAGATGCCCGAGCCCGCGGCGTAGGGCGCAAAGGAGCGCACGAGGTGCGAGCACAGCGCCGCGAAGATGGCCTGACCGGGCGTCAGCTTGGGGCATGGCGGTCTACTGCATGCGACTCACCGCGAAGACGACGTAGATCACCCAGCTGACCACAGTCCAGCTACTCCACGGCTGCCAGTCCGAGCACGCCTCGCTGGAGGAGCCCGGCTGCACCTCGGCGCGCGGCACGAGCGCCATGCCCCACTCGAGCGCCTCGCCGGCGCGCGCCAGCATCGTCGCATTGCCCGCGCCGCCCGACGGCTTGAGCGAGCTGGGGATGGGGCTGGTGCCGCCCGGGCCGCCGCCCTCCATGAACTCCCAGCAGCAGAACTTGCGGTTGAGCCACCAGCCGGCGGTGCAGTAGCCCGTCTTGAGGTCGGACGCCCACTCGGTGGCGATGGAGATGACCGCCATGTTGAGGCCGATGAGGGCGCCTGCGCGTGTGTGTCAGCCGGCCGGGTCACTCGCAGCGCGCCAGCTCGAACACTCACCCACGCCAATCACAACGGCGCTCTCCTCGACGCCCTTGGCCGCCTTGCGCACGAGCAGCCACACGGCCCACACGATGCGGCCCCACGGGCCCGAGCTTGGCCACCAGCGCGGCGGACGCTCGCCGCCGCGCCCGCCCCAGCCCGTGTCGAGCGGCGATGCGCCTGGCCCCGGCGAGGCGTGCTGCCGGGCGACGCGCGCCCGCTCGCGTGTCGAGTCTGCGATCCAGTCGACGGTGGAGAACTGCGCCGCGTGAGTGCTGTGCAGAAGACGAAGCCCCGCACATGCTCACCGACTCGTAGCGGCGGATCTCGTCGAGCGCCCGCTCGTCCATGTCGTTGGCGCCGGCACTGCGCGGGGTGGCACGCGCCGAGCCGTCGAAGGGCGACGGCGCCGCCAGGGCCGCCGAGCCGCGCCGCGACGTGCCCAGCTGCAGCGGGCTGGGCCGCGAGGCACCGGCGGCAGGCAAGAGGGAGGACATGGCGGTGCGGCGCACGGCGTGCGGCGAGGGAGCGTGTGGTGCGAAGGACGGCAGCAGTCAGAGTGGGCGCAGGCAGCGCCAACTTGGCGCAGCGCGCGCTCAAGCCACGCCGCGAGGCTTCGCACGGAGAGGCGCGCGCGCCCTTGCAGCCCGTCTCCCGAGCAGGCCCTCTCGCCAGCCATGGAGGTGTGCCCACAACAACGACACATCTGCGATGCCTCTACGGCTACAACACCAGCATAGTGGGAGCAACGGGTGCAGTCGCAGCGCCGCTCCAGGGCCTGTACATCGCCACTTGCCCGGACTCGCAACGCGTCCAAGCCAATCTATTCGTACAAGTACAGCACGGCCGGCGGCCTCGCCGCTCCTTCCGTGATCGCAGCACCAGTGCTCAGCCACGCAGCAGGCCGTCGAGTGCAGCCTGCATGCGCTCCATGTCCTCGCGCTCGCTCTCCTCCTCCTGCGGCGCACGCACCGGCTCGGGCCCGACGAGGTCCGGCAGCGCGCCGGCACTGGCCGCCTGGCCCAGCTTGCCGTCGGTGAGCTCGAAGAGCACCTTGTCCACCTCGCCGTCGGCCTCCTCCTCCAGCCCCTCGTCCTCGCCCAGCACGCCCGAGTCGAGCGTGTCCTCGAGCATCTCCTCCATGATGCCGGCCTGCGGTGGGTGGTGAGCGGCAAGCCCGGTGCGGCAGCTGGCCAGTGGCCGTCGGCGGGCGGCGAACGGAGAATGGCCAATGGCGCACGGCTCACCTTGGTCATCTCCATGCCCATCTCGCGCATCACCTTGGAGATCTCGGGCAGCTTCACGAGCTGGTTGGAGATCTTCATGATCTCTGTTGACTTTTGCATCGCGCCCGTGACCTTGAACATGGCTGTGCTGAGGGGTCAGCTGCTGCACAGGGGGCATGCCTGCAGAGGCCACCTCGAAGCGCCAGCGTCGCTAGCCGGACTGCAGAGTCCAGATCGCAGCAGCGACGTCGCAGGAGCCATGCCATGATGGCCCCGCCGCAGCAAGCCTGGCTCGCCGGCAAGTCGCTCGAGCATCCACGCTACTCCCGACCCGCGCGTGTGCAGCGCTCACGCTGGTGTCCATCCGCCCGCGGCGACTCACCCTGCTGGTGCTGCAGCTGCATGCCGATGCTGTTGAGCTGCGCCTTGCTCGTCGTGAGGCGGTTCTTCTGCTTGTTGCTGCGCACGACCTCGCGCGCGAGGATGCGCGCCGACTTGACGTCGCCCTTCTTGGCGAGCTTCTTGACCTCGGCCTTGGCCTTGGCGGCGGCGGCGTCGAGCTGGCGCACCTCGCGGTCGAGGTGGCGCTGCTCGGTGCGCAGCTGCGACTGCACCGTCTTGATGCGCTCCTCGGGCGTCGGCCCGAAGAGCAGGCGGTTCACCGACTGCATGGCGGGCGGGCGCCCGGCGCGGCGGCAGCAAGGTGGGTGTGTGGTGGCGCCGATGCAGCGTGTGCGGTGCTGTGCGTAGACGAGGCGGCGCCAGGCAGTGCGGAAGGCTGAGCGCCGCTGTGAGAGGGGCGAGCGGCGCGGCGGCGATGTTGTGGAGGAGCTGCGCCAGGCCGCACCGCGCCGCGCGAGCCGTGCGCAGCCGCAGAGCGGCAGGCGCGGAGGCGGTGCAGACCCTCGCCAGCAGCTGTGCACCCCGCACAACCACATCTCTCGCGGCATCAGGCGCCGCCATGACTCGGCACTGCCAGCGCTAGACTGAGGCAATCTGGAGATCGCAAGTCCACCTCTGCGCCACTAGAATCGGAGGCGTGTCAGGAAGCCGTGATACGATAGCGATGGGGCTGCTGCGCCGAGGCTGCCGCGGTCGCTGGACGGGCTCGGCTCGGAGAGCCTGCGTACTCAGACGGCCTGGCTGTGTAGTCAGCGGCCTCGCCTTGCACTGTGCTGCCAGGCGGAGCACACATCCTCGCATGCTGTACCTGCTGCTGTGTACATGCTGGCTGACCGGAGCCCGAGCGCTGTGGCTTCGAGTTGCTGAGGAGCGGTGAACAGTGCTAGCACCGCGAGCCGCCCGTCTCCTGCTGTGCGGCAAGAGAAGGCTCTGACGCACTGATCGCAGAGCCTGACCTGAAGATCTTGACACCATCTAGCATCACAGCCAAGGCGTACACTGCGCACAAATGCCAGACGGAGCACCTCTTGGCTAGACCTCGCGCGCGGCGCGTCGGGCGCTCCTTGCGAAGGACCGGTGCAGCGCGCCCTGCGCCGGCGCGGCTCGCTTGCCTCCCGCGCGCGGCGCGGTATAAGAGCCTCGCGCGCCGCGCATCCTCCTGCTGCTCCTCACCTTTCTCTGGTGCGTTGCCCTGCCCCGCCCGCCCGTCCGCCGCACATCATGCTCACCTCCCTCGCTTCGCAGGCCTATTGGCTTAGATCAAGTGTAGTATCTGTTCTTCATAGTTTAACGACTGTGACATCCCTTCGGGGATTTTAATCGTTAACCGATCTTTCCATGCGGGCGGGCACCTCGGCTTGCCGAAGCCCAGCCACGGGTGTCCTTGTGCACTGCACCTCCGCCTTGCGACGCCCACCTCGCCCCTCTCTCTCTCCTGCCGGAGGGCGAGAGGGGCGATCTTTTTGTCGGGTCGGGACAGGATTCTAGAGCATTCGGTGCTGCCAGCAGGAGCTGAGAGCGGCCGAGACACCTGTCTTGGCCGCTCACTCGCACGCCTCACTCTGACTGTCTCGCAGCACGTCTCGTCGCTGCAATCGAAACCTCTTTGTTGCCCACTGCTGCGTGCTGCCTCTCGCTGTCGTCGTCCTCATCGTCAGAACGCAGCATCGTCTCGCACCGAACCGCTGCGCCTGCCTGCTGCTCCGGCCTCGGAGGCCAACGCGTCGCTCTGGCGGCACGACGCGTGCCGCGGGAATCTCCGCTGCGCCCGCCTTCGCTCCGCCTCGCCGCGGCCCAATGCTCGGGCAAGCGGGGCAGCGCGGCGCAGCGAGTGCGAGCTGTCGAGGCGTGGCAGAAGCGCAGGGACGTCCATGCGATGCGGAGGCCGGGCTGGGAGCAGTGCTGGCAGTGACGGCGACGGCGCCACGGCTCGCGGCTCGCGATCGGCGGCCGTCGGGCTCCGCGCCGCCTCGTCGCCTCGCGCCTCTCGCCGTCGCTGCCGCGCGCATCGCTGAGCCCCGCATTTCGGCATCGGCGTCTGAGGTGCCGTGGCGTGGGCGGCGATCGAGACGAGCGTCGCTGACGGACAGGTGGAGTGAGCCGGCCTCCGCGTCCGGCGTTGCAGCAGCGCCGGCAAGCGCTCCTCCCCTTGAGCCTGCGCACACCCTTGGACGTGCCTGACCGCCGCTTGCTGTTGCTGCCCTTCGGCGCCCTCGGCGGCGCCAGCTCAGCCGCGCTCACGCCTGGTTTGCCCGTCCGCAGTCGCACCACGCAGCAGCGTGCCCGCCACCCGGCACGCAGCGCTCTTCCAAAGGCGACGCAGGAGGCGGCGCGGGCGTGCAGCTCAGACAAGGTCAGCAGCAGCGGCTCGCAGGAGGGTGCAGCGGACGAGCGATGGCGGAGGAGCGCCGCGGCGAGACGGCAATGAGACGGCTGCCCTGCAGCTGCTGCGCCTCCGAACCCTCCCGCACGCACGCCCTCGCTGCGCTCAAATTGGCGCGCCCGCAGCTTATGCACGCCGCTGCACGCACGGGCGTCCGGCATGAACGGCCCTGCAGAGCGCACAGGCACCGGCGCTGCAGCCCCAACACAAGCGCGTGCAGCGAAGGTTCAGAGAGTGCGGCAGAGGAGCGAATCCGAGACAAGGGCGGCGCGACAGACAGAGGTACCTCTCGCAGCGCTGCACCGTCGCCGACGACGACGACGAGCAAGCCCACGTCCGAGTGGAGCAGCAGTGGTACAGCCTGAGTCGAGGTGACGCTGCGGTGCCCCAGAGGCAGATACGGCCGGACAAGAGCCACGACGCGCCGCGCTCTGCCGCTCTGGCGCGCGCGGCGGCGATATTGGCGGCGCTGCGACAAGGAGCACGCCCGCCCCACGCCGCCGCACACGGACGGCGTGCCGGCTGCTGGGAGAGGAGCGGATATGGAGCGGCGGCGGCGGCGGCGGCGGCGCAGCGCAGCGAAAGCACAGCCCGCAGGCCGTCAGCGTCAGGCCACGTCCGGCGTCGGACGAGAAGCGGCACGGCGGCGGTGCCCGGCGTTGGGCAGCGTGCAGCGCAGGCCGGCAGCGGCCGCGCGCCCGTGAGCCTAAAGCGCGCAGAAGGGCGCTCTTCGGCAGCCGGTGCGGGCGGCGTGCCTCTGGCGGTGGGCGCGCGCGCAGGGACGCGCCGCGTGCCGCTGCTCGGCCGCACATCTTCTTGCCTCAGCCGCCGCCGCACGGCACGCGACGCTCTCTCGCTCTCTCGCTTGCCGTCGTCTCCGCAGCAGCGCAACACTTGCCACGCCTGCCTCTCTCCTCCCTCCCACCGCCGCCGCTCCCTCCACGCTCCTCGCCGCTGCGAGCGCACGGCGTCCACCCTCTCTCACTTGCCTGCTCTCCGTGCTGCCCGTCTCGCCACCACCGCTCCTTTCCCTTTCTGCGCCGCTTCTTCTTCCTGCCGGGCCCGTCCGCGCCCTGCCGCGCTCGCGTGCCCGCGTGTCCGTGCCGTCTGCTCTGCTCTTCTCGCCGCCGCCGCGTCCTCGTTTCTCCCTCTCCCTCCTCGCTGGCCTCCTCAACGAGGCCCAGCGCTCCTCGCCATGCCCTCGACGCTCTCGCTGCCGCGCGCCATGCTGCGCGGCCTCGCCGAGCGCGCGTCGCGCAGCCCCATCGAGGTCATCATCAGCATCTTCATCCTCGTCACCCTCGCCTACTTCCAGCTGCTGCACGCCATCACCACCAGCCACTTCTTCGACCCGCTCAGCAGCGAGGCCGCCGGCTTTTCGGCCGACGGCGCCTGGCCCGCCAGCCTGCTCTCGCCTGCCGCGCCGGCAGACGAGGCCGACATGCACGTCACCAGCCTCGTGCGCCGCGCCGGCTGGCGCAACCTCTGGGAGCCCGTGACGCCGCTCGACGAGGAGGCGCTCGCCGGCGCGCGCAGCTTCACCGTCGAGCCTGTGCTGCTCGCCGACTCGGAGGAGGGCGGCGATGCGACGGCCACGCGCCGCCTGCGCGACTCGGCGCTGCCGCACGTTGCGCGCGCGCTGCAGAGCCGCCTGCTGCCGCGGGAAGAGCCCGCGTGGCTCGTCCGCGACGACGCAGCAGACCTGACGGCGTATGCGTTCGGCCGCGTGAGCGCCGACGGTGACGCCGCGCTGCACAAGCAGCTGCTCGCCGCGGGCGAGGACGAGGCGCTGCTGGCGGCGACACTCGAGCAGGGCCAGCGCGCCATGCCCGCTGCCAAGCCGTCTGCGCTTGCCGACGCCGAGATGCAGCTGCACCTGCTGCCCATCCTCAGTGCCGCCGACGAGGAGCTCGCGGGCCTCTCGCCGCGCCGCCGCGCCAGCGCCACGACGGAGGAGCTGCGCAGCCTGCGCTGGGCCGCGTACGCCGTGCGCGCCCTCGTCGTGCGCTTCTGGGCGCTCATCCGCAAGGCCGACAGCGCCGACATCTTCGTCATGCTCTCGGCCTACCTGCTGATGCACGGCACGTTCATCAACCTCTTCCTGAGCATGCGCAAATTCGGCAGCCGCTTCTGGCTCGGTGAGCGGAGTGGATGTGAGAGGTCTGCGCGGCGCTGACCCCTCGTTCTGCAGGCGCATCGGTCCTCACTTCGTGCATCTTTGGCTTCCTCTGCGCGCTGACGACGGCGTCGTTCCTCAACGTCACCGTCGACCCGATCTGCCTCTCCGAGGCGCTGCCGTTCCTCGTCATTACCGTCGGCTTCGAGAAGCAGTTCCTGCTCACGCGCGCCGTCTTTACGCACGCGTCGATTGCGCCGGCGCAGCAGCCCGTTTCCAAGTCGAACAGCCACATGTTCCTCAACGCCTTCAACGATTCGCAGCCCATGCCCGACGCGGCAGACGCGGCGCCCTCGAGCGAGCCGCCGGCGTCGCGCGAGGAGTCCTTTGTGCGCGCGCTGACGCTGCGCCTCAAGACGGAGCCGTCGCTGCGCCTCGACGCGCCGCAGCCGATGCCGGCGCCGGACGTCGTGACCGAGGCCGTCGAGCGCGTGGGCCCGTCGATTGTGCGCGACTATGCCATCGAGATTGCCGTCATGGCCGTGGGCTCAATGAGCGGCGTCAGCGGGCTGCGCGAGTTCTGCCAGCTGGCCGCGCTGATTCTCGTGTTCGACTGCGTCTTTCTGTTTGCCTTTTTCGTCGCCATTCTCACGGTCATGGTCGAGGTGCACCGCATCAAGATCATGCGCGGCATGCGCCGCCCGAAGATCACCACGCCGCCGAACGTCGACTCGGACGACGTGTCCGCGCCGGACACTGCGCTGGCCACGCCCGTCTCGCTCCACTCGGCGCGCGACGAGAGCCCGGAGCGGCGCCCTGCTGCCACGCCGCGCCCGATGTGGCGCCGCATCGTCAAGCTGCTGCTCGGCAAGGTGCCGTTTGAGAAGAGCCGCAGCGGCCGCGAGAACCCCGTCGCGCGCCTCAAGCTCCTGCTCATCACGGCGTTCCTCACGCTGCACTCGTTCAACCTCGTCTCGACGCTGACGACGCAGTCGGCCATTACGCGGCACCACGCTACAAGCGCGCCGTCGCTCTACGACTCGGTGGCCTCTGCCTCGCAGCTGTTCGGCCCGAGCGCCACGTCGCCGGCCGTCGCGCACCTGCTCGAGCAGCTGGCCAAGACGCAGCCCGCCGATGCCGACATTGTCGCGCGCATCGCCGACCCGCTCATCTACGTGCTCGTCGACGGCGCGCCGGCGGCCTCGGCCGCGCGCACTGTGCTCGGCAGCGCCGCGCTCAACGCCTCGGGCGGCAGCGGCAACGGCTCGTCGACGGCCAAGTTCGTGGGCGCCCGGGGCGGCAAGAGCCGCGGCGCCTCGTCGCTCGCCGTGCTCGACTCGTTCATGAGCGGCTGGTCGATCATCGTCGGCGACCCCGTCATCAGCAAGTGGATGTCGCTGGCGCTGGCGATCAGCATCTTCCTCAACGCGTACCTGCTCAAGGGCATCGCTACGGGTGACGCCGCCGTCGCCGAGGGCAATGCCGCCGGTGCTGCTGCCTTTGCTGCGGCGCGCATGATTGGCGCGCACCTCGACCGCGAGCGTGCGGAGAACAAGGGCAGTAAGCTGCCGCAGGATCTCACCTCGTACCACCAGCGCATCGCGGCGCAGTCGCAGGAGCGCAAGGGCGCCGTCGCGCAGACGGCCGTGCCCGCCAGCAGCATCAAGCCCGACGCCGCACAGGCCGTGCGCGAGGACCCCGACGTGTCCAAGCCCGACAGCGCCGAGACGACGCCGTCGCTGCGCAGCGCCGCCTTTGCAAGCGAGGGCCGCGTCGAGCGGCGGCCGTTCGAGGAGTGCCTCGAGCTGTACGCCGGCGGCGCCGGCGTCTTCATCCTCACCGACGAGGAGATCATCCTGCTCGCGCAGAAGGGCAAGATTGCGCCGTACGGCCTCGAGAAGATCCTGCAGGACAACGACCGCGCCGTGCGCATCCGCCGCGCGCTCATCTCGCGCGCGTCCGCGACGGGCACGCTCGAGTCGTCGCTGCTGCCGTTTGCCGACTACGACTACGCGCAGGTCATTGGCGCGTGCTGCGAGAACGTCGTCGGCTACATGCCGCTGCCCGTCGGCATCGCCGGGCCGCTCAACGTCGACGGGCAGATGCTGCCGATCCCGATGGCCACAACGGAGGGCACGCTCGTTGCATCCACCTCGCGCGGCTGCAAGGCGCTCAACGCCGGCGGCGGCGTCACGACGGTCCTCACGCAGGACGCCATGACGCGCGGCCCGGCGCTCGACTTTCCCAGCATCACGGCAGCCGCGCGCGCCAAGCGCTGGGTCGACTCGGCCGAGGGCTCGGCGGTGCTCAAGGCGGCGTTCGACAGCACGTCGCGCTTTGCGCGCCTCTCGTCGCTGCACTCGGTCATGGCCGGGCGCACGCTGTACGTGCGCTTTGCGACGTCGACGGGCGACGCCATGGGCATGAACATGATCGGCAAGGGTGTCGAGCACGCGCTGAGCATCATGCAGGCCAAGCACTTTCCCGAGATGGTCATCCTCTCGCTGTCGGGCAACTACTGCATCGACAAGAAGCCGGCGGCCGTCAACTGGATCATGGGCCGCGGCAAGAGCGTCGTCGCCGAGGCCGTCATTCCCGGCGACGTCGTCAGCTCCGTGCTCAAGACGACGGTCGCGTCGCTGGTGAATCTCAACAGCAAGAAGAACCTCGTCGGCAGCGCCATGGCCGGCTCCATCGGCGGCTTCAACGCGCACGCCGCCAACATCCTCACGGCCATGTTCCTCGCCACGGGCCAGGACCCGGCGCAGAACGTCGAGAGCTCCATGTGCATGACGCTCATGGAGGCCGTCAACGGCGGCAAGGACCTGCTCGTGACGTGCTCCATGCCCTGCATCGAGGTCGGCACCGTCGGCGGCGGCACGGCGCTCTCGCCGCAGCGCTCCATGCTCGCGCTCCTCGGCGTCGCCGGCTCGCACCCGACGACGCCCGGCGCCAATGCGCAGCGCCTCGCGCGCATCATCTGCGCCGCCGTCATGGCCGCCGAGCTCTCGCTCCTCGGCGCCCTCTCCGCGGGGCACCTCATCCGCGCGCACATGGCGCACAACCGCTCCGCGCCGCCGACGCCCGGCGCGCAGACGCCGCGCCTGCAGATGCCGCAGCCGCACTTTCCCGGCACTATGACGCCGCTCGTCGCGCCGCCCGTCGAGAGCTCGCGCGGCTCGCCGACGGGCTCGCTGCTGATGGTGCGGGATCGGCGGAGCGCCTCGGAGGGCTTCCCGAGGTAGGCGGGGTGGGAGGCGTTGTCTGCGCAAAATAGAAGCATTTGCACACCAAGGAGGCGGCAGCGTGGCGACAGCGTGGCCCGGCGAGGCGCATGGTGATCCTGGCAGGAAGGCGGCGTTGGCATGGCGCTCGGGTGCAAGCCAGCGCGGCAGAGGCAACGCTCGGGGCTCCCAGCTTGTACTGGGTGAGCGGCGCTGCCGCGCTCGGTTTCTCTTGCTGCCGCGCCGGGCACACGCTGCCTATCAGAGCTGGGTTGTCATGATGGTGTTGTTGGCGCTCAGGAGCGGCGCAAGTGTTGAGCCGCTGCGTTAAATAACCTTGAGTCTGGATTGTTGCCAGCGCCACCAGGCAGCCGCGCAGGGCACTGGCAGGAGATGAAGCTTGCTACTCTTGACCTTTGCCTTGACCTTGTCACTGCATCAACCTTAGCACAGCGCGCACAATAAGACTGGCAAAGTCCTCCAGCCAGGGGATCATGGCTGGCCACAGCTGCCTAGCACAGAGGCCAAGCGTGCTGCCTGGCACAAGCTGCCAATATTGTGCCCAAAGATCAGGACAAAGGATGGTGAGGCTGTAGGCTCTGGGTTGGCCAAGTGCGCAAGACAAGGGGACACATGAGGGGGAAGCAGACATGCGCTTCCAAGGCCATTCTTCTTGCTTATGCGTGGCAAAACGCCACTGCGTAGTGGCTCATTTGCCAGTGTACTGCTTCCAGTTGTGTGCACTTCTGACAGTGCAGCTCTGCTGGCTCACACACACCACATGCTGCAGACATCTTGGACCACAAAGGGCCAGCCCTGAGTGCTGCACTTCTGCTCAAGTACATGCAGGTAGCACACTGTAGGGGTGCTGCCTGGTGCATTTGGCAGACAAAGCACGCCTTTGTGAGCGCAGAGTAGTATGACTCAGATGGTAGGACAGGTGTTAGGCAAAGAGGGAGAGGAAGAGTTGCACGGCCACAATGCAAGATGCTGAGGCATTTTGAAGATGGCGCAGAAGCACTCCTTGACAAATGCTAGCAGTCCAAGCGCATTGACTGCAAGCATAGCTGCCAGTGTTTTGTGCATGACAAGAAACACCTGCTCCCAGAGGAGCACCATCCTGCTAGTTGTTGTGGTGGAGGGGGAGAGAGGAGGAGCTGTGCTGGTTCTGCTTGTTGGCTTGGCTGCAGCAAGTTGCTGCAGCGCAGTGCAGCAGGTGCAGGGTTGTGCCCTCAAGACAGGGTGGGTCAAGGTGACCGGGGATGTATTGAACAACCACAAGACACTGAGGCAGCGCGCAGACAGAGGCTGGAATGGAGGCAAAGCCAAAGTGCAGCGCCTTGCTGCCCAGGTTGATCTTAAAGTTGCCCAAGCTGCTTTTGCACAAGATGCGCTCAATGCCAACATTGGTGATCTCCTGAAGGTCAAAGTGAGAGGCCTGGTACTGCATGGGGGTGGCGCTTGCAGCAGCGTGCCTTTGCAGTACACTCTGTGTGCGCAGCAACATGAGCCATGCCTGCCAAGCCAGGCAGCAGGCAGCTCACTGAGGGCTGTGCATGCTGCACCTGGAGCTCAGGGGCTTGAGCTTGCCAGCAGCAGCAGCAAGCAGCACCAGCAGCAGGAGCAGTGGTGTGAGCAGCAAGCAACTCATGTGGTGGGGAATATGAAGAGGGCTCCAGGCCCTTGCTGGCAGCAGGCACAGACAGGGCAGCTGAGCCTCAGCTATTGCTCCCTCAGGTGCCCACAGCTCATATGTGCAATGCTGAACCCCAACAATCCAAATCATTCCTGGCTAGCTCAGTTGGCAGGCAGCAGGCGGCAGCTGGAGTTGAAATCTAGTGCCCCAAGGGCTGGCGCAAGGCTCTACTGGCAGAGAGGCGCAGGAGAAATGTGCAGCAGTGAGAACACATGAGGTGCAGCAACGCTGTGGTGACAAATTTACAGCGGCCTCAACAGACACAGAGCATGCAAGCCAGCATTGTACAAACAGACACGGCAGGCGCCAGAATGCAGCCAGTAGCCCCTGCCCTAGCTTTGCATTCCACTCATCTCCACTCTTGGCTAGGCGCTCCTTCATGGCCTGGCCGCAGCAACATCCGGCCTCCTTTTGAATTTGGCTGCAGATCTTCTTGAGCTTTGCCAGCTGACTGCAGTCCCAGCCTGTCTGCATATGTGGGAATTGCACATATCAGCTGCTTGGTAATGGAATAAGAATGGACAGCCGCTGGATACAGGCTGGCAAGGCAGTAAGGATGCGCTGTGGGCAGCAGCATCCAGGATGCTGCTGGACAGCCAAGGGACAACAGGGGCAAATCAAGGTGCTGCTGTTGTGCAGCGCCACACATGCTGAGCTGGTCAGCAGCAAGGCAAGAAGAGTGGTGCCCGTTGACACCTCTTCTGCGCCATGCCTGCAGTCAATGTGCCCTCAACAAGCAGCTGCGCAGGCATGGCTGCTGCCACGGGCAGCAGGCAGTGGTAGCACGTGATGCAGCGTTGAGGGTTGACATGGTTGTGGTGCAAGGGTGCTGCAGAAGTTGTGGAAATGAAGAGGCAGGGTGGTGGCGGCAGTGGTGCGCAGCAGGGTGGGGAAGTGGTGGTGGTTTGCAATGCCAATGGCGCAGCAGGAGTTGCAGGGTGTGCGTCTGCGGCTGCATGTGCTGCAAAGTGTGCCCTGCCCATCCTCCTTGCTTCTGCACAATGCCCACCTTGCTGGCTGGCCCACTTGTAGCTGCACGTCTTGCCCCTCCCCCTGCCCTTGCCGCAGCACCACCTTAGACTTGCTCTTGGAGTCTGAAGTGCTGCCTTGTTCTTTTGCATACACAGCGCTGGCCTGCTCCCTTGCCGCAGCAGCACCAACTCAGGGCACCGCAGCGGCAGCGCCAAGCAGCGCCGAACAGTGCCAGGCAGCGGCATGGGAATGGGAAAGGATACTTATACAAGGGCCCCTGTACAGACCAACCACTACATCATGCTAGACCAGAAGGAGCTTGCCAAGCGTCTATTTGGTGCTGAGCCACACTGGCGCCCTCTGCTGCATGCTTGCTTGCTGTCCTGCAACCTGCAACCGCAGCACTGGTTTGCTCTGTAGCTTGCAATGCTGCCTCAGAGTGCAACATTGCTGCATTGCCGCATTGCCCCAGCAGCCAGCCAAGCACACCCAGCACTGCCAGATGCAAGCCCAGCAGGGCCTGCCAATGCTTGTTGGCCTCATTGGCACCTGCCAATTTCTCAGCCCACTCTTGCGCTCTCCAGCGCACTCTGGCACAATATGTCATGGCCTGGCATCAGCTGCTCAGCCACTTGATCACACAGCAGGATGAGGACAAGCTATGGGCATTTGAGAAGCATACTGCCCTGGCAGAGGCTCTTCTGCCAGGCTCCTTGTCAGCTGCATTGACATGAATCAATTCTTCCCCAGCTTTGGTTTTGCCTTGCTGTTCACTGATGAGCAGCAGTTTGGCAGTGATGCCTTTGCATGCAGCGTGCGCACACCCAGCTGGCTGCTGCCTTCTTGGCACTGGCACAGTGCATGCCTGGCCCTGGCGCGCTGCCTGGACTCAGCGCATTCAGCTTTGAGGGCCTTGAGGCAGCAGCAGATGCCTCTGGCGGTGGCACCAAAATTGTGGCGCTGGATCTCTACAAGGTCTGCCTTGCAGCATTGTCCTTGTCCTTGGCATGCGCAGAAACATGCCTGCCCTGGTTTCTGCCAATCCCAACAGCAGACAGTAATTCTGCACAAGTGGCGCAAGGTGAGTGGTGGCCCGCAAGTGTGCTTGTTGCATCCTTCATTTGCTACACTGCTACCAGTGCGCCTGCATGCCTGTGTTCTTGCTCTTCATACGCTGTACCAGGCAGTCACAGTGCATCTTGGTGGTCAAACTGCTTGTGAAGGCATGGTGGATGGCATGCGCTACAGCAGCATCAAGTGGGGCTGCATGCATCAGTGTATCTTTGGCTGTATTGAGGGCATTGAGGGCATGCATCTTCACATTGCAAGCACAAGCAGGATTGCCTCAACACTTGCTGCTGCTCTGTGGGCACACCAGCTCACTACTGCTGCAGAGGTGTATCCAGCTGCACTTTGTGCCATCTGCCACTTGATCTATTGGCGCAGGAGCAACAAAGCAATCTCAAGCGCATCTGCTGCATGAGCTTCTTGCAAGTTGTCAACAAGCTTCTTCTGGAAGCCAGCCAGTGATGACTGGTGGAAGGAGCGCAGCCAGCCGCCTCACACCCCAGAGCCCTGCAATGCCATGCTTGCGCTGCGCAGGAGGGAGCCTTTTCTTGACAACATCATCATCAAGCTGGACTGACATATCAAGATCCTGCAGCAGCGCAGGGTGCTTCTTTCTTCTGCACCACCACCTCTGCCACACATGCCATGGCTGCTGCACTGCCCTGCGGGCATCACATTGCGCATTCTTGAAATACAGAGCTACCTTCACTTGCTCCACAAGCTGCCGCTTGTTGTTCAAGCAGCTGCAGATAGCAGGGTGGTGCACAGCGTCAAAACCATGTGCATGCCCTGACACATGAGTGAGATGCTGCGGCAGGACGTCAGCATCCTAGCACCAGATGGCGCCGCATCTCTTGCTTCTCACTCACCTGCGTGGCGCATGCAGCCTGGTGAGCTGGCCCTGCAGCGCATTGTCCCAGATTCCTGCACCAGATTTGCCCAGCAGAAGGACATCAACTTCACGCGCGCACTCCATCTTACAATACTCAAGACAGCCAATGCCATTGCTGGCATTTGCGCACTTGGTGACGCATTTTGCAGCAAGCTGTGGTTGACCAGTGCAGCAGCAGAGGCATTGCAGGCTGCTCTAGACTGTCTCTTGCGCTTTGTGAAGGAGTCAACTGCTTGCCTTGCCAATTGCACCAGCACCAGAGACAGCAACCAATTTGACTACTGCAGGCTTCAGAAGGAAGGTGCGCCTTGCCAAGAGCAGGAGGCAACCAAGCAATTGGTGCCTGGCAAGTGCCGCAACCGCACTTGGCAGCAGGGCAAGCATCTCAAGCTTGTTGGCAAGGGCGGCTGCGCAAGTTTCCAGACAGCCACTAGCATTGGCTGCAACAACAAGCCCAAGACGGTCTGCAGCATCTGGGCCATATCTCCAGCAGTTAGCCAGTGCAAGGCCTTCATCAAGCAGCGCTGCACAAACATGCAGCCAACTTATACCAAGTACAACAAGTCTAGCAAGTTCCCAAACAGATAGACATGTTACATGCACTTCACTACAACAGACAAGCTGCCACGCTTCATCTTGCACACAGCCTCCAACGCATTGCCTGACAGCCAGTGCAAGAAGTGCTGGCAAGCCTTTGCTAGGATACCTGGCTTGCACATCCACAGGAAGTCATGCAGAATCAACAAGCAGAATCTGCGTGCCAATCTGTACCTTGGCTGCTGCATCTTTTGCTGGCAGCCAGGCAACTACTGCACAGCAGGGCTGGTAGGCCACAGGTCTGCATGCCAGCAACAATGCTCTTTGCCACTACATTGCCTGCTGCAGCCTTCACTCTGCCAACGCAGAAACATGCACCACCCCAGCTCAAGGGCACTCAATGCCTGCACTGCCTGCTGTACAATACGCTCAATGTCCTGTTAGAGCACCTTGCTGTGCCCAGCAAGTGCAACCCAAAGACTACTGGTGGTCTTGCATCTTGTTTGCGGTTGCCAGCACGTGCTTGCTTGTTGGAGGCGCGGTTGCCGGCACGGTTGCGCTCAGCGGCCTTGGCCGCTGCTGCAGTGCGCCGCTTGATCTTGCGTGCGGCGCGTGCGGCATTGTGTTGCTGCACTGCGGGCTTGCATGCGCAGACATTCAGCTGCAGCAGCTGCAGCAGGGGCTGCAGCTCAATGGCGCGCCGCAACGCTCTCTGTGCTGCCTTGTTGTGCCTGGCAGCCCGCTCTGCTGCAGTGCGTTGCTCCGTCTTGGCCAGCACACCCTGCTTCCCCACCTTATCTGCCAGCTGACAATGGCGCCGCGCTGCATCTTGCTCCCACGCTTGCTTGTTGTGCTTGGCAGCAGCAGCAGCAAGATGGCTTTGCTGCGCAGAAACATCAGCAGGAACAATACAAGCATGTCTTGTCAAGCTGGCGGCAAAGGCTTTACTTGGACCACTTCTCCAGACACCAACAAGGCGCTAACCCCTGCCAACAAGCTGTTCACCAGCGCACTGCCTTGCACAGGGAGGAGGGGCAGTGCATCATGCAGCAGAAGAGGGCCATGCTACTCTCAGCTGCTGCCCCCCTCATCCTCAGTCCTCCCCCACACACAGCTCATGTGCGCAATGGCAGAAGCAACCCCATCCTGGCTAGCTCAGTTGGTAGGCGGCAGGCAGGGGGGCAGTGCATCATGCAGCAGACAGGGCAGGGCTGCTCTCAGCTGCTGCCCCCCTCACACACTGTCCTCCCCCCCACACAGCTCAATTCCGCAATGACAGAAGCAGCGCACATCAACCCTATCCCGGCTAGCTCAGTCGGTAGAGCGACAGACTCTTAATAAGTCTTGGTGAACCATTCATCATCTGTAGGTCGAGGGTTCGAGCCCCTCGTTGGGAGATTTCTTTTTGCTTTTCTTTGTTGCACCTTTTTGCTCACCTTCCAGGAGTCCCTACTGCAGCCCTGCTTCGCTTTTTGCAGTCCCTGACTTCTCCAGTAGATGAGGGAAGCTATTTGCCGCTGATTTGTGTGCTCACAGCGTCTTGCGAGCCTGCCAGCGAGGATTTACAAGCACTTTTGCCAAAGTGCCCCCCCCCTGCTGCCACGCGCGCGCGCCTGCGACTCTCGGCTGGCGCCGCTGAGCTCTCCCAGGTCGGCGTCGCCAGCTGGAAGTATGCATAGGGCGCTGCGTTCGAGCCCCGTCAACGCTGAAGGATCTCTGCAGTGTCTGCCCTGCGCAGCCATGAGCGATCGGCTGCACGCTCCAGCTGACCCTTGTGGCTCGCAAGGCCACGCGGGCAGTGTCGACGCACACCGCGCTCAATCGATGCCGCAGCGCTGCGTGAGTGACGCACCCCTGCCTCCAACCGTGCCGTGCGCAGCCACTGATGCACACCTCCTTGCTCTTGGGGTATCAAGGACATTTCTGACCTAGAAGCCTCCACCGGCGCCGCCGCCGCCGCACGCTGCGCCAGATCCGGCAAAAGCCCCTCCCGCCAGCGCTCGACTGCCCGCACCTGCCCGCGCTGTGTGCCGCAGCAGATGTCAGCACCTATTGCCGACGCTTGTCACCTGCACCACTCACCGTTGTAGGGCACGCCGCCGCCGACACCACCCGCAGCGCCCGCATACGCCGCCGACGTGCACGACGAGAGAATCGAGGCGCCGCCGCAGCACGCGCCGTGGCCGATCTGCCAGGCGTCGCCCTGGTGGCCGACGCACGGGCCGAGGCCGTCGGGCGACGCTGGCACGTAGTAGAACGGCATGAGCGGCGTCGCGCCGTAGCCGCGCTGAAAGGCCGCGTCGTGCTCGGGGTGCGCCGTGCCCTGGCGCTGCAGGTGCTGGCGCCGCTCGAAGCGCTCGCGCGATGTGCCGTCGTCGTCGGTGAGGATCACGCCGTTGTGCTCCGACGGATGCGACGCCTGCTCGGTGCGCTCGGGCAGCGCCTTGCCCTTGGAGCCGCCAAAGAGCGAGCTGATGCGCCGCGTCTTGGTCGCCTCGGGCTTGAGGCAGCCGCAGAGCGAGTACGGCTGGCTGTACTTCTTCTGCCACAGCTTGGCCGTGTGCTCAAACGCGCCGCTGAGCACGTCGTCGCTGATGCGGTCGTCGTGGTCGATGAAGCGGCGCAGCGCGTGGTACACGTTCTGCGCGTAGCGCCGGCCAAACAGCATGTGCGTATGCCAGCAGAGGTCCACGTCGAGTGTCGGGCAGAGCGTGACGGGCCCGTCGGACATCAGGTCCAGCCAGTTGTGGTAGCGGACAATGGCGCGCGCGCAGTCGACGTCGTGCGTGCCGGCGTCGAGCGCCGCCGGGCTGCTCCAGCCAAGCTTGCCCATCTCCTCGACAAACGCGAACTGCAAGGGCGTCAGCCGCAGCGCACAGCACAGGACGCACATGCACACACCTGTCGTTGCACGGCGAGCGCCAGGTCCACGCTGCACTCGACCAGCGGGTCCGCCTCGAGATACGCGCGAAAGATGTAGCTGATGCGCCGGTTGAACTTCGAGCGCGCACCCGCCACGAGCTCAAAGTTGCGCACGCGGTCGCTGTCCTCGGACACGCTGGCCAGCATGCTCGGCAGAGACCAATTGTGGCGCTCGGCCCATGCACGGGGGTCCTGGTCGAGATAGATGCCGCGCTTGCCGTGGCTGTTGGCCTGCGAGAGCGCAAACCAGTCGTCGCCCGGCCGCTGGACGTGCCGGAAGAGCGGCGCAAAGACGGCCGTGGCGAGGTCGTACGTAAACTCGCGCCCGTCGAGGGCACTGAATGCGAGACCGCGCGTGGGCGCCGTTGGGCTGTTGCACCAGCGCTCGAGGTCGCGAATGAAGACGGCGCCGCGGAGGACCTGCACATTCAGCAAACGCGAACAGTCCGGGCATGGCACGCTCCAGTCTGCGTCGCCCAGGCCCTTGGCACCCGGAGCATGCGCCGATGCGCCCCACGGCACTGCACGCCGGCGTCAGCGGAGCCACCACCAGTGTGCGTCACACTCACCGAAGATGGACGCCTCGCACGACGGACAGGTGATCGCCTTGCCCATCTCGCTCGTCTCGAGGCCCTTGGGCTCGTACACCGGGGCGATGAGGCCCAGCGCCCACGGCTCCTGCACGTGGCGCACCCAAAAGTCCTCGCCCTCGGGCAGCACCGACAGCCACGTCTGCGGGTCGAGCGAGCGGGCCTTTGGGAGAGTCAGCACACGCAGCACAGGACATTTGCTCTACTCACAGCGGCGTGCAGCGGAAACTCGACACTGCCAAGCGCAATGCGGCTGCGCAGGCGCAGCAGGTCGTCGTAGTACGCGCCCGGCGAGAGACAGTACGCATGCCAGACCAGCAGCACGTCGAGCGGCGGCATGCAGTGCGGCGGAAGGGCACCGACGAGCGGGCGCGCGCTGCCCGGACGCAGCTCGCTGATCCGCGTGGCCTTCGGCGGCGGATTGAGGCCGGCATCGGGCGCGAGGAGGATGCGCTCGAGATAGAGCTCGAGGCGGTGAGCCGCGCGACGCAGATAGTTGGCCCACGCCTCGTGGACGCGCGGCTCGGCGTCGGGCCTCGCTGGTGGCTCGCGCAGCGAAGAAGAACCCGTCTCAGAGGGCGCGGCTTGAGCTTTGGCGTACGACGGAGCCGCGGCGAGCTTGCTGGAGCCAGCCTGCGTCGAGATGGCTGGACCTTTGCTGGAGCTGGCGTCCGTCGACGCGGCTGCTGTTTCGGGAAAGCCAGCAGGTGGCAGCGTAGCTGAGCCCGTGCTCTGGCCTGCATCGAGTGGCGCCGCGGTCTGGACGAAGCCAGCAGGTGGCAGTCCGTCCAGGTGCTTGCTCGAGCCGGCCAGCTCGCAGTCAAGCTTGCTGTCGCCGCTGTACGCCGGCGTCGCGGCGGGCTGTGCCTCGGTGCCGTATGCCGGCGGCTGCGCACGGCGAGCGGCGCCGTACACGCGGCCGCGCAGCTCGGCAAAGGCATGCAGCAGGCGCAGGTGCGCGCGCACGTCGGCGAGTGCGACAAACGACTCGACGCGCACGGTCCCGACCTTGTACGTGTCCTCGGGCACGGCAGGCATGCTGACGAGGCGCATATGCGTGGAGCGCAGTGCGCAGCTTGGGCTTGGTGCTGGTGGTTGTGAGAACAGCGCAGAGCGCGACGGCGGCTCAGGGGGGATGCGGCGCGCGGTGCGCCCTCGCGGCGGCGCCTTGCGGCCACGCTACGCGCGCGCCGCGCCCCGCGTGGGGCTCGCATGCACGCAACCCGCGGGCTTCGTCTTGCCGCCGCCCGACCTTGCGGTCGCTTCCTTTCATGCTCGCTTTGCACTGTCAGCACCTCCGGCACACGGCAGCGACCCGAGATCGAGACCAGCTCGGTCTGCACCCTACGCTAGAGGCGCACCCGCTGCGCTCGCCTCGACTCAGAATGCCGCGCTGCGACACGCCGTGCCTGCTCTGGCTGCCAGACAGCCGCGTGCGAAAGGTGGCACAACCCGGCCATCGTCTCTTCTCACCAAGGCACCGCGGCTCTTCTCTCGTCTGCGCCACACGAAACATGACTTGTGATGCACAGCAGCCACGACTTTTTGAGCAGGATTGGCGTGTGCGACGCCTTGGAGCTCCGAGCAGTCGAGTGCATGGCCTCATCCGCTGCCGGCATCCAGTGCAGCCTGGGACTTCCACCATCGGCTCTGCAGTGCCGCACGAGCCGGCTGCTCGCTATGAGAGGCTCAATGTGATGCGCATGATTGCCGTGGGTATGATGCAGTGAACCCTCCCCTCCCCCGCGATTTCGCTCGCGGCCTCTTGGCCCAGCGCTCCTGGCCCCGCAGCGCTAGTCCGCGCTCAGCTCGCGCCCCTTGTGCGCAGAGCCCGTCCACGCTCGACGCTCTCGCGCATCTCGCGCTCAAACGGATCGGCTTGCTTGCGCGCTCTTTGTCCCAGGCGCCGCGCGAGGGCCGAGGCGCCAGCGCTCTCGCCCAGATGCTGCGCCGCCCGCTCGCGTGTCGTCGGCCGCGCCAGCTCCTCGAGCGCCCGCGGCAGTGGCACGCTGGTGCGGTTGCGCGGCTGCGGCGGCGCAGGCGCAGCCGACGGACGAGGTGGAGGAGCAAGCCGAGTCGTGCCGCCGCCACGACCATCGCTGCCGCCGATGCCGACGCCCTCTCGCGAGCGAAAGGCGGCAGAGGCACCGAGCATGCGGCTGGTCGTCAAGGGCGGCGCACCGCCAGGCAGCTCGCGACGAGCTCTTTCGTGCGCAAAGATGCGGCGCAGCTGCGCGCTCGACGTCGTCTCGGCGTGTGCAGCAGCGGTAGCGGCTGCAATGCGTGCTTGCCGTGCGCCTGGCCGCCCGCCGAGAAGCGTGCGCGCAGAGGTGCTGCCCGACGCGGTGCTGCCGCTGCGCGAGCGCGCCGACGACGACGGCGCATAGTGGTGCGAGTCGGGCGCCAGGCCGGCGAGCGCGCCGGGCGAGGGCGCCGAGGCGAACGTCGGCACGGTGCGGTGCGAGTGCGACGCCTCGGTGGCGGCGACGGCCCAGCGCGTCGTCAGGTCGCGCAGCTCCTCGAAGATCGCCTCCTCGTCGGTGGCGCGCTCGGCGGCGCCGCCCGAGACGACGGTGTATGTGAGGTACTGGCGGTGGCGTGTCAGCCGACACAGCCCACTCGCTCTGCACTCGCTGCGCAGCTCGCCCCCACGACGCCGCGCATCCCGCATCACTCCAGCGCCGCAGCACTCACCCGCGTGTCGGCGCGCAGCTCGACGGCCTGCGTGCAGCACGGCAGCGCTGCCGAGTAGCTCCACACATCGTGCCCCTCTGCCGCGCGCAGGCGTCTGCGCGACGCATCGAGGACGTCTGCACGCGGCGTGTGCGCGCCGCAGCGTGCGCTGCGCATGGCGTGGTCAGCGAGGCGGCGCACGACCACGCCGCAGGGGCCACGCACCACACGACGGCGAAGGGCAGCGGCAGGCGCACGAGGCCGAAGCCGACCTGCGAGGCGGCGAGCGGCGCATCGAGCGGGCGCGGGGCGTGCGGCTGCGGCTGCGGTGCCATCGTGGCGCGTGAGGAGGTGGAGGCGGGAAGGCAAGAGGGGCGAGGCGGCGCGCCGCGGCGGCGGAGCGTCATGCCGCGCGGCTGCTGCTCCCACGCCAAGGGCCATGCGTTGCATCTCCTGGCTCTCGCAGCATCATGGCCCGCTCGGACGCTTGATCACCATGTCCAGTCGCAGTGCTCGTCCAGGATATTCGTTATGAGGCCCGTCAAGCGCGGCGCCGGCGCGACGGGCTGCGCGTGGGAGGAGGTGGCGTCTAGAGATACATCGGAGGAGTCGTGAGGGTCGTGAGGGACGTGAGCGTGGGGGAGAAGAGAGGAGGTCGTGAGACGTGCCAGCAGCGGGTGCTCCGGCGCGTCCAGGGTGCGTGATCCATCGAGGATCGTGAGGAGAGAGAGCAGCGGTCCAGCCAGCCGTGCGAGGGAGCGCAGTCCAGCTTCGCGTGGGAGGCGACGGCGGCACAGCCGTGCGTCTGGGGCGCGCGCAGGCCAGCTTCGCGAGAGAGAGGTGCGAGCAGCGGCGCAGCCGGCCTCGTCCATGGCATGAGGTCCAGACTACTGCGCCGGTGCATCGACTGCTGACGCGTCGACAGTCGGCGCATCGACAGCAGGCGCATCGAGAGCCGGCGCATCGATGAGGTCGCGCGACTCGGGCCCATCGGCGCGCTGCATCTCGTACTGGTGGCGGTTCTCGTCGGGTCCACGGCTCGGCGCAAAGCCCGAGGCATCGCGCGTGCCAAAGTAGAAGGGCTCGCACGGGTCGTCGCCTGGGCGATAGTGTGAGCGCAAGGCGGGCGAGCGGCCAGGCGGAGCACTCGCCGTACGGCTTGGCGTCGAGATCATACGGGTTCCAGCCGTTCTCGAGGCCGGCCTTGTAGCTCTGCGAGAGTGTCAGCATGCGCCAGAAGTGCGGCGGCATCGGGAGCACTCACCCAGTCGCGAATGTCGCGGTTCTTCCAGGCCCAGGCACTAGAGGAAATGCCAGTCAGCAAGGTGTCGTCGAGCTGCAGTGTTTGGGGCGCTGCAGCGACTCACATCTGCGAGGTGGAGCAAGTCAGCGAATGTGCAACGCTTTCATCAATGATCACGACTCACCCATCCCGAGCCGGCCGTCTCAAACACGTGGCGCTGCACGGCAGAGTTGCGCGCCATAAAGGCCATGTACTTGACGCTGAAGGGGTAGTCGCGGCCACGCGGGAACTTGACAGGGCCGACGGGCAGGTCGCGGTCCTCGGGGCGGTCGCCGCTGGGGCCGTTGAAAGCTGCACGCAGGTGAGCAAGGCAGCGAAGAGGACGCAAGTCGCACCACTCACCCATCTCGCCGGCAATTGTCGCGTACTGCAGCTGTGACGCCGCAAAGACGGGCAGCAGCGAGCAGACCTCGGCGAGGCGCTCGCTGTCCTTCATGCGCTTCTGCTCGTCGGTGTAGACAAAGTACGGGTCTAGAAACGTGTCAGTCTGGGCGATGCACGACAATGCTGCCGCCACTCACGGGTGTCGAGCAGGGTGCGCTCGCGCTTCTTCTTGCTGAAGAAGTTCTCCCACGCGCCGGGCGTGATGAAGCCGTCGTGGAACGCCATGAGCGTCGGGGCGCCTGTCTTGACGATCTGGTCGCGTGCGTAGGGGTAGACTGCAGAGGTGTCAAGTCAGCAAGCGCGTGGCCATTGTCCCTCGCATCACTCACACTCGTTGAGCAGCTCCTTGACGTCGGCGTCGCGATTCGCAGCGGGCTGTGTGCGGCGCGTCAGCAGTGGTTCACCGTCGTCACTCGCGATGCGCACCTCATTGACCGCCTCGATGGCCGTGACGGTGCCGTGATACTGAGGCTTGGTGAACTCCTGGACGAGGCGGTTGTAGGCGTACTGCGTCTGCTCGTAGTACTCGCGCCGCTTGGCCCAGTTGATGGGGCCAGCCTTGCCCGAGTTGTCGTAGCCGTTCTGCGAGCCCGGCACGCCGTGCAGGTCTGCGCAGCGTCAGCGCACGACCACAACGCCGCGCACACCCACACCACTCACCGACCCACACCTTGAGGCCGTGCTTCTTGGCCCAGCCGCACGCCTCTTTAAGCTTGGCGAACTGGTTGAAGGTGTAGTACTGGCCGCGCGGGCCGATGGCCTCGGCGAACGCCCAGTAGCCGATCGGAATGCGCACCTGTGCAGCGAGTCAGCCAGTGTGCAGCACACGCAGCCTGTCATGCTACTCACGTGGTTCAGGCCGGCGGCGGCAATCTGCCGGAACTCGTCCTCGGTCATCCACTCGTCGAGATGGCGCTTGATGATCTTCTCGACGGCGCGGTAGTTGCCGTACAGGCCCATCGTCCACTCGTCGATGATGGCGCCGTACGGCGCATTGACGACCTGGCTGTTGAGCTCGCCGAAGAGCGCCGCGTCCATCCACGCCTCGAGCACGAGCCAGTTGCCGAGGTTGACGCCGCGCACCTTGTCGCGGCGGTAGTCGAAGCCCGAGTCGGCCTGGCGGAAGGACGAGGCCGAGGCGTTGTTGCGCAGCACCAGCTCCTCGCCCTGCGTCGGCACGGCGAAGCTGCGCCGCGTGTGCGGGTTCCACGCGGGGCGACCGCTGGCGGCGGGCAGCAGCGTGCGGCGCAAGTACGGCAGGTCGACGCCGACGGCCGCGGCGTAGCCGTCAAGGCGTGCCGAGGCGGCGCTGATGTTGTCGACGACACGGTCGGCCCAGGCGGGGCGCTCGTGCCACTTGCCGCGCTCTAGGGCCTCGGCGGCGGCGTAGCGCGCCTGGTAGAAGGCCGGGTCGTCGCGCGGGTTGGGAAAGGAGAGAGGCGCATCGAGCGCCGGGTCCTCGTGGACAGAGATGTAGGGGCTCTTGCCGCGGTAGGTGCGCAGCGCGGGGAGGGCGAGGGACGAGGCGGCGAGGCTGGCCACCAGGGCAGCGCGGGAGAAGAAACGCATCGGAGAGGAGAGAGAGAGGCGGGGAACACGATGGAGAGGAGGAGCTGGGCGGCGACGGGCGGCAGCTTATGTACGGCCAGGCTCGGGGTTGCAGCGGAGGGCATCCGCGCGGCAGGCCTCCGAGCATCGCGTGTTGTGCGGCGACATGGACGCGTCTCGAGCGGCGCATGGCGGCGAGCAGCGATCTCAGCGCAGCTGCCATGCAAGGCGCCGGCCGACCGACGCCGGGAGTGGCGCCGGTGCTGCCGCATGAAGACGACGGAAGGGCTCTCGGGCGATCCTGGCTGCTTGTCTGCGTCCGCGGCTGCCGTCTGGCGCCGAGGGCGCGGGTGCACGCTTGGCGCCGGGTGCGTGCGCGCCACCCTCCGGCCCAGTGGCTACCGATCTGGCGTGAACAGCGCCCGATGAGGCCAGCGGCAGCATGCCGCCGCTCTGAGATGCCGAGCGCTGCGCCGTGCTATACGCCGAGGCAGCCTCGCAGTCGGCGCAGTGGCGGCAGCGTCAGCAGGCCTCATGCAGCGCGAGGATCTGTTTGTGGCGCATACGCGCCCGTCGCGCGCATGCAGCGCAGCCGGCGGCCCGAACAGGCAGGTGCAGGCGCGAGGTGCCGCGCCGCGAGACGCCGTCGCTTGCGCTTGGCGAGCTGGCGCAGCTCGAGCCGAGCTCTTGCGGCGGCGCCAGCCTCATCTGCCGCCTGCCGAGCCCTCACATTGTCCTGCGGCGCAGCCGCAACAGCGGCCGGCGCGCGCTTGCATGTCATCTGTGCTGCGGGACGAGCGTGCAGGAGCATGAGATGAGCGGCATGCGGGCGCCGGCCGCTCTGCAGGATGAACGCACGGACCGAAAGGGCGCTGACGCAGCGGGCGCAGGAGCGCCAGGCGCAGTCGAGAAGCTCATGCGTCGAGAGTGACTGCGGCGGAGCGTGACGTGCGCAGGACGGCGAGGGCATCGAGGGCAGTGCGGGCAGATCACGATGCCGCCGCCCAGGCGCGCCGATGGGGGAGCACACGCCCGCTGCCGCTGCCGCGCCTCGTCGCGCCGTCGCGCCGCCGAGCTCGGCAGCATCAGCGCCTTCATCTCGGCTCGCGCCGCTGCCGTCGTGGCGGCGTCTCGGCGCGGAGGAGCGCGTGCGCAGGAGGAGAGGAGACGGCGGCACGAGCGCAGAAGGAGAGGGAGCGGGCCGCGTGGGAAAGCAATCTCGCGCAGCTTGGCGTGGGAGCAGCTGGGTCGGCGCACGTGACGCGTACGGCTGCCTCCACTCGGCGCTTCGAGGCGCGTCTGGAAGCAGTGCAGCAGGCGTGAGAACGCAGGCACCTGGGCAGTGTGCGGCGGTGCGGGGCGCGTCGAGGCGCGGTTTGCTCGGGCTCAAGACGCGGCAGCGCACGGCCGCATCGCCAGTGCACCCCCTTCTCCTCTCTCTCACACACACACACACCATGGGCAAGGACTACTACGCCATCCTCGGCGTGGCGCGCGACGCCAGCGAGGAGGAGATTAAGAAGGCATACAAGAAGGCCGCGCTCAAGTGGCACCCCGACCGCCAGGCCAACTCGGGCAGCGGCAACAGCGCAGAGGGCGCAAAGAAGAAGTTCCAGGAGGTGCGTCAGAGAAGGATGTGTGCTCTGCTGCAGCACTGACACGTCTGCTCCGCACAGCTCGGCGAGGCATTCGAGGTGCTCTCCGACAAGCAGAAGCGCACCATCTACGACCAGGTCGGCGAGGACGGCCTCAAGGGCGGCGGCGGCGCACCGGGCGGCGGCGCCGGCGGCTTTCCAGGCGGCGCAGGTGGCTTCCCGGGCGGTGCAGGTGGCTTTCCGGGCGGCGCCAGCTTCAGCTTCGGCGGTGAGTGCTTCACAGTCCACGCGCAGCCATGCACGCCTGCTGACGCGCGACAGCAGGCCCGGGCGGCGCCGGCGGCTCCTTCTCGCCCTCAGACCCCAACGACATCGTGAGTCGCGCAGCCGCCCGCGGCGCCGCAGCATACACTGACCCCTTTCGCAGTTTGCATCGCTCTTCGGCGCCATGGGCGGCGGTGGCTCGGGAGCCTCGCCGTTCGGCGGCATGGGCGGCGGCATGGGTAGCATGGGCGGCATGCCAGGCATGCCAGGCATGGGCGGCATGGGCGGCGGCGGTGTGCCCGGCGGCTTCGACTTTGGCGGCGGCGGCATGCCGGGCATGCAGCAGCAGCGGCAGCAGTCGGGCCGCGCGTCGCCTGAGGGCCCCAAGGACGTCGAGAAGCGCCTGCCGTGCTCGCTCGAGGAGCTCTACGCCGGCGCCGAGCGCAAGCTCAAGGTGGGGCGCGTGCGCGGCGGCGAGAAGGAGGAGCAGGTGCTGCACGTCAACGTCGCCAAGGGCTGGAAGGCGGTGAGTTGATGACGTGCACTGCAGCTGCTGCCATTACTGACTTTCCTCGCAGGGCACCAAGGTCCGCTTCGCTGGCGCCGGCAACGAGCGAGGGCCCGGCTCGGGCAGCTACCAGGACATCGTCTTCGTCATTGAGGAGAAGCCGCACCCGCGCTTCCGGCGGCAGGGCGACGACCTGCACGTCGACGCCACGCTCTCGCTGGCCGATGCGCTCGACCCACCAGCGGCCGGCACGCCGGCGTCGCGGCGCAGCGTGACGCATCTCGACGGACGCAAGCTCGAGGTGCCGCTGCCGCGCCCCGCGGCGGGCTCCACCACCATCCAGCCGGGCCGCTCGACGCGCATCGCAAGCGAGGGCATGCCCATCTCCAAGACCAAGGGCGCCACAAAGGGCGACCTCGTCGTCGAGTGGCAAATCGCCCTGCCCGATCGGCTCGACGACGAGAAGCGCAAGGAGCTGCGGCGCCTCCTTGCCTAGAGCTTCGCTTCCTGATAGACCTCTGTCCTTCTCTCTGTGTTTCTCCTCGCAATGTCACCGTGTCACGCGTCTCCTTGTCCATGCTCCCATTCGCTATGCTGGCGGGCACCCGAGGAAGTCCCACAGCGCGCGCGGCCGCTTGAAGTCGTGGTGCACGAGCGTGACGAGCCAGCGCTCGTCGCCGATGCTGCGCAGCAACTGCCGCGTGGGCGAGCGCAGCGGGAAGAGCAGCTCCCACTCGGCCCAGATGCCAAACGCCTCGTCCTGAGGTGTGCGCGTGAGAGAGGCACGAGGCAGGCACACTCAGCCTCGACTCACCCGCCACGCCTTGAAGCTCTCCTCCTCGATGATTGTCGACTGCGCAATCTCCTTGCCCGGGAAGACACCCCACGTCACTGCATCCACCTGGCCCGCCTGCATGTTCGTCTCAAAGTCGCCCTGCGAGAAAGAGAGTCAGCAGCCGGCGTCTCGGGGCTGACCGTCCAACTCACCCTCCGGTTGCCGGCGAAGAAGCCCATCCACTTGCCGCCCTCCTCCTCGTCGATGCGCCGCCGCAGCTCGTCCTTGTCCTTCGTCTCGACGAAGAACTCGACGAATGCCTTCTGGAAGATGTAGCCGCCGGGCGGACCAAAGCCAAACGTCGGGTCGGCGCTGTCGGCGCCGTCCATCGCCGGCTGCGAGCCGACGGTCCACCACTCGCGACCACCGTCGGCGCCGCCGCGCGCGCGATTGAGGTGCAGCAGCTCGCTGCGGATTGCGGCTGTCTCGTCGAGGATCGGCACATCGCACCACGGGATGCCCGAGAGCGAGCCGGAGAGGTATGAAGTGAAGAGACCGGCGATGTCCGCCGTGGTGACAGGGTGGCCCCACAGGCGCAGCGCATCCGCCGGCTGCGCGCAGAGAGTCAGCAAGCGCACGTCATGGGCGCAAGTAAGCCCACTCACCGGCACCTTGAGGCTGACGCCGTAGCCGTCCAGCTCGCCGAACGCCGGGCTGCGCGAGTCACCGTAGCGGCCGTTTGGGAACTCGTCCCACGTCGTCGTCTGCTGCGGCGGCGCGCCGAGCGTCGGCGGACGCAGCAGCTGCGAGCGCTCGAGCGTCTGGCGCAGCGTGTCGGCCGTCGTCACCTTGAGCTGCTTGGGGAAGTCCGAGGCCGTGCGTTCCTGCAGAACCCATGTCAGCCGCAGGCATTCACGCTCGACCGGCACGACTCACGCTGAGCATGAGGTTGCGATGCATCGTCGGACTGTCCGGCACACCGTTGGCCGCGGCAGCCGCCTGCTGCTGCTCCGCATCGACCCAGCCCAGGTTCTCTACCACGCAGCGCACCGAGTTCTCTAGATTGAGTGTGCAGAAGTGGAAGACGCGCACGTCGGACTCGAGAAAGATGCGCCCGACCATGTGCGTGGCCCAGCGCACGCCAAACTCCTTGACTGCTGCGTCGTCAAACTGCACAGACAGGTGAGCTGTGGCCTGTGAGCTTCATCTAGAGCTACACTCACGCGGATCGGCTCGAGCGCCGCCGTGACCTCGGCGGGCACGCGCGTGCTGCACAGGTTGATCATGCGCCGGAAGCTCTGGTAGTTCTGGATCGGCATGATGCCGGGAATGATGGGCAGCGTGATGCCTGTGGCAGGATGTGAGCCTCAGCCTCACCTGCTGTACACACTTCTGAACGCACCTGCCGCACGACACCGCTTGAGGTAGTCGAGGAACGCATCGACGCAGTAGAAGAGCTGCGTGACGACAAAGTCGGCGCCAGCGTCCTGCTTTGCGCGCAGGAAGCCAATGTCGCGCTCGATGTCGGGCGTCGTGGCGTCGCAGTGGCCCTCGGGATAGCCTGCCAGCTATTTCAGACGAGGCCACACACGCACCGCACGGCCACACTCACCCGCCACGCCGACGCAGAACCAGTCGCCGTGCCGCTCGCGGATGTAGCGCACGAGGTCCTCGGCGTGCTGGAAGCGCGCGTCTGAGGCGACCCAGTACTCCTCACCGCGAGGTGGATCGCCACGCAGCGCCAGTAGGTTGCGGATGCCGAGCGAGCGTGCTTGCTGTGGAAGGAGCAGTCAGAGGCGGCCCTCCAAGAAGGCGCTGGGAAGGGGAGCGGCGCGGTGTCATCACGACAAGAGGCGGCCCGGCACGCTGTGCGCGTACTCTGAGCCCTCGTCATCGCCACTCGACATGCACCCGTCGCTGCTCCTTCTGCACCCTGTCTCCACCACTCAACCGCACACTCACGTCGAGCGTGTCGTCGAGGCTCGCCTTCTCCACATTGGTGCAGGTGAGGTGCAGGCAGGCGTTGCCGCGCGTCGGGTGGGCGTCGCGCTGCACGGCGTTGGCGATGTCGAGGCTGCTCTCTCTGGTCGATCCTCCCGCGCCCCAGGTGACCTGGATCCACGCCGGCGCCAGCTGGGCGCGCATGCGGGCGATGCGCGCGTGCAGGTTGCGCATGCCCTGCGCCGTCTTTGGCGGGAAGAACTCGAGCGACACCAGCGGCCGCTCGGCGTGCGCGGCGGCGGCGAGGAGCGTCGTGATGTGCTCGGGCACGCCCGAGGCGCTCGAGCTGGCGGACATGGCGCCGAGAGGGATGGAGTGAGGTGGGTGAGAGAGAGGCCAGCTTGCGTTGCATCAGCGGCGGCGAGAGCAACGTCGTGCGAGCTTCGCGGCGGCGCGCGCCTCTCGCACGGGATGCGCCCTGCAGCATCCTTCTCGCGCCTGCGCCTACGCTGCACCGCTGACATGGACAGCACGCTTCAGAAGACACTCCAGACTCAGTCATATCACACGCGAACTTGGAGAGGTGGTGAGCGCAGGCAGCATGGCCCACGCCGGGAACAATGCATTAAGAGGACAACGGACGGCCGGGAATGTGCGAAGCCTCTCGCCGAGCCCACCGGGCAAAGTCTAGTCTCGCGGCGTGACGATGGTCCAAGCATGCGCTTAGGCCGTCGACTCCTTGAGGTAGGTGATGAGGTCGTTGCGGTCTGCGTGCAGTGTCAGCAGGAGCATCACGTCGCAGCACAGCACGGCGGCGCCACTCACCCTTCTCCTTCTTGAGGCCGGCAAACGCCATCTTGGTGCCCGGGATGTACTTCTTCGGGTTCTCCAGGTACTCGAAGAGCGTCTCCTCCTCCCTGGATGTGCACGAGCGTCAGCGCATGCTCCTGCTCCGTCGCCACGCAGTGACCGCATCTGCCGCCATCGCATCTGCCCGGCGCCTGCAGTCTGCTCTCGCCACCTGCGCCGCTTCATCGCGTATACCAGTCTGCTACGCCTCGCAGTCCTGCTGTCCTCGCGCCGGCCTCGTGCGCCGTCTCCGTCCCCTGTTCTGCTCCTTCCTCTCCCTAAATGCCGCCTCGTCCTCCGCCTCGCAACTCCCGCTGCGTCGCTGTGCCGGCATACTAACCAGGTGACACCCTTGTTCACGTTGGCGGCAGTGTACGAGAAGCCCTCGACCTGGCCGGTCTTGCGGCCGAAGAGACCGTCTGTGCGCGGCAGAGGGCGTGTAAGCATGCTGCGCAAGAGCAGCCCTGTGCGCCGCGCGCCACTCACGGAGGTTGGGGCCGACTGCAGATAGAACACGCAAGAAGGGCGGAGAGATGAGCATGCAGCACAGATCGTCGTGCTGGCTGCGCCACGGCGCCGCCATGAGACCCTGCGCCGGCGCAGGGCCCGCGCAGCCGCACCGCGCACACCGCTGCTGCCACTCACCCTTGTTCGGGCCGCCCTGCTCGACGGTGTGGCACTGCGCGCAGCGCGTCTTGAAGAGGCTGTGGCGGCGAGTGTGAGCATGCTGCGCCGCAGGGAAACAAGGCCACGGCGCGAGAAGAGCGCAGAAGCTGCGCCTTCTCGCGGGCCACACGCACCTGGCGCCCTTGGACGAGTCACCGGACTTGAAACCCATGGTGTTAGATTAGAGGGTGCGAGGAGAGAGAAGGGCCAGAGGGCAGGTGTGTGGTGCGGTGGTGGTTGCGGGAAGCACGGGCGACGCCGGCGCTGGCCCGGCGGCTTATATTACCGAAGCGGGCGCTGGGCGGCGTGGCTGGGCGCTGGCTGTCCAACAAACGGCGGCCGGATGTGCTGCACCGCTTGCGCGCGCCGTCGGCCTGCCCGAAGCGTTGGAATGTCTGCCTCGGCGGCGCTGCGCCCGCCGGCCACCGCCCGCCGCCGCCGCCGCTGACGCTTGCCTCTCCTGCCGTTGGGCGCCAGGCACGCCGCCGCCGCGCCGGCTTTCTGTCCGTGGCGGCGCAGATCGATTTTTTCGCGCAGCGCAGCCCGCACCCTGCAGCGCCGCGCTGGCTCCGGCTCTCGCCGAGCGCGCCACGTGGCATGCTGATTTCAAAGCAGCCGCGCCCGAGCGCCATCCCTCGCACTTCCCTTTCCTCGCTCGAGTCGCCCCGAGCGGTTTGGCCGAGCAGCGAGCAAGACGTCCGAGTGCCGAGCGGGGCCTCGCAGCCGCAGGCGTGACAGATCGGAGTCGGCGCTGCTCCAGGGTCCAGGCGCAGGTCACGGGACACGCCCCCTGGAGAGCCGGACGGGCAGTCGGCCTTGGCTCGTGTGCGTACGAAGCTCGAGCAGCGAGAAGGAAGCACTGGACGTGCGAGCGGACGCTTTGTTGGTCGCTTCCATGCTGGCAGAGGGCACAAAGGCGCTCGTGTCTGCACGTGCTTGGGCGTCTGGTCGCGTGAGTGCACAGACCTCTGGCAAGAGGAGCTGTCTGCGGACTTCGCCTTTCGTCAAGAGGCGACCAGCCCCACGAACACCGCCAGCCGCAAGCAAGAGACAATCTCTTCATTCTGCGCGCAAACGTAGTCGGCATCACGGCACGTGGGCCAACCAGGGATGGACGGCGACGCAAGAGCTGGCGAGCGGAGCGGCGTGGCTTAGAGCGAGCGTGGGAACGCGGCGTCGCGTGCGGCGAGCGAGACGCGTCCGAGCGGCGCGCTCTCTCCTCCACGTTGCTTGCCTTCGCTCCACCTCGCTGCCCTCGCCGCAATGTCGCGCGCCTCGTCGTCGTCGCCCGACGAGCTCGACGGCTCGCACCCGCGCGCCTACGTCCACGCACGCACCCAGCTCACGTCCGAAGATGCCGACTTGGCTGCCGATGCGCCCGCCGCCGCACCGCCGCCGCGCCGGCGCACGCACAGCCGCAGCAGCGCCGCCAGCGCCGGCCAGCACGCGTCGACGAGCGCCCTGCCCGCCACGACTGCCTCAGCACAGCTGACGCGCGAGCGCGACCACCGCTCGCCAAAGTCGTCGCCCTCGACACCCGGGCGCCGGCAGCGGCAGGCCAGCGCCGACGAGCGCGCCGCCGAGGCCGAGCGCGAGGCACACCTAGCCGAGTGGCGCGACGACAACCCCGACGACGTGCTGCGCCACGCCGACGCCTGGGAGCGCGATGCCTACTGGCGCGCATACGCCGAGGCCGAGGCCGAGGCCGACGAGATCAAGGCGGCCTACCTCGCCGACGCGCGCGAGAAGCGCGTCGGCGGCCAGCGGCGTGCCGAGGCACCCATGCACGCCGCGCCGCCGCTGCGGGGCCACGAGGCGCTGTTGGAACGTGAGAGCGAGTCGGCGCAGGCCGAGGTGCTCGAGCATCAGCAGGAGGAGGAAGCACTGCGCGACGAGGTGCCGAGCGACGAGGCACTGCTCGTCTTCCAGTGCGTGCAGTGCGGCGCCATACTGGGCGACAGTCTGGCGTGGGTCGTCGCGCAGCGAGAGCTGGCGCTGCTTGTGCTGTCCGGTGAGTGGGTGTCGCGGCAGGTGTGCAGTGCTGCAGTGCACAGAAGCGCGTTGAAGAAGGACAGCGGGGATAAGGCACCACCTTGCTGGCGCGCTCACCGCCATCACGCTCCTTCCTGCTGCGCCCCAGCTCACGCCTTTCTCCCAGCCGTGACGCCGGCGGTGCAGGCCGACCCATCTCTACACACATCCTCAGCACCAGGTCCCGATCTCGGCTCGTGCGTTGTGCACACTCTCACACTAGCTGACCTGCAAGCTCACATCTCGCCTGCCTCCGCTGCAGCACGTTCTCGACGCTGGCGTGTGCGCCGCCGTGCAGTGCGCCGCTCGGACGAACATATCGTACAACACCAGCGGCACTCGATGAGCTGCGCTCGGCATATGCGCTCGACATCGCCGCGGTGCGCGTGTGAGTGTGCAGACAGACTCCCGGCGAATGCTCGTCGAGCGGATTGGCGCTGACGCCAGCGCCCTGGCAGCTACCAACTCGGCTCGGCCATGACTGCCAACGGCGTGCCGGCACGACATGCACAGGCCGCTCGGCATGCCGAGGCTGCGCCCGCTCGAAGCGGCGCCCTCGATGACCATCGCGTGAGTGCAGCCGTAGCACGAGTCTGCCCTTCGACGCTGACAAGCCACTGCGTCTCGCCAGGTGCGCGTGCTGCTCATGGGCCTGGGCGAGCGGCTGCTGCGTCTCGAGCAGACGGTGCAGACGCTGCTGGCGCCGCCACCGCCGCCGCAGCGCGAGCAGAGCGCCGGCAGCTGGGAGCGCGAGGGCAGTGGCGGCCGCGGCAGCAAGCGCTCGCTCGGAGCTAGCGCTGGGCCACCGGAGAGAGGGGCACAGCGACGACGCGGGCGGTAGCGACTGGTGTGCTGGAGCCTGTGGCTGCGTCGCAGCTGCGCATGTGCTCTGCCGCCGCCATCTGCATCCTGTCCCGGACCTCCATGTACGTGCAGCTTGGCTGCTGCCTCTTCACCATCGCCATACCATCCGGACTGTTTGCCTCTGTGCTGATGTGGTGTGTATTGCGCTGATCTCTGCGCAGCCCTCCCTCCAACCTCAAACCCCTGTCCCCCATCTCGCCCGTCCCAGCCCTTCCATCTGCTACCGCCCTGCCATCTGCTACCGCAATGCCTGCACCTGCTCCTCCACGACCTCGTCGACGAGCGTGCCCTCGAGCTCCTCCTCGCCGAGCGTGCCCTCCACCACCTCGCCGCTGCCGAGCTGCAGGCCGAGCGGCATGCCCGCCGTGCCGTCGCGCACGCGGCGGCCCATCTCGAGGCGCAGCGCGCGGCCAAAGGCGCCGAGGCGGTCGCCGTGCGTGTGCTGCACGTAGGCGTCGAGGCCGCCGAGCTTGCGCATGGTGCGCATGGCGCGCGTCGTGATGCGACAGCCGATGTTGCGCTGCAGCACGTCGCTCCAGAGGGCGTGCTTGACCTGCACGTTGGGGCGCCACGTGCGAGCCGTCTTCTGGCGCGACTTGGGCACGTTGTGGCCGCTCTGCAGCTGGGCGCCGTGGTAGAGGCCGCGCTGGCTGGCCTTGAAGGTGCGCCCGGCGAGCTGCGCGAGGAGCGCCGTGGGGCGCGAGAAGGGCGACGAGCGGGCGGCGGTGCGCTGCGACGCGCCGGCGCCGGAGCCCTTTGCGCCGCGGTACGTGGTGCGCGACGTGAGCAGCCGGAGCGTCGCGAACATGGCGGGTGGTGGAGGAAGAGGACGAAGAGGGGCGCGCCAGACGCTTGGGTGATGCAGGCGGCGATCGGCACGTGACGCCGCGCGCCCGCTGCGATGCTCTCTTACCCGTGTCGCGCGCCTCGCACGCCTCCTTCTCCCCCTCCACCTTCGCCATGTCGCCGCCCGCTCGGCAAGCGCACGGCGTCGCCCTCCCGCCGGCGCTGGCACGCCGCCTGCCCGCGGCGCTGCACTACCTCGCCACGCGCATCCTCAGCGCCGCGACGCGCCTCGAGACAAGCACGTCCGTCGCCCTCTCGCTCGCGCGCCTGCGCGCCTGGCGCCCCACGCGCGGCGAGAAGGCCAAGTACGCCTTCCTGCTGGCGCTCGCGCTGCCGTGCCTCTACATCATGGCCGCGCCCGCGTTCCCGCTCAAGCTCGCCCTGCCCGCCGTCTACACGCTCGCCGTGCTACTGCCCGTCTCGTCGCAGTTCATCCTGCCCGCCACGCCCATCTTTGCCTGGCTGCTGCTCTTCTACTCGTCGCAGTTCCTCGCGCCCGAGTCGCGCCCGCACATCTGGGTCAGCGTTCTGCCGACGCTCGAGAGCGTGTGGTACGGCGCGTCGATCAGCGACATCCTCACGCACTTCGGCCATCCCGCGCTCGACATTCTCGCCTGGCTGCCCTACGGCGTCATCCACTTCGTCGCGCCCTTTGTCGTCGCCGCGCTGCTCTTCGTCTTTGCGCCGCCGGGCGCGACAAAGGTGTTTGGCGCCGCGTTTGGCTTCCTCAACATCCTCGGCGTCATGACGCAGGTCGGCTTCCCGTGTGCGCCGCCGTGTGAGTAGCAGGACGTGAGAGGCGAGACCGCAGAAGGGTGCGACGAGCCGGCCGCTCTTCCCGCGAAGCTGCAGTGCGGAGCTGCGCGTAAGATCCGGCAGAGCAGACGCATTGAAGAAGCGTCAGTCGCGCCCGCAGAGCTCTGCTGTGCGTCTTGTACGGCCCATCGGCTCTGCAGGTGGTGCTCTGCGCGCTGAGAGTACTCTTCGGACTCGGTCTGCTCTGCAGCTGGTGCATACCCTCGTCGCGCTGCTCATCGCTTGCGCTCCCAGGGTACGAGCTGCGCGAGGGCCTGACGCCGGCCAATTACTCGATGAAGGGCTCGCCGGCGGGCCTGGCGCGCATCGACGCCCTCTTCCACGGGCACGGCTACACGCTCACCTTCACCAACGCGCCCGTGCCCTTCGGCGCCTTTCCCTCGCTGCACGCCGGCTGCGCCACGATGGAGGCGCTCTTCCTCAGCTACTTCTTCCCTGTGGCGCTGCGCATCGGGCGCGTGCGGCTGGATGCACGCGTGCTGTACTGGACGTACGCCTTCTGGCTGTACTGGTGCACCATGTACCTCATGCACCACTACCTCGTCGACCTCGTCGGCGGCGCATGCCTGGCGACGGCATGCTTCTACTGTGCGTATGCCAGGCCTTTGCTCTCTCGCGCACTGCTCACGCCCGCGCCCGCAGTCTTCCTCACCAACGAGATGCGCTTCCAGATGGAGACAAATTGGACGGCGCGGCCGTCGGCAGCACAGCCCATCACGGCGCTGCCGGCAGCGACGGAGCCGCAGGATGCGTTCGGCGTGCGGCCGTCGGTCGACATCGAGCGGCGGCCGATGCCTGCGTCGCGCGCGGGCGGCGAGGACGAGGTGCGCATGGACGAGCTGCGCCGCGCGCCGACGCCGATGCAGCGCAGCGGCAGCAACCGCAGCGCCACGGCCGACGTGCTGTTCGAACAGCCCGACGAGGTGCGGAGAGACGCGTAGCGCACACGGCGCCTGGAGTGCCCTTAATGCAGATGCCCTGTCATAGGAAGCTCTGGCGTTCGCTTGCGAGGAGTGAGCTAGAAGGAGAGCGAGAGATGCACCATCAGCCCTGCTGCTCGCTGTGCGAGCGGCTGCGCACTGGGAGCGGGCACAGGCATGGCAGTGCAGCCGACGCCGCAGCAACGCATCCTGGCGAGACACGATGCGGCACGGCTCCAGCGCCAGCTTCACCGACAGGGCCCGGTGCCGCTTGCTGTTCCCTGGCCCGCCGGTGCCGACAGCGCTTGCTGCTACGCCTGCTCGGCGATCGGGCGCAAGTCACGCATCCTGGCCGGCGGCTGCCGTGAGCTCCGCAGCCGCCGCGCTGCCGCCGCTGCCGCGCGTCTTAACGCCGCGCGGCACCGGAGATTGCGCGCGGCGCATCGATCCGTGCGCCGCGGAGCGAGGAGCTGGAACGCAGCATCCGAAGTGCTCGCTCCTTCTCTCGTCACGTCCACCGACACTTCAGGCACCAGCACGCAAGGCGGCGCGAGAGGCATATAACGCTGCTGTGTGCGGCCTCCAGCAGCGCATGCCATCCACACACACGAGCCTCCTTGCTCTCCTCATTCTCAGCACCGCCCTCTTTCTCACCTCGCGCACACGCACCATGGCCGCACGCGCGCCCATCTGGTCCATCGCCCACGGCGGCCCGCCGACGCTCTTCGACACGGAGCACAAGGCACACAAGGCCTGGGTCGACGTCGGCCGCGCCATCGTCGCTAGCCAGGCACGCGCCCTCGTCGTCGTCTCGGCGCACTGGGAGGCCGAGCAGCCCGGCACGGTGCTCGTCAACGAGCAGCAGGCGCCCAAGCAGATCTACGACTTCTACAACTTGTGAGACGCGCGCAGAGGCGCTCCTGTGCGGCACACTGACGCCTCGCACAGCCCGAAGCACTACTACGACCAGCGCTTCGACACGCACACGCCGCAGTGGCTCAGCGACGTCGTCGTGCAGCACCTGTCCGGCTCCAGCTTTGCGCCGCAGCGCGTGCCGCGCGGGCCCGACCACGGCGTCTGGGTGCCGCTCAAGGCGGCGTTTGGCGCCGCAGCGCCTCTGCCGCTCGTGCAGGTCTCGCTGCCGGCGCCGTCGGGCGACGCACTCACCGACGCCCGCGCCGCACTGGCGCTCGGCGAGGCGCTGCGCGGCCTCAGAGAGCAGGGCATCGCCGTGCTCGGCAGCGGCCAGCCTGTGCACAACCTGCGCGATGCCTTCGGCGGCGGCGGCGACGGTGCGTCTGGCGCGCTGCGAGCGCGACGTCTGCGGCTGACACCTGTCTCACAGGCTCGTACGGCGGGCCGTTCCTGCGCGCCCACTCTGATGCGCTCCTCGCCTCGGGCCACGCCCGCTGGGACGCCGCAGAGGCACTGACGAAGCGGCCCGAATTCAAGCGGGCGCACCCGACGACGGAGCACTTTCTGCCTGCGCTCGTTGCGCTCGGCGCGGCGGACGACGCCGAGCCGACAAAGGAGCTGCTGTTCATCGACGAGGGCGCGCTTGGCTGGGCCATGGTGAGTGGCTCCAACGCAGCACGTCGAGACCGCAGTCGCTGATGGCACTTGGCTGCAGTACCAGTGGTGATACCCTTCTGATGAGAAATTGAATCGTGCATTGTGATTGAATGTGTGAAGAGCAGCCGGTCGCAGAGACAGGAAGGCGAGCAACATGAGGGCGTGTTGGGAATGAAGCGAAGGGGTAGGCAGCGTGAGGTCGTGGAAGGTGAAAGGGGATAGTCTCGCGCAAGGGGCACAGGTAGAAGGAGCGCGCGCAGAGAGGGTCGTGGCGGGCGCATAGGCCGGCGCAGAGGGGAAATAGGAGCGCCGCGTGACGGCGCCCACGAAGAAAGACAGGCTGACAGCTGCTCGGGCCTCAGTGGTGCTCGCCGGCGCCGCGCCCGTAGCCCATGAAGCCGTTGGCACTGGCGCCCGGCTGCTCGGTGGCGGAGGCGACGAGCTCGGCAAAGGGCGGCAGCATGACCTGCTGCTGCTGTTGCCCGGCCGCGCCTCCTGCGGCGCCGCTTGGGCTCATCGCTGCCGCACCCGCAGGCTTCGGCACGTGGAACATCGGGTTGATGCCGCCGCCGCTGACCGAGTGCAGCGGCGCGAGGTGCGGTGCGGGCGAGGCGAACGCAGACATCGGGCCGTCGGTGTTGGAGTGCGCGCTGCCGCGCGACATGCCGCGCGCCGCCGTGGTGCGCGACTTGGAGCGCGGCCGGCCCGGCGTGGGCGGTGCTCCGCCGGCGCCGCCGGTGTAGTCGGACGCCGCCACCGAGCCGGCGCCCGACGCGGCGATGGACGAGAGCGGCGGTAGCTGCGAGCTATAGCCCACCGAGCTGGCCGTGCCATACGGGTGGAAGCGCGGCAGCGACGAGTGGTGCAGCGGCGAGGCAGAGCCCTGCCGGTGTGCTGAGCCCGTGCGGCTGCCATGTGACTGCCGACTGGCCGACGGTCGGCTGCCGGCGAGGTGTGAAGGCCCCGGCGAGACATTTCCGGGCGTGCGCTGCCGCCGCTCGGCGGCCGTCAGGTTCTCGAGCTGGAACTCGAGCGAGCTGAGCGAGCGGTTGTCGTGTGCCTGCCGCGCCGCCTCGAGCGAGCCGATGTACCGTCGGCCCGACGCATCGACGAGGCTCGGCGCACTCGAGAGCGACGACGCAGAGCTCTGGCGGTGCAGGTACGATGGCCGCGGGTTCATGTGCGGCCGGCCGGGCCCTGGGTCGGAGTCGCCCGTGGCGAACGACTGCAGCGAGACGCGCCGCGGGTCCGGCAGGTCTTCGAAGCTGTTGACCGAGTGCTCGTCGCCCGCTCGCGGCTTGGAGCGATCGCCGGAGCGAGGCTGCCACGCCGAAGACAGTGCCGACGGCGGTGCCAGGCCCATGCCTGGCGACGGGTGGCCACCGGCCGCAAAGGCCGGGCCAAGCGGCGAGAGGCCGCCATTGTACTCCGAGCCGGCGACGCGCGGCAGCGCGGGCGAATGCAGCATGGGCTGCTTGCCTCGCGACTTGTCGCTCGGGCCCTCGAGCCACTCGACCTGGTCGCGGTTGTTGCTCGACGCCAGGATCTGGTTGCGCTTCTGCATCACCGCACGTGCGCGGTCGCGTGCCGCCTTCTCCTGAGCCGCACGCTTTGCCTTTTCCGCCTCGCGCACGGCCTTCTCCGCCTCCTTGCGTGCGCGCTTTGGGTCCTTCGGCACGGCGTGCTCGGCGGCAAGCTGCTGCGCAGGCGTTGGCGCGACGCCGGGCATCGGCGGATGCTGCTGCTGCAGCTGCTGCGCCCGCGCCTCGTCGAAGGATCGTGCCGTCCCGCTGAGCGGCGCGCCGTCCGTCTTGCCCGAGAACATGCCGCCCCACCCGCTCTTGCCGCTCTTCCGCCGCTCGACGGACACGTGTGTCTCCTGGCTCGTGTCCGCGTCGGTAGTCGCGCGCGCCAGCGACGGCTGCCGCAGCTGGCCGAGCGAGTCGGCACGTTCGCCCTGCGCCAGCGCCATGGAGAGCTCGTCGTCGTACACGGTGCGCTGGCTCGTCGACGCCGCCATGCCCGAGAACTGCCGCAGCTGTTGCTGCTGGTGTTGCTGATACTGCTGGTGTTGCTGCTGCTGATGTTGCTGCTGCTGATGTTGCTGCTGCTGGTGCTGCTGCTGTTGCCGCATGTACAGCTGCTGCTGGTATGCCTGCTGCTGCTGCTCCTCCTGCGAGCTGCGCAGCGTCGACGACGAGCCGTGCGCCTCGCGCAGCTCGCCCATCTGCATCGGCACGTCGTCGAACTGCATCGACGCGTGGCTGCCGGCGAAGGTCGAGGCCGAGTCCGGAAACGCGGCGTACTGCTCGCGCGGCTTTGAGGCAGGCGCCGGCGCCCACTGCGTGGCGTACGACGATGTCTGCGCATCCTCTCGCATCGGAGAGCCGACGATCTGCATCGGCGAGTCGCGTGCCGCAGGCTGCACCGGCGGCTGTCGTTGCTGCTGCTGCGGGTAGAAGGGGACGCGATGTTCCGGAGCAGCGGCCCGGGCGCCGTTCTGCTGCGGCTGAGCGTGCTGCTGCAGCGGCTGCTGCTGGTGTGCCTGTGCCTGCTGCGACTGCACCTGCTGCTGCAGCGCCCGCACAGCCTGCAGCTGCCGCGGGTCGACGCCCGTGGCGCCAAATGGCACCTTCGCCGAACGTGGCGCTGCCGAGTGCGATGGCGGCACGTCTCGCCGTGGCGATGACGGGTCGACAGCCATGCGATCCGCAGGCAGCGGCTGCAGCTGTGCTCGCGGCACCTGTGTCGTTGGCGCCGGCGCACTGGGCGGCGCCTTGGCCACCGGTGGCAGGAGCCGTGGCGCGATGTCGGTAAAGTACGTGTGGTCGAGGCACTGCTGCGTCGTCAGCCGCGCCTTGGGGTCGTAGCGCAGCAGGTCCTGGATGCAGTCGACCAACGCCGACGGCACGCGCGAGCTGAAGAGCGACGAGAAGGTGAAGGGCTTGGCCTGTGATTGGCGGTCGGTCAGCAGCTGGCGGGTCCTTACGCCACAGCGGCACTCACCTTCGGAAACGTGAAGCCGACCGAGCGCGCCATCTTGACGCCGCCGAGCCACTCGCCGCCGCCACGCACGCGCCCCCGATCGTCGACGCCGTAGTCTGGGCTCGGATCGCCGAGCACCTCGGTGATCTGCAGCACCTGGTCCACCTCGCTCTGCCCCGGAAAGAGCGGCTTGAGGTTGACGAGCTCTGCGAGAATCGTGCCGAGCGCCCACATGTCGACGGGGTTCGAGTAGTCGCGCGAGCGCAGCAGCACCTCGGGCGCGCGGTACCAGCGCGTCGAGACGTACTCGGTGTACGGCGGCCGGCTGAGCGTCTCGCGCGCCAGGCCAAAGTCGGCCAGCTTGACGATGACGAGCACGTCGCGCTCGGGCGGCGCGTTGGCCGGCGCCGACGGCGACGAGGCCGGGTAGTCGGCCAGGCCCGTCGTCGTGATGAGCAGGTTCTCCGGCTTCATGTCGCGGTGGAAGTAGCCGTGCTCGTGGATGTGGTGTAGGCCGCGCACGATCTGCTGGTAGATGCTGGCCACGAGGCCGCCCGCCAGTGGCCGGCCCTTGCGCGACTTGGTCAGCTGGTACAGGTTGCCCTCCATGCACTCGAAGACGAAGTGCAGCTCCTTGGTGACGGGCATGAGAAAGGCGTCGTACAGCGGGATGATGTTCGGGTGCGCCGAGATCGTGATGAGCGACTGCGAGCGTGTGTCAGTATGCATGCGCACGCGTGCTGCCGGATCGCCCTCACCTTGAGCTCCTTGAGCTTCATGCACTCGTCCCAGTTCGGAAAGGGCTTCTTCATCTTCTTGATCGCGACGAGACGCTTGCCGACGTACTCAGGGCGCGTCGTCGGGTGCTGCATCGGGCTGAGCAGCGTGCCCGACGGCAGCGGGCTGCGCCAGTCGGCCAGGCAGACAGTACCAAACGAGCCGTCGCCGACCTCCTTGATGAGCGTGAAGTCGCGCGGGCCCTCACGCATCAGCGACGCCGCAGTCGTCGGCATCTGTGCGCTCGGCGGCGGCGCCAGACTCGACGTGCTGGTCAGCGGCGTGGCGCTCAAGGCGTGCATCGACGACGAGGGTGCAGAGGCGCTGCTCGACGTCGGCGCCGGCGTCGGCAGCCCGTTGTGCTGCTGGCGCATCGACACGCCCGGCGACGAGTCGGCCGACGGCGCAGCGTCCGGCGGCATGCGTGGCGAGCGCGACGAGCTGGCGTACTTGGCCGCATCCGCGCCGCCGGACGCGGCCGACGCGGCGTGCGGCGGCGACGCCATCATCGCCGGCAGCGGCGAGATGCCGCCGCGCATCTCGTGGTCCGCCATGGCGGGGCCGGGCGAGATGCGCGCGTGGTAGAGCTGGTGCGGATGCGGATGGTGGTGCGGCGACACGCCGGCGCCGTGGTGGTGCGGATGATGGTGGTGGCTCGGCGCGCTGGCTGCGACGGCGTTCAGGATCGGCATGGCCGCCCCGCGCGCGTCGAGTCGAGGCGTCGGCGGCGGCGCGGCGGCGCAGCAGGCTGGAGACGTGCGGCCGAGGGCGTCACGAGGCGGATGCTATGAGCAGCAGAGAGAGAGGCAGAGGCGGCTGGAGGTGCAGAGGTGGACGTCGAACGCTGCGCTGGACGCAGCTGAGGCAAACACGTGCTGTGGGCCGGCAGCGTCAGAGAGCTGCCGAGGGTGCGATGAGCAAAAGTGGCCGCCTGCGGCGAGCGACGGCCGGCACGGAGTGTCTGGCCAGCGTCTACGAGCGCAGCCCGGCCCGAGCCCAAACAAGGCCAGCATACAGCCCACCATCAGCAGAAGAGAGGCAGCAGCACCGCGGCATCTAGCGGCACCTCGGCAGCGCAGCACAGCACGCCGAGGCTCATCTTGGAGCCGCCGCGGGCGTGCCCAACACGGCGCTCTTGCCTGCCGTCAGCAGGCCAGGACAAGGCGCTCGCGCCCCGAGCAGCGCCGCCTCATCAGGGGCGCTTGCCCTCCTGAGTGCGTTCGAGGTGCGCGGCTCCGAGACCCGCCGGAGCGGGCGAGGGCGCAGCGCAGCGAGAGGGGACGCTTTTTGCAGGCCAAGCCACTTCGGCGGCATCCTCATTTGGTGCTGGGCATGGCCGAGTCGAGTGCTTCTGCTTTTGGCACCCATCCCACCCGCGGCCATCGCGAGCGCCATCCGCGCCCGACGCGTCACGGCGCACTCACCCTTGCTGCGCAGACGCCCAAGCCCGTCTCTTCTGGGGGACGCTACGCGCCAGCTCAGGCCCAGTGTGCGAGCCTGTGTGCGCAGCAGAGGCACGATGTGCTGCGCTGGCGACGCTGCCGGCCCGGTGCTGCCTCGGAGGACGCGCGACGGCGGCACAGGCAGGCCGGCCGCGATGCGCGAGACGCGCGCGCAGGCCGAGAGGAGGCGAAGCGGCGGGCGCCGCGTGCGCTCGGCGTGGCGCAAAGTGGGACGGGCGAGGAGGCCGTGCGGCTCGCGTAGGCTGCGGCGACGGCGACGGCGGGTATGTGCAGCGGCGAGGTGGATGTGTGAGACGGGAGGTGAGGAGAGATGTGCGATGGAGGCCGCCGCGCTCGCCGCCGAGCGGCCCTCGAGCGGTGCGGGCGGAGTATGCGAGGCGTGCTAACGCCGCGGCGGCGCGCCTGCCTGGCGCTGCCGCTGCTGCTGCTACCTGCCGCCTGCCCCTCCGAGCCGCGTCTTGCTGCGCTGCAGCGGTGCGAACAGCTCCTGACGCGAGCTCGGCGATGTGTGCTGCGCCTGCACGCGCGGCAGGCTAAGCCGCACAAGGCGCGCGCCCAGCGCAGCAGGCTGACGCACCAGCCGAGCACTGCTGCGCCCGCACCGCGGCGCCGACTCGGAGCACACCGCACCGCTCCGCACCGCACGCGGCGTGCCGGCGCCCGCTTTGGTTGATGCGCACGCCTCGCCGGCCCTGCTGCGTCTCGGCGACCCCTCTGCCTGGGCCAAAAGCAGCACAGTGCGCATCAGCACCCTGAAGAGTGCCAGGTGCAGCGCCGCAGCATGCCGCGCCTCGGCTATTGCATGCCTCCTCATCAGGTGGTGATGATGGAGGCGCCGCGGCGAGAGGCCTGCTCTTGCGCGCGGCCGCCACGCAGCGGGCGTGGCGCGTCAAAAGCAAGCACAAAGGGGAGCCGAGGAGGCGCTCGCTTGCTTGCTGATGCTGCCTCTGCTCAGCGGCGCCTCTGGCCCCTTGCGCCGCCATCTCGCCAACGGCCAGCACGCGCACACGCAGCCAGGCTAACGCTGGCCTTAGCGCGCGAACTCCTGCCTCGCTCGGCACTCGGAGCGGCCGCGCCGTGCTGGGGCGCCGTCTACGCTGCAGCGTCGCCCGCACCTCGAGCGCATCATGCATAGCATGCTGCGGCTGCTGGCGCCGAGCTTCGTCGCTTGCCGGAAAGAGCGAGGGGGCGAGGGTGCGATGGCGAACCCTGCATCGCGCTCAAGGGTGCAGCGGCACGCCTCACGTGCCGCCCGCTGCGCTGGCCCCAACGTCGCGCTCGCTCCAGATGCACCTCTCTGCAGCATCGGCTCGACGCTTGGGCAACCTCGTGGGCTGCCGCTGAGCTGGACGTTGTGTGTGTGCGTGAGAAACTTGCGGTGCCGTCGAGCGAGGGTCCGGTGCGCTGGCACTGCCTCGCCGCCGGAGCCGCGCCGACACCGGCGCTTACCAGCGCATCTGACGCTGCGCAGACGATCTGTCTCGCCGCAACCTCGCTGCACCTCGACTGCATGCTGTGCCGCAGCGTGGGTGCTGCCTCTGCACGGACAGCGACCGTCGAGACACGAAGGCGCTGCGGTTGTGCCGAGATCGTGCCGCAGCCCTTCCTCGTCGCTCGTAGCGCGGCTCCCACGCTTCGCGGCAGCGTGCGTCGGGCCGACTTCGAGGCGAGGCGAGGTGCTGCGCAGCCCGCATGATCCCGCGGCAGCATCACTCTGCACTGCACACTCTGCAGGCCAGCCGCACTGGCAGCGCACAGAGACAGCGTCAGAAGCGAAAAAAAGCGTGTAGCGCGGATGACGATGCCGGAGAGATCGCCACGACAGCGCGTCCCGGACGGAGGAAAGAGCGCAGGCGGTGCAGCACGGGCCTGCCGCGGCGAGGCAAGCCAGGCAGGACGGAGGAGGAAGCTCAGCTGCGCAATGCGCCAAAGGCCAGCGAGCCGAGCGACCGCTGCGCTGGGCCGGACATGCTCCGGCAGCGTCCGGATCGACGCGGTTAGGCGCACGAGGCGGGTAGATGCGGCGCCAAGCAGCGGCGCCAGGCCGGTGCCGCTCGGCTGGTACATCGCAGCGCTGATCGCTCGTCCGCAGTCGATTGCCAAACCCCGCATGGCGAAACGTGGCGAAGAAGGAGGGCCTGGCCAGTCCGTCAGGGCTTGCACGGCCGGAGATGCATCGTCGTCCACCGCCCGGCCTGCGCTCTCGCCCATGCGGCCTGCGTAGCACTCTCGCTCCGCCGCAGCTCAACGTCTCACACACTTCTCTTCGGATTCATTCAATTCTCAACAAACGCAGGCGGGAGGGTAGAGTAAACGCGTGAGGGAGCCCAGAGACACGAGCGCGGCGGAGAGAGATCGAATGAGGCAGGAGGAGGGAGCGCTTTATGCCTTGCCCTGCGCCTTGGCGGCCATGAGGTTGAGCGCGCTGCCGGCCTTGAACCACTCGATCTGGCCCTCGTTGAACGAGTGCTCGAGCGTGATGTCGTCCGACGAGCCGTCGGCGTGGTGCACCTTCATCGTCACCTTGGAGCCGGGCGCCAGCTCCTTGATGCCGATCAGGTCGACCGAGTCGTCGCCCTTGACCTTGTCGTAGTCGGCCTCGTTGACGAACGTGAGCGGCAGCATGCCCTGCTTCTTCAGGTTCGTCTCGTGGATGCGCGCAAACGACCGCACGATGACGGCGGCACCGCCCAGGTAGCGCGGCTCCAGCGCGGCGTGCTCGCGCGACGAGCCCTCGCCGTAGTTGTGGTCGCCGATGACGACCCACGGCTTGCCGTTGTCGCGGTAGTAGGCACCCGTGGCCGGCACGGCGCCCCACTCGCCCGTGAGCTTGTTCTGCACGTTGTTGGCCTCGCCGTTGACGTCAGACTGGAAGCGCGCGCAGGTCAGCAAGGGCGGAATGTATGCGCGCGCGGAAAGACACTCACGATGGCACCGATCAGGCACTGTAGAGAGAGAAAAGCGCGCGCAAAGAGTCAGCTCGAGCTCAGAGACGCCTGCTCGCTGTCACGCACGTTGTTAGAAATGTTCTGCAGGTGGCCGCGGTACTTGAGCCACGGGCCGCCGGCCGAGATGTGGTCGGTGGTGCACTTGCCCTTGGCCTTGATGAGCACGGGCATGTCCTTGGGGTCCTTGCCGTCCCAGGCCTTGAAGGGCTCGAGGAACTGCAGGCGGTCGGACGAGGGGTCGATGGCGACCTGCACCGAGGAGCGGTCCTCCGGCGGCGCCTGGAACGTGTTCTCGCCGGCGTCGTAGCCGCTCGGCGGCAGCTCCTTGCCCGAGGGGTCGCTGAACTTGAACTCCTTGCCGTCGGCGCCCTTGATCGAGTCGGTGAGCGGGTTGAACGTCAGCGAGCCGGCGAACGCCATGGCCGTCACGAGCTCGGGCGACGCGACGAAGGCGTGCGTGGCCGGGTTGGCGTCGTTGCGGCCGGTGAAGTTGCGGTTGTACGACGTGATGATCGAGTTCTTCTCGCCCTTCTTCACGTCCGTGCGGTCCCACTGGCCGATGCACGGGCCACAGGCGTTGGCAAGCACCATGCCGCCGGCCTTCTCGAGGATCTCCATCTGGCCGTCGCGCTCAATCGTGGCGCGGATCTGCTCGGAGCCGGGCGTGATCGTGAACTGCGCCTTGACCTTGAGGCCGTGCTCGGCGGCCTCGGCAGCAATCGAGGCCGAGCGGCTCATGTCCTCGTACGACGAGTTGGTGCACGAGCCGATCAGCGACACCTTGAGCTCCTCCGGCCAGCCGTTCTCCTTGACGGCAGCGGCGAACTTGGAGATGGGCGTGGCCAGGTCGGGCGTGAAGGGGCCGTTGATGTGCGGCTCAAGCTCGGAGAGGTTCTGCGCGGCGGAGGAGTCAGCATGCGCGCGCTTAACCGCTGCTGCCGCGCGCAACTCACGATCTCAATGTGCTTGTCGTACGAGGCGTCGCGGTCGGGCAGCAGGTTGCGCTGGAAGCCCTTGGCGAGCTCGGCGAGCTCCGGGCGGCGCGTGGCGCGCAGGTAGTCGCCCATGCGCTCGTTGTACGGGAAGACGGACGTCGTGGCGCCGATCTCGGCGCCCATGTTGCAGATGGTGCCCATGCCCGTGGCGCTCAGCGTCTCGACACCGGCACCCTTGTACTCGATGATGGCGCCAGTTCCGCCCTTGACGGTCAGCTCACCAGCGACCTTCAGGATAATGTCTGTGCGGCGCAAAGCGGGTCAGCGGCTGTTTCTGCTCCCAGACGCGCGCGCAAGCTCACCCTTCGGCGAGCTCCAGCCGCTCAGCTTGCCCTTGAGCTCGACACCGACCACCTTGGGGCACTTCAGCTCCCACGGGATGTTGGCCATGACATCGACGGCGTCAGCACCGCCGACACCGCAGGCGATCATGCCGAGACCACCGGCATTGGGCGTGTGCGAGTCCGTGCCGATCATGAGACCGCCGGGGAAGGCGTAGTTCTCGAGCAGAATCTGGTGGATAATGCCCGAGCCCGGGCGCCAGAAGCCGATGCCGTACTTGGCCGTGCACGTGGCGAGGAAGTCGTAGACCTCCTTGTTAATGTCCTTGGCGCGCTGCAGGTCCTTGGCGCCGCCGACCTGCGCCTCGATCAGGTGGTCGCAGTGCACCGTCGTGGGCACGGCGACCGTCGGGAGGCCGGCAGACATGAACTGCAGCAGGGCCATCTGGGCGGTAGCGTCCTGGCACGCGACACGCTGCGCGGGGAGAGAGCTGCATGAATGCCTGCGCTGTGCCGCACTGCGCGCCATCACTCACGTCCGGGCGCAGCTTGAGGTACGAGACACCGCGCTCGATGTCCTGGTTGCGCGCGTCGTCCAGGTGGCCGTACACGATCTTCTCGGAGAGCGTGAGCGGGCGGTTGAGGCTGCGATAAGGCGTGTGAGATGGGGCTGCGACTTGCGCGATTGGCGCTCTCTCTGCGCAGCTGCAGCACATGGCGCTTCCTGTGCCCACTCACCGCTCGCGCACAATCTTAAGGTTGTCCTCGATGCGCTTGTAGTTGACGTAGAAGCCCTTGCCCTTCTCGATGACGCTCATGTCGACCTTGCGGTCGAAGAGCTTGGGGTCGATCTCGGCGGCCTCCTCGGCGACGGTGGTGGCGTAGCCGCGGGCGGGCGCGGCGGCCGCACGGAGCGGCGCAGCGCGCAGCGCCGTGGTGCGCAGGGCGCGGACGGAGAGCATGGTGAGAGGGGCCAGACGGGGGAGAGGGAGAGAGGCGCGCGAGACGGGGAGAGAGACGAGAGACCCTCGAGGCGTGGGCGCAGCGGCTCTGGCGAGGCGGGTGCGGAGGGCAGGGATGGATGTGGACGGGAAGGAGGAATGCAGCGGTCGCCGGAGCGGTGTCTGCGGCAAGGCGAAGGCGTCGAGGAGGAGCGCGATCTCGGCGGGCAGCGGGCGCGGAGAGGCGAGCATCCACGGCGGCGGCGCAGAGCGGCGGAGTGCCCCGGGCAGCCGAGGCACCAAAGTGGCAGGCGGCGCAGGGCGCAGGCGCAGCGCCGGGGCCAGGCCAAGACGGCGCCCAGCGCCAGCACGCCGCCAGCGCAGCGCACCCGAGAGCCGCGCGCGCATGCACGCGCCTCACCCGCGCCTGCACCCGTGCGGCCCTTGCGGCACAACGCCTCTCTCTGCGCCGCCGCCGCGCTCCACGCTTTGCCCTTGCGCCCACACGCCTGAAAATCGCCTGCGCCTGGCTGGCCCCGCTGCGGCGCCTGCCCGCGTGGCTGGCGCTGCCCGCAGCTCCGCCTTTTCTTCTCGCCAGCGAGGTGCAGCGCGCAGCCGCGTGCGGCATCGCCCACGGGCGGAGGTGCAAGCGGGTGCAGGGTGCATGCGCGCGGCGCGCGGCAGGCGGCGAAGGCGGCGAGCGCTGCCTGCTGCCGGCCGCCGGACCGGCGCGGCGCACGCAAAGCCGGCGCCCGCTGCCTCCGCTGCCGCCGCGCGCGCCTCCAGCCAATGGGAGGGCGCGCATCGCCACGCAGGCGCACGTGATGCCTCCCACCCTCTCGTCGTGGCACGGGCACACAGAAGCTGCACACATGCGATGGACCCAGCGGATGGAGCATGCGGGGGACAGGCCGTCGCTCGATGTCTCAAGGGGCAGCGCATGCGGGCCCGGACGGCGCCTCTGCCTCGGCGTCGTCAGGGCATGACAGCTGGACAGCCGGCCCAAGCGCGTCCAGGCGACCTGATCCCAGGCAGCCGGTCCTGACTGCGCTGCGTGCCACAGGGCTGGTGCTGGCCGAGCTGGCCATCGCGCACTGCTGCCGCTGAGGCTCTTCACGCAAGCCTTACTCACGGCCTCGGACGGCTTGGCGCGTTCACAGCCGCACGAGCGTGACGGAGGCACGGCACATCCCCACCCCGTTCATGACATTTGCGAGGGCGGCTCGACCTGATGCATCTCTGCCAGTTTGAACTGCAGACAGCCGCCAGAGTGCCTGATGAGAGGTAGGGTGTGCCTGAGAACTTTGGCGCGAGCTCCGGTGCGAATAGCAGCCATAGCGAGGCTCAGCGGCATCAGGGCAGGCCGCAGAAGAGACAGTTTGTCTGAGAGAGAGGCGGCGGCGGCCCAGACACCGGGGCGTCGCGGTGAGGCCCCTAAACGCCTCCTCGCAAGGCAGCCGCACAGCAGCGCGAGGCGAACGAGGATGGTGTGTGATGCCGGCAGTGCGAAAGGCGCTGGAGGTGGAGGAGCATGACGATGCCTTGAGATGATCGCCGTGTACCCCACGCTCTGGCTGTAATCTCCGGAGCGGAGGGCTCGTGCGGCCGAGCCGTCTCTGCCGTGGGGTGAGCCGCGGGAGATCCGCCCTCGCGCGAAGCTTCCACGCGGCGTGCGGACCGGGCGTGACAGCCGGCCGGCCGGCAGTCGCGCGGCGGGGGGCAGTCGCGCGCCGCCGGCGGCAGGGTGGCGAGCGTGCGGGCGCAGCGCCGGCGCGGTCGCCGCCGAAGGGTGACGCGCCGCTCGGCCGGCCATCTGATGGTGAAGCTCGGGCAGCGCCCTCTCTCCGTCTCCACCCACCACATCCTCTCACAGCGCAAGCTCTTACATGCCCCTGCGCCTGCCTGCACTCTCGCACCTCCGCCTCACGCCTCGCACCCTCGCCCTCAGCCGCAGCAGCTCCAGCAGCCGCGCCTTCTCTCGCCGCGCCCACCAGCAGCAGCTCCCGCCGCCGCCGCCGCCGCGCGCCCGCCTCTTCTCCGCCGCCGCTCTCGCCGCCGCCGCCTCGACGTCCGCCAGCATGGCTCCTGCACTCAGCGCCGACTCCAAGGCTGCGCCCGGCGCGCCCGTCTACCAGGAGCACCGCATCGACACGGACCGGCCCAACGGCAATGGCGACGCCAACACGCACAAGGTCGTGAGTATGCCAGACGAGGCAGAGAGACGGCGTGCAACGTGCCAAGCGATGTGCGCACAAGGCAACCTTTGCTGTGCTTCAAGGTTGCACAGCTGCTTCATAGCTCGGCTTGAGCGCCGTGAGAAGGACATTCGACTGCGTAGCTCGGCAAGGGCCATTGGGCTGCGCGCAGGAGCCGACGTGGCTGTGGCGGCGCCGGCTGCTGGGCAGCTCGCATCCTCATCTGCCTTGCAGCGCTCATGCTCACCCTCGACGCTTCTCCAGGTGATCATCGGCTCCGGTCCGGCCGGCCACACGGCCGCCATCTACCTGGCGCGTGCCAACCTCGAGCCGATTCTCTTCGAGGTGCGTCGCCCCGGCCGCAGTCTCTTCCCTCTGCGCTTGCTGATGCGCAGACTTCGTGTAGGGCATGCTTGCGAACGGCCTCGCACCCGGTGGCCAGCTGACGACGACGACTGATGTGGAGAACGTGAGTGGCTTCGGTAGTGTGTAGACAATGGAATGCGTGCTGACGCTTCACCAACAGTTCCCTGGTGAGCAGATCAGACTCGAGATGAGCGGACGAGGCGGACCCAGGGCATGGGAGCTTGGTAGAGCAGCAAGGGCCAGTAGAGGCCAGGCTGTGCGGGAGAGAGGCAGGCCTCGCCGATGAGGCTACGCCGAGAGCAGGGTATGGCAGAAGCGGGCGACGTCGTGAGCGTGCACGCTGCGCTGCGCGTCAGAGCCATGTCAAGGGCTCGGCCTGCCGTCTATGACTCTCAGCTCGGCTGCGATTGCTTGCAGCATGCTGACGCCTCGCGTGTCAGGCTTCCCGGACGGCATTCGCGGCCCCGAGATCATGGACAAGTTCCGCGCGCAGTCGGAGCGCTTCGGCACGAAGATCTACACCGAGACGATCAGCAAGGTGGACCTCTCCTCGCGGCCATTCAAGTTTTGGCGCGAGGGCAAGGAGGACGAGCCGGCCGAGCTGGCCGAGACGATCATCATGGCCACGGGCGCGTCGGCACGGCGCATGGACCTGCCGGGCGAGGAGACGTACTGGCAGAGCGGCATCTCGGCGTGCGCCGTGTGCGACGGCGCGGTGCCGATCTTCCGCAACAAGCCGCTCGTGGTCATCGGCGGCGGCGACTCGGCGGCCGAGGAGGCCACGTACCTGACCAAGTACGGCTCGCACGTCTACGTGCTCGTGCGCCGCGACCAGCTGCGCGCCTCGAGCATCATGGCCAAGCGGCTGCTCAACCACCCCAAGGTCACCGTGCTCTTCAACCACACGGCCACCGAGGCCAAGGGCGACGGCGACCTGCTCACGCACCTGCGCATCAAGAACACGCAGACGGGCGAGGAGCGCGACCTCGAGGCCAACGGCCTCTTCTACGCCATCGGCCACGTGCCCGCCACGTCGCTCGTCAAGGGCCAGGTCGACTGTGACGAGGACGGCTACATCATCACGGTGCCCGGCACGGCGCAGACGAGCGTCAAGGGTGTCTTTGCCGCCGGTGACGTGCAGGACAAGAAGTACCGCCAGGCCGTCACGTCTGCCGGCACGGGCTGGTGAGTTCTCGCGTGGCGCTGTGTGCTCTGCCAGCTGCTGACTTCCTTTCCCTGCGCAGCATTGCCGCACTTGAGGCCGAGCGGCTACTGGCCGAGGAGGAGGAGCTGGCGGGCAGCCACTAATTCTTGCGCCGTGCTACCGCGATCCCGACTACAGCTCCTTGCTCCGTATCCTTCGAGAGGGAAGACAGTGACTGTGACGCGCCCATGTTTCCTTCCACCGGCTCTGCCGCACTAGAGCCACCAATGCATATCACTCTGAGCTATCTCTTCGACCGAGGCTTGCCGACGAGCGACGTCGCCTCTCGTGCGGAATGAGGCGTGTGCTCACACGATACCAGTCTGATGCTGTGAAGCGAGAGTTCGACAAGCTCATGCGACGACGAGGACGGCTGCGCACTGAAGACGCACAGACTGCCGTCACCCTTGTCAAGACGATCACAAGGAGTGTGTGTGCGATGCGCGTAGGATTGCAAGTGCTGCGAAAGGAGCAACAGCTGTGCGAGTGATGGCGAAGCAACGACGTGGGCAGCCTGGGGGTGCGAGTGTGCGAAGTGGGTGTGGGTGGAGAATCTGGGGTCGTCTCTGGTGCAGAGAGTAGAGCCAACTCGTCCGGCGAGGATGTAATTTTGGGTAGAGGATGATCGCAACACAGTGGGTGCGCACTCGCGAGGAAGGGGTGTGACGGAGGCTGGACGCTGCTTCTGTTCTGTGGCTTGGCGGTAGTACGCCAAATCACAGACGACGACCACGGCGACCGCCCTTGCGGCGCGTGCTGTCCGTCGGCACGGGCGTCACGTCCTCGATGCGGCCAATGCGCATGCCGGCACGCGCGAGGGCGCGGAGGGCCGACTGGGCGCCCGGGCCGGGCGTCTTGGTCGAGGTGCCGCCGGTGGCGCGCAGCTTGATGTGCAGGGCCGTGATGCCGACCTCCTTGCACCGCACGGCGCAGTCCTGGGCAGCAAGCATGGCGGCGTACGGCGACGACTCGTCGCGGTCGGCCTTGACCTTCATGCCGCCTGCGCTGCGTGTCAGCGGCGTGTCCAGATTTGCAGCACTCGGAACAGCATCCACACATGCTCTAGGGCGTATCCCAGCAAAGCGCGATCGCACGGCCCTCGGCGTCGCCTGCATCCGCACCAGCAGAGCACAGCCTGTCGCTGCCCATTCCTGCGATGTTGCCCTGCTCCCGTCCCTGCCGTCTCCTGTCCATGCCCTCGCTCTCCGCCCTCGGCCTGCCGCAGCACTCACCAGTGACACGCGAGATGGTCTCCTTGCCCGACAGGTCAGTGACGTGGACGAAGGTGTCGTTGAACGAGGCAAAGATGTGGGCCTGATCGCGTCACACAAAGAGAGAAAGAGAGAGAGCGGCAGGAGCAGCACAGACGAGGCAGCCGTCAGCACACCGCTCACCGCCGCACCGCACACACGCCGCACTCACGACGCCGAACACCAGCTCGCCCTCGCCGACCTGCGGGCCGAGCGAGACTTCCTTGGCGGGCTCCTTGGCAGCGACCTTCGGCGGCATTGTGAAGCTTGAGGAGGGAGGAGGAGGGGATGTGGTGGGAGCAGCGCAGGTGGCCGACGCCGCCGTTGGCCTCTCGCCGCATTCGCTGCTGCTGCTGCCGCCCGCCAGGCCCAGCAGCGCTGCCACGGCCGGCCAGGCGATCCGGCGGCGCCGCTTCTTCCTCGGCCGAGGCGCGCCAGCTGTCGTGCGGCGCTGCCTGGCGGGCAGCGGGGGCCCGCGCGTGCGACTCCGCCACGCGTCTTCGCCGCAGCCGCAGCGCGGCCCGCCGCCTGAGAAGCAACGCCGCCGCCGCTGCCGCCGCCGCTGCAGCAGCGTCAAGCGCCGCCCAGCGCTCGCCGCCCTCCCTCTCTCCCCAACCCCTCCGACACCCTCAAGGTTAGTATGCCTCGTCCTCGCCTTGCTCGGCCCCTCGCACCACCTACGCATTCTCTCTGGCGGCACGAACACCGCTATCTCGCTGCGCTGGGCGCCGAGCCGAGCCGCTCCAAGGCGCCGCTGCACCTCTTCGCCTGGCTCAGCACTGCTGCGCCGCATGCTGCCGACGCACCGCTGCGTCGTCCAGCTCGCAAAGCGCACGCCATGCGAAGCACAGTCTCTGCTGGCGCGGCCCTGCTGGTCGCCTGCCAGAGCGTGGCGGGCGTCGGCCAGCCCGGCGAAGATCTCAGGGCCTTACGAGGCAGTTCAGCAGCAGGGCAGTGCTTGGAGCGGCATAGGCACAAGGCATGGTGGTGCCATTGCAGGAGCGATGCGGTTAGAAGATCGGGCTTGCGGGCGCTGCTGGTGCTGCACAGAAAGGGCAAGGAGGACTGGCGGGCGAGCGGCGGCAACAGAATTTGGCTGGGCGGCCGCTCGTCGGCGTGCAGCGCGCTGGCATGCGGCGCAGCTGGTCTACGTGCCGGCAGCAGAGAAGTTGCGCTCCGTTCTCCTCTCCATCGCTCCTTGCCGCACGGCTGCTGACCGTCACTTTGCGTTTCCAGATGGCCGCTGCTCGTCCGACTGTCTCCGTTCGCGGCCTCGACGGCGCCGCCTCGGGCTCGCTCTCGCTGCCCGCCGTCTTCACGGCGCCCATCCGCACGGATGTGATCGCCGCCATCCACAAGAACATGGCCAAGAACAAGCGCCAGCCGTACGCCGTCGCCACCAACGCCGGCCACCAGACCAGCGCCGAGTCGTGGGGCACGGGTCGCGCCGTGGCCCGTATCCCGCGTGTTGGCGGTGGAGGTACCCACCGCTCCGGCCAGGTGAGTTGCGGCAGATGATGCATGAGCAGGGGCAGAGAGATGGCGTGCGAAGGGTGTCGCAGCGGGCGGGCGCGGCGCGGCGTGCTCCAGCACAGATCAACAGCACACAGCACATGCTCGTCCTGGCACCTTTACGTCTGCATCGTACTTACGCTTCTCCTCCAGGCCGCCTTCGGCAACATGGCCCGTGGTGGTCACATGTTCGCGCCCACGAAGCTGTGGCGCCGCTGGTTCGTCAAGTCGAACCAGAAGCAGAAGCGCTACGCCACGGCGTCGGCCCTCGCCGCCACGGCGCTGCCCTCGCTGCTGCTCGCGCGCGGCCACCGCGTCGAGGAGATCGAGGAGGTGCCGCTCGTCGTCGCCAACGAGGCCGAGTCGCTGACGAAGACCAAGGAGGCCGTCGCGCTCCTCAAGGCCGTCAAGGCCTACCCCGACGTCGTCAAGGTCGCCAACTCGCGCAAGATCCGCGCCGGTGTCGGCAAGATCCGCAACCGCCGCCACACGCAGCGCCGCGGCCCGCTCGTCGTGTACAACGAGGACAAGGGCATCGTCAAGGCCTTCCGCAACATCCCGGGCGTTGAGCTCGTGTCGGTGCACCGCCTGAACCTGCTGCAGCTCGCTCCCGGTGGCTCGATCGGCCGCCTCTGCATCTGGACCGAGGCTGCCTTCAGCCAGCTGGACAAGGTCTTCTCCGAGGAGGGCAAGAAGGGCTTCACGCTGCCGATCGCCAAGATCAGCAACACGGACGTGACGCGCCTGATCAACTCGGACGAGATCCAGAGCATCGTGCGCCCCGTCGCCGGCGGCTCGCGCACCAAGCGCCCGCACACGCAGAAGAAGAACCCGCTGAAGAACCGTGCCCTCATGGCGCGCCTCAACCCGTACGCCGCCGCGGCCGTGCGTGCCGAGAACCGCAACACGGCGCAGCGCAAGGCTGGCAAGCTCGGCAAGGCCGACAAGAAGCAGCCGCGCACGCCCGCCTCGGCCGAGTTCCTCGCCCAGCTGCACGCTCCCTAAGCAGCAGCTGCGCGCCCATCATGTGCTGCTAGACGTGCGCCGACGAGAGTGATTGCCATTTCTTGACGCCGTCTTTCTGCACCCCGTGGCAGCGGCATGCGAGCTCGCCGGGAGCCGTGTCTGCTCGCCCAAAAGGACGCCAAGGCCCACCATGCTGGTGTCCGTCTCCACTCGGTGTCTCGGCGCGGCTGCGTCGGCGGCACCGGACCCATACACACCCCTCTCCGCACACCCACACATTTCACCCCACCCACACTTCCTTGCATGCCTCTTTCCTTGTATGGCTACTACTCGACTGCGACGCCGAAAAAGCTCATTTGACCAGCCTGCGCGTGCGTGCGAGCTCGAGAAGCGCAGCTCAAGCGATGCGAGACGCGGCTCAGGTGCAGCAGAGCAGAGCAAGGCTGGCGCCGAATCTTCTCGCGTCTGCCGGCATTAGAGGCACCGCGTCGGCCACGTGAGCGCGCATCGAGCACGCCATCGTGTCTGCGATGGCGCAAATCTCCACCGCTCCACCTCGCGGCACGGCGTCTCCTGTCATCCATCGAACCGCGCCGGAGGGGCAAAGGCGAGGCCGAACAGGCGCCGCTCAGCGGGCAGCCGCACAGCCGCGCAGCCGCAGAGGCCGGCCGGCAGCGCTGCCCGCTCCACCGCGCACCGCCCGAGCACCGGCCGCACGCCGATCTGCAGCGGCCGCAAGCCACGCTCCGTCCGGCGCGAAGAAGGGACCGCGACGTCAGCCTCTGGCGGTGTCGTGCGTGGCCTCAAATACCCAGCAGCGGCCCTTGTCTCCACTCCACACACTCCTCCGAGCCACCTCACACCCATCCACCTGCACCATGCCCGCTCCCACCGCCGCCTCGGGCTCCGCGCCCTTCAGCGCCGCGTCGCAGATTGCAAAGGTCGTGCAGAACCTCGACGCCGTCAACGCCTCGCTGCGCGACGCCGAGCCGCAGCAGATCCTCGAGTGGGCCATCGACAACCTGCCCGGCCTGTACCAGACGACGGCGTTCGGCGTCACCGGCTGCGTCACGCTCGACCTCGTCAGCCGCATCAGCCAGCAGCGCGCCGCGGCCGCCGGCACGGTGAGTGGTGACGAGGACCAGTGCGGCAGCAGCAGTAGCTCACCCTCTTCCTCCAGCCGTCCAAGCACCTCGTGCCGCTCATCTTCATGGACACGCTCTACCACTTCCCGCAGACCGTCGACCTGGCACAGCGCGCCGCGCAGCACTACGCCGCGCCCATGCACACCTACACGCCCGCCGGCACGCCCGACGTGCGCGCGTTCGAGGCGCAGTGGGGCCCGCAGCTGTGGGAGCGCGACGAGGACACGTACGACTACGTCGTCAAGGTCGAGCCGGCACGCCGCGCCTACGAGGAGCTCGGCGTGCGCGCCGTCTTCACGGGCCGCCGCCGCAGCCAGGGCGCGGACCGCGCGTCGCTGGCGGCCGTCGAGGTCGACGAGACGGGCCTCGTCAAGGTCAACCCGCTGCTCAACTGGAGCTTCGGCCAGGTCGACGGCTACGTCAAGGCCAACGGTGTGCCGTACAACGAACTGCTCGACATGGGCTACAAGAGCATCGGCGACTGGCACAGCACGGCGCTGCCCGGCAGCGGCGACGGCGAGCGCAGCGGCCGCTGGAAGGACAAGGGCGGCAAGACCGAGTGCGGCCTGCACAAGGACTACTTCAAGTTCAAGAAGGTCGCCGAGAAGAAGATGCGCGAGGCCGAGCTGGCGCGCCGCGACGAGGCGCGCGACAAGGCAGAGGCCACCGCCGAGGGCGCAGAAGTCGCCGCCGCCACGGCCACGACGGCCTGAGCTCGCCGCTGCCACGGCCACGACGGCATGAGGTCGCCGCTGCCACGTCTGCGACGGCCTCATGCCCTCGCACTCTCTCTCTCTCTCTCGCTTCTCATTCACGACATCTCGAGCGCCGCTGAGCGCGCGCACACTCAAAAGTTACCCCTTCCGGTCACCGTCATCTGTCCCTCTGTATTCCTGCACTGCTCCGGATGCGCACAATCAATGCTCAACACACGGCGTCGCGACTGAAGTGGGAGAGTTGGGTCACAGGATGGCATTGCGAGCGCACACACAGCGGGCACGGCACTCATGCGAGGCCCTGCTGCTTCATCCAGTCGGCCTTGGAGATGTACGTGACCGTGGGGCCGACGGGCTTGATGGGCAGGTTCGAGCAGCGGCGCTGCGCCTGCGGCTGCTGCTGGCGGCGAGCGAAGCCCTGCGTCGGCTGCGGCACGTCGCGGCGCGTCACGTATGTCGCCTGCGGGCCGATGGGGCCCACGGGCGTGTTGTCGCACGGCTGCTCAGCACGACGCCACGAGGCATCGGCGCCGTGCCACTGGGCGCGGCGGTGGTGGAAGTCGACGACGTCCGATGCCCGGCGCATGTCGTACTCCACGCCCGTGCGCTCGCCGACGTCGCGGCGCGCGGCGATGAGCGTCGGCGAGCCGCCGTTGGGGCCGTAGAGCGGCGCCGTGGTCTGCGTGCAGGTGAAGCTGGCGCCGTCGGGAGCACGGCGGGTGTTGCCGTAGTGGCTGTGCGAGGAATACGGTGTAAGCTCAATGCTGCGAAGGCTTTGTGCGCGCGACACCACTTACCAAGTCGCGCCCGTGATGGCCTTGTACGACGTGATGTCCGCGCCGCCCGGCGTGGCCTCGAGGCGGCCGGGCTGGTCGCTCGTGATGGTGTCGCGGCGCAGATTGGCGAGGCCGATGACGCCGCTGTAGCCCGTGGGGCCGTACGTCGGGTGCGACAGCTGCTTGCAAAGCACCTTGGCGTTGCCATCGCGACGCTGGTTGCCAAAGTAGCAGTCGGCGCCCAGCACGCTCTGGTCAGTGATCACGTCGCGCTTGCCGGCCTCGGCGTGCGGGTTGAGGTCGCGCTCCTCGGGCTCGACGGTGCCGTCGGCGCGCGCCTTGACACACTCCATGCCGCGCCGGCTCGTGCCGAAGTGGCACGACGAGCCAATGACGCTGCCGCCCTTGTTGCCTTCGCGGATGACGTCGCTGACGTAGTTGTCGTTGGGTGCGCCCGATGCGTGCCAGCTCTGGCCGACGACGCTGCCGCTGGCGTCGACGGGGAGCGAGTTGACCTCGGCGCGGCGTGCCACGTTGGCGATGCCGGCCTCAATGGTGGCAAGAGCGTCGCTGCGGCGCATGAAGGCCGCCGCCTCGTCGACGTCGCGCATGTTGTACGTCACCGGCGCGCCGTCCGGGTAGCCAGTGTTGCCGGCGTGGCAGGTGATGTGGGCGCCGTCGGGCTCGTAGCCACAGCGAGCCGCCTCGGGAATGGCGGCCCGCGATGACGCGGCCGCGAGCACGGCGAGGAGGAGAACTGCCTTGTTGTTGAACATGTCGGAGAGATGTGCTACCAGAGCAGAGAAGAGAGGGTATGCAAGATGCAGAGAGAGTATGAGTGAGGCAGACCGGCTGCGAGAGAGAAGACAGAGAGAAGGTGACCGAGGTGAGGGGATAAGAAAGCCATTGCACGGCGGAGCGCTTCTTATACGTATGCACGCCACACTCTGCCAACGTCCGGGCTTGTCGATCACTGGCGGTGAGGGTGAGATCTCACAAGGTCGCTGCGACGCCATGTGCCATGTGCCTCTCTGCGATGCCACCCATGCGGCACCCGCTGCTGGCGGCGGCGCAGCGCTGCGCCGTCGCTACTTGCTGACTTGGCGCGGTCGTGTCTCAGGTCACCTGCGCCGCGAGCTCGCAGCTGCGCCTGCATGCCGCTGAGCGATGTCATGTGCCCTCGCACCGAGTCCAGAACGGCGGCTCGCCATGTGGAATGCAGCTGACTTGACGTTGCGGCGGCGGTGGTGGTTGTGCCGATGGGCGCAGCGCGTCCCACGCTAGCCGCCTAGCGCGCTGCGCCGCGCGGCGCTGCCGATGCTGCACACTGCGCCGACGCCCCATGGCGAGCACGTGGCACGCTGCTCGGCTCCGCCCGCCGGCTGCGACCACGAGGCTGGGCTGCGTGGAAGAGACTCGACTGCCGCCTGCATCCCGTAGCCGCACAACTCGACCGACCTCGTGGATGCAAGGCTGCAGCCGAGCGCCGTCGCAGCATCCACATGGCAACTGAAGGCCAAGCTCCGCGCGCGCGGCTTCGTAGGCGCAAGGTTGCCACCGGGCGCTGTCGTCGGCGTTCATTTGCCTCTGACCTCGCAGCCGCAGCTTGCATCTGGCAATGAGCTGCTGCATGCTGCGGCGCTTAGCGAGCTGCGCCCAGCGGAATCGCGATGGGCACCTTTGTCCGAGGCACCCAGCGCCGCGTGGCCGCGTGGCACCCGGCATCAGTGCCGCACCGTGAGCTGCGTTTGCCGCTCGCAAAGGGCCTCCGCCGGCTGTGGCACGCCTGCCATGCGCCGGCCTCCAGACATACATAAGCGGCCGCCTCGACGAGTTCAGGCCCTCTCTCCTCAGCAAGTCTCACTCCTTCACATCGTCTCTTCTTCTTCTTCTTTCGTCTCGCACAGCCGGTCTGTCGAGTCGCTTCTTCTTTTCTCTTCGCCTTCAACTCTTGCCTCTTTCAACCTCTTCTTTACCTTTTTCCTCTTCCATCAAGATGCAGCTCTCCGCCCACATCGTCTTCGCCGCCATCGTCGCCGGCTCCGCGCTCGGCGCGCCGGTGCCCGAGCCGCTCAAGAACGGCAAGCTGGGCTTCTTCGACAACAAGAACTCGGTTAAGCCCATCACCGCGATGGACAGCCACCTGCCGAAGCTCAACGGTGGCCTCGCACTTACCGCCGGTGGCCTCGGCATCGGCGCCGGCATTGCGGCGATGAACAACAACAACGCCGCCAGCGAGCCGGCTGCGGCCCCCGCCCCAGCTCCGGCGCCGGGACCGCAGCCCGCTGCGCGCGCTGGGCCCAAGCCTGTGGTGCCGCCCAAGCCGGCTTTCCTGCAGACGTCGTGGGGCGGCAAGAAGAACGGCGCGCTCAACGGCGGCATCGGAACAATTGCTGGTCTTGCCGGTGTCGGTGGCGCCTCGTACGGTCTCTACAACGCCCTCAACCCCGCCGACCCGGCGCCAGCGCCGGCGCCTGCTCCGGCACCCGCGGCTCGCGACCTGTTCGAGGTCGAGGAGCTGCAGCGCCGCCTTAACCCCGCCATGGGCGCCGGTCTTCTGATGATGGGCGGCCCGTCAATCCAGACGGGCAACATGGACGTGACGCAGCAGACGTGGCAGAAGGGTGCCAAGACGTCGGGCGCGACCTCGCGCCGTGACATCGACGACGACGCCGACCTGCTCAACCGCCGTCTGCTCAGCTTCGGCAACACGCAGCAGTCGCAGACGGCGCAGGGCGGCGCCGACGGCGGCAAGGCGTCGGGCGCCGCCTCGGGCACGCGCGGCTCTCTCTTCGCCGGCGGCGACAACGGCTCGGGCCTCTTCGGCCAGCCGATGATGGCGCCGGCCGCCGCTGCCAAGCGTCTCTTCGAGGAGCCGGCCGAGCGCGAGGTCACCATCGAGGAGCCGAGCCTGCAGCGCCGCCTCATGTTCGGCATCGACACGCAGAACCAGGACGTGACGCAGCAGCAGTGGCTTGTTGGCGGCAAGACGTCGGGCGCCACCTCCTAAGCTACTTGGTGGCTATGCATATTTGATCTGGAGGCGATGTGATCCAGTGAATACACTCTTTGCTCTTTACCTTCGCTCGTTCGTGAGATCGTAGCAGCCCGATTGCTAGTCGTGACAGCCGAGCGTCGCTTCTTCTCGCCTGATCGTAGTGGCCACTGCCCATGTCGCTCGCTTCGATTCCTTTGGTGCTACATCATGTTTCGAACCTTTGGCAGCAGAGTCCAGATGATGAGAGTCCAGATGATCCAGATGATGAGAGAGAGCAGAGTCCAGATGATGAGAGAGAGATGAAGGAAGAAGCCTGAGCTTCGTCTTCGCTTGGGCCACTTGATGCGCATGGCCTTCGTCTTGGCTTGAGTCAATCGATGCGCGATGCGCTGCACTGAGTCATGGACACCGATGAAGCCAGTGGGTTCGGTCCGACGACAGAGTCTACTGGGGCTGCAGCGCTGAGCGCTGCCTTGACATCTGCACGCCGCCTCCCAGCCGAGTGCACGCTGCCGGGCTGCTTGGCTGCACGCTCGACTATTGCACCTTGGCTCGCTTCGACTGCACGTGCAAGCGGTCTCTCACGTGCAGCTGGTACTTCGGTAGCTGTTCGGCTCAGCGGAGCGTGCCAGCTCGGCGGCGACGGCAGACCTTGCTGTCGCCGAGGCGCAAGATAGCGCGTGTGCGCTGCGCCGTGCGGGGCGCAGCAGTGCTGATGGCGTCAGGACTGCGCCGTCGGGACGAGGTGCGGCCGCACGGGCGTGTGTAGTCCACATGGCACGGTGCGAGCGCTGCAGAGTGACGAGTGCCGCGTGCCGCTGGCTTGGCTGGGCAGCGGCAACGTGGGGCGGAGCATGTGGTGCGAAGCGAAGGCGCAGCACGCGGAGAAATCGCCACGAGGTGGAGGCGCTGGCCCGACGGCAGGGCCGTGGGCGGCGCAGCGCGATCCCACGCTAACGAGCGGAGCATCTCGCGGCGCAGCGCACCGCGCGGCGCGGCGCGCGGTTCAGCCGTGCGTCGGCGTCTTTGCTGCGTCCAGCCAGCGCCACCTCGTGCGCTGAGCCGGGCGTGAAGCATCATCCTGCAGCTCACACCGGCGGCTGGCGCAGCACGCTTGCGCACTCCGCCCACTGCGCCAAAATGTATGGCCGCTCGGCGGCGGCGGCGGGCGTCGCTTGGCGCGCGCGCGACCGCGCGGTGCGGCACGCGCGCCAGGACGTATGGCGAAGCTGCCACAGACGTATGGCAGGGTGTACCATAGCAGAGCGTCTGACTTGCAGCGTTGCTCGGCGCTCGATGCCTCAGAGACATATAAGGCGCGGCCTCGACTCGTTTCCCCTCCTTTTTCTTCAGACAAGTCTCACCTCACACTCTCTCTCTTACTCTTCTTCTTCTCTCTCGAAAGACATCTGCTGGCCAGATCTTTCCTTCTACTTCTTCAAGTCTTCTAATCGCACCACACGCTTCACGCACCACTCTCCGCACTTCACCATGCAGTTCGCCAAGTCCGCCATCCTCCTCTCGGCCCTCGCTGCCGTTGTCGCCGCCGGCGACACGCAGACCATCACCTCGGCCGACCAGGACAACAGCAAGAGCACCACGTACCAGTCGGGTGCCGCCGGCATCGCCTCGTGCCGCCGCGGCAACCTCGACGCCATGGACCGCCGCTGGACGATCTCCACTGCCGGTGGCGGCGCGATCAACAACCAGCAGGGCGTGAGTGATCTCCCAGTCGCGGTACAGAGCCCAAACTGACCCCGACCCTCCAGCTGCTCGGTGTGTGCAACGTCGGCGAGCGTCGCGAGGAGCATGCCGATGCGCGCGACGTGAGCGAAGGCGTCCGTACGCTGGGTGTGCTCCAGGCCCGCGGCGGCGACAAGATGGACGTCCTCTCGGCGGACCAGGACAACAGCTCCTCGCAGACCTTCCAGACGGGCGCAGCCGGCATCAAGAGCTGCAGCCACGGCGCGATCGCTCGTGGCCTGGAGGCCCGCTGGGCGATCACGACCGGCTCCGCGCCCATCAACAACCAGCAGGGGTACGTCGCGACTTCTTCCCCATCCCTCTGCTCCTGCTCGTCGCGCCCTCTCCCATCCCCCTTCTCCTGCTCACGAGACCTCAACAAACAGTGTGGTTGGAGCCTGTAACGTGGGAGCTCGTGACGAGGCTGCTCTCCGCCACCTGGGAGTCATGACTCGCCGCTTTGCCGCCCGCGGCCTGTCGGCTGAGCACCAGGAGCGCGCGGTCGAGTACCTGCGCCGCGAGGCCCAGGACCTGGACCTCCTCGCCTAAGCGCGTGCCACGATAGAAACTTGAACCTGAGTTCTCTTGTCTCCACTTCAACCGTCCACATTCGCCACCCATGTAGACCTGCCCACCGAAGTGCAATGAAGAGAAGCAGTTTGAGAGACACCACCTTGTGATCGCGCCGCGCATTCTTCTTTTTCCCTTCCGAGCGACTTTCGCCCTCCTTCCTCTATGTATTCAGGCCAGCGACCTTTGCGCTGCAGCAGTCCTATTCGATTGGTTCCTGACATCATACTCCTGGCTGAAGCGTTCTGTCCATCACACCAGGCCTACGCACTGCACTCGCGTCTTCACCTTCGCGCGTCCGCGCGTCAACGCGGGCCGCGCCGCGCGCCACGCCGGCCTCTCGCCTGCCTCCGCATGCAACTTGCTCTCTGCTTGACTCGACCCTGCTTCTGAATTCTCCATATCTCTGACCTGACATTCAATTTCGCACCTTTCGCCTCTCGCACGACGACGGCACGACGACGGGCCACGAGTCGCATGAGTGCGGCGCAGGGACTGCTGCGACGTCAGGCTGCGCTCTCTATGCAGCGCGAGCGTCGCTACTCAGCCCGGAGCATCTGTAGTCGGATGACCAGTCGGCGCTCTCTCACTCTGTGAGTCCTCGCGCCACGCGCACATCTCACAAGCCGCCGCACAGACACGTTCAACTCGTCAAAAAGTCATAACAATGCGATGCAGCGCAGCAGCCTCCGGGCGGGCATGCTACTGAACCTTCTTCATCTCTGCCAGCTGCGCCTGAGCCGGCTGCTGTTGCTTCGACTGCTGTCCATCCCAGCCGCCGGCGCCCTTGCCCTTGCGCTTGATGCGCGCCCACAGGCCGCTCTCGCTGCCGAGGATGAACTGCAGCGTCACGAGCGGCCAGCTCTCGTGGCGCGGCAGCACGTCGTAGAACTCGGGCGCGGCGGCGCGCAGCGCCGGCAGGCGCGACCAGGGAATCGAGGGAAAGTCGTGGTGCTCGTTGTGGTAGCCGACCTGTGCGAAGTGTCAGCCTTTCTGCATGAGGTGCCCTGCATGTGGCAGCTCACGTTGTACGCCAGCGCGTTAAGTGGCCCGTAGTAGCTCCACGTCTCCTGCCCGACGCCGGCAAACATGTAGTGCTCGGCGATGAAGTGCGCGGCGCAGGGGTGTAGGCTGCCAGCAAAGAACGACGAGGCGATCAAGTAACCCCAGGCCGTCCAGCCGGCTGCTGTGATCAGCGCGTAATTGAAGAGTAGCTGCACAGCAATGTTGATGCCCAGCCACACCGTCGGCTTCTGCTGCTTGACAAAGCCGGGCCGCAGGGCGTAGAAGAGGATCTGGAACGTGCTGCAGGGCGTCCATGAGCTGCAAGGTCACACAGCAACGTCGATCACGCCGCTGCACTCACGCGAAGAACGCCTTGCCCGCCACATTGTTCAGGAAGAGCATCTCGAAGCGCGTCGGCAGGTCCGTGTCGATGCCGTCCTCGCCCAGATGCTTGTGGTGCTCAATGTGGTACGGCTGCGCAAAGGATCAGCAACGCGCCATGAGCATGCGTGTGCTGGCGCTCACCTTGAAGAGCATCGAGTACGGCACGCCGATGCAGCAGTTGACCAGCACGGCGAGCGCCTTGTTGGCACGCAGGCCGCGAAAGGCGAGATTGTGCGTAATCTCGTGGATGGCAAGGAACGTGTTCTGGTTCGCCGTGCCGCCGACCACGTACGCGACGAGCAGCAGGCGCCAGTCATTCCAGGCGAAGCCGGCGCGCCCAAAGTACACGGCCAGCGCCGTCTGCAGCGCCAGCACGGCACAGGCAATGTACTTGGTGCGCGGCTCGTGGCCCATCAGCGCACGCACCTCGGGGTGCGCCGCGAGGATGGCACGCCGGCGCGAGCGGTGCGGCTCCTCGGTGTGCAGCCAGAGAAAGTCGACGGGCTCGGCGGCGCTGCGGGCGGGCACGAGCTGCGGCAGCCAGTCGGTGCCCTTGGGCGCACGCTTGGCCGCGTCGGCGGGCTCGTCGGCGTCGCTGGTGTCGCTGGTGCGGCTGGAGTGCAGCGACGAGCCGCTGGGCGTGAGGCGCGCGTCCGAGTCGTCGGCGGACGAGAGCGACGAGGAGGAGGGCGAGGCGGCGAGCGGCACGCTGCGGGCCGGACCAGCGGCCGCAGCAGCAGCCGGCGCACGTGCGGCCGGCGGCGCCGTCGACTCTGCGCCGCCGTACAGCGACCAGTCGACGTGCACGGAGGGCGAGCGCATGAGGGAGAGGCCCATGGCGCGAGTGAGGGAGTGGGTGGATGGCACGGCCGAGCGGAGCAGGGTGGGGCGCAGAGGCAAGAGTGCGACACCCATGCGAAGGCGAGGTCAAGGCCAGCCAAGCCGAGCGCGTGCCGAGCCTGGAGCCCCTCGCCTCGCTCGGCGTCTCGCCGCCTGCCAGCACACCGCCGGTGTGCCGTGGCTGTGGCGCGCGTGTGCTTCCTGGCTGTGCTGCCAAAAGTAGCACCTGCGCCCGAATCTTCGCGTGCCGCCCGCCACTCGACTTCAGGCGAGTCTGTAGTGCGCCTTATCTAGCCGAGGCCGGCCAACTCAAGCCACCGGCGAGGCGCATGACTCGCAGCGGCCGTGCATTCTTCCAGCTTCACCCTCACACACCCATCACCATGTCGCCCGCCGCCAGCAGCAAGAAGCGCGTCGGCATCCTCGGCGCCACCGGCACCGTCGGCCAGCGCTTCATCCTCCTCCTCGCCGCGCACCCGCACTTTGACATTGCCGTGCTCGGCGCCAGCGCCGCCTCGGCGGGCAAGACGTATGCGCAGGCCACGACGGGCCGCTGGAAGCAGGTGCACCCCATCCCCGCGCATGTGGCGGACATGCCCGTCGGCGACTGCGACGTGAAGCGCTTCATGGACTGCGACGTCGTGTTCAGCGGCCTGGACTCGGGACCGGCGGCAGAGTACGGTGAGTGGCAGCACAAGGAGCACGGCAGGGACAGATGAGGGCGCAGCAGCAGCGATGGTGCCAGAGAGCACCGGCGCAGCCTCGCTTCGGCCGCTTTGCACTCCAGTGTTTGCCGTGTGGGGCTCACACCTCGCTGGTCCTGCAGAGCACGTCTTCCGCGAGGCCGAGCTGCGCGTCTTCAGCAACGCCAAGAACTACCGGCAGGACCCGCTGTGCCCGCTCATCGTGCCGCTCGTCAACACGCAGCACCTGGAGATGGTGGCGCACCAGCGCAAGACGCTCGGCCTCAAGCGCGGCTTCATCGTCACCAACGCCAACTGCAGCACCACGGGCCTCGTCGTGCCGCTCAAGGCCCTCGAGGCCAAGTTCGGCCCGCTCGACATGGTCCTCGTCTCGACGATGCAGGCCATCTCCGGCGCCGGCTACCCGGGCGTGTCGGCGTTCGACGTGCACGACAATGTCGTGCCGTACATCTCGGGCGAGGAGGAGAAGATCGAGATGGAGGCGGCCAAGATCCTCGGCAGCATCAGCGCCGAGTCGGCGTTCGTCGACAACGCGCTGCGCGTCTCGGCGCACTGCAACCGCGTGCCCGTCATCGACGGCCACACCGAGTGTGCCTCGGTGCGCTTTGCGCGGCGGCCGGCGCCGAGCGTCGAGGAGGTCGTGCAGGCCATGGAGCAGTACCGCTGCGAGGCGCAGGAGCTGGCGTGCCACAGCGCGCCCGAGCGCGCCATCATTGTGCACAAGGAGGTCGACCGGCCACAGCCGCGCCTCGACCGCGACGCACAGAACGGCGCCGGCGTCAACGTGGGCCGCATCCGCAAGTGCCCCGTGTTTGACATCAAGGTGAGCATCGCCGCGGTCCCCTTCGCCTGACCTCACGTGTGCTGACTGGCGCCACGCAGTTTGTGGTGCTGAGCAACAACGTCATGATCGGCGCGGCGACGTCGAGCGTGATGAATGCAGAAGTGGCACTTGCAAAGGGCTACCTGGACTAGACGCAGCGCTGGAAGTCACCCAAAATTAAAGACCGTCATCATCCTGCTGCCTTGGCCTCGTGATCCGCGACAGCCACCTCTGAATGAGTGCACGCTTCACAGCGTGGCCCAGTGTGTTCACCTGTGCGAGGTCAGACTCGCGAACCGCACTCGCCTCAGAGCCGGACAGCTTTTGCTGTGACTCGACAGCCGACTGCCCAGACGTGGCAGCTCTTCCAGCGCTGCTCACGCCCGCACTGCGGAGACGCACGCGGCTGATAATCAGGGCGGAGCCAGGACAGTCTCTACGCGCGCCCGACGCTCCCAGCAGACGTCGTTCCGCCCACACCGCATTGCGAGCGGGTGCCAGCCCGACGACCTCACCATCTCGTTCACGCCCGCACCGCCGCTCTGCCCGCTCCCGATCCCACTCTCTCTCGCTCTGTCCCAACCTGCTCGACCTCCACCTCTCGCTCCGTGTCTCATCGTATAGAACAGAGCATGAACCATTGCCTCGCCTCCCCCTCATCGGACGCCGCGAGCCAGTGGAGTGACCAGGGATCACATTTTAGGCCTCGGTGATCTCACGCAGACGACGGATGGTGCTGTGGGAAGGGCGCAGGGTGTGAGCATAGCTCCGAGAGAGACGTCTAGGCTAGCGCAGCAGCACGGCGGGCGCAGAGCGGCGGACCTCGTGCAACGCGGACTGCGGCGCGACACCATCTGCCCAGCTGCATCGGTGCGGCGCTCTATGCGCCACGTAGACAACAGCCCGCCCAGCCTGCGTGCGTGTCTGCTCGGCCTGAGGCGTCTTGCCGCCTAGACCCGCGGCGAGCAGTCGGGCACTCGAGCGCGTCCCTCCGCAAGCTATCGCCGACACGCTGGAAGCGCCTAGCTCGGGCATGCGTCGCATCCGAGTGCGCTGCGAGGCGCAGAGATGCACCGCCGCCGTGCGTGCATAATGCGCAGCTGCGTCGGCCAGCTTTGCTCGCAGCTGCCCTCGGATGGCAGCGTCCTGCGCTGGCGGACCGCGCGCAGACGAGACCGCAGTCTGCATACGCAGCAGTGCAGAGCGCTATGCCCGGGCGCAGCGCTGCTCGGGCACGCCGCAGCGTGGGCCTGCACGCTGGCACATCTCTCGCATGCGGCTCTCTGCTTCTCACTCCTGCTGCCTCGCTTCTGCCACTTCGCCAGCGCTTCTTCCTCCGTGCCTTCTCCCTCTCTCTGCGCCACGCTGCCCATCCCTGCCCTGTTCCGTCGCATCCACCTCTGCGCTTGTCACTTCGCAACTCACCTGCGGACCGTGGCTGCGGCAGTGGTGGAGAGGGTCCATGCGCCGCCGGCGATGACCTTCTTGCAGGAGCGGCACTCCCAAATGCCGACGGCCTTGCGCTTGACGCTGTCCTTGCCGCAGAAGGCGCACGTGTAGCGCGAGTGCTGCGAGATCTCGATCTTCTTGACGCCCTTGCGCAGCGACGCACCGTAGCGCGTGCCGTACTTGCCCGTGATACCGACCTCTGCGCGGACACGGAGGGCGTGTCAGGAGCAGCCCAAGAGCACTCGTCGCCGTTTCACCAGCATCGCAACCGCGGAGCACCCGGACAGTACTGCCACGCCTGCATGCTCCATGCATGTCCCACACCGCGCCCGCCGCGCATACTCACTCTTCGTGCGGGCAGCCATTGTGGAAAGGGATGCGGGTGGGAGAGGGTGTGGGAGACGGGAGCAGGCGCACGGCGGACGAAGGCTCCGCGCCGCCCGCGCCACCCGCCAGAAGCCGCCGCCGCGCCCGGCTTGAAATGCACGCCGCGCCGCTTGTATTCGCGCGCGGCGTTGTATTCTCGGCTAGCTGGCTGCGGCGCCGCAGCACGCGCCCCTCGCAGGCGCGCGCAGGGCGGCATCGCATCGCCGCAGAGCGCCGCGCCTGCGCAAAATTCGCCCATGCATCGCGCCGCTGCTCAGCTCGATGGTCGGCTCCGATCTTTGCTCATGCGATGCTCAGGGCATCTCCGGCGGCAGCTGCGAGCCAGTGACTCGACGCTCTGCGGATGTGGTCGTGTGCTGTCGCCGAGGAGGGAGGGATGCCGAGAAGAAGAAGGGTGCACGTGACCAGGAAGGAGCTGAGCGTGGGAGCAGCCGCCCGTCCAGGCCGCCGCGTGGGCGTCAAAGTGCCTTCCCCCTGACGCCGCCTCGAGCGCCGAAGCACCAGACGCCGTGTCTGGACCCCCGCTCGCGGCTCGGCGGGCCGAGACAAACCAGCTGCGAGGGCGTCAGGAGTATCTTCGGGTGCGCCTCTACGATCGAGGTCGAGCTCCAGGCACGAGGTCGGCAGTGGCAGCGGTTCGGCGCTGCCGTGTGCGCGCGTTGCTGGAGCGCCCCTGGGCGTCAGCACCACGCCCAGGGGTGCGGCGCAGTTCAATGACTGCGCCGTCATGTGCCGACGTGCCGGTGCGGCGCAGGGCGCTCTCTCCAGGCAGCGGCACTCGCAGCCCTCCGGCGCAAGGCTCACCTCACGAGTGCGCTGCTCAACAAACATAAAAGGCCGCCCTGCGCTGCTTCGTCCGCTGTCTCGTCGTCTCCGCCAGCCTCACAAGCCTCAGCTCAACCAGCCTCACCGCTCTCGCACACCACCTGCTCGCCGGACGAGCATCTGTCTGTGCCAGTCACTCCAACTCGTCTCTCACGCATCTGTTCGCGCCTCCGCCGCTCAAGCCATCGCCTCGCGCCTCCTCTCAGCTCTCACCGCACCGCAACTCCATCGCCTCCACTCAGTCTGCACTCCGTCATCTCGCTCAACGCTCGCGCTCCCTTCTCCGTCACCGCGCCGTACCTCAACCACGGCGCCGTCTTCGGGCCTCCCAAGTTCAACGGTCGCGCCGTGCATCCCTCGGTGGACCCGCACACCACTGGCCACGGCATGTACGCCACCGACGACATCATCGACGGCCGCGCCGTGCACCCCAGCCAGTCGCTCATCAGCCAGAGCAAGGTGCAGAAGTCCGAGCCCGCCATCTACGGCGGCCAGGAGTACGCCACGATGCAGCCGTACGAGGGCCGCGACGAGCCCTACACCACGCAGCCGTACATCGAGGGCCGCGACGAGTACGTCGTGATCCAGCCCTACGAGGGCCGCGACGTGCAGGAGTCGCTCGAGCTCCCGGTGCGCCGCGACGGCGACGCGTCCTTCCTGCAACCCGATCGCCGTCAGGAGCCCTCCACGGGAGGCAATGACGACGGGCCAAACCATCGCCGTCGTCAGGAGCAGTCGCCGCTTCGCCGCGAGGACGATAATGCGCCAGTTCTCAACGGCCGCCAGGAGCACACGCATCCTATCGGAGGCCATGTTCCTCGCCGTCGTCAGGAGTACTCGACGCAGCCGGCCATCAACGGCCGCGATGAGGTCTACTACATCCAGCCGGCCACGGAGCGCCGCGACGAGGTCTACTATATCCAGCCGGCCACGGAGCGCCGCGACGAGTTCTACTCGACGCAGCCGTACGTCGAGGGCCGCGCCGACCTGCCCAAGCGCCCCCCTTACGGCCGTTCGGACGCCTCGGAGCAGCCCGCCAGTGGCCGCTACATGGACATCTCGCACCTCGCTCTGCCTCGCCAGGAGTACTCGACGCAGCCGTACATCGAAGGCCGCTCGGGTCTTTCCAAGCGTCCGGTCACGGGCCGCCCCGGCCTCTCCACCCGTCCCTCCCGCGGCGGCCGCTACACGGGCGCGAGCTTTTCGCAGATGGCTCTGCCCCGTCAGGAATACACGCCGCAGCCATTCGACGGCCGCGACTACTCCACGGAGGCCGTCATCAACGGCCGCGACTACAATACGGAGCCTGTGATCAACGGCCGCTCCCTTCTGTCGCCCGAAGGAGAGCTCAACCTGCGCGACCTTATCTACAGCCGCGACCTCGACAGCGAAGTGTACGCTGCCCGTTCCCCGCTGTCGACGCGCATCGGCGCGCGCGAGCTCGCTGACGGCCCGACGCTGTACATCATCGGCCAGCACGAGCCGGAGGACGCACACGTTGCTCGCCGCTCGCAGGGCCACGAGGCCCGCGGCGGCACCCTGCACACCATCACGCGTGCGCCCGGCACCGAGTACCAGCATGTGCTCAACTGAGCAGCCGCCGCGGCTGCACACATTCATGACCTCTCACGACCGTCCTCAACGCCTGCTGGTGTTAGAACTAGCCGTTCCTCCGTACGAGTCCCTTCCCCTCCACCAAGGCGCGGCACTCCCACTCTCCCACCTCAGACGCTTCAACGCTCGTCACTCACCCTTCCTCGTCCGCGCCACACACTCCTTCTGTCACCCTTCTCGCGTCTCGGGCGCTGCTGTCGACTGATCATCGAATTGTATGCGCTTCGTCCCTTCACTCCTGCATGCCCAGGCAACGCTCGACCATTGCGCGCTCCTGCTTGCGCATCTCCATCACCGTCACGATGAGCGAGGCGACGGGCTCGGGAGCGACGGCGTCCGCAGCTGGGACGACTGGCTCGCCAGCGCCGTCTGCGCTCGGGCTCTTGTGTGATGGCGGAGCTGCATGCTGCTCAGCCGCCGGATTGGTCGTGCCGGCGCTGGCTTCGACTGAAGGCGTGAACTCCGGAAAGAGCGGAGGCAAACGGCGGATGAGGCTCCGTGAGCTTGTAGCATCTACAGCGGCTGCGCCAGCCTGCGCGAAGAGCGGAGCGCGCTTGAGCTTGGTGTGCGCCTGCGCGGCCTCCTCCAGGCCCGGCACTCGCTCGTGCGCAAGAGACGTAGGCAGCGCAACGGCGCGAGGCGCCCGTGCACGATGGTGCACGGGAAACGCGGGACGACGAGTCTGCTCCGCCGGCGCCGCGGCGTGCGAGCCCGGCAGTAAGCTCTGCAGAAGGCGTCTTGCACGAGGCTGGGCCGCGGCCAGCGCAATGTCGAGGACCTCGCTGTGCGTCGCGGCCTGCTGCGGCTCGGGCGAGGCTAGAGCCGAGAGAGGCACGGTGTGCACCATGCCGCGCCCAAGCCGGCGCGACGGCCACGCTGCAGTCTCGAGCTCCTCTACATCCGAGCTTAGCTCTGGCGACACCGATTCGCGAAGCTCGAGGTTGTCCGAGCGCACCTTGGGACGCTTGTCCTCGGGCTCAGGACTGCCGAGCAAGGATGCTTCGCGTGCTCGAGCGCCGCGAAGCGGCTGCCGACGTACCGCACGCTCCGGCTCGGGCTCGGGGCGACGGCGCTTCTCGCGGCGCAGCGGCGGACGGCCGATGGTCTGCTCCTCGATGGTGGTCCAGTCCGGCTGCGCCAGGAGCCGGCGGCGCTGCTCTGCTACGTCGACGAGCGGCGTGTTGACACGCTGCGGCGCGCCCAGTGCCGGGAAGCTGTGCGTCCAGCCCTCGTCGTCGCCATAGCTGGTCGAGGCAAACGGGCTGGGCGCGATGTTCTCGTCGATGTATGCGTCGCTGTCGCGCGAGTCGGCGCGAGCACGACCGCGGCCGCGCTGCTGCGCGGAACTGCCGCGGCGAGCGCGGTAGACGCGGTGGCTGACGAAAGAGGTGTTCAGCGGAGTCCAGCACTGCACGGCCTGGACATCCGCATGCATCCTCCATCGAGCTGCCCGCCGTGGTGCCGCTCCTCTGCAGATCCGTTGCCCTGGCCCGTAGCTGCACGCGCTTGCTCACTTGCCCCCGCCGACGTAGTTGGCCATCGTGCGCTGATCGATGCTCAGAGGCCGACGGCGGAGAGGTGGGTGTGGATGTGCAGTGCGGCTGCCGCGAGCGGCGAGTGAGGGATTGCGACGGCAACAGCCATGCTTCCGCGCCTGGCAGACTGGTCGTGAGCCGAAGGCGCAGGTGGGAGTGGGGGGCGAAGCGGGGCGCGCTCGAGGTGGAGGTGCCAAGGGGTCCAGGCGCGCGAGAGCGACGGCGGCGCAACGCGTCGTGCCCGGCGTGCCTCTGCGAAAGTCGCCGCCTCGCCTGCTCGTCGTCTCGCACGGCTGCACAACCTGAACGCGCACCGCCGCTTCCTTCTTCTCACCATCCTCGCGTCTGGGCTCCCCACGTCCGCCTGCCCGACGCACTCTCTCCTCTGCTTTCCTCTACTGCAGACGCGCCATTTCGTTCCCGCTCGACTGATCACGTCCCTGCGCTCTCTGCCTCTGGCGCGCCGCCCGTCGCCCGCTGCCCGCCATGGCGGCCGCCTTCGTGCCCGCGCGCTTCGAGACGCTGCAGCGCACCATCCTCGGCGCCGTCGCCAGCCCGGCGCGTGTCGCCGGCTCGAACGAGTGGTTCGTCGCCATCGATCGCGCGCGCGCTGAGCTCGTCGACTTTGCCCGGCCGCGCCCGCCGAGCGATGCTGAGCGGAGGGAGATCGAGGGCGGTGAGTGTGGGATGCGGGTGTGATGGTGTCATGCGCGGCCAGGACGGCGAGCAGACACCTCCAGCTCGTGGACGCGGTTGTCGCGCTGACACTCGTCTCAACAGGCAAAGTCACCATCGAGGGCGTGGCACACTCGCTCAATGCCGACTTCGCACAGCAGACGCTGCTGCTCGCACGCACGCTGCAGGTCTCGGAGCGCTACGCCGCCTCGCTGCTGCAGGCCGGCCTCGCCGGTCGGGCGCGCTGGGGCCGCGGCGCCGTCGAAGTGGCCTGCATCCTCTACCACCGCGAGCGCCTGGCGCTCATCAGCTGCCTCAAGGAGCTGGTGCGCGGCGCCATGACGCTGCCGCACGAAGATGATGCGGCGGCACGGAAGCTCGGCGCTCAGATGCTGCAGCTGGCAGAGTCGCTGGTCGCGACCGAGGTCGAGCTGTCCGCTGGCTCCAAAGCCAAGGGCTCGTTCACGGCCCGCGTGCTGCAGGAGATTGACGCCGTGAAGAAGGGCATTCAGACGCTGTCTGCCTCCAACGAGGCAGTCGGCGCCTCAGAGTCGCTCGAGATGATGCACCGCGAGCGCCGCGAGCTGGGCCACCTGCTCTACCTCTGCGCGGTCGCGCGGCTCTTGCCGACAGAGTTCATCACCGCCTGTGTCAACTGGCTTGCCGACAAGAGCGAGGACAAGGACGCGCTGACCTTCTACATCCTCACGACGCTCCTTGCGCTGCTCGAGCCCGTCGAGGGCCGCGACTTTGACATCGAGGACTCCGACCTGATCAAGCTCAACAAGGAGATTGTCACGCGGCAATGGGCACTGCCAGAGCTGCAGAGCGTCGCGCAGCTGCAGTGGTCGCTCCTCATCGCCACGCAGAGCTTCGGCAGCGTGCTGCAGATGACCGAGGACAAGCTGCAGACGCTCGTCATCGGTGCAATTGCCGGGTCCGGCTCGGCGGGCAAGTCAAAGCGCGGCGATGCCTTCGTGTTCCTCGTCACACGCGCACTGGCCTTCCGGCAGCGCGCGATTGACGCCGTCGACGGCGAGGACGAGGTGGGCGAGGCAGAGGCCTCGCAGCCGTCGTTCAGCGCCGAGGAGGAGGTCGACGCCGAGTTCCAGGAGTACATCCTGACTCAGGTGCAGGACCTCGTGCTGCGCGTCACCTCGGTGATGCTGCCGTTCCTGCGCAAGCTGCAGCGCGCAGAGGAGGATGCAGCCTTTTCGCCGCACCGCAGCGCACTGCGCAGCGGCGGCGAGCCACAAGAGCGCCGCTACGACATCGAGGCGCTGTTTGACCTCGTTGCGCTGCTGTGCCGCGGGCGGCCCGAAGCAGGCCTGCCGTTCTGGCTTGGCCCGGCCGGCAAGGGCACGCGCTTCCTCGCCTGGGCTGTGGACGTGCGCGAGCATGGGCATCAGCGTGCTCTGCTCGAGATGCTCGCTGCGCTTGCGGCGGGCCCGCAGAGCGCGTGGCATGCGCACAGCCTGCTATCGTCCGACGACGGCGTGCTCGGCCACGCCGAGGGACGACTTGTCTCCTGGACGCGGCTCTTCGAGTGGATGCAGTACTACATCGACGCCATGCGTGGCCCGGGCTCCACGGGCCGCCCGTCTGTCGGCATGCCCGCCGAGGAGGTCGTGCTGCTGCGCGCCTTCCTGCGCCTGCTGCGCAATGTGGCGTTCTACAGCACGGCGACGCGCGAGGCCATCTACGAGAACACCAACTACGCGGCGATCCAGCGCCTCTTCTCGCTGTACATGTGCTTTGTGCCTCTTGAGCTCAAGGCGGCGATCCTCGACACGCTCGCCGCGTTTGCGCAGCCGTCGGGCTCCAGCGCAGCGCGCATCGTCGGCGATCTGTGGTCGATGCTCGAGGCCTTGCAGGTCATCGGGCCGTCAGGCGGCAACCGCGGCGGCGCATCGCGGCTCGCGCTCGGCGGCGGCGGCATGTTCGGCCTCAGCCGCGGGCCAGCGCAGGGCTTCGGCGGCGGCGTCGTGCAGGAGCTGGAGAACGTCGAGGTGCCGAACAGGCGCTACCCGGCGACCACCAGCTTCGTCAACTTCCTGCGCGCTCTCGTCCACGTCCCGTCGCCTGCTCGCGACGCCACGGGCCTCCTCGCGGCGCCGGAGGCGAACGCCGCCACGTTCGGCCGTGCGCCTTCGTCCTTCCAGAGCCTTGTGCTGAGCCTCGGACAGGGGCACCGCACGCCTGGTCTGGACCCGTACGTCGCCTTCGTCGTCGACACCGTCCTGCTGCAGGCCTCCAGCCGCGACACGGCGAACGCGACAGACATGTGGCGCATCAAGGCGGCCTGCCTCGGCTTCATCGAGCGCTGCCTGGTCTCTTACGACCTGATCGCACTCACTGCGGAGACGGACAATGGCCGCAAGGGCTCCTCAGATCCCGCCACGGTCACCGGCCTGCTGCTGCACCCTGCCTTCAATCTGATGAAGCGTTTGCTGACCAACACGTCGCTGCTCAAGGAGATCTTCAACATCATCGCGCCGAGCGAGGACGCCGGCTTCGAGCTCATCAACAGCAACCGCGCCCGCACCCTCTTCCAGGCCAGCTGCGTGCGGCACGCCATGCGCATCGTGCAGCGTGTGCTGCGCATCCAGGACCTCTTCCTGCAGGTGCTGCTGCCCATCTGCGCGGACGCCGCCGGCAGCGGCAGCTCCAGCATCGGCGGCGGTCAGTTCCCTTCTGTTGACGTCGCAGCTCGCGTTGGCCAGCTGGGCGCATACAACACGCTCGACACGCATCTGCTGCACGAGCACCGTGCCGTTGTCCAGATCGCGCTGTACATCAACTGCCAGCGCGACGACATTGCGCTGCTGTCGGTGCGCCTGCTCGGCCTCATCGCGCGCAGCGCTGCATTCAGCGCGCTTGACCGCTTCGGCGAGATGGGCTACGGGCGCAAGATGAACCGCCTCGTTGGCCTTCTCGACATGATGAGCGAGTCAGACCGCGTGCGCGCCGGCTACGTCGAGCGCCTCGAGGCGGAAGGCGCAGACGACGTCGGTGCCTTTGCGCTCGAGAGCCTCACGTCGCTCGCTCTGGAGGAGGACGACCCGTCTGCGCAGCTCGGCGGCGATCTGGAAGGTCTTGCGGCTCCGCAAGTCGATGCCAGCGAGACTATCCGTCTCGCGATCCTCGACCTTCTGCTCGCCAACACGACGCAAAGCAAGGCCTCGCCGAACGTCGCGCACCTCATCCTCGGCTTTGACCTGCGCGCATCGGCAGATGCCAACTCGCAGGTGATCCCGGACCCCGACTCTCCCGACACACCACGGGGCACGCTGCACTCCATCCTTGCGATGCTGCGCCCGGCCTCCGCCGGCAGCGTCTCGCTGGCTGACCGCGCGCCTGCACTGGCGGAGAAGTGCCAGGCTCTTGTGGCCCAGCTCTGCAAGCACCCATTCTCGAGTGCCGCCACGCTGCGCTACTTGCGGACGCGCGAGGACTTCTACGTCAAGCAGCTGCGCAGCGCCGCCTTTGTGCCCGCAGAGCGCTCGACTGGCGAGGGCGTGCTGGGCGAGGTCGTCTTTGCGGACGGAGGGCGTCTGGCCTCGTCGGTCGATGCGCTCATCGCGTCGCTCCGCACCCGCGCGCACCTGCTCGACGGCGTCGCGCTCGAGCTGCACACCCTCTCGAACGGTAACATGCAGGCCGCAGCTGCCCGCCTGGTTGCCGTTCTCTTCGGCACCAGCGCGGTGAGCGGCGTGTCCGGCCTCACTGCGCAGGACGACGAGGACGAGAGCTTGCTTGAGGACGACGGATACCTGCCCTCTCAGGGCGCGCAGGGATCCGCAGCCGGCTTCGAGCAGCGCGGACTGCGCATCCTCGAGCTGCTGCAGAGCCTCGATTTCGAGTGGCACGACGAGCGCGAAGCTCTCGGAGCTGAGCTCTCGCTTCTCGCGAACATCGACATTGCGCAGGCACGCCGGCCTGACGGCGAGGCCCTTCGCGAGTTCGACGTTGGCGCGACACTGGCACTGCTTGGCGCCACACGTCGCGAGCTCGAGCGCCGCGGCGAGATGGTCGAGCCGCGGCAACGGGCGGCCTTTGAGCGGGAAGCCGCCATGGTGCTGCAGTTCGTCAGCGCTCGCAATGCCCTGCGCGCAATCGCACACGCCCGACGCACGGCCATGCAGGCCTGGCGCCACGCGCTCGACATGGTGCTGGCCCGCGCCGCGCACCTCTTCCGGCCCGACATGCATGGCGTGGTGGTCTTCGACTGCCTGGCCGCGCTGCTGCCGCGCCTCTCTGGGCCGTCGCCCGAGGCAGACCCCGCGCTGGGCGATCTCGTCGCTGGCGCTGTGCTGGGTCTGCTCACGAGCCTGCGCCTTCACCGTGCTAGCACCAGCTCCGCTGCTGCGGCGCTCGAGACGGACGGACCGGATGAGCTGCCGATCGACCGCCTCGTCACCACGCTCCGCGCTCTGCTGGCCGCTCTCGTGCGCCCTGGCACCTCCATCCTCGCTCGCGGCAACCTCTACACCGCCCTCATCAACTACCTGCAGCTTGTTCGCTCGGACCCGAGTGCTGAAGGCGACGGAGCTGCGCTGGACAACATGACGGACGATGCCGGCTCTGTCTCGTTCATCGACGGCGACTTTGACGACGCTGCATCGCTCGGTGGCAGCGTCAGCGCGCGGCTGGGCACGTCGTCCGTCGCCGAGACTCGCACACGCGCTCTGGTCGCCTCGCACCTGGACCGCCTCGTCCCGATCCTTGCGCGCGATGCGCTCGACGCCATCGACATCTGGCGGACAGTCGTGTACACGCTCTGTGACAAGCTATCGGCGCTCGAGACCAAGCCCAGCCGCTCAAGCGGCAGCAGCGGTCCGAATGCACGGGCGCTCGAGATCCTAAGCCGGCAAGGCTTCCTCAAGACGTTCGTTGCCGGCCTTCGCGACATGGACATGGCCCTGCAAGAGGTGTTGCGGCCGGATCCCTCGAGCCTGAATGCGCTGTACGTCTATGGCGCACAGCTCGCCTTCTTCAGCCGGCTGGCGCAGTCGCGGGCCGGCGCAGAGCGGCTCATCGAGGCGCGCATTTTCGAGGTGCTCGCCCAGGCCGACCACCTCTCGGCACGACCAGAGCAGGACCAGCACTTTGTCGACCTCGACAGCTTCCTGCCTGCGGCCATGGAGCGGTACGACGCGCTGCTCACGCCGGCGCTGCAGCTGTGCGTGGCGACGCTGTCGAGCACGTCGCAGCGGCACGCGCGCGCTCTGGCTCCCGCGAGTGCCAAGGCGAACGGCGCCTTCTCTTCCTCGTCGTCTGCGCCTCGGCAAGCACTCGCTTTTATCGAGGCGCACCGCACGACGCTGCTCACGGTGCTCAAGGTGCCGACGGCCGACACGACGAGCCTGGCCGCCATCTCGCAGGCGCAGCTGCTCGTTGCCATGTTCGTCTTCATCCTCCCCGCGCTCGACGACGATGCGCTGGCACCCGGTAGCCCGCTGGCCGGCTTCCACTCGGCCGTGCTTGCGCTGGCCGCCAGCTTCCTGCACGTGTCGGCTTGGCGCGAGCGGGTGCTGCCGCAGACCGAGGCTGAGCGCGAGGACGCCACGCGCATCTTCCTGGCGCCCGGCCAGCAGGGTGCGATGGAGGAGGACAGCGTCTTTGACACCTCTGCGCGCGTCGTCGTGGGCCGCCTGACAGCGTCGCTGCTGGCATATCTCGAGCTTGCGAGCGAAACGCGCGGCCGCCCGGACACGACTCGGGAAGCAGGCGCGATGCGACTGCGTGTGCGTCCGTGCCTCACCGCCGCACTACAGGCGCAAGGCTGGCGCGGCGGGCAGGACCGGTACGACGACGAGACCTCGCGCTTCGGCGCTGGCGGCGCACACCTACGCTCCGCCGGCAGCTCGGTACCGGGCCTCGGCAGCTGTCTGGCCGCCCTCGAGGAGCAGGTCACTGGCCTGGATCGCGATCTGCAGGGCATCGACTCGAGCAGCGCAATGCTCGAGCAGCCCGACGCTGTCACACTCCAGGAGTGGGATGAGGTGAGCTTCGCACGTAGCCTCCGCCGCAGGATTATGCTGACTTCTCCGCTTCGCAGATCGTCCGAGACGTGCTCGGCAGCGAGGAGCTCGAGCTCAGCCTTGGACCGGCGCAGCGCCGCACCCTGGCGATTCGCGAGCTCAAGCAGCGGCGCATCCTCATGCGCTCGTCCGCACTGGCCAAGCTTGGTGAGTGCAAAACGGCGCTGGACAGCAGTGAAGCTCAGCACTGACTCCTCGCTCTACAGACGGCGTCGAGCTGCTCCTCGTGCTGCTCTACCGGCACTTTGAGTACTACCTCTCGCTGCCGCCGAGCGCGCTGCGCCTCTCGCTCGTCGACCCGGCAGCAGCAGCATCGCGGCGCGCCGGCAGCACGCTCTTCTCGGCGTCGACGCGCGGCGGCGAGTCGGTGAGCGGCATCGGCAGCGGCGCAGCTGCCAACAGCAGCAGCAGCAGCAACGACCAGGCGGCGCTGGTGCGCGACGGCCTGGCGATGGTGTCGCGCGTGCTGGAGCGCCTCGAGCCTGTGCTGCTCGAGCTGGCCAATGCGCCGCTGCCGCGCGCAAAGGAGCGCTGCAGCTTCATCCAGATGGCCGGCCGCCGCCTCGTCGGCACGCTGCAGCAGAAGGCCGAGCAACTAGAGCTCTGAGGCACCCTACGTAATGCACACATCTTCTTCACGGCCGAGTGCATGCGCCGTGCGGCCGTGGCAGGTATCGAAGGCTCTAGATTGCGCCACGCATTCCTCACAGCTTGTCCGACAGCACCATGGGCGCCTCGACCTCCTTGCGCTTCTCCTCGCCGCACAGCGCCTCGACGATGGCGAGCGCAAAGGCGAAGACGGTGCCGGGGCCGCGGCTAAGCCGTGCTTGGGTGAGCCAGGCCTAGCGGAAGCGGCGCAGAGCTGTGCCTGCTGCTATGCAGCCACTCACCTGGTGATCAGCTTCTCCGCGACGACGACTCTGTCCTCCTTGTACTGCGCACGCCGGCTATCAGCACAGCAGCAGGCGTGACGGGCACAGGCGGCACTCACGCGGTAGTCGCTCGAGAGCTGGTCCTTGACGCTCGGATGGCTGGTGATGGCGCTGTCAGGCGCGATGTTGGCGGCCTTGATGGCGAGCGAGCCGGCACAGATGGCGGCGACGACCTTGCCCTTGCCGTACGCGGCCGAGAGCAGCTTCTGCACGTCCTCGTTGGCCGAGATGGTCGCCGCGCCGTCGTTGCCGCCGGGCACGATGAGTGCGTCGTACTCGAGGCCCTTGCCGCCGGCGAGGTCGGGCAGGCGCAGGTCGGGCGCAATGCGCACGCCGCGGCTGCACGTCGCCAGCGCAGCGCCGTGCGGCTCGCCGCCGCTCTCGCTGCTCTGCGACGACGAGCCGACGTAGACGCTCTGCACGCGCACGCCGGCACGCGCGAGCACGTCGTACGTGGCGACGAACTCGGTCTCCTCGGTGCCCTGGGCCAGAAAGATGAGGGCGCTGGGTGCCATGTTGGGTGGGGTGGATGTGGTGGAGAAGCAAGCTGCGCGCGGTGCCAGCAGCCGCTCTTGTGCCTCGACGATAGCGATAGCCGCGCCCGCCGAATCGGAATGCGGGGCCTGTGCGGCAGAAGCACTCGCAATCTCGGGGCTCGCGGCTTGGGCGGACCGGCGGCGTGCTGCTAGCCGCAAGTAGCGTGGGCCGGCGGCGCAACGAGCGGAGTGTGCGCTTCCCCAGATGCGTGTGAGGTGGCAGCGAGGGCGCCTCCACATGGCGGGGATGGCGGTGCATCACGTGCTCGCCTCAGCCACGGCGCACGGCCTCTCGCCGAAGGCCGACGACGGCCGGCCGCCTCGGCAGCTCGACGGTGGCTTGCGCCGCTTGATGGGATCGCCGCATGGCCGCTCATTCCTTCTCGTCCACCATCACACGCATCTCACCACCCTCGCAAACCCCACACAACTCGCAAGCATGGTGCGTCCCGCCGCGCCGCTGCGTGCGCCGCTGCGCCGCGCCCTCTTCGCCTCGCCTCTCGCCGCCGCTCCGGCGCTGCGTCTCGCCGGCCGCAGCGGCGCCTCGCCGGCAGCCCTCGGCGCTCCTGCTCACGCCCGCTCCGTCCTGCCCGTCAACCTCTTCGCCGCCGCCGCACGCGCCTACTCGCAGTCCGTCGGCCAGAAGATCCCTGACACGAGTGCGTGCCTTCTCTCCCTGCTGCGAGCGTGCACATGCTCACCCTGCGCTGCCAGAGATGATGGAGGTCGAGTGGGACGACTCGCTCGTCGACTCGGGCGCGTGCGGCAAGCCGAGCGCCTTCCAGACGCATGAGAAGTGGGCGTGAGTGGTGCTGTGCAGGGTACATGCATGGCCAGGGAGCTGACACCAGGATACGCAGCGGCAAGAAGGTCGTCGTCATCGCCGTGCCCGGCGCGTTCACGCCGACGTTAGTGGAGCTGCAGCATGCCAGTCTGCGCTCGTGCTGACGCCTCTGCACAGCTGCCACGCCAACCACATTCCTGGTGCGGCGTCTTGGCTCCTCTTCGCCGCGACTTGCAGCTCACTCGGCGTCCTCAGACTTCGTGAAGCAGGCCAACGACTTCGCCAGCAAGGGCTACGAGGTCTACGTCATTGCCGCCAACGACCCGTGCGTCTGTCTGCGTGGCTGACAGCGTCTGTAGACGCTCATACACTCTCGCTGCAGCTTCACCATGTCGGGCTGGCGCACGGCCCTCGGCGCCAAGGGCGAGCTGCACTTTGCGTCGGACATCGACATTGCCTTCTCCAAGGCGGTGCGTGCGACTTCACAATTGCGGCGCTTCTGCATTGCTGACTCCTGTCTCTTCAGCTCGGCTCGACGGCCGACCTCTCGGCCATGGGCTTCGGCATGCGCACGGGCCGCTAGTGAGCACCTGACGCGCTTCGCTCCCCTCACTTGCACTGACATGCACGCTGCAGCGCCGCCGTCATCGACGACCTCGTGCTCAAGTCGTTCGACGCCGAGTCGTCGCCCGGCGAGGTCAACGTGTCGAGCGCCAAGTCGGTGCTCGGCAAGCTCTAAGCTGCTCTGCTCTGCGCAAGGCCATAGAGGCGCCCTACAATGCCACACTATATCATCTGACTCTCGAGACGCGCGCTGCAGACGCAGTTCCAGGTGACGAAAATAATTGCTACGCACGGGTCATAGAGTTGAGTCTAGATGGCTGAAGGGACATGGGACGGCAGTGCGAGGAGGAACTATACAGCATGGGCGGAGAGGGCACAGTGCGGGCCGCAGCGGCGAGGGCGCGTACGGGCAGAGAGTTTTGCGTCAAGCCGACAAAGCGCAGATGAGGCGCTCTGTGGCAAAGAGGTCACGTTGATCAAGAGAGCATGCGCGTGAGCACGTTGGCCTTGGTCTGGCCGATGCGCTCGTAGATCTCGCGCTTGGCCTCCTCGTCGACACCGGCGACGTCGACGAGCACTGACGAGTCAGGGTCAGCAGTGGCTCGTGCACACAGCGCGGATGTCACTCACGGTACGCAACGTCGCCGCGCGAGTCCGAGTTCTGCTTCACGACGTTGTGGTTGCCGAGGATTTCGTTGACGGCCTTCAGCGAGCCGGGCTGCGGGCAGGCGGGGTCAGTCAGCGCAGCACAGGCGGCGACAGCGAGAGCATACGCACGACGTTGTGGTGCACGTGGCAGAAGCGCACGACGTCGTCCGAGTCGGCCTGCGTGATGACGCGCAGGTCGACCTCGGGGAAGTTGACGGCGCCCGTGCTGCCGCCAAAGTTGATGTAGCGGATGATGGCGTTGGCGACCTCGATGCCGATCATCGTCTGCGCCTCCTCGGTGCTGCCGCCAATGTGCGGCGTGAGGATGACGTTCTTGCACGCGCGCAGCCGGCTCTCGAAGCCGTTGAGGGCGTCGACGAACGTGTCCTTGCCGTTGGCCGCCGGCTCGCGCGGGAAGACGTCGATGGCGGCGCCGCCCAGGTGGCCGGCGTCGAGCGCGTCGGTGAGCGCGGGCAGGTCGACGACGGTGCCGCGCGCGTTGTTCAGCAGGTACGCGCCCTTGCGCATGGCCGCCAGCTGCGGCGCGGCGATGAGGTTCTTCGTCTCGGGCAGCTCGGGCACGTGCAGCGAGACAAAGTCGGACGCCGCCAGCAGGTCCTCGAGCTTCTCCACTTGCCGCGCCGTGCCGAGCGGCATGAGCGGCACGACGTCGTAGTAGAGCACGCTCATGCCCATGCTCTCGGCGAGCACCGAGAGCTGCGAGCCAATGTGGCCGTAGCCGACGATGCCGAGCACCTTGCCGCGCACCTCGTAGCAGCCCTTGCTGACCTTGTTCCACTCGCCGGCGCGCATCTCGTTGGTGCGGTCCGCCAGCTGGCGCGACAGGCAGATCATCTCGCCGATGACGAGCTCGGCGACGGAGCGCGAGTTGGCAAAGGGCGAGTTGAACACGGCGACGCCGGCCTTGGCGGCGGCCGTCAGGTCGACCTGGTTGGTGCCGATGCAGAAGCAGCCGACGAGCAGCAGCTAGATAGGAAAGTGAGTACATGCCGTGCTACAGCACCCGCACTACACACCTTCTCGGCGCGGCGGAACACCTTGGCCGTCAGCTTCGTCTTGCTGCGGATGCCGATGGCGTGGTACTGGCCGATCTTGTCGCACAGCTCGTCCTCGCTCCAGGCCTTTGCGTGGAAGTCGACCTGGTAGCCCTGCTGGCGCAGCATGTCGACGGCGCCCTGGCTGACGTTTTCGAGGAGCAGGATGCGGATGTCGCCCTGGTCGAAGGGCGTGAGGAGGCGCGGCATGCTGCTCGGCTTGCCCGGGATGCTGATGCTGCGCGCGCGCTGCGAGCCGGCGCCGGCGTACGAGGCCGTGGGCGAGCCGGCGCTGCCGCTGAAGGGCACGGCGGGCGCCGCGCCCTGCGACGCGGCCATCATGCCGGCGAACGAGCCGGCGCCGGCGACGACGACGGGCGGCGACGAGGGCGCGACGGCGCGGTGGAAGGCCTGCTGGTGCGCGGCGGCCGAGCCGTTTGCGGTGGAGCCGTTCATGGTGGTGTGGTGGGGTGTGGTGGAGGTGAAGGATGCTTGGTGCCGCCGCCGCTGCTGCTCTGACTCGTGCGCTCGCACGCCATCGCCCCGAGTCAGCGTCAGCGTGGCTTGGGCCGCGAAGGTTGCCCGAGTGCGGAAATCTGAATTCGGGGCCTGGCGCCGCGCGGGACTCGGCCGGCGGCACGCGCGTGTGCGACTCTCGCCATTCCGCCCGGCGGGTCCAACACTTGGCCGCGCGAGACGCGTGCGCGATGCACGGCCCACTGCAGCTCACCATCTGGCCGCCTCTCATCCCTCTCACAGCCTCGTGCATCCCTCGTCCGCTCGCCTCACTCTCTTCCTCGGCAGCTCTGCACGTCGGCTGCGCACGCCCGCTGACCCGCCCGCCATGCCGGCCGAGTTCGACGATGTCCTCACCAACCAGCCCGTCGTGCTCGACGCCGGCTCGGGCAGCATCAAGGCCGGCTTTGCGGGCAAGGATGTGCCCAGCTGTCTCTTCCCCAACTAGTGAGCATGTGCCGTGCAGCGGCAGGCGCAGGCCACCTCGCTGAGCATGCCGCGCAGCGTCGGGCGCGTCAAGCACCAGCGCGCCATGCCCGGCGCACTCGAGGGCAACAACTTCGTCGGGCAGAAGGCCCAGAGCCTGCGCGGCCTGCTGCGCATCAAGTACCCCATGGAGCACGGCATCGTCACCGACTGGAACGACATGGAGCTCATCTACAACCACGTCTACAGCGAGCTCAACACGCACTCCGAGGAGGTGAGCACGGCGCGAGGCGGTGCGCGGCAGCGGCGAGAGGGGCGATACGCTGCAGCACAGAGAGCGGCAGTCTCGGGGTAGAGCGCAGCGCGGAGAGCTCGGCCTTGCAGCAGAGAGCGCCGCATGGAGAGCTGGAACTGACACTGCCCGACAGCATCCCGTGCTCCTCACAGAGGCGCCACTCAATCCCGTCGCCAATCGGAGACAAGCCGCGCAGCTCTTCTTCGAGACGTACAACGTGCCCGCGCTCTACACCAGCATCCAGGCCGTGCTAAGCTTGTATGTGCGGCCGCCAGCGGCTGCTCGGGCATCGCTCACCTGTCATACCGCAGGTACTCTTCAGGGCGGACCACGGGCATCGTGCTGGACTCGGGCGACGGCGTGACGCACGCCGTGCCAGTGTTCGAAGGCTTCTCCATGCCCAGTGCGATCCGGCGCATCGACCTGGCGGGGCGCGACGTGACCGAGGAGCTGCAGCTGCAGCTGCGGCGTGCTGGGTGCAATCTGCACACGAGCGCCGAGAAGGAGATTGTGCGACTCATCAAGGAGAAGTGCTGCTACGTCTCCAAGGACCCGGCGAAGGATGAGAAGGAGGCGCGCGACACGGAGGACTTCGTGCTGCCAGACGGGCAGGTGCTCAAGGTGAGCGACGCGAGCAAGATCGTCAAGCTGCGTCGGAAGGACATGCGGGCCTTGCTCGCGGCTGGCTGACCACCTTGCGTGCAGCTCGGCACGGAGCGCTTCCGCGCCCCAGAGATCCTCTTCCAGCCAGAGCGCGTCGGGCTGGAGTATCCAGGCGTGCACCAGGTCATCTTCGAGTCGATCAACCGCACCGACCTCGACCTGCGAAAAAGCCTCTTTGCCAACATCGTGCTCAGCGGCGGCACGACGCTGACTCGCGGTGAGTCTCCAGCGCAGAGCTGGCGCTCTGGCCGCGGCTGACCTCGCTACGCTCAGGCTTCGGCGACCGATTACTGGCCGAGATGAAGAAGACGGCCATCCGCGACACGAAGATCAAGATCTACGCGCCGCCAGAACGCAAGTACGCGACCTGGATCGGCGGCTCTATCCTTGCCAGCCTGACGACGTTCAAGAAGGTGCGTTGCGCATATCACATGAGGTCAGCGGCCTGCAGAACTGATGGCACGGCCTTGCACAGATGTGGGTGTCGGCAGAGGAATACCAGGAGGACCCGGGGATCATCGAGCGGAAGGTGAGCCTCATGCTGCAGCGCCTTGGACTGCAGCTGATCATCGCTCGCAGACCTTCTGAGCATGCTGTGTGGCCTCGCCGTGCGGCTGCGGCGCGCACAGCGCAATCACATTATGATACCACGCAGAGCGCACGTGAGAAGCGCATTGGAGGGCAAGAGACAGGTCGAGACAAGAGAAGTGGGCACGAGGCGACGTGACTAGGTGATAGAGGGATAGGAAGCCCGATGGGCAGCGAAGCATCGTGAGTGGCCAATTGTGGGTGCATCACGAGGTCGCAGCTCAGCGGCCTCACTGGCCGTGCGGCTTGTGCCCGTAGTAGTGCTCAAAGCCGGCGTTGATGATGCACTTGGTGCGCTCGTTGGTGCTGCTCAGCGAGCGGCCCGTGCGCTCCATGATCTCCTTCTTGACGTGCGGCAGCTTGGCGGCGGTGCGCAAGATCTCGCAGATCAGCTCGTCCTCGGGCTCGGTCCAGCGATGACCACTGCCGAACTGTGCAAGCTCGTCAGCAGCCGGCATCGTCAACAAGTGGAGCAGGACGTACCACGCGATTCGACGGACCGCTCGCGGCAGCGCGCGAGGCCGCACCCTGCGTCACTCTGGCACGCTGGCGCGGCCTCGCCGGCGCCGCTCTGGCGTAGCGCGAGCCGCTGGCGGCATGGTGCTGCTTGCCGCCGCCGCCGCCGTTGTTGGCCTCTCCCTCGTCCGAGGCGCGCCCGGCGTGCGGCTGCGACTGCTGGCGCACGACGACGACATCGTCGTCGCTGTCGCTGTCGAGCAGCTCGACGACCGAGTCGCTCTTGCGGCGGCGCTTCGGCGGCAGGATGTCGTTGTCGCGTTCGTCGTCCTCGTCGTCGGCCGGCGCCGCATGAGCCTCAGCCTGCGCGTGCACCGTGCGGGCCGAAGCAGGCTTCGCAATCGGCGTAGGTACACGCTCGTAAGCCGGCGGCGCCGGCACCGGCGACTGCGACACGCCCGCCACGGACGGCGAGTTGGAGCCGGCGACGGAGAAGCGCTCGGTGATGCCGCCTGGGCGCGGGAAGTCGAAGTGGTACTTGCGCGGCTGCGCCGGGCGCAGGAGACTTGCGGGCGCGTTGCTCGACGCCGGCGTGGCCAGGCTCGGCGCCGTCGATGCATCGCGCAGCTGGTCGACGCTCTCGCCGCGGTCTTTGGCCTGCTCAAGCGCCGAGCGCCACTGCAGGATGGAGAGGAACTCGCTTGCTGGCCCGCCGAGCGTCGAGGCCGGCATGCTGGACAGCGGCGCGGGGTGGGTGCTTGCTGTGCGTTGATGAGGGCAGGACCGTGGTGGTGCAGAGGTGCAAGGGAGCAGCTGCGCAGCAGACTGATGAAGTTGGGCAGCAGCCTGCTGCCTGACGCCGCAGACAGGCTGCAGAGCTGGCCTGCTCAGCTGACTCTGCTGGGATGAGGCCTTGAACAGGCACGGCAGAGGCGGCCTTAGGGCGTGCCTGTCAGCTGTCTTGCCTGCCAGGAGACTGCTGAGCAGAAGAGGCCTGCTCTGTGTCCTGCCCTTCACAGCACTAACAAGCGCAATCAGGCAGGGCACTTTGCTTGCTGGCAGCCTCACTGCCTGTGTGATGCTGCACACACGGCTGTGGGGTCGCCGACGAGATGCGCCGCTGCGCCGTACGGCCCGGCGGCCCGCCAGCTCTGCGCGCCATTTGCTCGTTCATTCGCCTCCGCCGCCGCCGCTCCGCCGTCAGTCAGAGGCCCGCTCACACAGAACGCTGCTCTCCGGCTGTCTTAGAGCTGCGTCGATCTCAACATCCACCTCTTTTGCTCACAGCAGGCCACGGCTCTGCAGGCGCTGAAGTCACGCGCGTGCAGTTCAGTCACGCGCGCCGCAGCGGCAGCGAGGTCTCCTCGTCACACAAGCTCTGCCGGCACAGCAGTTACATTGCAAGGCGTCCATCGCACTACCACTTGAGCGTCCAGCCAGCGTCGCGCAGGCGGGCGGCGATGGTGCTGCGGGCCGCCTCGCGCTCGCGGCGAGCCTGCTCCTTGCGGGCACGGCGCTCGTCCTTTGCGGCGCGGCGCGCGGCCGCCCGCTCGGGCCGCTCGATGCCGAAGAACTCATCAACGGCGAGCGCTAGTGCCTCTTCGGCGTGCGGCTGGCGAGGTGCGAGTGGCTGCAGAGCGAGAGCGAGAGTCAGCGGCTGTGCTGCTCGAGAGAGGCGAAGCGCTGCTCACCTGCACGGGTGCCAGCGGCGCACTGAGGCGCTCCTCGCAGCTAACCTTTGCGCGCGGCGTGCGGCGCGGCGGCGGCAACAGCGAGGCGACGAGCGTGGCCTGCGAGTCGACGCTGCTGGCGGTGCTCGACGCCCGGCGGCGGAGACGGCCGAGCGGCGCGGGCGCGAGGCAGAAGGGCGCGCTGCTCGACTCGCCGGCGGTGACGGGCGAGGAGAGCGAGAAGCTGCTGAGCTTCGGGAACGACGACGACGAGGAGGAGGAGGCCATGGCTGCTTGAGCGAAGGTGGGCTAGGCGTCGAGGTGATGTGTGAGAGCGGCGAGGCTGGAGATCAGGCGGGAGCGCAGGTGAGGCGATGGCGAGAGCGAGCTGGGCTGGAGGCTTGAGCGCGAGAGCAGTGAGTCGATGGCGCTCTCCTGCTCTGGCGCGGCCAGGCCGCTGCTCTTAAGCCTTTCGTCGCCATCACGGGCTCGTCTGGTCGCCATCGCAGCCTCGTCCAGGCGATGGGATGGGGATGGGACGAGGTGGTGACGGACGCAGCGATGGACGGGCAGGCTGGCTGCGCGTGCGGTGAAGCGGCCCGCTGCCTTCCATTGAGTGCTAATCAGGGGCCTCAGGGGTGCTGCGCCGACTTCACGCGCTGCTCGAGAGGATGCGCCCCTGACCGCGCCTCTCTGCGCGTCGCGTGGGCCTCCAAGGGGCAAGGCGCGCGGTGAGAAGCTTCCGCGCAGCCCCAGGCACACAGCATCAGCGCTCTGACGAGCCGCGCGGCTGCACTCCGAGGAGCCGCTTCTCGCCTGCTCGCTCAGGCCGCCTCTCCTGGGTCCCAGCGCTCGCTCAGGCCGCTCCACCCTCCCGGCCGCTCGCGAGCTCGTGGCGCAAGGCCCGCTTCCTCTGACAGGATCTATTACGCGTCTGCCTGTGCTGCTCGTGACCTTTTCTGCGCCAGGCTGCTGGCGGCTTGAGCTGGCCCTGCGCTGAGCCAAGCCTGGCGCCCTACAACCGCTGCGTCTCGCGAATGCGCTTGCCGCGCGCCCACTCGATCTCGCGGATGCTGCGCATGCCCGCGCCCTTGTCTGCACGCCGTCCGGGCCCACCGAAGCCGTCGCCGAGGCCGAGCGGCGCGGCGCCGCCGCAGAGCATGCCCATGGCACACTTGAGCACGTTGGTCTCGTTCGTCGAGCCCTCAATCGACGCCGACAGGTCGGCAATGCCCGCCGAGCGTGCCAGCGCGTGGATCGACGGCGGCGCACGCAGCCCGAAGCCTGCGAGTGTGGGTCAGCACGGCTGCTGCAGGAGCGAAGACATTGCAACTGCTGCAAGGCGCGGCCCATCGAAAGGCCGCCACGGCTCAAGTGCTGCAGAGCGGAGCCTGTTCCGCTGAGCATCGACAGCCGTGCTTGCGCCTCATCCGCTGCAGGACGTCTGCCGCGGCTGCAACTCGGCCACAGCTGAAGCAGCCCATCCCGCTTGTCGCCTCTCCCGCAGCTCCACAGCTCTTCGTGCATCGCACCCCAGGCACTCACCTGGCGGGCGTGGCCGCATCGTGACCGTACTGCTGCTGAACTTGCCCTTGACCGTCGTGGCAATGGTGCGGCCCTCGAAGCGCTCGACGTAGTCGAAGTTCTTGACGGCGTTCTGGAAGGCCTTCTTGACGGCGCCGCCCGCGTTGGCATCCTTGCCCTCGCCGACGCCGACGAGGCCGCGGCCGTTGCCGGCGACGACGACGGCGCGCATGCTCTCGTTCTTGCCCTTGCCCGACATCTGCACGCAGCGGTTGATGCACAGGACGTGGCGGTGCAGGCCCTGCACGTCGGCGCGCGACAGCGGCGTCACCGTGGGCAGGTAGGTGTCGGGCTCGACGGCGTCGCCGCCGCCGCCGCCGCCGGAGAGGGCGAGCGAGGCGGCCGACGGCGGCGTCGCCTCGAACAGCTTCTCGCTGTTGACCATTGTCAGCGTCGTCGGGTACGGCGCGGCGGCCGTGGGTGCGCGGCGGTACACCTCGACGGCGTCGAGCACGGGGTGCGCCGTGTGCAGCAGCGAGGGGAAGGAGCTGATGTCGAGGTCCAGCGGCGAGATGGCGGCGGCGCGCTTGCGCTGCTGCTGCTGCTTCTCGCTCGCCTTGCCCTTGGCGGGCGTGGACGAGGAAGCAGCGGCAGCAGGCTTAGACGCAGACGCAGACGCAGACGAGGAGGCGCCCGCCGAGCTCGAGGCGGCCGACTCGGCAGCCGGCTCGGCGGCCGCGGACGGGCCCGAGTCGCCGCGCGCAGACGAGGCATGGAGCGCGCGCACGTGGCGCACGCTGCGCGCGGCGCTGCGCAGCGAGCGCAGGGCGACGTGCGTCATCGGGCCGGGGCGAGGGTGGAGGATGGGTGCGCGGCGATGGTGAGGAGCAGCGGCAGCGGCGGCGGAGAAGCTCGGGCCGCGGCCGCGGTCAGAAGACCAGCGCCGGCGCGGCGCGTCACGTGTGTGCTCCCAGGCAAAATCTGGCTGACCTGACACGACTACAACGGCGCGACTACAGCGGGCATGCCGCACGTTGTAATCTGATGCTGCCGCGCCTGAATTCGCCGAGCGCGCCGCGGCTCGCAGCTCCGGCGGCGTGCCTGTGCTGCGCTTGTGCCTGCGCGCCGCCCGCACCCTGAGCGCGGCTGCAGGCGGCCGGCCGGCGTGGCGTCGAGCGGCGCGCCGGAGCGGACCCCTTGATGATTCGCAGCCTTGCCAGCCCGCAACGCCAGCCCGCAACACACGACACGCTCCTGCCTCGCACCCACCACCACCCATCCCACACATACCATGGCAGCCGTCGCACAGGCCTCGGCAGACCGCCTCGCCGGCCCAGACAAGACGGCGGCGACGCAGCGCATGCGCCTCGTCTCGCCCGCCCAGCTCGCCGCGCACACGTCGCCCAAGTCGCTCTGGGTCTCGTACAAGGGCCACGTCTACGACCTCACCGAGTTTGCGCCCGACCATCCCGGCGGCGACGACCTCGTGCTCGACTACGCCGGCAAGGACGTCGAGGAGATCATGGAGGACCCCGTGAGCCACTCGCACTCGACGTCGGCGTTTGACATTCTGCGCGAGCACCTCGTCGGCCGCCTGCCCGCCACCGCCGAGGAGCACGCGGCCCTCGCCGACGCCAAGAGCGGCGGCGCCGACTTCAGCGGCAAGGACGACGACATCGTCATCACTGCCGACTTCCACCCCGACGACACGGACGTGTCGGGCGACTTTGCGAAGCACGCGTTCCTCGACCTCAACAAGCCGCTCCTCGCGCAGGTGTGGAACAGCAGCTTCAGCAAGGAGTTCTACCTGCAGCAGGTGCACTCGCCGCGCCATCTCAAGGAGAGCGCGCGCCTCTTTGGCAGCGACTTCCTCGAGATGTTCACGCGCACGCCGTGGTACGTCGTGCCGCTCGTCTGGGCGCCCATCGCCGCCGCGCTCTTCCACCGCTCCGCGAGCCAATTCGCGGCGCAGGCGGCGGCGCGCCTCGGTGCCTCCACGGTGAGCTCGTCTGCGGCGCCGGCCGCATCCTCCGCTGTCGCATCGGGCCTGCGCTCCGTGCTCGGCGCCAAGGCCGCCGAGCACCTCGTGGCACCCAGCGTCGCCATCACGACGGCCGCGACGATCAACACGAGCATGTGCTTCGCCGCCGGCGTCGTCGTCTGGACGATCCTCGAGTACGTGCTGCACCGCTTCCTCTTCCACGTCGACGACTATCTGCCCGACCGCCCCTTCTTCCTCATGCTGCACTTCCTGCTGCACGGCATCCACCACTACCTGCCCATGGACCGGTGAGTCGCCGTGGTTATTGTGGTGGGACGCTTGGCTGGTGGCTCGTGGAAGGATGCTTGGCTGGCGGGCCTCGAAAGAAACCCTGGCTGCACGCGCGCTATTCATTGCGCTGTTGCTGGCGACGAGCAGCTGCATCTCATCTCCTCGCTAGCTGCTCTCTCTGCCTTCATACTGACACGCACACTCAGCCTGCGCCTTGTCATGCCGCCGCTGCTCTTCTTTGTGCTCGAGTGGCCCTTCACGCGCCTGGCGTACGCCATCTTTCCGCTGCCCGTGGCCAACGGCGTCATCTCCGGCGCGTTCGGCATGTGTGAGTAGCGCTCGCGTATTGCTGCCACTGCGCACCAGCTCACACCCCGCGCAGACGTCGTGTACGACGTGATGCACTACTCGCTGCACCACCACCGCTTGCCGCAGTACCTGCGCGAGATGAAGGCCTACCACCTGGCGCACCACTACAAGAACTACGAGGAGGGCTTCGGCGTCACGTCGAAGATCTGGGACTGGGTCTTTGGCACGCAGCTCTGAGCGATCGCGAGTCTCGCCTGAGCGTGGGCCGGTTCCGCACTCGCAGGCCGCCGACAGCGCGCCTGAGCGGCCGTCGAGCCGTGCCCCCCTCACACGCCGCCTGTATATCATCTCTCCGCCTGGCGCGTGTCTGTACATACCATGTGACGTTGCTCTCCATCCTAATGCGATCCTCTCATGACTATCCGGAGTGACGCTTGCGGCTGCGGGAGCTGGCAGTGCGGCTGGCGTGCGGCGCGTTCTCGGCCGGCAAGAATTTGGCGCGGCGGCGGCTGCTCCACTTGCGCTGCTTGCCTCACACGGTGCCGCTTCTCACCGCTCCACCACACCCACCTCTGCCTCACCCTCCAGCGCATGGGCAAGAAGGACAGCGGCGGCGCCGCAAAGGCGCAGGCCAAGGCGGCCAAGCGCGCCAAGCAGGAGGCAAAGGCCAGCAAGACGGCCGACAAGCTGGCGCAGAAGGCCAAGGCGCGCGCTGCCCCGCCGGCGGCCACGCCCGCCAAGGGCGGCAAGAGCGGCAAGGGCGGCAAGGGCAAGAAGGCGCCCGCGGCCGACGAGGAGGACCTCGACGCGCTGCTCGCCAGCTTCCGCGAGCAGTGGGCCGCCGAGCACGCCGTGCACGAGGAGCGTATCGGCACGGCGCCCAGCCGCCGCGCCAATGCCACCCTCACGCCCTGCCCCGGCGGCGACGACCTCTGGCTCTTTGGCGGCGAGTACTTCGACGGCGACCGGTGAGTGGCGCTGGAGGGCGTGCATGCGGTGCCTTTGCGCTGGGGTCAGACAGCAGCTCACTGCTGCCGTCGCAGCGCCACCTTCTTCGCGGATCTCTTCCGCTACACGCCGGCCTCCTCGTCCGCTGAGCAGGGCGTGTGGCGGTCATACTCCTCGGCTAACCAGCCGGGCCCGCGGGTGAGCTCAGTGGTCAGACACGCTTGTATGACTGCTCACCGCTTCTGCGCAGTCGGCCCATGCCATTGCGCCGTTCCCGGGCAACGGCGGCCAGCTCTTCCTCTTCGGCGGCGAGTTTGCTAGCCCTAAGATGAACAGCTTCCACCACTACCGTGATGTACGTCGAGCCATGAAGTCAGCGTCCACTTCGGCTGACTCTTCCGTAGCTCTGGATCTTCACAATCGCAACCAAGTCGTGGGAGCGGATAGACACCAAGGTGCGGCCGAGCGCTCGCTCGGGGCACCGCATGGTCTGCTGGAAGCAATATGTACGTGGCCCACATCGCCACCACGATGGCAGCAGGTTGACAGGCAGGTGCAGATTGTGCTCTTCGGCGGCTTCCAGGACACCGGACAACGCACCACGTACCTCGGCGACCTGTGGCTCTTCGACACGACCGAGTACAAGTGGCACGAGGTCAAGCAGAACGAGCTGCGCAAGGTGAGCTTGCTGCGGGCGCCTCTTGGTGCAGATGCTCACGCTCAGCTGGCTAGCCTGCGGCGCGGTCCGGCTTCTCGCTACTTCCTAGCGCGGACGGGTGAGTGAGGCGAGAGATGGTCATGGGCACGGGCTCACCCTCTGCCCAGCGTCATCCTGCACGGCGGCTACTGCAAGCGCTATGTGAAGGGCCAGCGGACGCAAGGCGTGGCGCTCGAGGACACATGGATGCTCACGATCGACGCCGGCCCGGATGGCGAGCTCTTCAAGACGGGCAAGATCGAGTGGCAGCGGCGGCGCAAAATCGGCTATGCGCCGGGTCCGCGCAGCGGCTGCACGATGGCGCTGTGGGGCACCAAGGGCATGGGTGCGCTCTTTGGCGGCGTGACAGACACCGAGGCCGACGAGGAGAGTATGGAGAGCATCTGCCACGCCGACATGTTCGCCTACCAGCTCGGTGGAAACGGCCGCTGGATCTCCCTGAATCTCAAGCGGCCCAAGAAGAAGGGCGGCAGGCGGCGGAAGAAGGTCGTGGCGCAGCCCGAGCAGCGCAAGGGTCCGCAGAGCGACGACGAGGATGAGGAGGGCAGCGACCGAGAGAGCGGCGACGAAGATGCAGATCGAGTGAGCTTGGCCCTGCTTTTCCTCGTCGTCATGCACTGCTGACATTCATTCAGTCACGGCCAGACGCACAGCCTGCTCCGGCTCCGACGCCTGCGCCAGCACCCGAGGAGGACGACGACCCGGATGACCCGCAGAAGAGCGTGCCGATCGGGCGCTACAACACCATGCTGGCCATTCAGCGCAACATCGTGAGCTGCGCCGAGGCCTGAAGCTTCTTCTTGTGCTGACACCGCGCAGCTCTATCTCTACGGCGGCATTCACGAGACTGCGGCCCGGGAATACGTGAGTGCAGTGCAGCATCTCAGCCGACCGCCAGCTGACACCGTGCGCAGACGATGGACGACTTCTACACGCTCGACTTGCTCAAGCTTGAGCGCTTCCACTGCCTCAAGGACTGCCCGACGGACGCGCTGGAGTGGAACGAGTCCGACGAGTCCGACGACGACTCGGACGACGACGATTCTGACGGGTCGAGCTCGGAGGACGACGAGCCGGCCGAGCAGGAGGGCGAGGAGATGCGCGAGGCCGACCTGCTCGAGGAGCTCGAGTGGCTGGGCGACGAGGGCATGAGCGACGAGGCCATCGCGGCCGCCAAGCAGGCGCTGCTGGAGAAGGAGGAGCTGCGCAAGAAAGCAAAGGTGTTCATGGGCGTGGCGCTTGACTCGACGCGCTCCGAGGCCGACATGCTCTCGACGCCGCTGCCAGGTGCGTGGCGCGAGTGTCGCCGTTCTCCTGGACGTGCGCTGACGCTGCGACGCAGGCGAGACGCTGCGTGTCTTCTACGAGCGCTCCAAGGCCTACTGGGTCGGCGCGGCGCACGAGCAGGGCGACCAGTCGAACCGCGGCAAGGAGCTGCGCCGCGACGGCTTCGCTGTGAGTGGTGGCGCGGCAGTATCTGAGCTCTTTTGCTGACCTGCCCGCTCGACAGATGGCGGAGAAGCGGTACGACGAGTACAAGCCGATGCTGCAGGAGGTGCGTCACGACTGGCCGCGCTGACGGCCTGCACTCGCTGACACGCTCGCAGATCGAGCGCATCCAGGCGGAGGCCGGCCTCGACGCCGAGGACATGCGAGCGGCCGCTGGCAAGACAGGCGGCATCGCGGGCGGCGGCGCAGGTGCAGACAGCCGCAACCGACGCTAGCTGTCGTGCCTCTCTCAATCGCATCGCATGCTCGCGCGAGAAGTTATGTCAATGGCGGGGCTGACCGGCTGTGGGTCCGGTGCGTTGGGCGGAGGTGCTCGGCCAGCAGACGGCGGCGCAGGAGCGGCGGCGATTACAGGTGCATGTGGTGGTGTTGAGAGGTGACGCAGACGGAACAGGGTGTGGAGCGGGACAAGAAGCAGGTGCAGTGGACGTGCCAAGCAGACAGACTGGTGCGCGGCGGCGACCTTACTCGTCCATACTCTCGTCGGCCTGCAGGCAGTCGAGTCAGCTCATGCCCAGCTGGTGCGCCAAGCATGTCAGCCACGCACCTTGAACTCATCCTCCTCATCGTCCGAGGCGATGGGCTCCTCGCCCTGCGCGAGGCCGGCGTTGGCGAGCGCCTCCTGCGAGGCGTAGTCGACCTGCGTGCGCGTCTTGCGCCCGGCGCGCGCATTGGGCATGATCTGGTCGAGGTCGAGGCCCTCGAGCGGGTTCTCGTCCTCCTGCGCATGCGATGTCAGCGAGATGCCAAGCATCGGAGCGGAAAGTGCGGGGCTCACCTCGTCGTCGTCCTCGGCAAGCTCCTCGTCCGAGCTGTCCTCGTCGTCGTCGTCATCCTCCTCCACTGTGCGCGCGGGCGTGAGCATGACGCAGTCGCTGCGCCACGAGAGGCGCAACTCACTCGGCTCGACGGCCTTGGCCTTGCCCTTTCCCTTGTCGACGGACGGCGCGGCGACCTCGGGCTGCTCGATGCTGCCGCTCTGGGCTGCAGCAGCGCCGGCGGAGCTGCGCGAGGCGTCAGCGCTGGACCGGAAAGCACAGCATGCGGGCGACGCACTTCTCGAGCTCAGACATGATGATGGTGCAGGTGTATGCGTGCGTGGGTGGTGCGAGTGCGTGGAGCGGCGGGCTGGGCGTGTGTGATGGAGAGTGGGGTGAGGGTGATGAAGCAAGGAGCGTGCGAACGCGGCGGAGCAGCGCAACACACAAACACTTTACGCGTCCGCACGCGCACGGCCGGCCTCGACGCGTCTCGTCCCCAGAGGCGGCCCAAGCGCAGCAAGCGCCGGCACCTCCTTGCAGTCAGGGGAGCGAGCGGCGGCGATCGCAGCAGCTCGATATGCCTCTCTGGGCCTCCCTTGCTGGATGGGCGAGGAGGCAACTCGAGCAGGCGTGCGCCTCGGCCTCGGCCACGGCAGCAGCGGGCGGCAGGAGCGGCGCACACGTGACCGAGGCGTGGGAGCAGGGCAGCCCGTGTGCCGTCCTCCGCCATCCCGACTCTGCTTGTGCGGGCAGCACGGACAGCATTCCTCGGTGACGAACGTCCGTGACTCTGCACGCGAGCCAATATCGATCTTCGAAGCCGTCCTGCTTCTGCCCTGCGTGCCAATGCAAATTGCCGCCTGCACGGTGCTGCGGTGCTGCCTGCCCGAGCCGACCGACAGCCGCAGAGCAGCGAGCCCACTGCGAGCTGTGTCGTCGGCCTCGGGCATCTCTTGCGCTGCCCCATCCCCCTGCAGCTGCATAATCCGCAGAGCGGCGAGCGGCGAGGCGGCGTCGTCGACGGGTGAAGTGGGTGGGCAGGCGCGTGCCGCAGCAGGCTGGCCGTGCCGCGTGCCGCGAGCGCGACTGCCGCACGTGCGCGGCGCCGGCAGCTGGCTGGCTGCGCGCGCAGATCGCCGACACTGGCGCCGTGCCTGCCGTGCCTCGCCTGGCCGCTGCCCGCCGGTTTCGCTGCCGCTGCCGCTGCCTTGCCTCAGCGCCGCCTGCCCGCCTCTCTTGCCGTCACCCGCCTCCCCCTCCCTCCTTCCCGTCTCGTTTCGCCTCAAGACACGCCCTGCCCATCATGGTGAGCATCACTCTCGCAAGCGATGCCGCACATGTGCCACGACGCCGCACATGCCGCACGCCGCGCACTCTCGGCGCCAGCGCGGCGGCCAGGAGCGGCGCTCGGTGGATGTTGGCCGCAGCTCGGCCCGACATGCTCTTCGCGCAGCGCCGCACACATGCTGCCGCACCGGCCGACGCCATGCCGATCTTCTACGCACTGTGCGGCTGCGACGACGCAGCATCGGCGCACCGAGCAGGGTCACGCTGGACGAGGCAGCCCAGCGCACAGAGGGCTGGCGCACAGTGGCGCGGACGCCGCCGAGCGGTCCGGAGGCGCCGGCGTTGGCGTCACGGCGTAGACGGGTGGTGTTGAAGTGCCAGAGGCGCCGGTGGCGCAGAGGACGGCCAGTGGTGGGCCAGTGGCAGCACGCAGCGATGCGCAGACGGAGCAGTCAAAGAGGGTGCAGTCCGGCGGCTTGTCGCTCTGCGTGTCGTGCTGTCACGCCGGAAGAAGGCCGCACGGCTGGTCTTCTCTCTGACCGCACGTCAAGCGAGACTGCGGACAGCGATAGGGACAGGTGGCATGAGCAGAGGCATGACGTGGTGCCAAGCTGTGGTCCCTTGGCCCTCTGCGGACCCTGCTGACGCCGCGTGCCCTCTTCAGGACGCCTCTTCGCCCGTCACGCTGCGCACGCGCAAGTTTATCACCAACCGCCTGCTGCAGCGCAAGCAGATGGTGCTCGACGTCATCCACCCGGCGCGCGCCAACGTCAGCAAGGCCGAGCTCTCGGAGAAGCTGGCGTCGATGTACAAGGCCAACAAGGAGCAGTGCGTCGTGTTCGGCATGCGCACCCACTTCGGCGGCGGCCGCTCCACCGGCTTTGCCCTCATCTACGACTCGCGCGAGAGCATGAACTTTGAGCCGCGCCACCGTCTCGTCCAGGTGAGTAGCGCGGGCTGGTGGGAGGATGACAGAGTGGCGTAAAGAGCAGAGGGCATAGGGACTGGACGGAGCAGATGTCGCGTCGAGGCGCAGGCAGGCAGGCATGTGCGGCGCCAGGTGGGATGCGTGGACGGTCGACGGTGCACGACTATCGGCGCGCAGCCGGAGCGAGACACGGCCGGGCGCGCATGCAGGCTCGGACTGCGCCGATGTCCCATGTGCCAGGGAGAAGTGGCGCTCCTGTCTCTTGTCTCGGTGCACGAGGCTGACCGACGTCCCACCTGCAGGCTGGCCTCGCCAAGAAGATCGAGAAGCCCTCGCGCAAGCTGCGCAAGGAGCGCAAGAACCGCGCCAACAAGCTGCGGGGCACGGCCAAGGCCAAGAAGTCGGACGCCAGCAAGAAGGTGAGTCGGCCGCGACGGAGCTGCGTAGTGCATCGTGCTGACTGCGTCTCCGTCGCCGTCTGCAGAAGTAAAGAGGGCCGCCAGCGCTGCCTCTTCTCTTCTCGTCTCTTGCTCCGGTCATTGCCTTCTCTGCGCATCCGTCTCTTCGTCCATACATCTTCCTCTTGCACCACCACCCACCACCACCGCCACACTACATGCATATGTACGGTACCCCACCACCACCCACCTCGCCGCCTGCTGCTGCGGCACGGGCGGACGCAGGGCCCAGGCCCCTGTAAAATGGCGTGCCCTGAATTGGGACGCTTTCTCTGTACCTCCGGCTTGCCGTCTGAGACTCTCGTGCTTGCTGCTGCCGTGACAGAGGCGCCGCTCGCGGCTTCTCAGAGTGTCGCTTGGCACGGTGGCCACGCCCACAGACATCGGCACATGATCCGGCAGCCGCCTGTGGGGCACACTGACGACCGCATGGTGCGCCGGCAACCAAAGTGCCCCGTCGGAGCACGGCCAGTGTAGGTGCAGCTCGATGAGCTGTGCCGGAGGGTGCAGCAGCGCAGGCAGCACTCCAGAAGAGCGGCGTGGCAGCGCGTGCCGTGCCGGCGCGTGGCGCGTGGGCGGCGTGGGCGTCGCGTTAGCGTGGGCGCAGCGGCCGCCCGCGGGGCTTTCGTCATGCTCGGCAGCCGCGCCGCCGCCTTCGCGTGGTGGCGATCTCGAGGCCGTCTGACCTCCGCTCGCGCTGTGCGGCGGGTGTCCGCGACGGCAGGCAGCTCGTTCACGCGGTCAGAGCTGGAGGGCACATCCGCACGGACATTGCACAACTGGCTGAGCGGCTATAAAGACGCAGCCAGAGCTGGCACCTCGCTGCGCCCCTCAGACTCTGTCACCTTCTTGTTCTCCCTGCGCTGGCGCAACTTCCTCTCTCTTTCGATACCAAGCATGCATGCCTTCAACTTGCTTCTGCCCGTCACCGCGCTGGTCGCGGCGACGCTGGCACAGCCCATTGACGACGCCGGCAGCCTGGAGCGCCGCGTCGTGCTGACGCCCGAGCTGGCGCAGCAGATCGAGGCCAACGGCGGCTTCCGCACGCCGCTCGCCACCATCAACGGGCGCCCGCTGAGCATCAAGATGGCCGGCCGCGGCCTCGGCGCCAGCCCGGAGGACGACGTCGAGCTGGCACGCCGCTACTTTGCGCCCGAGCTGGAGCAACAGCTCATGAACTCTGGCCACCTGCCGCCTCCGCCTGACCACTCCATCCACGGCGTGCGCCCGCTCAGCGTCAAGCCCAAGCTCGAGGACGCCGACGACGAGGCGGCCAAGCTGGACCGTCGCATCGTCATCACGCCCGAGATGCAGCAGCAGCTCGCCGCCGAGGGCAAGACGGCGCCGTTTTTCCCGCAGATACCGGAGATTGGGCCCAACCACGTCCGACCGCAGGTGCTGCGCCGCCGCGAGTACGACGTCGAGCCGAAGCGGCGCCTCACCTCGTCCTTTGGCTGTCACCCACCAGAGTGCGTGGCGTCGCCGCCGCCGGGCTACGACGCGTCAAAGACCAATCTCTTCGCCGACCCCAATGTCTTTCGCCGTCTGCTGTCGTTCAAGCCCGAGCCCAAGCCCGACGACAACGAGCCCAAGCCCGACGACAAGCAGCGCTGGGAGGATCTGGTCAAGGCTTTGAAGGGCATCATGCCCGGCATGAATCAGCACGATGCGTCGCCAGTGCGGCGCCTCAACCCTGCCATGGCTGTTCCTGAGGGCGAGAAGCCAAAGCCCGAGCCTTCACCCGAGGACAAGAAGCGCTTCGAGGCCCTGCTCAAGGCGCTCAAGAGCATCGTGCCCGGCATGAAGCAGCGCGACGCTGCCCGCGCGCCGACGGTGCACGACGCAGTCGTGCGCAGCCCTCACCCGCTCTCGTAGTGACCTGCTCTTGCAATGCATGCGTATTCTACGGCTCGTCCGGTACCGTGAGGCTGGCCATGCTGTCGGCCAGACTGCCGCTGCCGACGCTGGCGCTGTCTGAGTCGAGATCGGCATGCCAGTCGTCGTCATCGCTGAGCAGCCCGTCGTCGTCTTCCTCTTCTAGCGCTCTAAGTGTGTGCTGTCCTGGCGTCTCTTCCCGTGCCGTGCGGTCGCCCTCTATACTCGCGCTCTCCCAATCGTCGCCGGCCTCCGAGGCAGAGTAGAGCTCGCTGTCGGTGCCCAGGTCCGTGCCCGCGTCCGTGCTCAGGTCCGTGCCGAGGTCGGTCGTCGGCGGCGTCTCGAGCCCGCCTGCCGGTGCGTGCGCTAGCCCGGCGGCACTGGCGCGTGGTCGGGCAAGCGGACGCGGGTGTAGGATCCATGTCTCGCGCACCACCGCCGCGCTCTCGCCGGAGCCTGGCCGCTGCGGTGCGTCCTTCGAGAAGGACGGGCAGCCGTGTATCCGCGCAAGCTGCAGACACGATTAGAGAGCGCCAGGCGAGGACGGGCGCTAGCACACTCACGCAGTGCACCGCCAGCCGCAGAAACGCATCGGGGATGATCCAGACAACGGCGTGCGGCGCGCGCATCTTCTCTGCAAACTGCGGCGGCTCGTCGTCGCTGGCCTCCTGCGCCTCTTCGCCGCCCTGCGGCAGCTCCTCAAAGTCGGCGTTGACGAAGATGCGGGCGCGCGTCATCGACGGCCCGACATGCACGTCCTGGCGCAGCCAGTCGACGAGCTCGCGCTCGGCGCGGCGCACGAGGGCCTGCGCAGGGCCGAGGTCGTCGTGCGCGTGCGCGGCATTGCCAGCCAGGCCACTGAGGTGCAGCGTCTCGTCGCTGGCTTCCATATTGCCCACGTTGCGCGCGCGCGACGAGGAGCGCTGCAAGCCAAGACGCTGCGAGAGGACCCAGTGTGCCTCGCGCAGCGAGAGGCGGAACTGGCCCGACGCCGATGACGCCGCCCGCGCCGCCAGCGCAGCTGCGTCCGTCGCGGAGCCCTCTGGCGGCCCAGACGGCGCACTGCCGCGCTGCATCTGTCGCAGTGCGGCAGGCAAGGGTGCCTTGGGCGCTCGCAGCGGGTTCGGGTGCAGCAGCGAGTAGTCGCGCGGCCGGGGCGGCACGGCGTGCGGGTTGCCGAAGAGCACCGCTGTGGCCAAGCTTCAGCAGCATGACAAGGGGCTGGGTCGTCTCACGCAGGCCCTCCTTCCTCTGCTCGGGCGGACAGCCTAGTGGCTGGCAGCGCCTGTGCAGCAGCCTGTCCATGCTCCAGCACCGACGCACTGCACAGCAGGCGCAAGCATCGCACGTCGCCTCGCCCAGGCTCGCGGCGTCCACGGCCGGACTCACCGTTCTCGGCCCTGCGCAGCTTGCGCTGGCCCAGGTCCTTCTTGCGCTTGCCCGCCGGCGCCGCACGCACCGGCGGCGGCGCCGCTGCGCCCGCTGCGCCGCCCAGGTGCCGCACGCGCGGGTTGACGAGGATGGCGGGCATGCGCAGCGGCACGGGCCCGTCGCCGCTGGCCGGCGCGCGCGGGCGCGGCGGTGCAGCGCTGGCTGGCGGCACATCGTCGAGGCCGAGGATGGGCGGCAGGCCGTCGTGCGTGTCGTCCATGCTGCGCGGCGGTGGTGGGAGCTGAGGCGAGTCGCGGCTGGGCGTATGCAGAGCGGAAGGTGGAGGCGAGGCGCGCTGCTGACCGCGCCGTGCAGCAGCCGCAGCACAAGACAGCGCCAGGTACAGGCACAGCAGCGTGCTCCTCAGCTCTGGCGTCGGCGACATCTCGCATGAGCAGTCCGTCCCCTGCCAGCTCAGGACAAGCTGGAGCATCGCTCAGACATCTCGCTGCGACATGCATCCATCTCCATGCTCATTCCACCGGCCACTCGAGCCGTGCCAGCGGCGGCAGCGCCCCCGTGCCCGTCCAGCGCACCTCGACCTCCTGCCACACCTGGCTCACCCGCACCTCCTCGAAGCCGAGACGCGCAAACAGGCGCCGGCTGCCGGCGTTGGCGAGGCCGATCTTGGCGTGCAGCGCCGGCGCAGGCAGCGGAAACGGCGCAGGCAAGGAGCCGAGCCCGCTGGAGGCGTGCGAGGCGTAGTGCAGCAGCAGCGACACGGCCTCTTGCGCAATGCCGCGGCCGCGAAAGGCATGCTCTGAGCTGGGCAGTCAGTGGTGCTGAGACGTTCACACGCTCGCAGCTGCCTCACCGGCGATCATAACCTCGACCTCGGCGCACCAGCTCTTGGCCTGTGGCGGTGCGTCTGCCGCCTCTGTGCCCTCCTCTTCCTCGTCGTCGTGTGCTTCGGAGATGAACAGGTTCACATCGCCGATCATTTGGCTCTCGCTGATCGCCTCTGCGGCACTCTGCGGCACCACACTGCCCGGCGGGCGCGCCATGACGATGAACGTCAGCTCTGCACAGCGTCAGCGCTGTGCTCCAGCCTAGCACGCGACGTGTCAACTGACTGTCGTCGTCGGCGTGCCAGCTGGCCTGCATTTCGTACTCCTCCGGCAGCGACAGCGGCTCCGAGGCGGTGGCCTCGCGGATGAGCGGGTCCTGCATCCAGGCGTGGTACTGCGGCGCGAGAGGCGCATGTCAGAGGCGCGCGGAGGCGGCACACAGGAGGCGGCGCACCTTCTCGACGTGCTCCTTCCTGCCCACAGAGAAGCGTCAGGGCGTGCTAGCGGGACGCTGAATGGCACACAATACGCACCGGTACGGCACGAGCAGCACACGCGGGCCGACGAGGACGAGGCGCTCGTTGGCGCGCATCTTGGGCGGCTTGAGGCGTGGCTGGCGGGAAGCAAGAGGCGGGAGCGGCGCTGCGTGGAGGCGCGCCGTGCGCCATGAGGAGATGGGCGACGACGCGCCTGCACCTCATCGTTGCGTCCACACCGCCATCCTCAATGTCCACGCACCCGGGCACCGCAGCCGGCGGCAGCGGCGCCGCCACGCCCATCGCCGCCCCGACACTGCAGGGCCCGACCAAGACGCCGCTGCTGACCTTCGCGCCCGGGCTGCACCTCCTCTCCGTGCCCGCGCTCCTCTCGCTCATCTCCGCCGGCAGCGGCAGCGGCGACGAGCCGTACCTCGCATCGCTCGCCCCGCGCTCCATCCTCCTCATCTCGCCCGAACGTCCGCCGGCGCGCCTCGCACGCTGGGCCGCCGAGCGCCGCGTGCATCTCGTGCACTTTGGCCTGGGGCCGTGCCCGCCGCTCGACGGCGATGCCGAGGGCAGCCACGAGGACCGCGACGGCGGCGACCGCGAGCGCGTCTGCAAGGAGGGCGTCGAGTGGTGTGTGGACCGCACACGGGCGCCGCTGATCGTGTGCGATACGTGAGTGGCATACCACCGGGAGAGAGACAGCACTGGCGAAAGTGGCAGCTATGACGAGAGGGACAGCGCCGGCGAGAGAGACAGCATCTGGCGCATGGCACCCTCCTGCCAGCACACAGCTGACAGACTGCCGCAGCTCGGGCGCGAATGAGGCAGCATTAGTCATCGGCTGTCTGCGCCGCCTGCAGCGCCGCAACTTTGCCAGCATCTGCGCCGAGTACCGCACCATTGCCGGCAAGCGGGCGCGCGCCGCGAATGAGCGCTTCATCGAGGTGAGCGCCTCAAGGGCAGCCCGCTCACGAAGGAGCCTTGCTGATGTGCGTATCCGCTCAGATGTTCGACACGGACCTCGTCTCGCTGCCGCCGCGCGAGCGCCTGGCCGACTGGTTTGCACTGCACCTCGACGACGATGACCGCGAGCTCGCGGCGCTGTCAGAGGCGCCAGCCGGATGAGCCCCAGCGCATCGAAGCACGCAAGCACGACGGCGCGCGCGGCAGAGGTGTCATTGCACTGGCCGCGGATCACCCTCGCGCTCAAGGAGCATTGTTCCGCAGCCAGGCGCGCGAGTCGCTCAGCGCAATGTGGCCCAGCCCGCTGGCGGCGCTGATGGCGCGCACCGAGGAGCGCCAGTGCACCTGCGGCGCCTCGGGCAGGGCGATCTTGAGCTCGATCGAGAGAGCCGAGAGCAGCGGCGTCAAGTACCTGGGAGACGTCCTGGTCAGCGACGCGAGCGGCGACACTCTATGCGCGACTCACTCGGATGCAACGCGCAAGATTGCCTCGTGGCTCGGCACCTTGCCCGAGCCGGCGCGCACGTTGAGCACATCGATGACGAAGGCGCCGCCGACGAGGCCGTGCACGCGCTCGACGGCGCGCTGGCACGCCTCGTGCACCGTCTCGGCGCTCGGCGCAGAGGTTGGACCCGTGTAGGAGCGCGGCGACGAGCTGTATACTTCTGCGTCAGCTCTGCAGCAGCAGCACTCTCTGTGCCTCCGTTCGCCGCACGCACAGACGCAACGCAATGTATGCGCTCTCGCTGCCCTTGACGTTGAAGCGATCATACGCAGGCGGTGCAGCCGCCTTCGTCTTCGCAGCCGCTGCGTTCTCTGACACAGGAGTCACTCGTCAGACCGAGGCGATGCACATTCTATTGCCGGCTGGCTAAGCCCTACTCACGCAGAGCATCGACAGCGGGGCCCAACGGCTGCCACGCAGAAGCCTTCTCAGCCGCATCTTCCGCGCTGATGGGTGCAGCAGCAGCAGGAGCATCGGCCATCTGCACGTCTGCGGCCGCGCCAGGGACATCGGCGGCGCTTGGCGCATCGCCTTCTGCGCCCTCCTCCTCGTCGGCGTCGAAGAGCAGCTCGAGCGCGGGGCGGTAGCGCTCCATCTTCCACATGTCGCGCACGGCAATCGAGGCCAGGTCGAAGGCGAGCGCGACGATGGGCTCGCGCTTGCCGCTTTCGCTCGCGGCGCCCGGGGCAGAGAGGCGCGGCAGCTTGGGGTAGCGCTGCGAGAAGTGCGTGAGGAGGCAGTGCTTGGCGTTCATCTGCCGGGCAATGTCGATCGCCTGGCCGAACGTCGAGTGTCCCTTGAACTTCGCCATCTCGTGCTGCGAGTCCTCGAGAGTCGCCTCGTGCACGAGCACGTCGACGTCCTTGCCTGCGCGCACCAGAGCAGCGCACGGCTGCGTGTCGCCGGAGTACGCCACCGACCAGCCGCGCGCGGAGCGTGCCACGAGACCGAAGCACCTGGGCACGCGGTGGATGACCTTGCACGTCGTCAGCTCGCGCAGGCCCATGCTGGCCATGGCGTCGCGGTGCCGTTGTCGGAAGAAGCCTAGGGACGTTCCAGTCAACGGGGGCGAAGCAGCGCGCGACGAGCCTTCTTCTCCGGCGTTGGCCGTCTGCGCCTCAGCAGCCGGGTCCTGGAAGATGCTGCCAGTCTCGAACTCGAGATAGGCACTGTCGATAGTAAGGACCGTCTCGGTGATGCCGAGGGGCTCGCAGTGCGAATACTCGCGCAGGTAGTCCAAGGTTGCGCGGTTGGCGATGAGGTACAGCGGCCGCGAGGGCCGCAGCTTGTGGCGCGCCGCCAGGATTCGTGCGGCGCCGATGTGGTGGTCGCCGTGGATGTGGCTGAGGAACATGATGCGGAGCTCGCGCAGCACCTCGTCGACGCCGCGGCCCGGCTCCAGAGCATCGGCTGCTGCGTCGCGCGGGCCGCCCTCGTAGCGCGCCTTGTGGCCGTGGCCGAAGCGGCGGCAGAGCTGTCCGTACGTGCCTTCGCCGGCGTCAAGCAGCATGTAGCCGTTGAAGCCAGGTGCGTGCACGAGCGTGCCGCTGACGTTGCGATACTTGCTGGGCGAGGCGCTGCCCGTGCCCAGCGGCGTCAGAACGAGGCCGTGATCCGCGTCATCGGCCTTCGCACGCTCCCGCGCCTCCTCTTCGACCTGCACGCGCAATGACTGGCACATGCGCACAAATTCTGCCCAAGCGCTTTCGCGAGCGGCTTGACTGGCGCGGCCGACCTTCTTCGCGGCCGGCGGACGCGCGCGGAAGGCCACGGCAGCCTGCGTGAGCGCATCGTCGAGCGGAGCGAGCAGATCAGGCGCAGAGCTGGGCGGCGCATGCGCACGGCCCGGAGGGACCAACGGCACGACGAGGTCCGGCTGCACTGCTTGCGCGTCTGGCAGTCCAAGCTCGGCGGTGTCACGCAAGGGCGAGACGGAGTATCGGATCGGCGTCCAGATCTTCGGGTCCAGGTGCGAGAGCCGCAGGTGGCTGAGCGCTGCCGAGGAGAAGGCATTTGTGTCCCTGGTGAAGGCCGGGCTTGAGATCAGATGCTGCACCTCTCCGCCGAAGCGCTCGACGAAGGAGCGGTAGTGCGGGTCGGTCAGGACGTCTGGCGGCGCCGCGTGGATGATGGCGGCGATCTTCACGCCGTCCTTGGCTCCAGCGACGTATCGCTCGAAGCGCCGCTGGTTGTCTTCCGACAGCAGCGAGGGCAGGAAGTCGACCGACGGCACGTAGAGCTGCATGAAGGCCTGCAGCAGAGGCGTGAGCGGGTCGCTCGAAACCGACACAAGCGCAGAACTGACCGTGCCTTCCTTGGTCTCGCCAAGGACCTGCGACGCCTGCACCTCGACCTCTTCGTTCTCAATCGCTTGCAAGATCTCGTCCCTGATCTTCAATTGCTTCTTACTCTTGCCTTCTTGTGTCTTCTGCAGCCAGTCCTGACGCTCCTGCTCCGACATCTGCGCCCACGCGACCGGGCGCTGGAAGCGGATCGAGCCCTGCTTGATCAGCGTCGCGCGGCCCGGGCCCAGCGGGACGCCCAGTGCGCTTGCCAGCTGCACGTCGAACTTGCCGCGCTGCGGCGGATGCTCGACGATGTAGCTCAGCGCATGTGCGGGACCCTCCGCAAAGATGGGCCGCTGGTCCTTTGGCACAAACAGCTGGCGCCACACGCGTGCGCCGTCGGTGCGTGGCTCGGGATACACTGGGCGGAAGAGCTGCAGCCAGTCGGGTTCGCCGTCTGCGTCGCTCGGCAGTGGTGAGCGCGACTCGGCGCGGGGAAAGCTGCCGGAGCGCTCCGACACCTTGCGTCTCTTGTGCTCCTGTTTCTGCGCCTGGAAGTCCTCAAAGCCCGCGTGGACGAGAGGCACAGCGTGCACTGTGAGGTGCTCGTCCTTGTAGAAAGCGCTTGCGCCCTCTTTGCGACGCGCTCCCCCCTGCGAGCCCCCAGCTGAGCCGGCGACCTCTGCCTCGTTGCAGTTGAGCAGCAGCTGGTCTCGTTGTGTGTAGCTTCGCAGCGAGCAGAGATGCTGAGCCAGCTGGTGCGGGCCATGCACCGTGAGAGTGCGACAGCCGCTGTCCGCCAGGGTCATGATCAGACCTGCAGCAGGTCAGCCGAGGTCCGACAGTCCAAGCGAGCCGCACGAGCATCCAGCGCTCTCGAGCTGACTCACCAGCGGTGCCTCCACTCTCCACGCCCACCGTCGGCAGGAAGAGGTTGACGTCGGCACGAGACAGGCCCTTGGTGCCACGCTGGTTCATGGCGCGCGTGGTGCCCTCGGGCGCATTGAACATGTAGCGGCGCGCGCCGACGCTGAGGATGAGCACGGGCAGCAGCGTCGCATTGTCCGAGCTCGGCGGGTAGATGATGCGCAGCGTCGAGACCATCACGTCGTTGGGTGTCTCAGTGACGAAGAAGCGCCGGAAGGTCGCGCCTGGCGGTGTCCGGCTCGGCGGCGGCGGTGACGCTGCGAGGCGCTGCGAGGCGAGAAGCGGCCGGCCTGCCGGCTGCCAAAGGCGTGCGAGGCCCGCGAGCGGCGAACGAGGCGCCAGCTGCAACGTGGTGGGCGAGAGCGCAATGGCGCAGAGCGGGCGTTGCCGGGCTGACAGCGAAGGAATGCAGCGGTCCAGCCTCTGTGTCCACAGAGCAGCGTTCAGGGTGAAGTGGGCAGTGGCAGCGTGATGGTGGAGGTGAGTCAGGTCAGCCGGGCGCTTCTTCGGCGCGGCGCGGCTCGAGGCGCACTTTTTTGGCGCGCCTTGCCGTCCGTTCCCACGCCTGCTTACAGCGCTCCAGGACAAGGACGTGCACCAGCACCAGACGCTGCCCGGCTCGGGTATGTGTAGGATTGCTCGAGACGATGCGGTCGACAGATTACAGGAGTATGGGGGCTGATCGGATAGCGTGATAGAGGGTGTGTTTCGCATGTGGAGAGGTGATGAGTGATGGCGCGACTCGCGAAAGAGCCCGGCGAGGACAAGACGAGGAGCCCTCAGTGAGCAGCAGCAGCGTGCTCGGCGCACTCCTCCTCGCGCACCTTGCGGTGGCGCACGCGGTGCTCGTGGCCCCAGCCCGTACCGTCGCGCCCGTGCTCGTCGTCGTCGTCCGACTCGGGCTTGCAGCGGCCGCGCAGCTTCTCCTCGAGCAGCGCGCGCCGCCGCTGGTCCTCGAGCTTGGCCGTCTTGTGCGTGCGGCGCTGCTCCGTCGTGTTGCTGCGCTTCGGCGCCAGCGCGTCGTCGAGCGAGCGCGTCGTGTCCAGCGGGCCCATGCCCAGGTCCGAGGTGTCGCTCACCGTCGCGGCGCGCTTGTGCAGGATGGGCAGGCTGGGCAGGTGCAGGCCCAGCGTGCTGGAGCGCTTCGGCGCCGCGTGCTGCTTCGAGTCGTGCTCGTCCGACTTCTTGGCCGCGTGGCCATCAGTCGAGCTCCTGGGCTCGGCATGCGAGGCTCCATCCTCGGGCGCCTGCGGCGTTGAGCGGCCAGAGGGCGACGAGACCCCCAGCGGGCTCGCCACACGGCGCAGGCTGTCGAGGCCGCGCGAGGCAAAGGAGCGACGCTTGCTGGCCGAGTCAGGCGACGGAGGCGCCGCTTCCGGGTCCGGGCTGCGCGCTCCGGGCTCTTCGACCTGGGGCGAGACTGGGCTCGACTTGGAGCCGTCGTCGGACGACGACTTGCCCACGTCGCCGATGAGCGGCAGCGCAGAGATGCGCGGCAGCGTCTTGCTGCGCTTCTGGAGCGGCACGCGCGTGCGCTTGCTGATCGACAAGTTGGCGTAGATGAACTTGACCGCCTCCTCCGTGCCCTTCTCCTTGCGGATGCTCTCGCCGACCGCCGCGGCCTTCTCGACCATGATGCGGTCGTCGCGCGCCGTAACGAGGGCCTCGGTGACCGCTTGCTGGCTCGTGAGGTCCGACACCGTCAGGCCGGCATTCAAACGGGCCACGCGGCGTGCCCAGAAGAACTGGTCGCCGAAGAACGGGTGCACCAGCGTGACAAGACCGGCGCCCAGACTGGCGCCCACCGTGCCCGCACCACCGTGGTGGAAGGCAATGTCGATCTGCGGGAAGAGCCAGTCGTGCGGGATCGAGTCGACGAGGTAGACCTGCTCGGGCACCTCGAGCTCGGCAGCCGGAGCGCTGCTGCCGTCCTCCATGCGGCCGGACCAGCCCTTTGCGACAATGGCGCGCACATCGGCCTTCTTGACCGACTGAGGACAATGCATCAGCGCGCCGCGCAGACGTGAGATGTCAAGAGCGACTCACCTCGTAGATGACCTCCATGGTGTCGCGCGGGTGCGAGAGCGGAATGCTGCCGAAGCCGATGTACACGAGCTTCTTCTCCTCCTGGCGCGCCTGCTTCAGGAACTTCGTGAGCTCCTCAGGCGGCTCGTACGCCTTGGACGAGTCCGACTCGATCGTCCAGTAGCCCGTGATCTGGATCCTGTCTCCCCAGTCGAGCTGCGATGCCAGCGAGTCAGCTTTGGCGCGAACACTTTGCACACACTCCGACGAACCGGCGGGGGGACGACGCTCGGGCTGCGCGCGGCAGAGTCAGCAAAACCTGTCAGCACATCAGCACACTGAACGCACCTGAAGTTGTAGAGGAAGGGCACGCTCTGCTGGTCCAGCAGGTCGAGCGTGGTCGGGCTGCGAAGGATCGAGTCAGCCGCAGCATCACTAGCACATGGCTCTGTCCAACTCACCCCAGCTTCAGCATGTGCTTGCGCCAGCGGTTGATCTGGCCGCTCGAGGCCTGCCAGAACACGCGGTCGAAGAGGGCGTAGGACATTGCGTTGTACCTGCGGAACAGATCAGCGACGGGCTCGCCGGCCTGTTAGCTAGCGCAGCTCACTGTGGGCCCCTGCGCAACAAGGAGTCAGTCTCTGGCACGGCAGCCGGCGCGCAGCTCTGCTCACATGTCAAAGGGCGGCACCGAGAAGGCCTGAGGGTACGCAGTGCCTGCAGAGGCACTGTCAGCCACGCGCGCTCTGTCTGCTTTCAGGGCGACGCACACTTCGTCCACGGCATGGTGAAGGCACGCATGTAGTAGCTGCGAAGGCAGCGTGAGCAGACTGGCTGAGCGACATGCTTAAGCGCGACTCACGCTCCGGTCGCCTCGGCAACGTGGATGCCACCCATCGTCTGAGGGGCCTCGATGATCAAGTCGGCGTCCTGCAGGAGACGAGGTCAGACGGGAGCCGATGGGCTCGCAGGTCACCACGCACGTGAGCCGCCTCGAAGATCTCGCGCAGCAGCTCGTCCAGCCAGAGCCGGAACTTCGGCACTTGGTCTCTGAAGAAGGCCGGCGAGAACAGCTTATTCTCGACCGAGAGCTGCGAGGACATGCAGCGTCAGCAGAGTGCAGAGGATGCAGCCGTGCCACAGCCGACTCACCTTCATCAAGGCGCCTGGATCGCCTCCGATAGGGCGCAGCTCCAGGCCGTACTCGGCGACCCAGTCCTTGTACTCGGGGTGCGAGCAGAGGTAGACGTCGTGGCCATCGGCTTTCAGCTGCAGGGCATGGAAACGTGAGCTTCGATCCGCACGCAATCTCCGCAGCGCGCCTCACCCTCAGGGCCAACGCCAGCTGCGGCTGCACGTCTCCACGCGAGCCGATCGTCATGAGCGCGATGCGCATGCGGCCGAGCTTGCGCTGCTTCTCATCCGACGCATCACCTCCAATGACCTTGGGCAGCAGGCTCAGCTGCTCCGTCGTGAATTCGAGCTTCATGTCGCGTGTAGCCTCCTCGAGGTAGCGCTTAAGCGGCGGCGTCTCGGTCGACGGCTTCTTGGGCTGCGCATCGGCCTTGGCCGCATGCTCCTTGACTGCCGACATGATCGCCTCCTTGGCGGCATCGCGAGACTCTGCACTGCCGATGTCAAAGTGCAGGTCGGGATGGCCGCGCACCTCGAGGCGCAGGCCGTGCGAGCGCCAGAAGAAGCTGTGTCCCTCCTCGGCGTTGACGATGTCGGCGAGAGGGATCTGTAAACAGCGGGTCAGCACCGTAGCGCGCGCTCTTCTATGGGGAGGCAGCATACCTTGACGCGAATGTCCGCGATGTTGCCCAGACGGCGGCGCCAGAAGATGAGCTCGCTGGGCGAGATGGCGAGCGTGCCAGGCCACGGCACCGTGCGGACGATGTCGGCCTTCACGAGGCGAAGCTGCGCAAGGATCCGAGTGAGCATCACATGCGCAATGTGGGCCGACCATGCTGTGCGCACCTCGTTTGCAGAGCACGACAGCGAGAAGCTCTGCACGAACTTGGACGCCAGACCTCCGCCGTCGGACTCGGCAGCGGCGTGGTTCAGCTCCTGCTCCTTGGAGCGCGGACCCTCGATGTCCAGGAGCGGGCGCGGCACCGTCTTGAGCGTGTGCTCGAGGCCCTTCTCCTCGCGCCACTTCTTGCCCTGCGCGATGTGCGGCTCGAGCGACTCGAGGAAGCCGAGGTGGCGCGACGTCACACCAAAGGCAAGCTCGATCGTCGGTGCCGATGAGCCCTGCTGCGAGGCACGCGGCTCGCCGCCCTCGTCGAGCACCGAGAGCCAGATCGTCGTCGCAAAGTGCAGGTAGGCCGAGTGGGTGAGCGTGAGGATGCGCGGCAGGGGCTGAGAGGGGAGTCAGCGGTGCTGCGCCGTGCCTGGAGCGGGTGCTGTCTCTCACGATGCAGATCTTGATCTTGTCGGCTGTCTTCTGGAACGCCCAGATCGCCGCCTCAATCTCGCGGTGCCAAGTGAGACTGGCCTCCTCCGTCTCAAACTCGAACGTGCACAGCCGGCCCTTGGAGCGCACGTCGACGTGCGTGCCCTTGGCCCAGTCGTGCGGCAGCAGCTCGTCGATGTCGCCGAGACGCATGGAGCCGAGCGGCTTGTAGAGCGCCGTGGACGAGCGGAAGCCCGTAATGGCGTCCGGACGCAGCTCGAGCCACACGCGTTTCTTGCGGTGCAGGCCATGACGGTGGAACGTTGCTGGTCCACGCTTGATGGGCGCCGCTCCCGCTGCCGATGGGTGGCCGTCGGCTCCGGGCGACGGCAGCCAGGCGACGAACGCAAGACGGTGGTTGGAGAGGCACAGCGAGCCCTTGATGAGCACACGGCGGGTGAGCACGGCCGGCACGATGGCGATGAGCTTCTCCTCGCCGCGGCCGTCCAGCCCGCTGGGTCCGAACTCTGCTTGAAAGGCGGCCAGCTTCCCCTCCATGTCCTCCTGGACCGCCTCGCGGGCCGCACTGCCCTCGGCCTCTTGCGAGTCCGAGTCGCCCGACGTGTCCATGATGGAGCGGTGGTCCGCGCTGGCCTCGTCGAGGCTGTCCATCGCCGACTGCTGCAGGGACCAGGCCATGGCCTCGTCCTCGTCCAGCGGGCGCGTGGGTGCATGACGCGCGCCGGTTTCTGATCGTTCCAAGTGGCAGGTGTCGGGGTTCGGTGGCGGCCACGCGGCGCAGGTGGCGGTCGAGAGAGAGCGAGCGTGAGGCGGCGGCCGCAAGGGAGTACCGGCGGACCAGGACAACGGCCGCGAGCGCCGGGCAGGTTTCGCGACGGAATCGGCAGGAAACGCGCCATTGATGCGCCGGAAGGACGAGCGGAGCAGGGAGATCGAGGCGGAACGCGGAGAGAGTCCGTCGTCGTGCACAGACGGACACGAGACGGGAAGACGAGAAGCAGGAGTGGGAGAGAAGTGCTGCGTCAGCAGGTTGTGCAGGCCCATGTTGCTCGGCCAGGTGTTCTCGAAGACGCTTGGTGGTGGTCGAGACGCAGGTTGAGCGACCGTACAGCACGGCATCTTCCTCCGAATCGTGCCAGGTGGCAGGGCACGCTCCCACGCCCAGGGCAATGGAGTTAAGCACTCAAGCGCCGCAGCATCTACATACGCTGACGGCTGAGCCGCCCGCCGGAGCCGCTCTCCGCAAGGAACAGATTGCGGAGAAGTGCCAGCCGGGCGGGACCGCGCAGAGCAGATGACAGCATGTGGCAGCGCCCCACACGCGGCGGCACGCTAGATGCCGTACCCTCGAGCCGCCAAGGCTTGTCTGTGACGCTCTGATGAAGCGTACTGTAGCTGCACCGCCGTCATCCCGAGATGAGGCAAGGACGCCGGTGGGGTGGGCGACCAAGCACAAGGATCTCAGGCGCGGAGGCGTCGAGCCGTGCGCCCAATTTCGCGCGCGACACGGCTGCGCCGCCGCGCGCCGGAACTTTATCCGCGGCACGCGGAGCCGCCGGCATCTCTTGCCGGCCACGCGTCCTCTGCGCTGCCATCATGCTCCGCCTCACGGAGAGGCCTTTCCGCACTGCTGATGATGCCGCACCGTCCTGTGCAAGCTGAATGCGGCATCCAGAGTGTTCCGTCTGCCACAGATGCCAAGACAGGTGCCGATCCTTTCTTCCCGCCGTCGCGAGACTAGCCACACACCATCGACCTTCACCAGCTGCCACTCTCTGACACGAAGCATGCACTCACGAATGCGGTTGCGCGCCTTTGTGAGGCGCTTGAGCATCGCCTTGCGCCTGTGCTTGGCGTGCGCGTCGGCCTGTGCCGCCTCTTCGCGGCGGCGCGCCCAGCCGTCGTCGCCCTCCTGTGCGGGAGCGGCGAGTGCGGGGGCCGGGTGTGCGTCGGACGAGGTGCCGCTCGAGGCCGGCACCGTCGAGTGCTCGTCGTCCTCGGACAAGAAGTAGTGCTCGTCGGCCTCGGCAATGGCGTCGTCGTCGTCGCTCTCCGAGTCACTCTCGCTCTCCTCTGAGCTGCTGAAGTTCTCATGCATGCTGCCGTGCCGCACCCCGTGAGCAGCGTCTCTCGCCAGTCATTCGCGGCCCACTCACAGCGCGGCGCCGCGCAGCATGCCCTCGAGCTGCGGGTACATGCCGGCCATGTTGCGCTGCTTCTCGTCGGGCGACGCGAGGGGCGTCGAGCCGGGCGCAATGCTGCCGCCGCTGCTCCACGTTGACGCGGCCGCCGCCTCGGCAGCCGCAGCGGCCGCAGCATCCGACGACGCCGACGCCGCCGACGCCTCGGCCGGCTGCTGCTCAGGCGCGGACATGGCGCACTGAGTCGTGCCAGAGGTGGAGATAGATGAGACGACGATGCGATGGGTGTGTGGACGGAGCGGCGCAGGCGTGGTGGTGCGAAACAGAGAGCGAGCACCTGTGGCCCGGCCGTGCCGCCGCGTGCGGCGCGCCCCTTCGCAGCTTTCCTGCGCAGCCGCTGCCGCGCCGCGCGCGCCGCACCACTCCAGCATCTCGCGCGCTGGCGCACCTGCCCGTTCCGGTGGCCTACCCTGGCTGGCTCAAGCGCTTCCAACCGCACGTCTGGCCGCCACCGGATTCTTATTGCACACACGGGCGCCAAGGTGCCTGTTTGCTGTGCTGCGGCGAGTAAGAGTGTCCCTTTCTGCGAGCGTCGTCATGGGATCTCGCTGCGTGTGGCTTGGCACGTCGCGCGAGGTGGAGGCCTCTCCCTCTCCGCCGCCGTGCCTGGCGCTCCCTGCTGCGCCTCGCTGCCAGCGCCGCCTGCTTCTCAGATGGCTGGCTCAGGTTGCTCGGGCTGTATGCATGGTGTGCAGCAGTGCGACTCTGCTCGGCGAAGCGCTTCTCTGCCGAGTGTGGACCAGGCAGGGCCTCGAGACGGCTGTACTCGCCGCTGGCAGGCGGAGCGGAGCCGAGGCGCCGCGCCCCGCATCTCGTGCATCTCACGCGCTGCGGAAGCCGTGCAGCGCAGCGAGCCAGCATGCGCTCCTCCTTCCTGCCTCCCACATAGCCCGCCTCGCCATGGCCCTCCATCTGCCCGTGCGCCTGCTGCGGCGGCCCGACGCCGTGCTGCGCCTCTCGCGCACCGCCGCTGCGTCGCCAGCGTGCGCCACGAGCCTGCGCCCGCCCGCTCGCACCTTCCACCGCTCCAGCGTGACGCTCGTGAGTCTGCGGGGCTCGCGCGCCGTCCAGAGCCCTGCCGCCGCACCGACTAGCAGCGCCTCCACCTCCGCACCGCCGCCGCCTTCGTCGGCTCAGACACCGGCAGCAGCGGGCGAAGGCCCTGCCGTGGCGCTGGCGCGCGACGCCGTCAGCGTCACCTGGTCGTCGGGCGTCATGAGCCGCTTCCACCACCTCTGGCTGCGCGACCACTGCCGCTGCGCCACGTGCTACCACGCCACCACCAAGCAGCGCCTGCTCGACACGTTCAAGGTGCGTGTCTGTAGGCGTCTGCTGTGCGGCAGCTGTGGCTGCGCTGCGAGAGGGAATGTGCGCGAGGGTGTCTGCGGCTGCTGCGCTGCGAGGAAGTGCGCCTGCTATGCCGCGCGGGTCTGTGCGTCCGCTTTGCCGCCTCGGCTGACTCTCTTCTACAGCTGCCGCCAGACCTGCAGCCTGTTGCCGCCGAGTCGACGACCGAAGGCCTGCTCGTGCGCTGGGCTGAGCCCGGGCCCGAAGCACCAGCCGAGGGCGCAGCGGCAGCAGCGGAGCACGTCTCGCTCTACCCGTGGTCGTGGCTGCGGCAGCACTCCTACGCGCCCGTGCTCTCGTCGCTCAGCAGCTCGGCGCTGCCCGACGGGCCGGCCGACAGCCGCGGGCGCATCCTGTGGGGCAGCGGCATCGGCGCCGCGCCGCCGACGGTGACGCACGACGAGGTGCAGGAGGACCGCGGCGTGGCGCGGTGGTGTGCTAAGATTGTGAGTCAAAGTGGCGAGTGATAGGCTCGTGGCGGCATGCCCGTGCGAGACCTGTGGCGGCAAACGTGTGCTGACCGGCCTCAGGCGCGGTACGGCTTCTGCTTCGTCTCTGGCGTACCCGCCACGCCCGAGGCAACACAGGCGCTCGTCGAGCGGCTCAGCTTCATCCGCCCGACGCACTACGGCGGCTTCTGGGACTTCACCTCGAACCTCGAGCACGGCGACACGGCCTACACGAACCTCAAGCTCGGCGCACACACCGACACGACGTACCTGACGGACCCGTGCGGCCTGCAGATGTTCCACCTGCTCTCGCACACCGACTCGCCCGGCGGCACAAAGGCCCACGGCGGCGAGTCGCTGCTCGTCGACGGCTTCCTGGCGGCGCAGGTGCTGCGCGACGTGCACCCGGACGCCTACGACATTCTCAGCCGCACGCGCATCCTTACGCACTCGGCCGGCGACGACCAGACGCTCGTGCGCCCGCTGCACCCGCGCGGCTACCCCATCCTCGAGCACGACGAGTCGACGGGCGAGCTCATCATGGTGCGCTACAACAACGACGACCGCAGCGTGCTCAAGGTGGCCGAGCATGAGGTGTTGCCCTTCTACGACGCCCTGCGAAAGTGAGCACCTCACATGCCTGTGTCTGTGCTTCGGGCTGACCGCCGCGTTGCAGATGGCACGAGATCCTCACGTCCGAGAACGGCGAATACTGGTCGCAGCTGACGCCCGGCACGGCGCTGAGTGAGTCGCACCTATCCTCGCCTGCAGCAGCGCACGCTGACCCGCTGTCGCAGTCTTCGACAACCACCGCGTGCTGCACGGCCGCAGCGCCTTCATGGGCGAGCGGCGCCTCTGCGGCGCATACGTGCCGCACGACGACTTTCGCTCGCGCACCGCCACGCTGCGCACGCGCTTCCCCGACGTCTTTGCCGACGGCCGCGTCGCGCCGACGTCGGGCGACGGCGAGCGGAGAAAGCGCGGCGTGTGGGATGACGGCCTGTAAGTGGCAGCGGCGACGAGGACGCGCAACGCTCGGAATGCATTAGTCACCTCAGCCTGCGCGTCCGGGGCATCGGCTTCATTGCAAGGCGCAGCACAGCAGCGCAGGAGACGGGACATGTGGCAAGCAGAGGCACGAGCAAAGCACAGGCGGGCGCGCCCGCTAGCAGACTAGTGGCGCGCACAGCGACGCCACAAGCACTTGCAAGTCTAGGCGAAGGCCTGCTGCCGGCCTTTTCGCATCACGCGGCTCACGTACTTGCTGGCCCTCTTGCCGCCGGTCGACTGCTTTGCCTGCTGCGCCTGCGGGGCCGGCCCGGCAGCCGCAGCTTGCACAGCGGCGTTGACGGCGGCCGGGTTGTTGATCGGGTCGATGGCGTTGAGCTGCGGCACGCGCGGCGGGCTGGGCTTCGGCCGGCGCTGCGCGCTGTTGCCCGGCGCATAGCCCGAGGCCGTCGAGATGTCGCCCAGGCGGCCCTGGCGCGAGGCCTCGATGATGGCCTGTGCCTGCGCCTCGTCCTCCTTGCGCGGCTTCTTGCCCTTGGGGTGCTTGATCGCCGGGCCGTAGGCGTACGGGTGCTTCTTGCTCAACCCGTTGGCCTTGTCCGCCTTGGCGATGGCCATGTGCATCAGGTGGCCGCCGACGACGGGCCGCGCGAGGAAGTGCACCAGCGGGTCGAAGGGCGGCTTGGGCGTGTCGCCCGTGGTGCTCTCCATCAGGTCGACGAAGGGCGAGTCGGTGCGGCCGTTCGACACAAAGTCGTACGTCTTCTCGATGAAGAGGTCGCGCGTGCTGCCGTTGGCGGCCGTCGCCGAGGCGAACATCTCCCAGTCCGTCTTGGCCCACTTGTGCCGCGAGTCGAGCGGCACGGCCCAGCGCTCGGCCTTGCGCGGGTACCACGCGTCCTGGATGTCGTACAGCTCCTTGGCCACGAGCTCGAGGTTGAGCAGGCGGTCGCCGAAGAGGTTGTACAGCGTGCCCCACGAGTCGTCCGAGCCGTAGTTGAGCGTCGTGTGCGAGCCGTCCTTGGAGAGCGAGTAGCCGTAGAAGAGCTGGATGTACGTGCTGCTGATGTTGCGGTACATGGCCGCGTCCTTGGTGTGGTTGAGCACGTCGGCGATGATGCCCATGGCGGCGATGCCCTCGATGCCCTTGATGGCCAGGTTCGTCTGGTTGACGAGCGTGCCGGCAAAGTCGTCGGTCGAGAGCTGCTCGGCGGGCACCAGCGAGTCCTCGATGAGGAACTGCGCCCACTGCTGCAGGATCTTGTAGTGCTCCTTGAGGAACGGCTTGGCCGTCTTGTTGCCGACCATCTGCGCCCAGTGCGCCGTGAGGAGGATCATGTTGCCGCTCTCCTCGACCTGCATTGCCTCGTCCATGCCGTCGTTGTGGCCGAACGCGGACGGGTACACGCCGAGGTCGTGCACGCACCACTTGTTCGGGTACAAGCCGCTCTCGGTGTAGATGAAGATCGGCAGCATCACGTCGCGCAGCAGGTCCGGGTTCAGGTACGTGAGCAGGGGGAACTGCGGGAAGAAGACGTCGACGGTGCTCATGTCGCCGTTGGAGCTGATCTCCTTGAGGAAGATGAGCGTGTCGTTCTTGACGTAGCTCTTGCTCGTGCGGTTGTAGCCGACGCTGATCTCGATCGTGGCCATGGCCTGCCGGACGGAGAGAGCAACGATGGCAGCGTATTGACTGATGCCAGGCACGTCAGTCAGCGCTCTGAATGTGTGAGCCAACGCGCAAGGTGCTACTCACTCGCCGACGTCGCCGCCGCCGACAGCGTCCTTGGCGTCCTGCTCAATCTGCGCGTCAAGCTTCACCGCGTAGTCCAGCGCCTTGTCAAAGTCGTTGAGGAAGAAAGCTACGGCGTCCTGGTAGGCGGGAAACTCCGTCATCCAGTAGCCGTAGCGATCCTCCAGATAGCTCGTGCCGTTGGGCCCAGCGCGGATGTAGTTGATCAGCGGCGTGCGGAAGTGGCCGATGGCGAAGAGCGCATCGTGCCCGGCGCCCTGCACGTCAAAGTCGATGGCGTAGGCAAAGGAGTTGTCCGGCTGCAGGAAACGAGCGTCAGTTGCCTTCTTCGCCGCTCCGCATCGCAAGGACTCACGCCGCCCGTCGGGTAGTGGTCGTACGTGAGCTTGCCGCGGTTGAGGAACTCGAGCTGCGTGACGACGTTGTTGTTGTTGCGGCTCGACAGGCCCGGCTGCTGGCGCACGGCCCACGCCACGCTGCCCCACTCGGCGCGCTGGCGGAACTCGGTGTAGGGCTGCGGGTTCGTGCGCTGTACGAAGTACGACGACGTGCCATTGGTGTCTGCGTCAAAGAGCTGTGCCAGCGGAGGTCAGCGAGACGAGGACGGCAGCAGCACAGAGCCAAGGCTAACACGCACGACGGTCATTGGGAAGTTCTGGTAGTCGTAGTCATGGCCCGTGGACCAGCGCTCGTCGATGTCGGTGTAGAGCTGCACGCTCTTGCCGACGAGCGTGTGCTTGTCCAACTCGATGTGCAGGTAGCTCATGGGAATGCCTGTCGCCGGGTCAGACACAGCTAAGCAGCAGCTCAGCGCACACACTCACTCTGGCGCAGGTAGTCCGTCGGATTCACGGGCGTGAGGAACGTGGCGTTGAAGAGCACGCCGCCGGCCTCGAAGGCATAGATGCTGCGCGTGGCCGTGTACTCAAACGAGATCTGGTTGGCGTTGCTGCCCTTGGCGACCGTCTTGCCGAACGCGTCGCCCATCCACTGGTACGTGACGTTGTTGACCTGGATCAGGCCCGTCCACGCCATGCGGTGCTCGCCATCGGCGCCGTAGCCCGACGTCCAGAAGGACGGGTCGGCGCCGGCCAGGTAGCCGCCGTTGCCCTGCACGTTGGGCGGCGAGGCGCTCAGCAGCGAGCCGCTCGGCGCCCACACGTTCAGGTAAGGGCTGGGCGGAGATCAGCAATGCACTGAGAGCTAGTCTGCTGCACATCGGCGACGCACCTCTTGACGGCAAGCGGGATGCTGGGCGGGTTGATGGGCGAGAAGGTGCTGGCGGCGCCCTTCTGCTGCCCGAACACGAGGTCATCGGCCTGCGCAGCGAGCACGGCCTGGCTGCCGCCTGGCGCTGCCGCGACTCGCGCGGCACCGGCCAGCACTAGGAGCGAGAGGAAGCGCATGGCGAGCTCTAGCGGACGCGGTGAAGGAGCGTGACGGGCGACAAAGAGCGTGGTGCGGCCGCGCGGAGATGTGGAGGGGCGAGAGAAGCGCCGCGCAGAGGGTCGCGTCGGCGTCGCTGCTGTGATATACGAGACGGCAAGCGCAGAGGCGCACACAACAGGACGAAGAGTGCTGGCGGCGAGGAGAGGATGCTTGAGGTGAGAAGGCGAGAACGGCGGTGCGGACGCCAGAAGGCCGGGCGCACCCTGATCTCCTGCCTGCTGGCGCGCCCCGCCCATCGTCGCGTCACCCTTACCGGCCCGGACGCCGACGCCATGCGGGGCGCAAGTGCGGGGCAAGGCACAGCGGCAGTGTGACGCGCCTGCTGCAGCGTGGGATCACCGTGCAGCTCGCGCGCAAAAGGGGCTCGCCCGACCGCCGCGCCGCCGTCGCCTCCGTTCTTCTCTTCCTTCCACCACATCTGCGCCGGCGCTCGAGGCTCGTCAAACGGCACCAAGCGCATCCGAGGGTCTGTGCCCTTTGCCGAAAAGCCTCCGTCAATCATGCGACACTTGATTGCACTTCAGGCACCCCCACCGTCGCCCAGGCCCTCAGCTCATGCGTCGCTCATCTCGACGCCGGCCGCCGGCTCGGGCTCGGGCGACGCAGAGGCGTACATGTCCCTGTGCAAGAGCGGCCATCAGCTCGGCTGACTCCTCTCTGCTGGTGCTAGACCCTCACTTGTACTCGGTGAGCAGCTGCAGCGCGACTGTCAGCAGCTGATGGGCAAGGGTCGGGCACGCCAACGCACCTGGCTGCACATGGCACGCGACGCCTCGCCGGCCATGCGCTCGCAGAACGTGATGGCGGCGAAGAAGAAGAAGCGGCCCTCGGCCGCATCGCCCGTGCTGCGGTCCAGACTCAGCTCACGCTCGGGCAGAGAAGCTGAGCGGCGGGCTCACTGCTGCAGAGCGACGCCCTGCGCCCACTGGAGGCGGTGGAAGTGAGCCTTGAGGGCGCTAGCAGGCGGCCCCGTGGCAGCTCACCGCCTTGGCCAGCAGCCACTGCAGCTCCTCGTTGGGCATTTGCTGCTTGTCCGACTCGCTGTCCTTTGCCATCGACGCGACGAGCAGAGCACGCTCAAAGTGGCTGCGCACCACGGCCACCGGCTCGTTCTCGTCGAGGCTCAGCTGCAGCAGCGCGCGCAGCCAGCGCGAGAGGCGCTTGACGTCAGGTCTGAACGGCGGTCAGCTCTCTCTGCTCAAGGCGTCGCGCCGGTGAGACGCACCCGCCGTCCTCCTGCCACATGAACTCGACAATCTTCTGCAGCGTCTGCGAGACGAGGGCGACGGGCGCGCTCGCCTCGCCCCACAGAATCTCCATCCACGCCTCTAGCACCTCTGTCGGCGGCTGCACGGCAGTGGACTAGAGCGACAGGCGTCAGCGTACGCAAGGCGAGCATCACGGCACGCACCTGGATGAGCTGCTCAACCGCAGTCCACGAATGCAGCGCGACGCATGCCTCGAAGCGGAACACGAGGATGGCGAGCTGGAGCAGCCGTCAGCGAGTGGAGCGAGAGTGTTGTCAAGATCCTCACCTGAATCTCCGACAGAGACGGGATCGCCTCGCCTGTGTCGCGAGCGAGAGCCAAGTACTTGTCGCTCATTGCGCAGCGGCGCAAAATGTCCTGCCACGCCGCTTCGCCCTGCAGCGCACGTCAGCGACGGTGAAGAAACAGCGTTGAAGTCTACGCACGCTTGCCGTCTCCTCGCGCGCCAGATGCGCTGCACCAACGAGCGCCGTGACGGCAGCCATGATGCGCACAGTGCCAAGAGGCGTGGCTTCCGGATCGCGCTCGAACTTGGCGTACGTGTCGAGAAGCTGCCAGAGCGCGTCAACGGGGAGTCAGCTTGAGAGGCAGGAGCACCGACCTGCAAGCAGGCATCGAAGAGAGCCAGCCGGTGCGTGTTGTCGAGCGACTGGACCGATGCGAGCGTCGCGTTGTACACTGTACAGGCGGGCTGAGTAAGATCTGCGATAGACAGCGCGCTGATCTCGACGAACCAGCCTTGGCGGCCCACTCTGCCTCCTTGCGCATGCGATCGTCGGTCGCGTCCTTGCTCGCCGCCGCGATGTACACAGCGACGCCTATCGCCAGGTCAGCCGAGGCCGGCGCAATGGCGACCGATGCGACTCACAAGAGTCAACGCAGCGCAAGAGAACATCAACGCTGTCGTCGCTAGAGCAAGTCAGCATGGGCTTCCGACGCCGAGCACGAGACTCACTCGAGCGACTCTCCCTCCGCAGGCAGGTACAGCTTCAGCATCGAGCGGCTCAGAGTGGCGCGGTCGACGTCTCGAGCGAAGTCCTCGTCGCTGTCGGCGCGCTCAGCGGTCTGCGCAAGGGCGCGGGCCAACAGCGTGTGGAAGCCGGCGCCTTGCGCTTCTTGAACGATCTGAAGAGCACGTCAGCAAGGTTCCGCCGTACGTACGCGCGCCACGCACCACGGGAAGCATGCGATTGTGGAAGTTGGGCGCGCCGACGAGTCCCTCGAGCGCACGAAGCGCCTCTGCCTCATCCGTCTGGCGGATCGCGATGACGAAGTAGAGGAACCAGTTGGCCGCATCATCGCGGCAGCTGTCGGGCGTCTGCGCAAGCACAGCGCGAGCTTCCGCGAGCTGTCCGCTCTCAACATGACACCAAGCTACTTTGCTGCACGAGAGGCGTCAGCCGCAGTTCGAGTGCGGCGCCAGGGACTCACCGAATGCTGCGGGCGACGTTGATCGGAATGCCTAGCAGCACGTTGTGCGTCGCTAGTGCGTAGAAGCAGCCTGCATCGAGCAGACGAGGCGGCACACGCTTGCTCAGCTTGTCGCCATGACGCCAAGCCATCATCGCGATGGCGAACGCGGACTCGTCCGTCAGCTCGCAATGCGCAGATGCCAGTGCTGCGCAGCGGCTTTCAGCGAGGCTCAAACGATCCTCCACTCGCTTCACTGACCGTCGAGCATCTCGCGCGCCGGCGTGATGTCCGCGACCTCCTTCATCAGGATCATGAACGCCAAGGCGATGCGGCCCGCGAACTCTCGTCCGGAGACGAGCGCAGCCGACAGGCAATGCTTGCACAGCTGTGCGAGCACGCTGGACAGGGCCGTGAGCTTCTGGGCGCCTGGGTCGTGCTGATCCATCGAGCGCTCACGGCTTGCCAGCGTACGAGCGAAGGAGGCGCAGGACACTGCAAGGCAGCGATGAGGCACCGCCGGCGAGGCTCAGGAGCTCACTCACCGGTCCACTTCACTCTCGATCCAGACCATCGACTCAAAAGCAGCACGGGCCGCTGAGACGAGCTCAGCATCGCTCACATTCTCGCGCGTGCGCAAGATCTCGAGGCGCAAGAAATGCACGGCCTAGCAATGCGTCAGCGCCGGCGAGCTGCAATTGTCCGCAACGCACTGGGTCTACAGCGCGAATGCCGAGCTGCTTCTGCAGCTTCACAAGCTCGTCGAGCGTCGTCTGGGCACGGTCCAGCTCGCCGGCAGCGAGGTAGGCACGCGCTGCGAAGGCAGTCAATTGAGCACGACGCGGCAAGCAGCGCCGGACCGAGCATACCGAGCTTGCGCAATGTCCGAGCGCCGAGCTCCTTGGCCACGCTGCCGCTGCACCTCTCGAGGACCATCACGGCTCGGCGGAGCCACTCGATCGCGTGTGCAATCGACTGATCACTGGAGCTCTCGCGGCTGTTGCGGAGCTGTGCCACGCCTTGTCTGAGAGCGCGAGTCGCGATCTGCACGGAGCTCAATGTCCATCTCCACGAGCTGCAGAGGAGCAAGCCGCACCTTCACGCCCGCTCCCTCCGGTACGGTGCCGTCTGCGCGTGCATGAGCAAGACGCGCTCAGACAAGCCGCACAGACTCACCTCCGAGCGCCTTGTCGAACGCCCACGACGAGGCGCTGTTGTTGTTCTCTGACGCGGACTGCGTGCACGTTCAGCTCGCTCCTCTTGATCCATGCGACGCGGCAGCGCACCAAATCCCACCTGGCCAGCCAAAAAGAACGACGCGCATGCGTCCATGCCTCGGGTGGCGCACGGTCTCGCGCCGGCAGCGCAGCCTTGCCGAGCTCGGCTTCGAGCTCAGCGGCGCGCGAGGCGAGGCTCGCCGCCGTGACGAGGTCGGACACGTCTGCACGGGGGCCGTCAGAGGCTGTCAGGCGTTCGAAGCCGCTTCACGGACCACAAAGGCCTGTCACCGCCTTGGCGTAGGCCTGAAGCAAGCGGCAAGCGACTGTGTGAAGGATGAGCTGCACACGCAGATGACTAGCGGCGGGCAGGTCGACTCGCCATCACTGCTGTGAGGCTGGGGCGAGCTGATATCGAGCAACAGCGCGGCTGCGCTGCGCACTGCACGAGCGGCAAGAGGTGAGTGTGTGCCTTGTCGCCAAAGTCACGCAGCATACACAGAGCTACGAAGCCTTCCGCAGCAGTGTCGCCAACAGCGACGCTGTGCCGCAAGAGGGCGCCCTTGTTGTAGAGCGCGATGCCTTGCAGCACATGTCAGCAGCGTCTCTTGACACGCGCGCGCAAGGCGGGCCTACCGGCAGCGTCGAGGCGTCCTGCCAGCTCGTCATCGAGCACGGTCGGACCGCTCTGCTCGAGCACCGCGAGGCTGCGGGTGCGCAGAACAAGCAGGTCGTTGCGCAGCGCAGCGTCGGGCGATGCGGCGGCGTCGAGACGCGGCAGCAGGCGCTCGGCGAATACTGCGGCGAGGGATGAGCCTCGGCGTCGGCACAGCCTGCAAGTGCGGCATACATGCGAGCTCGCTCAACGAGGGAGTGCGAGCGGCAGCATCAGCGGCCGGCGCGGCCGGCGGGCTGGCGGCACGGCGCGGACTGCGCATCAATGAGTCCTCGCTCGCGCGCATATGGCTGGCGCGCGAGTCGTCGAGCGTCGACATCGCGGCGGCGGCGGCACACGGAGTCAGTGAGGAGCAGCGTTTGGGCGTGAAATGTCAATGCTAGGAAGTGTGCTCGAAAGGACACGGCTGTAGCAGGAGTGCGTCGAGGCGTGTGCTGCCGGGACGGGCGAGAGGTTGGGAAGCACGAGCCGCAGCGAAGCGCGCGGCCAAGATCAAGGGCGGACACGCATCCGCGACACTCGGTCAGCGCAGCGCACGCCTACGGCGACTTCGACATCTCAGCCAGGAGCCCCCTTGCTCGCAGCATCTCCCTTTCCAGCAGCACGAGCATCTCGACAGAGCCTTCACCTCAGCGAGAGGTCGGCGAGGGTGCGTCTGCGGAGCCGGCCATGTACCAGCGCCGCTGCGCTGCAACGCAGCGAGTGTCCCACGCCCTCCGGCGGAGCGGCAAATTTGCGCTCGGCAGGCACGGCCTTTTCAGTTTTGCGCGTCGAGGCGCGCGTTCACGCAGCGACCTCGAGCGAGCAGCCATCAGCATCCAGAGCTCACGCCCAGATGTGTGAGATCCTGTGTGTCTACCTCAGAGGGGCGACGTTCTGTTGTCAGTCGAGGCGCTGCGTCCATCGCAAGGAGGCGTGCGTGCTGCGGGTTGGTGAGCGTCCCACGCTCTCGCAGCCGGGCCGGCGCAAAGGCACAGGAGCAGCGTCGAGGCGCCTCCACCTCGGGCGGCAAGACGCCGGCGAGATGCGCGTCGTGCATGACGCGCGAAGCGTGAAGGCCAAAACTGCGCATGTGCGTGCCGAGCGCTGCGAGCTTGGCTTGCGCTGCGACATGCGGCTGCGGCATGGATGGCAAGGAGGGGCGAGACGATGCGCCCGCGAGGCACGCTCTGAGCGCAAGATCTGGCGCTGCGATGCGGGAGCCGTATCCGAGGATGCGACAAGCTGCGGATGCGCTGCGCCGCGGATCAACTTGACGTCGTGGACGGGCACTCAGCGGCGCCTCCTTGCCAAGCGCCGCGGCTGTGCGCCTCCTGTCTGGCCTCTGCGCTGCTGCTGCGTGTGCGCGTGTGCTCTCTGCGCTCCTTCCCTTCACACATCCACCACCTCACGACCTCACTCAGCGCCGCCCACCCAGCACTCGCCCCTGCCGCCAGGAGCCTCGCCTGGGTGCGCCGCGCTGCACGGCGACGTCTCCCTTCCCGCTCGCCTCGCACCACCTCCTCTTCTGCCTCGCGCAGAGCGCGCCATGTCGGGCGCTCGCAACATCCCTGGCGCAGGCGCCAGCGCCTCGAGCAGCGCCTCGAGCGCCGACGCTGCGCTGCCTGCCGGCTCGCCCATGTCCATCTCGCCGGAGCACATGCGGCGTCCGTCCATGCCGATGGGCGCCCAGGCCGCGGCAGCCGGCGCCGCACTGCCCGGCAGCAGCGCGGCGAGCATGCTGCAGGCCGCGCACAGCATCGCCATGCAGGCCAGCAGCAGCGCCGACGGCCTGCAGAGCGTCTCTTCCGCCCTGCGCGGCCAAGCAGCCGCAGCTGCTGCTGCCGCAGAAGCAGCCGCCGGCGTCGGACACACGCAGCCTCGGCGAGCGTCCAGCTCCTCGCAGTACGCAGCCGCAATGTCCGCGCAGATGAGCAGCGCCCTCCACGTACAGCAGCAGCAGGCAGCGCCGGCAGCAGAGCTCGGCATCGGCCCCTCTGCCTCGTCCTCTGCGCTCCCTGCCGCCGCCGAGCTGCCGCGGCCCGAGTCGCCGCGCACGGCCAAGAAGCAGATGGGCGAGATTGCGGTGCGAGCGGCGGCCATGGAGGGCGAGAGCCAGATGCGCATGGCGGCCATGCTGAGGAACGGCTCGTCACCGATACCACCAACTCAGCTCAGCCCGAGTAGCCTGGCGGCCAGACGTGCAAGCGCGAGCCGCGCTTCTGGCAGCTCGAGCTCGCCGTCGAAGCAGCCGGCCGTGCCTGCGTACCTGGACCAGCTCGGCCTCTCGCACATCGCTCTGCCCGCATCCAGCATCACGCAGGGCTGGGGTCGTAGAGCGGGCGAAGGCGCGCCGGGCAAGGGCCAGCGCCCGAATCAGTCGACGTGGTGGGAGCAGGGCGACGTGCGCATGGGCTTCAGCCTGGCAGGCGTGCCAAGCTTGCCTTGTGAGTGAGGCGCCTGAAGACGTGCCTAGATCCTCAGCTCACGTTGCCTCGGCTGTCAAGTGATGCCTACGCCTCCTCTGCAGATGCTGCCGCCACCTACGTCGCCCGCCTCGCTGCACCCAGGCAATGCGGCGCAGCTGCGGGGCTTCACGCACTTCCCGTTCGGAGCATCATCAGGAGGTCATCCGCGCGGCAGTCCTGGCGACATGAGCACGGTGCCGTACCCTTTCCAGGTGGTGCAGACCCCTGGCGGCACCGCTCGCGCTGGCTGGTGGGTGCCTCCTGAGCACGTGGCACCCGAGCGGCGGCGCGAGGCTCAGCGCCTCAGTGATGGCGTTGCCACTGCGGTGCCGCTCGCGCCTCGAGGTGCAAGCACGGCGCGTGCCGACGCTGCTCCCGACGTCGCGTCCACGCCAGCGCCGGCTGAGGAACCTCTGCCGCTCTTTCAACCTGCGTGAGTAGGCCGTGCAGTGTACCCTCCCGATGTGAGAGGTGGCGGCCGCCGGGCACCAGTGATCGGTGCAAGTGCTCGCTTTGGCTAGGCATATAGCCAGGGATCGGCCCGCCGCGCATATAGTGGCACGGCACAGATGAGTAGCGCCTCTGACGTCGTAGATGCGGCGCGAGGGGCCGAGACCTCATATAGACTGCTGGCCCCGCATACCGGCTCGGTGCCCCACGTTCGCTTCTCGTCGCCGCTCGCGATCACCCATGGCGTCTCCGTGTCTGCCCTGTGCAGAGCTCGTCTTGCATGCCCGGCGCTCGACTCGTCGCTCACACACCTCTCCGCGCATGGCTCCGCGTCCGCGCAGGTACCGCTTCCTGCAGCCCGACGAATATGCCGTCCTGGCGTCTGCAGCAGCCTACGCTACCGCCGCGCTCACCACCACGACCTCGGACGCTCGACCAGGCGGCCCATCTCTGCGCGTCGACGGCGGCGTTCCTGCCCAGCGTCCGCTCACCGCCGAGGAGCAGGAAGAGATTGCGGCGCAGTTGCGCGCCTGGGCTGGTCTCGAAGGGCCTGAGCGACAGGCCGAGGCGAGGCAGGCACTCGAGGAGCGGCAGGCCGAGCTCTTCGCCGAGCAGCAGCGCGCCGCTCAGCCTGGATCATCCGCTGCGGGCTCTGCCGGTGGGCAAAAGGCCCAGCTGTTCCCGCCGGACTTCGCCAGTCACTATCGCACGCAGCTTCGCGCACTCGCCGAGGGCTACTACACGCGTCTGCATCGCGATGGTCTTGCTCAAGAGCACTTCGCGCCGCGAGCTGCGGAGCGAGCGGCGGCGCTTGCAGGCGGCCCGAGCACCTCAGGCGCATTCTCTTCGACGCTGCTCGCACAAGAGCCGGGACGGGCGTCTGTGTATCGGCGGTCGGAGGATCCGCGCACTCGCGGTGTGAGTGCGCCGGCCGCAGATCTCTTGCACCAGCCCGCGCCTGCGCCACCCGCCGGGCAAGTCCCGAACGAGGCGGCACTGCCTGCTCTGGGCGGGCAGGATCCGCTGCAGCTCATCTCTGCGGCCTCTGCGGCGGCCGGGACAGACGTGCATTCGCCAGCGGTGAGGGACCAGCTCCTGCACTACGCGCACAGCCTGTACTCGACCGGCAGCACGCAGCGTCCGGCGCAGGCAGTTCAGGCGAACCCACAGCAGCCGACCACGATGCTGCACCCCACGCTTCTGCCGCTGTTGCACACGCTGCACAAGCTGCATCCGGAGCACTTGCCAACGCTGCTGCTGCTCTCGTGCGCGTACTACACCTCGGGCGATCTGGCAGCAAGCCTGCACTACAACGACCGCATCCTGCGCATCGACAGCAGCTACGTCGAGAGCATGAGCAACATCGGCACCACGCTCAGAGCCCTCGGCCGCTGGAAGGAGGCCGAGAGCTGGTGGTGGCGCGCTGTGCGCCTGCGCCCAGGCTACTGGGACGCGTACGAGAACCTGCTCGGCGTGCTCTGCTCGCCGCAGCAGCCTGAGTCCGACGCAAAGCCTGAAGGCCCCGCTGCTGCTGCCGCTACACGTGGGCCGCGCTTCAGCGAGGCTCTGCGGCTCTGCGAGTTCGTCGAGGCGCACGTGTTGACGCGGCGCGAGGACAACGACGACTCGGCACGCACGCACAAGGTCGCCGGAGGTGGCAGCCACCCGCAGTGCATGCCCGCCCACCTGCCCACGTCCCACGGCCCGCGACTGCAGAACCTCTTCTACGCCAAGGGGAACCTCAAGTACGTCGTGCCGGACCTCGGCCTCGTCCCGGCCGCGCGAGAGTACCAGAAGGCCGTCGAGATCGTCCTCTCGCCGTCGGAGCAGAACGCGCACAGCCTGCGCGACCTCGTCGTTGCGACGTGCGTCGTGGCCATCCTGTCGCGGCGCACCACATTCCCCGGCCATCCGCCAGAGGCGGTCATCGAGGAGATCTCGAGGGCCGTCGGCATGGACCCTACAGACCCAGTGCAGGTGCAACACGTCGCGTCGGGCTCCTACGCGCACCTCAGTTCGCGCGGCATCCTCGGCGCCGTCCGCAACGCCGGCGACCGCGTGGTCAAGACACTCCTGCGGCTCGGCGGTGGACAGCTACCGCTGCTCATGCTGGTGCCCGAGGTGGCTCTTGATCTTGCACGCGTCATCTTCCGCGAGACGAACGGCATGCTGCCCGCCATCTTCGCCAGCTCGCAGGCGCAGCGTCACGCACCTGCAGCGCAGCACCAGCAGGCCCTGCAGCAGGCGTCACAGACCACCAGTACCATCGTCCTCACGCTCGCCAAGCTGTTCCAGGACGCCACGGCCAACCCTGCGTCGAGCTCTCACGGGCCGCTCACCCTCGGCGGTATCCCGCCCTCGACCTCGCTGCTGCTTCCGCTCTACTACCTGGCCCTCTCCCTGCACTCGTGAGTCTACTCTGGCTACTGACGCGCTGCATTTCGCTCGACTGACGCTCCGTGCAGCTCTGCTTCGACTGCAAACAATCTTGGCATCCTGCTCTCCTCCATTCCAGCGGTGACGCAAGTCGTAGATGTCGCCGGCAAGGTCCAGCAGGTCAACGGACAAGCCCTGGCCATGCAGTACTACACGCGCGGGCTGAGCCTCGACTCGCGGCACCCGCATCTCTATACGAATCTCGGCTCGCTGCTGAAGGATCTCGGCCACCTGAACGAGGCCATTTCGATGTACGAACGCGCAGTGGACTGCAACCCCACATTCGACGTCGCCCTTGCGAATCTCGGCAACGCCATCAAGGACCAGGGCCGCACGCAGGACGCGGTGCAGTACTACCGGCGCGCCGTGGAGGTCAACCCGCGCTTCCCAGAAGCCCTATGCGGCCTTGTCAATGCGCTCCTGGCCATCTGCGACTGGGTGAGTCGAGTTTCAGATGTCTTCTTTGCGCTTTGCTGACGCTCTGATGCAGCGCGAGGTCTACTCGGAGGACAGCGCGCGGCCCGGCTGGATGTCGGAGGTCGGCGCGCTGTTGACCCGTCAGCTCGAAGAGGGCTCGGTCTACGGCCACGGCGCCATGCAGTCGGAGGGCTCGCTGGACGACTGGGTCAGGATGGCCACGCAGGCCACCGGCGACTGTCGCCCTGAGACGCGAGAGGCGTTGCAGCGCCGCTTTGCGCCCTTCTTCGGTCCTCTCAACAGACAGCAGCTGAAGATCAACGAGGGCTCATTCGTCATTCGCCTCATCGAGCGGCTGCTGCGGCGCAGCCAGCGTCGCTGGTACCTCGACGCCTTCCAGGGTACTCAGCCTGATCAAGCTGTATCGCCCATCGTCCCAAGCCCCGCAGACGCAGCGCGCTACCCAAGACTCGCCCTGCCCGCCTGCCTCATCGCACCCAGCGTGCCGACGGTGCTTCCGTTTCACACATTCACCCTCAAGATCCCGGCGCAGCACATTCGCCTCATTTCCCACCGCAACGCGCTCCGCATCACCCAGTCTACGCTTACGCAGCTCTGGCTTCCCCCGCACGTATACCCGCCGCCGCCGCCTCCCGCACCGCGCCTGCGCATCGGCTACATCTCTTCCGACTTCAACAACCACCCGCTCGCACACCTGATGCAGTCCGTCTTCGGCATGCACGACGCAAGCCGCTTCGACGTGTTCCTGTACGCCACGACCGCCTCCGACCAGAGCCCGTACCGGCAGAAGATCGAGCGCGAGGCGCAGCACTTCTACGACGTGTCCTCGTGGAGCAACCAGCAGGTCATCCAGCGCATCGCCGCGGACGGCATCCACATTCTGATGAACCTCAACGGCTACACGAAGGGCGCTCGCAACGAGATCTTTGCTGCCCGTCCATGTCCCGTCCAGATGCAGTTCATGGGCTTTGCCGGTGGCCTGGCGTCGGGCTGGACGGACTGGCTGGTCGTCGATCCGATCGTGTGTCCGCCCGGCTCGACGTCTGTCGACCTCTGGCGCGCCTCTCGACGCGCGGCACTGGAGTCGGGCGAGCCACTTCCGTCTCGCCCAACTGACTTTGCCGGCGATCTCGACCCCGAGGACTTCAGCCGGGACTGGGTCTACTCGGAGCGCTGCATCTACATGCCGCAGTCGTACTTCGTCTGCGACCACCGTCAAGGCTTCCGCGAGCCGGAGGTGCGAGCTGCCGTCGACGATGCCGCGACTGCCGTACATCCCCACGAGATGAGCGACGAAGAGTCCTGGGCCGAGGAGGAGCAGCGGCGCTGGAAGGCTCGCAAGGAGTGAGTGCCGCGGCTGTGCCTGCGAGACACCGTGCTGATCTTGTGCCCAAGGCTGTTCCCCTCGCTGCCGGATGACTTCGTCGTCTTCTGCTGCTTCAACCAGCTCTACAAGCTTGAGCCTGTACGTCTGGTTTTTTGATGCTGTGCTTGCGTTCTGCTGACAGTCTGCCACGTACAGGAGGTGTTCAAGGCCTGGCTGGAGATTCTGCGGCGTGTGCCCAACTCCATCATCTGGCTGCTGCGCTTCCCTGCAGCGGGCGAGCTTCACCTCTTGCGCGCGGCACGCGAGTGGGCAGGCGACGAGGTTGCCTCGCGCATCGTCTTCACCGAGGTCGCGCCTAAGGGTGTCCACATCCACCGCGGCCGCATCGCCGACCTCTTCCTCGACGCGTGGGAGTGCGGCGCCCACACGACGAGCGCAGACATCCTGTGGTCGGGCACGCCCGTCCTGACCTGGCCCAAGCACGTGCACAAGCTCTGCTCTCGCGTCGCTGCGAGCATCGTGCATGCTACCGGCTACGGCGAGCAGATGACGGTGCACTCGGCCGAGGCATACATCGAGCGGGCCGTCGAGTTCGCCGAGGGCCTCCGCCACGAGTACCTGGATGCCGACGGCAACCGTCTTGCTCCCGTCACGCCCGAGCAGCCCATCATGGCGTCGGCGCTCGAGGTCAATACGGCCAGCAGCGCAGCTCAGCCTCATTCAGCGCAGGCCAAGCCGTCCAAGGACGACAAGGCCACGCTGGCGAGCTCCGAGCCGGCAGCAGCGGCGTCTGCTGCTCCCGCACCGGCCAACGTCAAGCAGGCGGCCGCTGCTGCTCCACACGACGCCGAGCTCGCCGCCGTCGCTCCTCCACGCAGCGAGATCGCTCTCCGGCGCGGGCCCCAGGCGCCCTCTGGCACCGTCACGCGACGCGAGAGTGGCGAGCTGGCCGAGCTGCGCCGCAAGCTCTTCCTCACTCGTGACCGGCACGACGGGCTCTTCGACACGCTGGCGTGGACGCGAGCCCTCGAGAAGGGCTACGAGGAGGCCTGGCGTGTGAGTAAGACGCGGCGATGCGACACACGCCTTGCACTGACGACATGTCACCGCAGCGCTGGGTCGCAGGCACTGACGTCGAGGACACGCCCGAGTGGGATGCACTGCCCGAGTCGGCGCCCGAGAAGCGCTCCGGCCACATCTGGCTGTGATGCTGGCGCTGCGCCACGAGGCTTCATTCAGCCGACCTTTCCCTTTCTTTCACCAGACATGACTTGCACGACTTCACGCCCCTCTCACCCTTTACCACGTAGACACGCGCGCGCCGCCTGGCAGACTGCCATGCTCGGTCGTCCCAAAGGATCTCGATGTGGCTGTTGATCAGGATGTCTCTCGTGTGTGCGTGTGGTGGTACAGATGTGTCGTCGGGCCAGGTGAGGTTCTCGGCTCTCATCGCGGCAGAGGTGCAGCCGCGCCGCCGCCGTTGAAGAGCACGTCCTTGAGCGCTTGCGAGATGAGGCCGTGGTGCGCCTCTGCCGAAATCTTTGTGCTGTCGCGCGCTGTCAGCAACGACCCAGGAGAGCATGAAGCGCGGTCGACTCACCCGTCGCGCGCAGCCTTGGCCAGCGGCGCATCCTCCTCTCGCCGCGCAATCTCCTCCTTCAGCTTCGCCACTCGCTCGCCGCGGGCCAGCTGCGCATTCTCCTCCTTCAGAGGCGCAGTGGTCTGCGACTTGCCGCGCGTCGCGCCGTCCGCGCGTGCCAGCTTCTCCGCCAGGTCCGCCACCTGGCCCGCTGCGTAGCCGCGGTTGACGACAAGCGGGCTCTGCGACAGCGTCGCGACCCAGTACTTGTTCCACAGCAGGTCGAGCAGCGCCGTGTCGAGCGACGACTTGAAGTGCTCGACTTGCAGCGGGTAGTAGCTGTTCGCATGCACGCCAAAGTCCTCGATCTTCGAGAGCGGAATGGACTGGTACTCAGACGGGCCGGCCGATGGCGGCTTGTAGTTCTCAGGGTACGTGCGGAACGCGCCGATGTCGACTCGGCCAGCCGAGATGGTCCGGTTCGGGTCGATCTGGCATGGCCATGAGCGACAGAGGAGCACGCGTCGCGCACAAAGACTCACAACGATGGCCACGAAGGGATCTTGGTGCTGCTGATTGGTCATCTGCGTGTTCACGTCGATGCCCGAGAGCCAGCAGCCGTAGCCGGGGTGCGAGTGGTACCAGCCGACGACGTTCTCGAGGCGTCCGACCTGCAGATGTGTCAGCACAGCCACTGCAGAGTCTGTTGCAGTGCATGCCGCCGCGGCTGCATGTCGCTTCAAGTCGCTCACCTGCTCGCTGCCCTCCTTGAACTGGATCATGTACTCGTACGCCTCGTTCTGCGCATTGACGCGCGTCTCGGTGCCCTGCACGGGCAGCGCGAAGGCGTCCATAACGACGAGCGAGCGCGAGGCGACGTCGATCTTGCCCTGCATGAGGCCCATGATCTCGTAGATGCCGCCCGAGCGCGCATGCATCACCATCTTGATGAGCGCGACGCTCGAGATGCGCACGCGCTGGAAGAAGTGCGGGCTGTACGGGAGTAGTAGTCAGCTTCGCCACAGGATGTGTGCGCATTTGATTTGCCTCGAGCTCTGCTGCAGCAGACAGTACGACCGGTCTGCGTGCCGGCGTGCGTCCACACAGCGTACTGCATGCGAGTCCGCCGGCACAGGCCTCTGCGCATGTGCCATGCTTCCAACGCTGCAGCCCCGCACTCACTCGCGCTTCCACGGCGCCTCGGCTAGGATGCGGCGCTGTTCGGCGGGGTCGTGGTGGAAGATGGCATCGGTGCGCGGGTCGAGCTCGACGACGTCGTTCTCGAGCTCCCACGTCTGGCGCGCCGTCGTGGCGGCGTCCATGCTCGCGCGGACAGGTGCGAGCGAGCCGAGGGTGTGACAACAGCCGGCGATGAGTGTGACAGCAAAGCAGAGGGAGGCGAGGCCGGAGTGAGCGGCTTTGCAGGCGAGGAGCGAGCTGTCGAGAGGCCGGGGATGGGAGAGCGAAGGCAGGCTGCTTGATGACGGCGGCGCACGAGCCACGCACGGCGCGAGGCTCAGCTCCACCTCATCCCGCGGCTCTGCGTGCGCGCACGTGACGCGCGCTCAAAAAGTTGGCTTGGCCGCCGTGGGAGCCTCGCCCTCGCCGCGCCACTTGCCTCCCTTCCCCCTGCATCACCCCTCCCCACAATGAAGATCAGCGCCCTCTCGCGCTCGCTCGACCAGCACGCGCCGGCGCGCAAGGGCGACGCCGCGCCGCAGTCGCACAATCTCGACCCGGCGCTGCACCCGTTCGACAAGGCGCGCGAGTACACGCGCGCCCTCGCCGCCGCCAAGCTCGAGCGCATGCATGCAAAGCCCTTCGTCGCCGCGCTCGACGGGCATGCCGACGGCGTGTACAGCCTGGCGCTCGATGCGCGGCGCCTCGGCGTGGCGGCGAGCGGCAGTGGCGACGGCGGTGAGTGCTGGATGCGGGCGCGTAGGAGCTGCAGGTGCAACGAGGGTGCACATGGCTGGCTGGCACTGTGCACGTCCAGATGCTGCGCCGGGCAGGTCATGCCTTGTGCTTGAGCAGGGCAGCTCGTCGCTCCGTCTCACTCTCTTGAAATTTTGGTTGCTGACATGTGCGCCCGCAGAGATCCGGCTGTGGGACATTGCCTCGCGCTCCTGTCTGGCCTCCTACCCGCGCGCCCACTCGGGCCTCATCTCGTCGCTCATCATCTCGCCGCTGTCCTTCGGCTCGCGCGGCTCGCTCTCGGCCTTCGCGACCGATGCCTCGGGCAAGGCATCGTCGCGCATGGACGGACGGCGCCTGCTCAGTGCCGGCACGGACCGCGTGGTGCGCATGTGGGATGCCGACCCGCGGCGGGACCGGTGGGGCGGCGGAGATGAGGAGGACGACGATGCCATGGACTTGACTGCTGCGGGCAACATCCGCGGCGTGGAGTACAATGAGGAGAAGAAGGAGGTGAGTGGCCACTGCAGGCCGAGCTTGTGGCCTAGCTCACGTGCGGCTGCCAGGCGATCCAATCGTGGACCTCGCCGCAGGCGATCAACTCGCTGTCGCACCACGCCAAGGCGGCGCAGTTCGTCTCCGCCTCGTCCAGCATTCAGCTGTGGGATGTGACACGCGGCTCGAGCGCGAGCGCCTCGGCGGTCGGCGCAGGCGGAGCACTGCGGACGATGGAGTGGGGCGCCGAGAGCATCAACGTCGTGCGCTTCAACCCCAGCGAGACGGAGGTGCTGGCCAGCGCGGGCAGTGACCGCGGTGTGGTGCTGTACGACCTGCGGTCAGGCAAGCCGACGACTAAGATGGTCATGTCTGTAAGTTGCTCTACACGCCCTGGACCAGCAGCACCTCTGACGACCTGTGGCAGATGCGCGCCAACGACATTGCCTGGTCGCCACTCGAGCCCACAACGTTCGCGCTCGCGAGCGAGGACCACAACGTTTACACGTTCGAGTGAGTCCCACCAGCTGCGCGCATTTGCGGCAGCGCTGACACCTCTCGTGCAGCATGCGGAATCTGCAGTCCGCGACGCAGATCTACAAGTCGCACGTCGCTGCCGTCATGTCGGTCGGCTACTCGCCGACGGGCCAGGAGCTCGTGTCGGGCTCGTACGACCGCACGCTGCGCCTCTGGACCGTCAATGCCGGCTCGCAGTCGCGCGACGTGTACCACCTGGCGCGCATGCAGCGCATCTTCGCCTGCGCCTTCACGTACGACGCACGCTTCGTCGTCTCGGCGTCCGACGACGGCAACGTGCGGCTGTTTAAGGCGCGCGCCGGCGAGAAGCTGGGCATCCAGTCGGGCCGCGAGCGCGCGGCGCTCGAGTACCGGCAGCGCCTCAAGGACAAGTGGGGCAGCACGGGCGACGTGCGCAAGATCGAGCGCCAGCGCAACATCCCCAAGCAGATCACGGGCGCCAGCAAGCTCAAGCGCACCATGCTCGAGGCCGAGCGCGTCAAGGAGGAGCGCCGGCGCAAGCACACCAAGGTGCATTGGCCGCGCGTGCCCATGTGTCTGCACGCCTCACTGACTTCGATGCTTCACAGGCTGGCTCGAGCAAGCCGAAAGCTGCGCGCAAGGCTGCGATCCTTGCTCACAAGGAGTGAGCTGCCTCCGCTTGCCCGCAGCACGCACCACAGTCTCTGGCCGTCATCCGTTCTCGTCGCATCATGTAACACTAGTCACGCACAAGCTACCCGCATTCGCCTACTTTGCGCATGCATGCATTGGGTGTGGCGATGGATTTTGAGCGCAGCAGGAGCAGACACGGAAGCGTCTTCGCCTCACGAGCTTCGCGGCGAGCCAGGCTCGCCCGAGGCGCCGGCGCTGGCTGCGGCGCGCGCGAGACGCTGCCGCAGGTCGCCGCGGTCCGCAGACGGCGATGCGGGCGGCGAGGTGGCGGCAGGGAGCGCCTGCGGGGAGGCCACTGCAGTGCTGGCACCCTCGTCGATGCGCGCGAGCGACGATGCAGAGGCAGAGCTGAGCTCGACGGCGCCGCCGGCGCTGCTGGCCGCCTCGAGGCGCTCCTTCTCCGTGGGCACGTAGTTGCGCTCCACGAGCTCGACGAGCACGGCGCGGCGCACCCAGCGTCGGCGGCGCGTGTAGCGGCCCATGCCCGACTTGCGGCTCATCTTCTCCCACGCATTGTCGCCGTACTGCCAGCCGTCGACGTCGACGTCCAGCACGGCCAGGTCCGCCGGCAGCTCGGCCGTCGTCGATGCCTGGCTCGTGCGGCGCGCAGAGAGGCTGGAGTCTGTTGCGCTGCTCGGCATGCCGGACACGTCGTTCTGCGCATTCTCAAACGTGCCGCTCGCAGCGCTCGTGGGCGTCTGCGTCACGCTCGAGACCGAGGTGCGGCGTCCGGCACGCAGGCGGCCAATTGCATCGCCGAGGTAGCCCTGGCGCATGCCGGCTGCCGAGGCACGGTCGCCGTCGTCGCTGAGCGAGCCCGGGAACGCATCGCGCCCGGCCACGCTCCACTCTGCGTCGATCCACTGCCACTTGACGAGGCGCCGCGTGTATGCCTCCGGGTTCTCGCGCGTCGGCGACGGCTTGAGCGTGACGCGAGCCGGCGGCAGAGAGAAGGAGGAGGGCGGAGAGACCGGGTTGTTCGAGTCGTCGGACCTGCGCAGAGCGCGTCAGCCTCGATGTCAGGTCAATAGGGCCTGGAGCACTCACCAAGCAGGGCGTTCTTGCGGCAGCAGCGCAGCGGTCCAGTCGAGACCCACCCACCACCGCTGGTTCTCGTAGATGGTGAACTGATACTCGACGTCCTCGTGCCGCGTGACATCGCTGGCGCCCTTCTCCGCCGCCGTCTGGCGGGTAGCAGCGCGGAAGGCATGCGGCACATCGTCATCGTCGTCGTGCTTGACGTTCTGGCGCACGCGACCAGTGCCGAAGGCCGAGCGCGGCTCGCCGGAGAGGATGCGCAGCACGGCCAGCACGGAGCGACGCACCGTGGCGCTGCGCCAGAGGGCGTGGCGGATGAGCGCCGCCCACGGCGCGCACCAAGTGAGGGCGAGCGTGCCGGCAGCGAGGAGCGCGTGCCGCAGCGTCAGCGCAAAGAGCGGCCACGGCGGCAGCAGCGCAATGTGCGGCATGTGTCCGCCGCGCGGGGCGAGCAGCGGCAGCGAGAGCGTGCGCGTCAACGCCGAGCGCACCGGCGTGGTGGCGCCCACCAAGCGCGTGAAGAAGAGACCGACGGGCGTCTCGGCCAGCGAGCCCTGCAGACGCAGCGCACGCGCAACCTTGGCCTCGAGCTGTGCCGCCTTGACGTGCACCCAGAGGCGCTGCGCCAGGCTGAGGCCGCTTAGGCGGAAGCGTTCGCCAGCCTGCAGGCCGATGCGCGGCAGGCGTGCCGCGTCCCAGAGGCCAGGCGAGAAGCAGAGCAGCCACACGGGCCACGTGGTGATGAGGAAGATGGCGAGGCGGCGCGAGTGTGCCGGGTTGGCGGCGCGCCACGAGAGCAGCGCCACGAGCGGCGCGACGAGCTGCGTCGAGAGCGTGCTGGCAAAGTCGGCCAGCTCAGAGACGTCGGCGAGGATGGCGTTGAGCGCAGGCGCGCTGAGCGTCTTGCGCCGTGCAGAGTGCACGGGACGGCCGCGCACGGCGCCGGCGAGGCCCGTCGTGGCCATGACGGCGAGCACGACGAGGTGCGGGGCGAAGCGCAGCACCTCGTAGCCGTACAGGCACACGAGGCACCAGCTCAGCACGAGGAGGAACGAGTGCGAGCCGGTGCCCGGGCCGCCCGTCCACGTGGCCAGGCGCACGAACTGCGCCGTCACGGCGATGAGCGGCGCCAGCAGCACGAGGAGACGCAGCAGCGGCGTCGGCACCGACGAGAGCAGCGCCGCGTCCGAGACGGAGAGGTCGCCCGTCCCCTCGCCGGCGGTGGCTGCGCCGAGCGAGGGCACGGCGGCCGAGAGCAGGCTCGGCGGCTGGGCGCCGGCAGTGCTGTCGGCGATGCTGCTGCTGCTGGCAGCCGGCGCCGTGGGCGCGGCAGCGGACATGGCGGCAGAGTCACCCGCGGCGGCAGCGGCACGGGTCTGGCGCTCGAGGAGCTTGCGCGCGTTGCGGCTCTCGTGCAGAGAGGAGAGGTAGGCGTCGTTAAACTGCAGCGGCGAGGTGAGCAACGAGCGAGGTGGTGGCAGTAAGAGTGAAGGCTCGACGCGCTGGCGCACGCTGGTAATGCTTCACACGACGCGCGCACAGCCGGCCTTCGCCTCGCTTCCGCCGCACCTCCACTCTGACTCACGGGAAGATCGACGGCAGCCATGCGGGCGCGCAGCGGCGATCAGGAGACAGGCGGCGCAGGAGCCACACGCGGCGCGCGGATGGCTGACGAGGCGAGGTGGATGCGGCGGCTTGGCCCAGACGTGCTGCGGTCGGCGAGGATGGAGGAGGAGAAGGAAGCGGCTGCGCACCCGGCGCGGCGCCGTCGGCAGGCCGCCGGGCCATGCGCGCGCGGCGGCGATGACGATATGCGGGGCGCGGAGCCGCTTCCGCTGCAGCCGAGCCGCAGCAGCGCGTGAGAGCTCGGGCGGCCCTGCATGCAGCTGCAGCCGGCGCCGACGCTCCTCGCTCTCAAACTTCAACAGCACGCGGCGCACACGATCACAAAGAATAGGCAGCACTCAAGTCGCTGAGATTTCAGGGCGGGACATGAGCCACGGCAGACAGGGATGGGGATCAAGGTGCGGCGGTGTGTCACGGGCTGCTCGTCGGGCGGTCAGCAGGTGCACGGGGTGTACGACGGCGAGCACAACACACCTTGGCAGTGGCGACACCGGCGACGACGACGGCACGAGACGCTCACTTGTTGTGCTTGACGAGCTGCAGGGGCAAAGGCGGTCAGCCTCAGGCCTCGACGCGGCAGGACACCTCACTCACCGTGAGCTTCTCGAGGGCGCGGCTGACCGTCTTGTAGGCGCCCGTCTGCTCGTGCTGCGGCGAGTGCGGGTGAGCGCGTGCTGAGGGGGGCATGGGCCGATGCTGCCAGCTGAACTCACGTCGACGCCCTCCTTGGTGTGGTACTTGATCGTGGCGGCCTCGGTGCCGGACGCCTGCTCTGTGCCGTGCCGCATGGTGAGCGCTACGCCCTGGCCTCGGCGACACGCTAGCCTACTCACGGTGCAGGTCCTGGATCGTGCCCTCGAAGCTGCCGCCGCCGATGGTGAGCGACACTGTGGGGCTTGGGTGAGTGCGGGAGAGAAGAGCGACGGCGGCGACGGCGCATACCAGTGTCTCCGACTGCGCGGTGGATGGCGGCGGTGAGCAGAGTGCAGAGCAAGGCACCCGGCACACTCACCCTTGAAGTTCGTCATGGCTGGCGTGTGGTGGTGTGGGTGAGAGAGGTGGTGGAGTGTGCGAGGCGGCGAGAGGTGGTTGGTGGTGGAGAGCAAGGAGGGAGCAGCGGGCGACGGGCGCCTTTATACGCTCGTCCAGGCGGGCGCCGGCTGCTGGATGCGCCTCGGCGTCGCCTCAAGGCGAGCTGCCTGAAGAGGCGGCAGGTCAGTCTAGGTTGACGGCGCCCTGAGCAGGGCGTGTGTTGCTCGGCAGGCGGGGGGTGCACAGGGCGCAGGGCCGAGAGAGGCAGGCACGCAGAGGGTCTGGCCACCCGCCATCGTCCATGACGCCGCGGTGCGCAAAGTGCCGGGCTGCGGCACCCTAGGCGCGCACCCCGAGGCCGACCGACGCCCAGGCCGCCGTGCCTCGGCCCAGCTTGCTCGAACGAGCGCCGCTGCGGTGCTGCTGGACGCTGTGCACCTGCCTGATGCAGCTCCCTGCCCAGACCTTGCGCTATCTCGAGCGGGCCGCTTGGCCTGGCAAGCCCTTCCTTCCCGTGGCTGCACTAAGACTTTACGCGTCCGCTCTCAACGCGTGGGAACGCGTCGTGCACGCGCTCTACCGCCGTAGCGCCCCGCACCCTGTCCCATCGTCACTGCACGACGCTGCCCTTCTGCCGGTGCTGGACTTTGAATTCCATTGCTGATGCGCTTCACACACTGTTGCGCCGTGCGCCAACGCCGCGGCGGCGCAGGCCCGGCATGATCTCGCTGCTCATGCCCGTCGGCAGCGAGCCCTCCTTCGCCCAGCCGTCGAGCGCGCGGCACGCGGCGTCGTAGCCGAGCAACTCCGTCTCGGTGAACTGCAGGCGGGAACGCTGTCAGTCTCCGCAGCGGCGACACTCCTCTGCTGGCTCACCTTGGCAAACTCCATCGTGCCCGTGCCCTCGACGGGCATCTTGATGTAGAAGCAGCCGGGCGTGTTCTTGGCCTCCTCGAGCGTCTTGGCCGACGAGACGTACGTGAGGCGGCCCTGGATGTCGGTGATGCTGGGGATGTTGTGCGCGTCGCTCCACGGGTTCCACTTGTTGATCAGCACCCACCAGCCCGAGAGCGTGTCGCCGTAGCTGCGCGGCGACGTGTCGTCGATGCTGCCGACGTCGACGGCAAACACGTCGTGCGCGCCCATCGCCATCATCACCGACACGGGCAGGTTGTCCATGTAGCCGCCGTCGACGAGCATATGCCCGTCGTCGACGAGCGGCGGGATGAGGCCGGCGAGCGTCATGCTGCCGCGGATGTAGCGCCACGCATAGCCCGTCGTGTGCACCTCCATGCGGCTCCAAGTGATGTTCGTCGTGTTGCAGAAGAACGGCAGCCACATGTCCTCGATGTGCGTCTCTCCAAGCGCCTTGAAAACGCCGCGATTGAACTCGTGCCCCGTCGTGTAGCTCACGACCGGATACGTGAGGTCCGTGACGAAGCGCCAGATGCTCGCCATGCGGCCCGCGAACTTCTTGGCACGTCCGAACGTCGTCACCATCTCAGCCTCCTTGGCGTACAGGCCGCCAACAAGCGAGCCGATGCTCGTGCCGCCGACCATGTCGACGGGAATGCCACGCTCCTCCAGGGCGCGCAGGAAGCCGATGTGGGCGCAGCCACGGGCTCCACCGCCGCCGAGCACGAGGCCAATGCTCTTGCCCGTCAGGCGCCGAGCCAGACGAGCAAAGTCGGAGAAGTGGTGCGGACGGCCGGGCACTGGGCCGCTCGTCTTGCTCGTGTAGCGCTGCAGCCGCGTCTCGAGCTTGGCCTTGAGCGTGCGCAGCGCCTTGACGGCTTTGGGATCCACGGGACTGGTCGGTGCCGCGTGCGAGCGCGAAATGCCGGGCAGCTCCACGTGGTGGTGCGCCGAGATCCACGGCCGAGACTGCGGGCAAGACAGTCAGTACGGTGGCCTGATGGTCCCTCGCGGAATGCACTCACCTTCAGCCAGGCACGCGTGGCTCCGGGCGGAACGTTGCGCTCAGGGTGGAGCAGCACGAGCTCCTTGCGTGCAGTCGTCTTGATGCCCAGCAGCAGGCGCTCGTACTCGCCCGTGGTCGGGTCGTCTCCGAAGCCCACGAGCAGCACGCAGTCTGCTTGCCTGATGCTCGTCTGCGCCCACGGCGAGCTGACGGCCGTGTCGACGACGTACAGCACAAGCCGGTAACGCTGTTCCTGTTCGGCGAGCCAGCCAGCAAGCTTCAGCTTGCCCATGCGGTTGAAGGCGTGGCGGCCGAGCACGCCCATGACGCTGCTCTGATTCAGGAACGCCGTTGGGCCGCCGATCGTGTCCTCGAACGCCGCCTGCAGACGGTTCGCAAAGTCGGAGATGGGCACGTCGCGCGTGACGGGCACGATGGCGACCGTCTTGAGGTTCAGGTTGTTGCGGCCGAGATCCGGCAGGCCAGGCACCGGCGGCGACTGCAGCATCGGCATCGACTGGCGTTGCTTGGTGGCCACCTCGTCGCGTACACGTCGCGCGATGATGCGCGAGATCTGGATCGTGATGGCCGGGTGGCGCACCGAGATCGCATTGAAGAGCGTCTGCGAAGCATCGTGTCAGTCGAGCAATAAGTGTGAGCACCATCACGACGTACCATTGGCATCCTCGCCAGCTCCGAGTCACGGATGGCGTGCAGCGTCTTGCGGCGCGGCGAGCGCGTGATGACGTCGAGCTCGCCGACGCTGTCGCCCTGGCCGTACTCCTGGATCTCCTCCACGCCTCCGCCAGTGCGCTCCGTGATGGCACGCAAGCGGCCATTGATGACGATGTAGAAGCTGTCAGACGGGTCGCCTTCGCGATAGATGACCTGGCCTGCGTTGACCGACTCCCACTCGAGTGCCGAGTCGATTTGCAGGACTGCAGGGGTGTGAGCGCAAGGTCAAGGCAAGAGCAGCATCATACGCACTCAGAGGGCTGAGCAGACTCAGGAGCCGCTTGCACAGCGTGAGCAGCACGATGGGCCGGCGCTCCATAACGCGCTCCAGCGCCTTGGCCGGCAGCACGCCCACGTACGTGTCCGTCTTGGCCACGACATCGACGTAGCTGGGCGCACCGAGCAGGCTGGAGAGGTACCCTGCAATGCCGCCGCGTCCGACGCTGTAGATGGCGCGCGGGCCCTCCTTGCGGTTCTCGGGCAGGCCAAAGTCGGGCCCAGCGTGCTGGAGCGGCACGGCTGCGGGCGCAGGGCCGGGCGTCTTGCCTCCAGTCGGCCGGCTGCGGTTGGCCGGTCGTGGAACGGCACCGGCGTGAGTGCCGTCGAGAGCGTTGCCGATGCGCGAGGACGATGACGGCGCACCGCCCATGCTCGAAGGCCGCGCGCTGGCTCTTGCTGCGGGCGGCTTCGTCGTCGTGGGTGACGTGCGGCGAGTGGACTCTGGCCGGATGGTGCCTGAGCGAGCATTGGCCGGACGGGACGTCGACGGGTGGCGTGCCGGAGCCTTTGGCTTGGGCCCAGCCGGACGCTCAAATTCCTTCTCGGCGAGCTTCTGGTCGACGTCCGGCGGGACGATGACGTCGAGGAAGCCGTCAATCACGTAGAAGAGACCAGCGGCATTCTCGCCAGCGCGTGCTAGTGTGCTTCCAGCGGGGAAGAAGCGCACCTCGACCTCATTCTCGAGATCGGCGTGCTGCACACCAAAGGCACTGCTGGCGCCCGTCACGCTGCTCTCGTCCTCGTACGACATGGCTGCATCGAGCATGCTCAGACTGCTGAACGCGCTCTTGAAGACGCCGCGCTGCAGCACCGCATCGGCGGGGTTGATGAACGGACTCGCCGACATGGATGCGACCGGACTGTCGCTGGCAGGCGCTTGGGCGAGGCCGATCGAGCGCGCAATGCACGACATGACCGCGTCCTTGAGGTCGAAGTTGGCGAGCACGCCCGTGCCGAAGCCGGCGAACGACGCCGCATCGCTCTCGGAGCCCGCGCCCTCGCTTCCGCGACCCTGTGGACTGACGAGAGCCTCGGTGCTTCTGCCGCCGAAGTTGGCGATGCGCTCGCTGCTCGTCGACAGGCGCCCCTGAGCAATCGTGCCAAGATCGTCGACCTTGGTGCCGCGCCGCGGGCGCGGCGTGGCCACGAGGTACGAGAGCGGACTGCTGGGCCGGCCCATCTCGTCGGTTCCCGTCATGCTGAAGAGGTCGCCGGGACCCACGGACGTGCGACTCGTCGGCGTACGCAGCGGCGCGTCCGGGTGGCCCCACGGAGTCTTCGCTGGGCGCGCAGTTGCTCCGCTGCCCTCGCGCCCTCCCTTGCGCCGCAGCTCGGGCGACGTATCGGCGCTCATGCCGCCGCGCGACGATGAGCTGGCGTGCCGCGACACCTTGGCATCGCGGAAGTAGTCGTCGATGTCGGCAGCAGCGGCGCCGAAACTGCCCTCCTTGCTGGGCCGCGCGTTCTTGTTCGGCTCGGGCAGGAAGCGCTGGCGCAGTCGCTCCATGCCGCCCTGCTCGTAGAACGCAGCCGGCAGCGTGAAGCAGGCGAGCTCGTTGATGTGCTTCTCCGTGCGCATCACCTCCTTCGTCAGGCCGAGATACTTGTGCGCAGTGTGGAAGGTCACGCGCGACAGACGCGTCAGAATGACTGCAGGCAACGAAGTCAGCACGATGCGCACAATCAAGCGAGGAGGCGCACGCACCCTGCACAATGTGGGCGGCGGCATTTGGATAGCGCTTCGTGAGGCGCTTGAATGCCTCGGCCGGAATGACTGCAAGCGTCGTGTCCGTCACTGCGCGCGCCACGGTGCCGACGCCCTCGTGGTGCATCGAGTCGCTGGGCCGCCCGCGCGCCTCGTTGCCGTTCAGACCGCTGAAGCCGCTAAGGATGCTGCCAGGCGTAGCAGGACGCCCTTCAGTGGTGTGCGTCGTCGACGAATGCGCACGACCGACCTCGGCCATGAGCAGCGGCGAGAAGTTGGCAGAGCCCGGCGTGCCGGCTGCGGTCCTGCGCCCGCCGCTGCTGCTGGCAGCGGGCGTGCTCGGCAGGAAGTGGGAGAAGGGCGCCGCAGCCTGCGCCGGAGGGAGCAGGTCTGGTGCGGGAGAGACGTCCCGCAGCCCGCTCGAGCCGGGCTGCCCGCTTGCATACTGGTGCTCGTTAGGGTCGAGCACCGTGCTTGCACCATCACCCTCGTGCACCGTCTCGCCATCGTCGGTGCCGCGGCTTGACGACACGCGACGAGCGGAGTGGAGCTGCGCAAGAGGGTCAAGCCGCTCGACGGCGCCGGTCGCACTCATCGCAGAGGGAATGTTGCGCAGAGCGGCGGCGTTCAGCTGCAGCTGGCTGCCTCCAGGGCGCAGCAGCGTGTGCGAGGCAGCCGTGTCGTCGGAGCGCACGGGACGCTGGCCCGGGCGCCGGCGCAAGCCATCGAGCCCGGCAGTGTTGGCGCCGACGCCGGTGCTCCGCACGCCCTCATCGTCACCGAAGCCGAGCTTCACGTCTTCCGTAAAGAGACTCAAGATGGTAAAGAGCGAGCTCAGCGTGCCACCGCTGCCGACCTCGTTGAGCAGCTGGTAGCCGTTGTGCTCCTCATCGTCGAAGCCGTCAGCGCGAGCAGCTGCACCGCCATCAGGGCCTTCTGGCGTCGGCGCGTAGACTTGGACGTTGCCGTCGATCACGATGTAGAACGAGAAGTCTGAGTCAAGAGAAAGCGTATCGCCCGCGATAAGACGGCGAGTCTGCAGATGGCGTGCAAGCTCGTGGAAGACCTGGCGGGCTGTGTCAGAGCGCCCGAACCAAGCACCTTCCGGCGTGTAAGCCACTCACCGGCTTATCGAGATAGCCGAAGATTCTGATCGCCTGCAAGAACTCATCCAGGTAGTTGTGGAAGCCGCCGCCGCGCTCGCCGTCCTCGGCGGTGCCGCTGACGTCGGGGTGGAGGTTGAAGCCCTCGTCCTTGGTCAGCGGCACCTCGCGCAGACGCTCGTAGCGGTTGAGATGCCGGTAGCGCAGCCAGACAAACGTCGCCACGAGCGAGCTGATGAAGAGGAGCGCGAGACTGGGAAAGTTGAGCTGCAGGGTGAAGCTGCGAGAGGTGGAGGGTCAGCGCGGCTGCAGTCATGGGACGCTGCTGCGACGCACCTGTAGTGCAGCACAGCATAGATGGCACTCGGCACCGTCACGCTGCTGAAGCGCACGATGCTCGCCGTGAGGCGCAGCGACGCGACGATGACCTGGCGCAGGCCGTCGAAGAGGGCCGCGAGCGGGTTGAGCTTGCCGGCCTTTGCCAGCGCCGGCGGCTCGAGCGCCTGCGTCGCGACGGCCGAGACGCGCGAGGCGATGCCCGATGCATCGGCACTCATGGCGCGGGCGCTGTCGGCGAGAGAGAGGCGTGGAGATGCAGAGGCCGGGCCGGCGGCGGTCTGGGGTGTGGTGGTGTGGGGGCGAGAGCGCCGCCTTAGCGCGGGCTGCAGAAGTGGCCCCTGCCTCGCGCCAGCCGCGGGCCAACTCGTGGGAGCAGCGCGCGCGGCTCCCGTGCGCGGCAGAAAGTGCCTGATGCTGCCAACCTTCTCGCCTCGCCCTTGCTCCTTCCCTCCACACCCCTCTCCATGCGCAACCTCGTCGCCCTCGCCGCGCGGCCACACGCCCTCTCCTTCGCCGAGAGCAGCGCTGCGGCTGCGCGCCGCCTCGATGCCGTCGCCGTCGACGGCGAGAGCGGCCGCCTCTTCAGCGCCTCGTCGCTGCCCGACGGCGCCCTCACCAACTTCCAGATCCACCTGCACCCGCGGGCACACGTGCCCCACCACGCCGATGCGCACACCGCCAGCGAGCTGGGCGCATCGGAGAACGCCCGTCTCCTCTGCGCCTTTGCCGCGCCCACGGCACCGGATGGCCCGCGCCGCAGCGCCGTCGTCTCGCTGCAGTTCCTGCCGGACGGCGGCCCAGCGGGCGAGGCGGCCATCGTCATCCTGACGGCGGGCGGCGACATCGGCCTGCTGAGCCTGTCTGACCTGAACAACTATCACAGTTTCGGCGCTGCTCCGCCGACGCCGGAGATCGTCGGCAGCGTGGAGCAGGGCATCCTCGCCGCAGCGTGGAGCCTAGACGAGGAGAGCCTCGTCCTGATCACGGCACGCTCGGCAGACGAGAGAGAGAAGGTGCTGGTCATGTCGCGCGACTGGGAGGTGCTGAGCGAAGGGCTACTCGACACGCAGGACCTTGGCACAGGTGAGTTGTCGTGCATCTGCCTCATGCTGCAGGATCTGAGACTTCTCTCCAACAGACACGTTCGTCAACGTGGGCTGGGGCTCTGCCGAGACGCAGTTCCATGGCAAGGCGGGAAAGGAAGCGGCGGCGGCTGCAGGTCAGGCAGGACCCTCGACGTCGTCAGCGCGAGGTTCGGCACTGAAAGAGGATGATGGCGTGCCGCGCATCTCCTGGCGCTCCGACAGCTCGCACTTTGCCATCTCCTCGCTTGGATCTGAAGGCAGCAGCTCTGGGCGGGCAGTGCGTATCTTCGCTCGCGAAGGGCTTCTGTCCGCGACCAGCGAGGCTCTGCGCGGCATGGGCCATGCGCTGAGCTGGAAGCCCAACTCGCTCCTGATGGCTGCGACGCAGCGCTTCGGCGGTGACTACGCGTCAGGGAGAGATGGGCGGCAGGACGTCATCTTCATCGAGAAGAACGTGAGTGCAGAGCTCGAGCTCGAGCGTTCCTCACTGACACGTGCGCTGCAGGGCTTGCGGCACGGCGAGTTCAGCTTGCGAGAAGAGTCCGGCTCGCAGCCCGTTCCGGGCGCCTTCGATGCGCCGTCGTCGTTGACCGAGCAGCCTTGGGCACGCGAGCATGCTGTGCGCGAGCTGTCATGGAACTGCGATGGCTCATTGCTGGCGGTCTGGCTGCAGCGCGCGGACTCGCCTGCTGTAGTGCAGATCTGGTCGCCGACAAACTACAGCTGGACGCTGCGCTCCGAACTGCCGGCACTCGCCGGCGAGATCTGCTCGCTCCGGTGGCATCCCGAGAATGCGCTCTGCCTCTACGTGGTCTCGCCGCACCTCATTGTCGAGCGTGTCTGGAAGCTCGAGGAGACAATATCGCCCGGCGACGTGCCGACTGACGTGGCCTGCGCTGCAGTCGTCGACGGATGCTCGGTGCGCCTGACGCCGTTGCGGACGCACAATGTGCCGCCGCCGTATGCTGCTTTCACGCTGGTGCCGTCGCCCGGACGTGGCCGAGCGATTGCACACGTTGCATGGGCAGACGCATCAATAGGTACACAAGCGAAGAGCCTCCTCGCCGTGCTCTTCGCAGATGTCCCGGAGGTCGCGATCTATTCCTGCGCTTGGGGAGAGCTGGGCCCTCGCGCGCCTGTCGGAGGCTGGAAGGCGCCATCTCCGCAGCTCGTGTGCACAGTCAATGCCTCCGAGGGGCCTTCCACAAGGCCGTTCGTCGCGCATCAAGTCGGCTTGGATGCGGCCGTCAGCCAGAGCGGCGACATGCGACTTCAGCTTGTGGTCATCGGCGTGCACGATTCTATGGACGTGTCACAGGCTGTTCAACGCATCGAACTCCACGTCGACGCGCAGGGCGAGGCTTCCAAAGACGTGCGCAGTACTGCGAAGGGCACCTCCTTCCGGCAATACGTTCCCGTCCGACCTGCTTCTACGCAGCTCCATGAGGACCGGCCGCGAGTCTTGCTGCAAGACGACCTGGGACATCTCTTCGCTGCCGACACCCCGCAGGACTCGCTCGCAGCTCTGCCAGAGTTCTGCCCTTATGTCGCGATCGCTCCTTCTCTTGCGGCGCCCAAGACCGATGTCGAGGCTGGAGAAGAATACGAGGACAGTCAGTCCACAAGTCCTCGCGTCGTGGGCCTGTCAGGCGCCGGCGTGCTCTACGTTGAGTCCAACGTGGTCTCGCGCGACGCAACGTCCTTCGCTCTGAGCGGCGACATGCTCGTCTGGTCGAGCACTGCGCACCAGGTCCGCTTCCTTCAGCTCTCCGCCGACAATCTCTCGCGTTTGGGCTCCGAAACCGAGAGCACCGAGACGCTGGCGCTCTCTCGGAGGGTCGAGCGTGGATCGCGCATCGTCGCGGCGGTGCCGAGCTCGATGTCGCTCGTGCTGCAGATGCCGCGTGGCAACCTCGAGACCATCTACCCGCGGCCTCTCGTTCTCGCTGTTGTGCGGCGGAACGTCGCCGAAGCGCAATACGCGCAGGCCTTCTTGGTCTGTCGCACGCACCGCGTCGACCTCAACGTTCTGGCGCAAGACGAGCGGTTTGTGTCTCACCTCGACGAGTTCGTGGCACAGATCGGCGAGGCCGAGCACATCAACCTCTTCCTCTCCTCCGTCTCGGGCGAGCCCAGCAAGACGAACGCTGTCTGCGACTCCATGCGCGCTGCGCTGGAGCGTGCAGACGCGCAGCGCTACGTGACAAGCATCCTGACGACGCATGTGCGCAAGCAGCCGCCGGACTTCGAGAGCGCCCTGTTGCTGCTGCGCGACATCAAAGGTCGCGATGAAGCGGCCGCCGACGCCGCCTGCCAGTATCTGATCTTCCTCGCGGATGCGGACAAGCTGTTCGACGCCGCGCTTGGCCTCTACGACTTTGTGCTGCCTCTTCTCGTGGCTCAGCACTCGCCGCGTCGCGATCCACGCGAGTACCTTGCCGAGCTGCGAGAGCTGCGTGCCAACTCAAATTTGCCGTATCAACGCTTCCGCATCGACGATCGTCTCGCACGCCACGCCAAAGCCGTGACGTGGCTCACGCAGGCCGGGCCAGAGCATCACGATGAGGCGATCGAGTACGTCCTGCGTCACGAGCTCTACCAGGAGGCGATGGCTGCGTGGGCAGGTGACGCCGGCAAGCTGTGTGAGGCGCAGACGCTGTACGGCAACTGGCTGCTGGGCAAGAAGCGCGCAAGCGAGGCTGCCAATGCCTACGCCATGGCAGGACAGACTCGTCTGGCCATTGACGCTCACAAGTCGGACAATCAGTGGCGCGAGGTCTTCGCTCTCGCTTTGTCGCCGCCTCGCATGGGCACGCAGGAAGTGCAGCTGCTTGCGCAGGAGCTGAGCATGTCGCTGGAGGAGGCCGCGCGCTACGAAGATGCGGCGCAGGTAGCCCTTCAGTACGGCCGCGACGTCGAGCGCGCAGTGGACATGCTGGGGCGCGGCGGACACTTCTCGGAGGCACGCAGAGTGTGCGCGCTGCATTCGCGGCTCGACCTGGTCGAGACACACATCAAGCCGGCGACGCTGGAGACGCACACACATCTGCTGGAGGACGTCGCGGACATGACCTCGCAAGTCGACCGGACCGTCGAGCGCTTGGCAGCGCTCCGGATCAAGAAGGCCGAGGACCCAGACTCGTTCTACCCGGACGAAGACCCAGTCGACGACGGGCGCTCCGACACGGCCACGCGCATCACCTCCTTCACGCGCTTCACTCGCTTCACGCGCCTGACATCGCTCACATCACTGGCCTCGGGCCCGACTGCGCTCTCGTCGGCGTCGAGCGCACGCACGGGCATGACGGCCAAGCGGCGAAAGAAAGAGGAGAAGAAGAAGGCCTCGGGCAAGAAGGGCAGCATCTACGAGGAGGACTACCTCTTCGACAGCCTGGCAAGGCTGCTTGGCAGCAAGCTGGAGACGTGCCAGGCATCGACGGCCGCTCTGCTGCCGCACCTCTTGCAGCTCTCGTCTGCCCATCGTCTCGCCGGTCACGCCTTGACCGAGGCACTGTCCGCCTTCGAGACGCACGCCGCATCTGCTGTTGCCGCACTCAGCGAGGCAGTGGCCGCAGAGCACGCGTCGATCGAGGCGCTGCGGCTCGACGCCCTGCGCAGTGCCGTGTCGCAGGGCTCACCGTTCGCTGATCTGCTTGCTGCCGGCCTCTTCGCGCCCGTCCCGTTGCGCGAGCCCATCAAGGTCTCGCAGAGCAAGTGGCGCTGCGGGGTACTTGACGCCATGGCGGACACGAAGACGCCGGGGGCGCACTAATCGCATGCATTGCTATTCCACCTTTTGCAGTTCCGGTCTACAGAGGGGAGAGCGTCTGTTCTGCGACCCACTAGAGCAAGCCAGAGCAGATCAGCATGCCTGGCACGCATGGCGCAAGCCACTGCACGACTCACCTCCTCGCCAGCGGCCAGCGCCTTGAGCTCGGCCACGTAGCCCGGCTCGACGCAGACAAACTCGGTCTCGCCCTCCTTGTGCATGTCCTTCATGCCTGCGCCCTTCTCTCCTGGGTTCCAAAGCACCGTCTGTGCGAAGCCGTCGGCACTGCGCGACAGCTTGACACCACGACCGGCGGCACTGCGCGCCTCGACGGTGTCGCGGTCGGCGTACACGCGGTCCGTCTCGGCGCCGTCCATGGTGAGAGGAGCGCTGCCCGAGGCAGCTGCCTCTTCCCGCCCGGAAACCTTGTCGCGGAACGAGCTGTTGAGTCCGCTGATCTGCGCGCCGGCCACGGGCACGTTGAGGTAGTTGTGCAGCAGGGCGTGGAAGTGCATCGTCTTTGAGCCGGTGTTCTGCACGGCCAGCTTGCACGACAGCGAGTCGGCCGCGAGGGTGCTGCAGGGCCGTCAGAGGCATGACTTTGCCGCAGCCCTTGGCACACTCACACGGTGTAGCGCAGCAGGCACGGGAACGGGTAGCGCTTGAGCACGTCGTCGCGCTTCTGTGTGTCGAGCACGAGCGTGACGCTGGCGCTGCTGTCGCTGTCGTCGCTGCGCTCGAGCGTCCAGGTCTGCGTGCGAGCGAAGCCGTGGCGCCCTGCGTCCTTGACGTCGTCGCGCCCCACCGCGCCCTCGGGCACGTCTGCGAGCTCGCCAAAGAGCGGAAAGACGACGGGGATGCCGCCGCGCACGGCGGCCGAGCCGTCGAGGGCACTGGCGCGCGAGAGGAAGAGCAGTTCGCGCTTGTCGGCGCCGACGACGGCGCTGAGCACGGTGGCGCCGAAGAGGAGGATGTCGGCGGATGCGGCGCCGTGCGTGAGGCGCACGGTGCCGGCGTTGAGCAGGTCGGCGGGCATGGCGTGTGGTGGTGGTTGGTGAGAGAAGCAGGTGCGGCTCGGGGGGCTATCGCAGCCGCTGCTGCTGCAAGAGCAACATGTGGAGGCGGCCGAGATCGCCGAGCGTGGGAAGAGACGCGAAAGCGCACGGCCGAAGAGCGAGCGCGCTGCCGTCAGCAGCAGCGGCGCCGTCGCGTGCTTCTTCGTTGCTTCTCCACCACACCGTCCACCGCAGCCATGCCCGTCGCCACACTGCCGCTCGCCGCGCCCGCACGCACGCGCAACCTGCAGCCCGTCATGGCCCTCGGCCGCTCCGTCGGCGCCTGCTCCGCCTCGGTGCGTCGCCGTGCCTCTCTCCAGTGCCGCATGCGTGTTGCTGACGCCGCCTCACTGCAGGCCCGCATGTACGGCGCATGCGTCCTCGCCAACTACGAGGAGGTGCAGAAGGACATGTGTGCCGCCGTCTTTGCCGAGTTCAAGAACTGCGTGCAGAAGGAGGTGAGTGCCGCGGCAGGTCCAGGTGCAGCTATGAGCGGCGCGGGCGGAGAGGAGCATGTCGTGGCCGACTCTGCGTTCGTCGATGCGACCATTGAGCAGCTCAGTGCCGGTGTCCGTGTCTGCTGGCCTGCTCATCAAGTGGTGCTGCTTCTTGACCTTCGCGTCGCTGACGCTGTATTTCTCCGCCAGATGCGCCGCAAGTGGTAGACGCCGCAGGCGCGCCGCGGCCAAGGGCCTAGCGCAGCGCATCGCGATGGCCGCGCAGGACGGATAGCCACCTGCAGCTCCGTCAGCACCGGCGACCGCAGCATGGCGTGCAAGTGGAAGGCGCACTTTAGCTGCGCTGCGCCACGCGCGCGCGTGCAACGGCAAGGCCGACCGCATCTGCGATTCTCCGCACGCCATTGGCAGCCGGGCAGCGCAAGTGGACAATTGTCGCAGCGCCGGGCTCGCGCGCGAGTCGCAGCCAGAGCTCCGCACCTGCATGGCGGCGATGCGCACAAGGATTGTCATCTCAGCAAGGCGCGAGGAAAGGGAGAGGGGGAAGGGCGCCAGATGTGGGCATGGCTTGCCGCTAGTCGTTGTCACGCAACAGACGTTGATCGGCGCTCCGGGTCGCAGGCCTCGGAATTGCGCTCGAGGAGCGTGATTCCAAGACCTGCGACCTGGAGCGCACCTCTACGTCTGTTGCGCCGTGAGGTACCTCGGTTCGCGCGGCGCGGAGCTTTCCTACCCCGCTGCCGCGCCGAACTCTCAGCCTGACGGGTCAGGAGCAAGTGAATGGTATTATCGTCTACATGTGTCTCATCGCGATGGTCCTGCGGCGGCCGAGCCGCGCGTCCCGCTCGTGCTGGCCCTCGGCGCCGGCGCCCGACCCAGCCGCGAGCCGCGCGGGCTGGGGCTCGTCTCGCTGCGCTTCGTGCGCGCATACACGCTCTCGCGCGGCAGCTCGAGGGCCGGCTTGAGGCGGTACTGGCGCTTGCGCTTGAGGCGCTGCGGCGGCGCCACGTCGGGCGGCGGCGACGGCGAGCGCAGGTCGGAGCGCGGCAGGTGCGAGATGGGCGTCGGCACGGTGCGTGGGCTGGGCACGCGCGCCATGTTCTTGTACAGCGACTGCGGCGCAGACTTGACGGGCGACGTGTGCGGCGTGAGCGGCGACGAGGGCCCGGAGAAGAGAGGCGGCGGTGAGACCGAGGCGTCGTCGTAGTCCTCGGACTCGTCTTCCGTCTCTTGTTCCTCTTCTTCTCTCAGCTTCTCGACGATCTGCAGGACAGCGAGATAGCGCCGGCGGCGGTTCGCCAGGTAGCGCGCTTCGATGCTCTCCATCTCCTGCTGGTGTCGTTCTTTCGCCTCCTCGTATCGGTCCTTGATCTCCTGAATCTTCTGTCTGTAGTCGAGCCGGGCGTGCGAGAGAGCAGAGGATGACGACGCGTCAGAGTCGGAGCTGAGGGAAGAGAGCGACGAGAGCGATGAGAGTGACGAGATCGACGAGATCGACGAGTCGGACGAGTCGGATGAGGAGTCGTCAAAGCCGAACCGGGACGGCCCGGCGCAGAAGTCCGCGAGCAGGGCTACTGTGGCATCAGAGAGCCCAGTCCGGGCAGGAGGCCGGGCGGCGGCCGCTGGGCGGCGTTCCTCCGAGAACGAAGAGAGCGCGTCGTCGTACGCCTGAGGAGGCGACGAGAAGGCGTGGCTGGACATGCTGCGCGGGTACGGCGACGATGACGCCAGTACGGCGTGATCGACAGCAATCGAAGAACTCTGCAGCGCACCGCTAGCTGATGTACCAGGTGCCGCGACGATTGCAGCTCTCGCGTCTACCCGCTCTAGCCCATCGCGGGGCATGGGCGCAGTGCGAGCGGCGGGCGGCGGCGCCAGGACGTAAAGCGCCGATGCGGCAGACTCGGGAGTCGAGGTCGATGCTGCCTCTGAAGCAGCTGGCGAAGCCGCAGCGTCAAGCAGCTGTTGCGACGAGGATGCGACTTGCGATGCGCTCGTGCTGCCCGAGGCAGCACTGCGTGCACTCGTCTTGCCCTTGGCTGGAGCGCTCCGGCGAGCGCGTGCAGCAGCGGCCGGGCTGGAGCTGGGGCCACGCCTGGCTCGGCTGCGCGTGCCCGCCGGCAGTGCCTCGGCGCTGGTGTCTGACTCCACGTCGCTCAGGTCGCTAAGCTCGCTGAGCTCGCTCTCGTCGCCGCTGCGCGCCTTGCCGGCCGTGCGCGTCGAGGGCGCTGGCTCAGGCTCGGGCGAGAGCTCGTCGGAGGCGCTGTGCAGTGCGCCGGCACTGGAAAGCGCGCGGAAGCGGCGTGCGCCGAGCGTGTGGCCGTAGGAGCGGCGCAGGGCCGGCATGGCGGGCTGCGGTGAGGGATGTGGTGGAGCGGCGTCAAGGGCGAGGACAAGGGACGGCCTGCTGGGGAGGACGCGCTGTGACGCGTCGCGTTGCCGTGCCTGGGCGCAGCTAAAGTGGCCGCGTCTCCCGCACGAGACCAAACCAACACCATCAGGCACCAAGGGCCAGCCTCCGCCGCGCGCATCAGCCGGCCCCTGCCTCACGTCCACAGCCGCCTCCACACCAACACAGCAACACAGCAACACCCGCCGACCCCCCGGCCACCATGTCCACGGCGCAGGCCGTCGCGCCGACGCGCCAGCACCTGACGCTCTCGGGCTCGTCGCTGCTCGTGCGCGACTTCTTCTGCTACTCGCTGCAGAGCATCCTCTACCAGCGCGCCCTCTACCCGCCCGAGGACTTCAAGGCCGTGCGCAAGTACGGCCTGCAGATGCTCGTCGCCATCGACGACGCCCTCGCCACCTACATCGACGCCGCCATGCGCCAGCTCGCCGCGTGGCTCGAGCAGGGCGCCGTCAGCCGCGTCGTCGTCGCCATCGTCGACACCGAGACGGGCGACACCGTCGAGCGCTGGCAGTTCGACGTCGACGTCGTCGGCGAGGCCGTCGCCGAGAGCAAGCTGGCCAAGGAGGAGAAGAAGTGAGTGAAAGAAGAGCGGCCTGTGCAGCGGCGTGCGCAAGCGAGCCATGGAGAATCGATGTGAGGCGCGGAGCGTGGGTGTATGCGCTGGCGCGCAGGTTCGGGCCGCCTTGCGAGCTACGTGCTCTGGATGAGCAACAGAGGGGGGGGGGGGGGGCATCTTCGGGTCGCCTGCACATCAGCTGCATGAGCGCTGCTATGCGTCGACGGGCCACAACAGGCCGCAGCAGCCAGCAGCGAGGGGGCATTGTCGCTTCGCCGTGTGTGTGCGAGTCTGGCACCTTTCAGGCCGACTCTGTTGGCGCTGCAGCGGCCGGCTGTGGTGAGCTGTCCTGAATGCAAGCGAGCGGCAGGAGTGCCGCAGCCGAGACGATCGCCCCCTTGCTCACAGTGGGCTTGCAGCGCAAGCCGTGTGACGTTCTGCTCTGCACGATGCTCTCGCTGACCCAACCTTCAGACCGGTGCCGCCAAAAGCGTCCGCAGCCAACTCGGGCACATACGGCGCCAAGACGGACGCGCACGTCAAGGCCGAGATCGCGGCGATCATCAAGCAGATCACCGCAAGCTGCACCTTCCTGCCGATGCTGGAGCAGCAGTGTGCGTGGCAGGACCGCGTGCAGTCTGCAGAGCAGCAGCTCACATCTCCTCCTCCTTACAGGCTCCTTCTCCATCCTCGCCTACACGTCCACCTCGACGCCGATCCCGCTCGAGTGGGCCGAGTCGTCGGCGCGCCTCATCTCTGAGGGCGAGGCGGAGCAGGTGCGGCTGCGCAGCTTCAGCACGCACGTGCACCGCGTCGATGCGATGGTGGCCTACCGGCGCGGCGAGGACGAGTAATGACGATATCCGCTTCACGAGTGCAGCGGAGAGTGATGGCGGTCACTGTGGGCGTGTGAGGGCGCCACCAGGCGGCCGAGGGCTCAGTGCTCAGCCGCTGTCTGCTTGCTGATCTCGTATCGCTGCACCCCTCTCAGGGTGCTCATCTGTGGCATGTGTCAACCGGCCGCACCTGCAGCAGAGGCATGCTTGTCCGGCAGCGCTGTTGTGGAGCTGGTCCATGCGCTCTGCACGAGTTGGACTGCCGGATGCACTAGCTGGGAGTCGCACGCGCACGCGCGGGCCAGCGCTACCGCCTTGGCCCAGGAAGAAGCCGCGAAGTCGCCGCTGTGCCTCCTGCTCCTCTCGTGCCCGCTGCACGCCCTTGCTGGCCAACGCGAGCTGTTGGGAGACGTGCGCTGTACGCGATGCTGCCAACGGCTAAGAGACGAGAGGTGGCGAGGCTGCGAGATGGCTGCGTGCCTGTGCCTGGTGCTGCCAGGCGGCCTCTCGTCCCGGCTGCGACTTCCAAGCGCTTCGCTTGCCTCTCCACCCTTCCCAGCACTGCGCCTCGGCCGAGAGCGTGCACGCGCCGCCACAGAGTTTCGCGCCAGCACAGCGCTCGAAGCATGCGCCGCCTCGACTTCTGGGTCGTGTGGCCGCTGGTCGTCGTCGTCGGCTCGCTCCTCTTCTTCTCGCGCCAACACCCCACCCACGCATTTCCTCCACCCACCCTATCCCCCGCCACTCTTCCCAAAATGGCCACTGAGCAGAGTGCGTCGTCGCCGGCTGCTGCTGTCCTGCCTGCCCCGCACTGACCATGCCCGCAGCCTTCATCATGGTGAAGCCCGACGGCGTGCAGCGCGGCCTCGTCGGCGAGATCATCGCCCGCTTCGAGAAGCGCGGCTACCAGCTCGTCGCCGCCAAGCTCGTGCACGCCAGCCAGGAGCACCTCGAGAAGCACTACGAGGACCTCAAGGGCAAGGGCTTCTTCGCCGGCCTCGTCAAGTGCGTGGCGCGTGCGGCGCCTGGCATGCCGGCTCTCCCGTGCTGACCTCCGCGCTGCAGGTACATGGCCTCGGGCCCCGTCATGGCCATGGTCTGGCAGGGCAAGGACGTCGTTAAGCAGGGCCGCGTCCTGCTCGGCGCCACCAACCCGCTGCAGAGCGCCCCCGGCACCATCCGCGGCGACTTCGCCATCGACGTCGGACGGTGAGTGCCTGGCGCAGTGTGCGCGTGTGCGGCACCTGTGCTGATGCGCTCCGTCTTCCAGCAACATCTGCCACGGCTCCGACGCCGTCGACTCCGCCAAGAAGGAGATCGCCCTCTGGTTCGGCGAGCAGACGCCCACGATCGCTGTGCGTATGCTCGCGCTCCTCTGCCTTCGCTGCCTTGCTCACACCTCGGCGCCGCACAGTACCAGCGCTCGGCCGACTCGTGGATCTACGAGTAAGCCTCTCTCGCGACCTGTGCCGCCCTGCCGCACTGCCACATCGGCGTGCGCCAGCCCGAGCCACGTAGCGCAATGGGTATTTGATTCACAGTACACGCGTGTGGGGCAGCTGGAGGCAGGCTACGACAGCCAGGACATGGCATGTGACCAGCGCCAGTCTGCATCGTACCAGCTGGAGGGCACACAGGTGGGTGAGTGTCAGCTAGTGATCGCGCGGCGTATTGGTGAGCACGCACCCGGCTCCGAGCAGCCCGCCGGCGCCCATCCAGTCTCGCTCCGCACCGCCGAACAAGACCCACTCGGGCAGCTGTGCGCCGGTGCGGAGGGTTTGCTGTAGTGCGCGTACGCCGCGCTCGAGACCGCCGGCGTGTGCTGAAGCCGCTACGACGAGCGCAAGTCCTTCGTCTGGATCGGTGGGATGCGGCAGGAGCGACAGCAGAGCTGTGCAGTCCCTCTTCAGCGATGGAGCCTCGAGTGCTCTGGACCACTCACTCCAAGCTCCGCTGAACACGCGCGAGTGCAGGCGCAGTTGCGAAGCAGGCAGGAACGAGACTGCGGCGCGTGCTGGAGTGAGCATTGCACCACGCAAACGTCCTCGGACTCACACGGCGCCGGACGCTCTCGCAGCATCTTCTCGGCCAGCAGGTTCTCGTCTGCGCCGCCGAGAACGATGAGACTCCCGCGTGTCAGGCCCTCAGGCCGGATTGCGTCGACGTCGTCCACGATGCGCGAGTCGAGCTGAACAAACAGCAGCGCAGCGTGGGCGAGGCGCAGCGCAGCGCTATGGAATGCTTCTCTCCTCTCGCGCGATGTCCGCGTCGGCAAGACGAGCTGCAGCGGTGCTGCAGAGAGCCAGATGCGCAATAGCGGACCTTGTGGCCGGCCGAGGCTTGATGTCGACACCGCATGCCATGTGGAGTCGCGACACTCGAAGTTTCGCGCTGTGCCCGCAAACGCTTCGCTGGAGCTCAGCTCAAGCGCTTGTCCGTCTATTCTCAGTGCAGTCGCAGACGACGTGTGCCAGGCCTTGGCGCCATCTGACGTCAGGCTGAACGACTGGACGCCGCTGCTCGTGATGCTCATCGTCGTGTTGGAGAAGGTCACCTCGAGCCGGCCGAGCCTGCCAGCAATGTCAGCTGACTCACGATCGTCCACAGTAGGACACTGACCGCCCTGGTGTGTCAAGCGCGAGTATTCGCACGCCCTGCTTCGCCCCAGCTTCGTGCGGGTTCGTCGTGCTGAGCGTGAAGGAGTCGAGCGGGGACAAGGAGGCGCGACGCAGATGGGTCTCGATATGCGCTTGGACGTCGGCCTCGCGCAGCACCTCGGGCCACCAGTGGCCCTTTCCAGGCGCTTCAGAGACCCTGGTGAATGCCATGAGTATCGATCAGTGGAGCGTCGCGATGCACTCACTGCACATGCTCGCCTAGAACAAGCCTGCTCGCGGCGTTCCAGCTGTCGACGAGAGCAGCAAGGCTTCGCGAGTGCCACGGCGGCACGTTGTCGTCGGCGCTGCCGTACTTGATGAGCAGCGGCACGCCAGCAAGGTTGCTGAGGTCGACAGCGCGTGAGCGATTGATCAGAGGCGCATGACCCGTAAGCTCACCTCGCGTGCAGGTCGTTCTCGAACATGCTCAGTGAAGAGGCGAGGATCTGGACGACGCTCAGCATAGATCTGAAGCTCAGCGTCATCAAGCTCACCCCTGCGAGCGCTGGATCTGCACTCTGCCGGCTAGCGCTCCACTCGAACGACACATAGTCTCGCATCTAATCGACGCATCAGCTCGGCACGCAGAACTAGAGGCGACCACGCGCTCACCTTGATGTAGCCAGCAGCGATCGTGCCGCCAATGACCTCGTCCGGGAAGCGCGACAGCCTGTATAGAGCACCTTGTCCGCCGTTCGAGTGGCCGACTACATACAGCTTCGGCGCAACCTCGCGTCAGGTTGCGTCCGCTGATGTACACCGCGCAGCCACTGACCTTGCTTGGATCGAGAGCGTAAGCTGCTCTCAAGTGCTTGTCCACGCCCCACTGAGCCGCAGCCATCGACCTGACGGCTGCTGAGGCAGATGCGAGCGAGGCCAGCTGCCAGTCGAAGCCCCTGGGCGGAAGAGGAAGCTCAGTAAGCCGCAGAGCTAGCGGGCGTCAAGGCGGCTGACCAGCTCGTGCGGCCACTTGGGAAGATCACCCAGCTGTGCGACTGCTGTCTGATTGCGCCGGACCAGGCGCTGTCCGCCGCATCGACGCCGGCGCCATGCAGAGCCAACACGACCGATTGCGGCGTGGAGCTGCGCTGCGCAGGTGGCAGAGCGCTCGCATAGTCCAGAGCTCCGTCCGCGCCACGGAAGGTGAAGACGAACGGCTGCGCCTTCTTGACGTCGAGGGCCGGCAGTCGCCGAAGCTGTATGTCGACCTGCTCTTCGCGCGCCTCGCCACTGTCGAGAAGTTTGACAAGAACGCGAAGGCTCAGGATGACTGTCTCCGTCGTATGATCGCCGATGCAGGTCGAGAGTGGTCTAGTCTCATGGAGGTCCACGACGACTGAGCGGGTCTGCGCGGCCGCGATGCTAACGGTGTCGCTCAGGGACGCGGACAGGCACTGGGAAGCTAGACTTTAGCGGGGCGACTGTGGCGGCTGCGGCGCACTGACCCTGGACATCTCGCCATGGACACCAGCCTTCTCGATCTGCACAGCGCTGACGCCACCGTTTCGCACGCCAACTGCCACTCCTTGGCCCGCCAGCTCTTCGCCGACGATGTCCGGCGCACGGCCGAGCGGTGGGTCGACAGTGAGCCGTACTGCGGCTTCTTTGCGCAGTTGCACGTCGATCTTCAGCTGCAGCTGCGGCGTGCCGTCGGAGGACTGACTGTCGGGGTCGCCGAAGAGCCGTATCTCGTACACGGCGCGCAGCACGAGGCGATATCGCCCAGGGTTCAGCTCAATCAGGTGCGCCAGAGGCAGAGGCTGCTTCGTGTGAGAGCTGGACATGCTTTCCGTCGACGACATCGGACGCGCTGCCTGATTGTAGCTATACACGTCGCCTGTGTACCATCGCAGCTGCTCGCCTGTCGCATCGCCTTCGGCAACGAAGGCAAACTCGATCGCCTTGTCTACGTTCACGTGGAGCGCGACAGGGCCCGGCGCCGCGACATTGAGCTCGGTCCACAGAAGAGCCTGCCATTGGAGCGCGCTCCAGCCGGCGGTAGATCGCATTCCCTTCCAGTCGACCTCTGGATAGGCGAGAACCAAGCGCTGCGTATGAGAGGCGCACGACGAAGAGGATGTGCTCGGCTCTTGAGGGACAAACCGGCGCGGCGCAATGATGCCATCGAGGTAGCCGTATGCCGATGGCAGGCGAGGCGGCAGTTCGTTCATGAGATCGACCACGTCGTCTGGCATGCCCCATCCTGTCAGTTCCAGCAGAAATGCCGCCAGACGCGCCAGCTCACCGAAAGCTGTGAGCTGGTTGGCGCCGAAGGCCTGCTCCCTCATGCCTCTGCAGGTGGCGTACGTCGGCAACGAGCAAGCGAATGCGGATTGAGCGACACTCACGCTGGTACGGGACCCAGCGCTGTCCACTCAGTGCCCAAAGTCAAGCATGGCGAGGAGTGTACGACCTTCGGTGCATCGCCGAGCACGAGCTGCTGCGCGGCTGACCCGTGAGCACACACCGCAAGAGCGCTGAGCGCCAGGGCATGGGACAACGACGCTCTCATCACGCCGACTTGACCGCTCCGAGCGAAACGATCCGGAGAGCTGCTTGCCGACCGATGGTGGTGGTGAGACGCATCGAGACGCCCATCAGCGGCTGCGGATCAGGCCGCGCGTGCACGGACGCGGAACGCGGCGCGGATGCGGTTGGGCGGCAGGCACGTCACCGGCCTCTTGTTCCCGCACACCACATCTCACACAAGTCCACTAAGATGAGCATCGAATGTGACAGCAGGTATGCTACAGGCTTTGTCTGCGTGGAGAGACGACCCGCAGCGAGTGCAGGCGGGCGCATGCGAGTCGCAACGGCCACAAGCCAGGGTATCCGGGGAAGCAGGGTGATGAGGGGTGGTGCTGAGGGCCGCAAGGGCGCCGGGATGCGTGAAGGTGAGAGATGTACAGAAGCGCTGCCTCAGTGTCATGCTTGCGGTGCGTGGAAGGCATGCGTCTGCGGTCCAAGCATGGAGTGCTGGTGTGTTGCGAACGGCCCTGCTGCCGACGACGCCGGGTAGTGCTGCTGCTGCTGCTGCGAAGACGGTGCCAGCGACGACGCGCCAGTACCGAGCTGCGAGGCGTCGAAGCCGGCGAGCAGCTGGTTGAAGACGAGCGCGGTGGTCGGCGTCACGGGCGGGAATTCATACTCCTCACGCGTGCTGGGCAGCGACGTCGGCACGGAGCTGGTCTGCAGGCTCGACATGGATGACCGAGTCGGCAGCGACGCGGGCGGCAGGCCGAACGGCGAGAAGCTGACCGCATCCAAAGGCTGCTCGAGGCCGCTCGACGACGTCTGCGCGCCGTACGAGCTCGCCGTCGAGTGTCGCCGGAAGGCCGCATCGTCGGGCTGGAGCGCGGCGAAGTGCTGCTGGTAGCGCGACGAGGCAACGGGCGGCGCCGAGGAGGCCTCGAAGGACGCGGCGAGGTAGGGGCTGTCGAAGGTGCTGGTGCGCGAGTCGGTCTGCTGGCCGGCGTCCGACGTGCTGTCGCCGTCGTCGTTGTCGAGCTCCCAGCTGTGGAAGTCGAGGTCGTGACCGTCGGCGGCGAGCTGCGCCATGCACTCGCGCCGGTTCTGGTCGAAGGCGCCGTCGGCCATGGGCGCCGGCAGCGTGCGGTCGACGCTCTGCTGGAGGCGAGGGCCGAGGCCGGACTGCACCCGCAGCGCATTGAGCTCGTCGCGCAGCGTGTCGCTCTCCTGCGCCAGCTCGTGGATCTTGCTGCGATACATCGTCTCGCGCGTGAGGGCCTCGGCGACGAAGGCGAGCGACTTGTTGACGATGAGCGACTTGCTCGGCCTCCGCACTGCGGCCGTGGCCGGCAGGTTCGCGGCGAGTTGCTGTGCGCACAGACGGTCAGCACGGCGTCAACGGCGGCGTGGATGCGACACGCACCAGGAAGCGCGTGTTGAGGCTCTCGCGCCGGGCGCGCTCGACGGCGTTGTGCGTGGCACGGCGCTCGGCAGAGGTGCCCTTCTTGTTGCCGCCGCCGGAGCGCTTCTTCTTGCGCGGCACGTCAAGCGGCTGCGAGGCTCCGGCCTGCACGCCCTCGCCCTTGACGGTTGGCAGCGGCGCGAAGATGCCCTGCGGCCCGGCGAGTGAGGACATGGTGCGGTGCAGTGTCTGAGGAGCGCGGATGAGGTGCAGGTGTGGGAGCGGATGCGAGGTCGCTGTGAGAGTGAGATTGCAGAGGTGAGGATCGAGGTTGCGGTTGCGGGTACCGGGCGCAGGCCATGGCCCTGGTGCAGCCTTAAGAGAGACGCCTGCGTGTCCGCGGGAAAGGCTCCGAGCGCGCGGTGCGGAGGGGGGCGAGGAGGACGACACGGCCGCAGTGCCTCGCTTCGGGCGTGCCCATGCATCGCGATAGGCGCCCGCCGCCCCGTCGGCCCATCGGCACTCTCTGCTGCTGCGGCGGCGGCCTCGCACGGCACTGCGGCCGCAGCAGCGCAGCCGGCGGCAGGGCGCAGCTCGGAGTGCTGATGCGACGTGCGGCTAGGCGGTAAGCGCGCTGCGCCGGGAGGGGGCGCTGGGCAAACCCGCCGTGCCGGCACTGGCGCAGGCGCTGGACGCCGGGGCGCCGTCGACAGGGCAAGCGTGCGGCGCCGTTGCGCCTCGAGCCCGGGCTTGCTCGGTACCGCAGCACTCTCGCTCTCGAGCCACAGGGCGAAAGTGCTGCTACGCCCTCCTGAGGGTGCCGCGCACGTCACTCTCGCAGCACTGCGGCGCCAGCCTTAGCGGAGTGCGGCGATACCGCGGCTGAGCGCGCGAAGAGCGTGCGTCCGTGCAGGCACCGCGCTAGCACAGGAGGGCAGCTCTCACGCTGCACAGCGCTGATGCTGGCATCAGCTCGACTCGTGCAGGCTGCGGGACCACCACCGCCCGCGGCCGGTGACCAGCATGAAGCAGGAAGGTGCAGGCTCGGCATGCGGTGCAGGCACGCCGCAGCGCGCAGCAGCGCAGCGGCAGACGGCAGCAGCGCTCGAAGGCGTGCGCGCCATCCGTCATGCCCTCTCTCCTCTCTGGGTGCTGCACGCGCCTGCTGCATCTGCTGCAGCGGCATCGCATCTGCAACGCCAGCTGCGTCGGAACTGCGCTCTGCAGCGTCGGGAATGCAGCACATCCGCAGGAAGAGCGCTCTGCCCTCTTTGGACGGGCGCAGCAGGAGCAGGTCCAGGTAGCCGCGGCAGACGGGCGCTTCTCCTGTGTGCAATCGTCGCGCCGCCGAGTAGGAGAGCCTCCGGCTGCTGCGACTGCGCTTCGCTGCTCCTGTGCTGGAAGCGCAGTCGCTGACTATGCTGAGCAGCTCGTCATCGTCGGCTCCGTCTTAGAGCCGCAAAGTGCATCTCGACGGCACGGAGCGCACACGGGCCGGACGGCAATCAGTCCGTGGGGGCGGCCGCCAGAGCGCGTCCGAGTCCGAGTCAGGAACGGGTGCGGCCTTCGCGTGCTGCGCCGTGCGGCGGCGGCGCAACAGCCCCGAGCCAAGCACGATCTCGCCCTCAACGAGGCACCTCGCCCTTGAAGCACCTGTGCTGATGCTGAGATGTGACGAGCGCACTGTGGCGGAAGAGCGCATGTCGGGAGGACGAGGAGGCGCCCAGCACGGCAGATCGGCCGTGGAACGTGCTCGCATGCCGCCCGACAGCGGCCCTTTCTGCCTCTCGCCACTACTCGCCTCCGAAGATGGGCGCCAGAGCGGTGTCGGTCGCCGCCAGCATGCAAGCTGCGAGGGCATCTTCCCACGCCTGCGCCTCTCGAGCGGGACCTGCGCCGGCGCCCTGCACCCACGGGCGATCGTGCACCGATGCCGTGCCTGCCTGCTGCGCTGCATCTGCGCTCTGATGCCAGCGCATGAACGGCGTCGACCGGCGGGACGGAGTCGAGGCGGCTGCGGCGCACGGCGGAAGCAGACGAGCGTCCAGCCTGCAGCACTCGAGCAGAGCAAGCCCACGCACGTTGACGTGCTCACGGTAGGTCGAGACCATCATACATCGTCGCGACCGCAGCGGCTCAGCAGCAGCCATCTCTTTGCTGTTGAGTGCCGGGCGGGGCGCAGCGGACGCCGAGCCGCAAGAGCCCGGCGCTGCGGGTCGCACGGCGCCCGCGCCGGCGCTAACGCAGCGAGATGCGCCCTCTTGCTGCGCTCCCGCCCACGGCGCTTCCGCCCGCCCGCAGATCTCGCCTCCGAGTTCAAGCTCCGCCCAGCGAAGCGATTGCACGGCCCGTGCCTTTCTTCGCGACGAGCGGGGCCAGCGCGAGACAGGGCAACGATGCTGCGCTCCAGCCTGCGGCTGCTGCACCCGTCTCGCGTCCTGCAACTCCACGTCGCTGGCGCTGAGGCCGTGAGCTGGAAGTGGAGCCCGCGGTGAGTCGGATGTGAGGTGCTCCACCTTTCGCAGCCCCGTCCGCAGCGCCTGCTCTGCTGCTCGCCTCGAGCGGGACAACCGCAGCCTCGTCGAGCCTAACCGCCGCGGCGATAGGGCTGCTTTCTCCGCCCAAAGGTCCGCACAGGGTGTGGGACGGCGCAGCAACGGGGGCTCGTCGCAGCCTCGGAGTCGTCGAGCAGGTCCCACAGCGGGAGGTATCGTGCAGCATGCAGGTGGATGGCGGCCCAGCGAGATCCAGAGTCCATCGTCTTGGTGCTGTCGGCGCAGCGCACTACCCTGCGTAAGCTGACTGTGCCGCACGATTCGTATGGGCAGCTTCAGATGCGGAAGCGTCACTCCTGCTCAGCCTCCGCAGACTGGATCGGCCACTGGCCAGGAGGAGAGCAGAGTGGCATGCAGGATGCCCTGCATTTGAGGAACGTGCGTCGGCAGCCGGTGTCGCTGTGCGCGGAGCTCGGAGGGCCGTCGATGCGCGTGTGTGGCTGCTGCATGCTGCATGTCTGTTGCGTCGCTGCGACCCCGCACAGTTGATGAGGCTGACCACAGAGGTCCTCCTCCACAGCAGCAGCAGGCAGCAGCTGCAGGTCGACGATGCTGCTGCTGCTTGAGAGCATCGTCTGCCTCTGCCTTCTGCAGGGAGCATCGCAGACGCAGAAGCAGCCCAGATGCCGGGCTGCTGTGATGCGGCCGCACGGCAGATTCGCCGGCCGTGCAGGTCCGCACGCTACCTCCTCTCCTGCACCTGCCATCGTCGCTGTTCGGAGGTCAGGCACGACGAGCCCTCGGGCCGCAGGCAGCAGACGACCTGCTTCCCTCCGCAGACGCAGAATGCACCATGCAGCGTGCGTCGCACGTGCAGCAGTGGCAGCGGCAGCGGCTTCTCCATCGCTCCCGGGTTTTGGCACGCGCAAGGCGATGCTTCCCTGACAGGTCCGGCCAAGACACGGGCCTGCATATGTGCATCTGACAGCGCACGAGAGGCACAGGCGGCACAGCGGCTGCAGCAGATGCAGCGATGTGCTGCACCTGGCGCAAGCGGGGCGGCCGGCTCACAGGTCACGGCGGACGTATCGTCGCCATCGTGCCGGCCTGACGGCAGCAGCTGGAAGATGTCGTGCACGCTGCGATGCAAAAGCCTCCGCTTTGCGCTGTAGCGTTCTGCGATCGCACGCGCATGCGCAGATCAACAGCGACACCATGCGAGATCAACAGCGACACCATGCGAGCGACGATCGCAGCGCCGGAGCTCCTGCCACGAAAGTCGAGCACGAGACAAACGTTGGCCCTTCGACGACCCGCGTGCCTGCAGCTGTTACGCGGCAGCCAACGACCATCTCCGTTGCGCATGGCAGATCCCGGCTCCGAGCTCCATGATGCAGGCTGCCGCTGCTTCGGCCGCCGGACCCGAGGCACTAGCACCGACGACGGATCTCGTGCTAGACACGATTCGGCGGCCCTCGGCCGACAGCGCGCTGTGCCTTCTCGACATCGTCCGGCCATGCACAGACCAGCTTCTCCTTCACAACGGCAATGTCAATTGCGCCGAGCCGTCGGCAGTCTAGCGCCGCCGCAACAGATGCGCGGCTCCCTCCTCCGAGACGTCGAGCTCCGCCAGGCTGTGCCAATCTGCGCTGCCCGACCACTCAACTCTCTGTACTCCTGCACGTGCGTGTGCGCTCAGACGAGCTTGCTGAACAGGCGCCTGTGGAAGGAAGCGCGGTGAGAGCCAGTCGCACGGAACAGCGCGAGGTCAGACTTACGGTGCGGCGCACTCCGAGGCGCAGTGGGCGAGGTGGACTGTGAAGCGCAGCTCAGAGTCAGCAAATGCTACAAGAGTCCAGCCCAAGGCGCGCGAACGAGATGCCCCGCGAACCGCAAGCATGTCGCGCGCTGCCAACTGTCGCAGCTCGGACCGCAGAGCCTGCTGGGAGTCCACTCGCGCCACAGCATGCCAGCACCGCGTGTCGGGCGCTGAGGCCCATGTCCCGTGCTGGCCGACCCCGAGTCTCGGAAAGCACAGCTGAGCAGGGCTGGACCCGCCGGCGCACAGCCCCGCCCGCGCGAGAGGGCGCGGTCCAGATGCGGTGGGTATGACCTCCAATGGCCCTCGCTCATCGTGTGCGGATGTCGCTCGCCCACGATTTGACACCTTTCCCTCCACGGCAGTGGGCTTCGCTCGTGTTTTGCCCTCGCCTCGACCCTGTGATTCAGCCCAACTTTGGCCATCCGAGCTCCAAGCTGCCTCGACCGGCCGATCTCCATGCAATATCCAGCGGCGACGTCTGACCCGACGTGTCTCCACGCCGTGCCGCAAAGTGCTCCATGACTCACAGAACTCCTCGACGCAGTTCTCATCCTTGAAGCCCTTGCCCTCCGTGACGCGCGTCTGGCAGTCGTCGAAGTGGTGCTTCGCTGCGGAGCACTTCTTCGAGTTCTCGCACTCTGTGGGTGCCAATGTCAGCGGCGCGCTTGAAACTAGGCTATAAGGCGCAGAGCCAATCAATGCGCTCATGGCCGCGTAAATGCAGCACGCACCCTCGTAGATGGCGGGATAGGCCTGAGTCATGCTGTGAGCAAAGGTGCGAGGCGGGCTGCAGCACGCTCTGGCGACTCACATCCTCCGGCTCGTCCTCCTCCTCCTCTTCCTCCTCCTGCACAGTCAGAGCAGCGCAAGCAGGGCGCACCGGTCAGCGCTCAAGCCTCGGCGGTGCATCGCATTGGCACGCACCTCGTCGCCGCCCTCCTCCTCGCCGCCCTCAGAGTCGTCGCCCTCCTTGGACTCCTCGTCGTCCTTCTGTGAGCGCGTTGCCCGGTCAGTACTATGACACACAAGACACGCAATGCAGCTGCAGCGCCGCCATGCCGCCGTGGTGTGCGGGCCAGGCGGCAGAGCGGCGCGCATTTGTAAGCGGCGCCCACTGACCTCGTCGTCGGCGTGCACGGTCGGGAAGAACGAGGCAAAGGCGGACGAGACCGACGCGAAGAGCGACGAGCCCTCGGCGGCGCTGCTGCTCGCAGAGACGGTGAAGGAGGTCGACATGGCGGCGTGGGTGGGGCGTGGGATGGGGATGGGAGCTGGAGGCGGCGGCGGCGGCCCTTGCGCGCTGGAAGCTCTGACGCGGCGTGCGATGGCCGCGGCCTGGCTGGCTGGCTGGCCGGCTGGCGCTGTGCCTCGCCGGGGTGCGCCGGCACGCGCAGCACGTGCAAGGTCGCTGGCCGTCCGTCGGCGCGCCTCGGCCGACGCGGCGAGCAGCATCGGGCCGAATCTCACGATGACTCGCACGGGTCCGCCGCATCGTGAGAGCGAGGCGGCCCACACCCATCAAGCTGGCCGTGCGGCGTGCCGACCCTGTGCCTGCTCCCACCACACCCCGCTCCTATCACACCCTCTTCACACACGTGTCCTGGCCCGCACGCACCTCTCTGTGCGCAGACACAGCGTCGGCAGCAGCACCTGAGCGTGCCAGCACGGGCAGAGCTCCCGGTGCGTTGCGGCAGCGGCGACCACCTCGCGGCCGCCTCTCACCCTCTGCGCGCACAGTCTTGCCGGGCGCGGCACTGGCCGAGACGTCCAGCATGGAGCGTCCTGCAGCGCCAAAGGCGACGCTGAGCCAGCAGATCCTGCGCACCTTCCGCTCGCGCTCCTCTGCGGCGGCGCCGTCGCTCGACTCGTCATCTGCGACAGCCTCCACTCTGCCGGGCAATGTGGACCGCAGCCTGGCTGTCGGCCTGTCGTCAGGCACCAAGATCCCGTCCGTCGAGACGCTGAGCCCAGATGCACCGCTCTACCCCTTCGGGCTGCCCGAGTCGGCGCCGCTCTCGCGCAGCGAGTTCGAGGTGCACGCCGCCGAGCTGCGCAAGCCGATCCCGCTCTCCCAGCCGCGCCGCGATGAAGTCACGGCCGAGCACGAGCAGCGCCTGCGCGCCATCCTCGCTGCGGTGCGCAATGCCGCCGAGAAGGAAGCCGCGCTGCAGCCCGACGAGCCCATGTCGCCGAGCTCTCCTCCCGTCGCAGCGCCTGGCAGCGCAGCGGCTGCCGCTGCCGCTGCCGCCGGCGGGGAGACACCGGCCAGCGCCGGCCCCACGACGCCGCAGATCCGGTCCAGCGACGTGTTCCGTCTGTGCATAGCGCTGCTGGGCCAGGCCAAGGACCTTCCTGTTGCCATCCGGGTGGGTGTCTGCGACCTCGTCTCGGAGAGCGTGCGCTTGTCCAGTCGCCGCGCCGCTGCGGCACCCAAGGCCCTGGCCGAGACGCGCAGCGGGGCGCCAGGCTCGCAGTCGTCAAAGACCGCCGACGGTGATCACGCGCTTGCCAACATTGATCGTGCGCTGCTGTGTCACCTCGTCTCCGACCTCTCTTCGGGCTTCGAAGAGGCGCACCCGAGCCGCGACAACGTGCTGGCTACCGCGCTGCCGGCGCTGCCATCACAGCTGCAGGCGCTCGAAGTGCTTACGAACGAGGGCCGAGACGTCGTCGCGTTTCCTGGCATCGTACAGCTGCTCGGCGACTGGCTCGGCGTAGTCTGGGCAGAGCTGCAGACGCTGCGCTCGGTAGCGCAAGCGGAAAGCAAGAAGGCGGGAGGGAAAGCTCCTGCTCCGGCCGCGGGTGAGGCCAGCACGTCTACCCAACAGGCGGGCGCCGGGCGCTTCTCTGCGGCGGCTCTGTCTGAGCAGCTGTCTCTGCGCGAGTGGAACATGCAGGCCATTCTGCACCTTGCGACGTCGATTTTCAAGTTCTCGTTCGCGCGCATCGATCTTTCCCATGTCGAGCAGCTCTACGACAAGATCTCTCGGCTCTTCCTGGGTGACGCTGGATTCGCACCCGAGACGCCGCGTCAAGCTCTCTCCCCAGCGAAGGCAGCAGCACCGGCCGCCTCGTCGCAACATCGCCGCTCGCGCTCGAAGGAGGCCAAGTCGCTCACGGACGGCTACGACTACTACGGCCTGGAAACCCTCTCGCCTTCGCCTGGCAGCCAGTCGCCCTCGCCGTCGATGACACCACACGGCGTGATGACGCCACGCCTGGCCGCATCCGAGTCTGCACTCGGCGTCGCTGCGATCGTCGCGGCTGCGTCTGCCGCAGCTGCGGCCGGAGCAGCAGCAGCGGGCGCGTCGATCGCCCCAACGCCAGCTGTCGCGCCGATCGTCCTCGCGACGCTGCCGCCTTCGACCCGTGCAGAGGACGTGGAGCAGGCGCCGTACCCGGTGTGTCAGCCACACGCCGAGCTGCATGCTGTCGACGTGCGCGCCCTCCTGCGCCTCTTCGACGCCACGCTTCGGTACGGCTACATGCCGCCGCCATGCGTCAATGCCGTGACACGAGTGCTGTGTGGCATTCTGGGCTACCAGACCGCTGTAGGCGGCAACCTGGTCCTGCTCAGCGCTGATGCCTCGGCGGCGGACGAGCACGACTGGGTGCACCTTGTCGGGCCGGTCATCGCGAATCTGCTGCGCAGCCACTGCGCTAACGCCGCGCTGCGAGTTGTGCGGCAGATGCTCGTCCTGCCGGAGACGGACTCCGCGGCGCCTGCTCCATCGCGACCGCGCGCAGACGCACCTGAAGACGTTGCCATTCTGCTCGGCGCCGTTGGCTTCCTGCGACAGGCGCTCATCGTGGTCGCCGAGCAGGCTGTCAGAGCGCCGTCCTCGACTCGCACTGAGGGCAAGCAGCAGAACGAGGACGCTCTGGCGCCGTCTATCTCGCTGCCGCTCATCCTGCCTGCTTTGCGCGGCGCTCTCAACCGACAGGTCGACGTGCTCGACGTCGAGGTCCTCAAGCTCGTGGCCGCTCTGCTCCCGGAGAAGTCGAAGGGCAAGGACGCGGCAGACCGCCAGCCGCTCCTCGCGGAGCCTCTCTCGCACAGCGATTGGGACGCCCTCATCGATCTGACCGGCGTCGCGCGTCGGCACACCGAGGGCGGCAAGCTGAAGGGGCGAGCCGTAAGCGTCTTCGATGAGAAGGCGCCCGGCGTGAGCGCGTCGACCGGCCGAGGCCCATCGGTCTCTGCACCTGTGCTTGCGCTTTTGCACACACTCTCGCGCGTTCGGCTGGCCGGACCGACCGGAGTTCCCAGCCCCGCCGATGGCGAAGGTGGCAGCAAGCCGCTCCCCTGGACGCCGAAGCTCGCAAGCCTCTTGCTCTCGCTGGCGCCGCTGCTGCCCGACACGATCGTAGTGGACCTCATCCAGTACTTCAAGACGCAGCATCTGTGCCTGCCATGCGAGCCCAACTGGATCGCCAACATGCGCAGCCTACTGCAGGCCTTCTTCCACCGGCACGAGAGCGCGGCGCGCGACTTCGGCGCGCTGCCTGCGCCACGAGCGCGACGTGACCTGGTCTCGCTGATCTTCGAGCACGTCTATGAGGCGGTGCAGGACTTGCCGGATGAGCGCACGACGCTCATGCTAGAGGTCATCATCCCTCTGGCGCAGAGCTCTCTCGCTGCTGAGACCGACGCAGAAGTCGAGCAGGCTGTGCGACGAGTACTCATCGAGGCAGCAGTGCTCGCCGGCTCGCAGCCGCCGGAGCTCGAGCAGCCCCTTGAGTCGACGCCGGCGCCGGCTGCGGAGGCAGAGGCGGAAGCACAGTCAATCGACTCGGGCGCCGAGCTCGGCCAGCAGGACAACGAGCGTCTCGCTGCTGTTGAGCTGACCGAGAGCGAACGCATATTCGGCGACATCCGGCAGCTCTTCATCAAATTGGCACGGTCCAGCGAGACCGTCAGCGGAGCGCCCATCATCAGCAGTGTCACGGCCACTGGCCACGTCAGCTTTGCCGACCCGCCGGGCTCGCACGATCGCACCCACAACTCGGGCTTTGCTTCGCACTCTCGCCAAAGCAGCGCAGGCGGCGCGCATGCCTCGAGCGGTGCTCCTTCATCCGCTGCGCCGGTCAGCGCACCGAGTCGCACGGACAGGTCCTCGCAGTCGGCGCTGGACCTGATTACCATCTTCAACCGCATGGCCTTCTCGTCGTCTTGGGTGATGATCTCGCCGAGCGCTGGCTCTTCTGCGGTGGAGCACCGACAAGCTTGGAGCAAGAAGACACGCGCGAGCTGTCTCACAATCTTCCGCGACCTGCTCAAGATCCTGCATCCGTCCGCCTCCGCGCGTGGCGGGGCCGGCACCGCGGAGAAAGACGTAACGGCCGTCGCGCCGCCTTCCACGCGAACACGCCTGGCCATCCTGCAGTGGCTCGTCCGACTGCGCACCGACCGTCAGCACCGCGTGTACTTTGTCGTCGACGTCGACGACCTCGTCGAGTCGGCTGCGACTGCTCTGCTGCGCGGACCAGGCTCGGCGCCTGCGCCGTCTGCTCTCAGTGCGATGGCGTCTCTGAGCGTGGCCCCACAGATGGAGAAGCAAGTCTCCACAGGCAGCACTGCGCCGCGGCCAGCGCGCTCGAATGTCGCAGCCACTCGCCAAGACGTGCGCGAGGGGCGCGAGCAGGTCCGCGCCGGGCCCGGTGGGCTGGACCGCTCCAAGTCACGCGCCCGCGATGCGTCGCGCGACCGTGGTCGCAATGTAGACCGTGCCACGGGCGAGACTGGACGTCTCGGCGAGCGCGAGCGCAGCAGCAGCCGCACGCGGGGCACCTCGGCGCGCAAGAATGGCCCGCAGGCTCCCGTGGAGCCGCAGGAGGCGCTCTGGCACCTGCCGCAGGAAGTCTTGTTCGAGGTGCCGCACTCTGCGCAGCGGAGCGACGTCGTCTTCACGTACATCCACCCCGAGGCCGATCCGCACTGCGCGCACGGACATGACCACGGCATCGACGATGGCGGCGAGCCCGCCGTGCCGCTGCCTGTCTCCGAGTACCTTGCGCTAGCGATCCAGATTCTCGCCGTCGAGCGCAACTGGGAGCTGGTGTCGTACCTCATCTGCCACCTGCCGCATCAATTGGCCAACAAGCATCTCTTCTGCGGTCCCAAGGCGCGCGACCAGATCATGGCGCTTCGCAAGCAGCTGTGCAGCGACATTCTCTCGCACACGCTCGCATCGGATGTGCATCTGCCAGAGGAGGTCCGCAAGACCGACGTGTACGCCGTCAGCTACGCGATGCTCACGGTGCTCATCAGCTACCGTACGCTCTTCAGTCGCTCGCAGCAGGACGAGATGGTCGAGGCCTTCATCGTCGGCCTCAACAAGTCGCAGAACACCGCACAGCCCTGCGTGCGTGCGCTCTCCGTCTCGTGCTACGAGCTGCAGAAGTCCGTCACGCGCCTGCTGCCGTCGATGCTCGTGAAGCTCTCGACGGTCATGTCGTCGACGACGATGTCGATCCACATCCTCGAGCTGATCGCCGCCATCGGCCACATTCCTGCCTGCTACGCCAACTTCACCGAGGCGGACTACCGGCGCATCTTCGGCATGTCGCTGCAGTACCTGCAGTACCACACGCAGCTGCAGCGCACCGACGCCGAGCGCCAGCAGCAGCAGGCGCAGCAGCAGCAGGCCAGCGGCGCCGGCGGCATCACGCGCGACGACCCGCGCTCCAGCCCGGCCTCGTTCACGCTCTCGCAGTACGTCATGATGCTCGCGTACTACAACATCAGCCTGTGGTTTATCTCGCTGCGCATCTCGGACCGCCCGAAGCACGTGCCGTACATTGCCCGCGGCCTGCTGCTCGCGAACGAGGGCCGCGAGCGCATGTCGGATCAGACCGAGGTGTGCTTCGACTTCCTTGCGCGCTTCACGCACTCCAATGCGGAGCCCAAGCCTCGCCGCTCCTTCCTCAACTCGATCGTCATGGGCTCGTCCACAGCAGTAGCCAAGGCCGCCGTGGCCGCCGCGCGCAAGGACAACAACCGCCAGTCGAAGTCCTGGCTCTTCGGCAAGGCTCTCGTGACGGTGACGTCGCTCAAGAAGGAAGGCTGGATCGAGATCCTCGTGCGGCGCTCGTCCGGCACGATTGCTTTGCTCTGCAAGCTCGAGAACGCGCCCGTCGGCACTCTACCCGACGTCGACGGCGAGCGCATGGACTTGCCGGCCGTGCTGATGATGCAGCGCGACCCGGATAGCATGGCCAAGCCTGCCGTGATGTCACCTGCGTTGCCGCTCGCCAAGGCGACGGACCGCCGCTCGATGCGGCAGCAGGCAGAGGCACGACTGCGTGCCGGCGACCACCTGCGCTCCCGGCGTCCACTCGGCCCGGCGCACTACGGACTTGCAAGGCGTCCGCGGGCAGCTTCCTTCAGTGGCGGCCTGTCCAGCGCCTTGATCACTCGCACTGCACCGATCGACCCGTACCGCATCGAGGCGGCCAGTGGTGACGCGCCCGCGGCCGACGAGCTCATGGCCGCGGACGTGCCTCGTGTCGGCGGACCCCAGGTCAGCGCCACCGAGTCTGCGGCCGTGCAGAGCATCAAGAGCGAGATTCTCTCGCCGAAAGCCAGCGAGCAGAAGCTGGCTGCCGACAGCTCGAGCGCTGCGCCCGAGAGCTCAGAGGCCCGACGCGGTAGTGCCGCCGGCCTTGCTGCAGCTCCCGCTGGCGCCCGTCCGGCGCGGGAGGCGGCCGTTGATCCGGGCTTCATTGCCCTGCAGCTCTCGGCGTTCCCGGACCTCTCGCTCGACAAGGCGCCGCTGCTGCTGCCCGACGAGCCGGCCACGGACCGTCTCATCCGTGCCGTGGACCTCACGCCCGTCGTCGACTTCCACAAGATCGGCGTGCTCTACGTCGGCCCCGGCCAGACGGAGGAGCGCCAGATCCTCGGCAACCGCACCGGCTCGCCCGCGTACGCCCGCTTCCTTTCGGGCCTCGGCGACCTCATCACGCTCAAGGGCCAGGAGGACGTCTATACAGGCGGCCTGGACCGCCAGTCCGACGAGCACGGCAAGTACGCCTACGTGTGGGGCGACGACATCTCGCAGATCGTCTACCACACCGCCACGCTGATGCCGAACCGCGACCACGATGCGGCGCACTCGGCCAAGAAGGCGCTCATCGGCAACGACTGGGTGCACGTCGTGTTCAACGAGAGCGGCGACGAGTACCGCTTCGGCACGATTCCGAGCCAGTTCAACTTTGTCAACATCGTCGTGTCGCCCAACTCGCGCGGCGGCATCAACCTCGGCTCGGTGGCGCCTGACGACAGCACGTTCTGTGAGTGCGAGGCATGCTGGACGGCCGCATCGCTCTGCTCACCGCGCTTGCACACCCAGATCGCGTCTCGCTGCAGTGCCGCCCCGGCCTGCCGAACTTCTCGCCCGTCAGCGACGGCCAGCTGGTGTCGACGAGTGCGCTGGCCGCCTTTGTGCGCATCCTCGCGCTCAACGGCAACCTCGTGAGCCAGATCGCGCTGGCCACTGGCGACACGATGCAACCGTATACCAGCAGTGCGTCATCAAACGCTCGCCCGCATCCAGACACCGTGGCTCATCTCTTTCTCTCCGCGCAGACTGGGTCTCGCGTCTGCAGCACCTCACTCGTGCGCGCGACAAGGCAGAGGCACGCCGCGACGCCGCCCAGCAGCAACAGCAGCCCGGCGATGCGCCGCCGACGGTGCACGATCTGCGCTTCGTCTGAGCCGCTCGCCGGCAGACGTACGTGCTGGCCACTGCGCTGCTCGGTGGCCACGTCTTTGCTGCTGCCTCTCCCGCTCCGCCGCGTTCCTGCCTTGCGCAAGTCACAGAGCGTCACGTTCACATTTGTACAGATACCCCTCACATGCCCGTCTACTTTGCTTTCGACCTTCTCTCCGCCTGTCTCGTCGACCGGGACGCACGGCGGGTCTGTGGCCACGCAGCTCGCATGCCTCGCACACTCTTCGCCTGTTCTGCTTATCGCGGGCTCGCCGGGCAGCGCCTGTTCGGCTCATCGATCAGGCGGCCCGGGCTCGAGAGAGGCTGCGCATCGAGTCTTCCAGTCCCTCGGGCCCGCGGGTTGCTGCTGCAGCTGCGCTCCCAGACTCCGCCGCTCGACTCGACATGCCCGTACCGGGGCAGCGCAGCGGCAGAGCGCCGGGCAAGAGCCGTTCCCATGCATGCGTGCGCGCATATGCAGAACGCAGAGAATGCCGGAGAAGGGTCGAGCTGGGCATGCCGCATGCTGGAATTGCATGTGGGATGTGGGTGGAGCAGGCAACCCTTGGCAGCACAAGCCACCGAGCGGTGAGACCACGCGCTCCTCGACGCTGGCCTTGCTCGCCCACGATTGCCGTGCGACCGCTCCCGAGGTGGCAGGTGAGGGCAAGACGTGCCCGTCGCCGCCTCGTGGGGTGCGTCTGCGCTACCTTCCGACGGGAGGCGCGGGGTGCCGGGTTGCCTGCGCTCTGTGCCAGTGCTGGCTCCGAGTTGCCTGCAGGCCAAAACCGGCGAATCGGTAAGTGCGGCGAGGCATGCTTCTCTGGCGTCCCCGCGAGCTGCCGAGCTTCTCCCGAGAGGCATGGCAGCCGCAGATGCTCCTTGGCGGCGCTACGGCGGCCCAGCGCCCCTGTGGATGGCTAGGCGAGCCGCGATGCGAGGCCGGCTCAGCGCCTTTCTTCTCCTTTCGCACCGACGCAACGACGGCCATCCGCATCGCAGCCTGCTCACGATAGGTCATCTGAGTCAGCGTCGATGACGACGCTGCACCACCGGCAGGACGCTGCTTCTCAGCGAGCTCTGCCGATCTAGACTGCCATGGCGGCGCAGATGCAGGCGGCGGAGCCGTGCCTGCGCGCTGCGGCACCGCTGCGTCGGGTCGTTATACCGCGGATTCTGCCTGCTGCTGCGTTGAGGGAGCGCTGCGTCTGCGAGCGGGGCCGAGCGGCACGCAGAGCAGCGTCAGGCGTGCTGCACGAAGGGTCCAGCAGCGGCTCAGCGTGCAGCGTGCAGCGACAGAGGCGACATGCAGATGCATGCAGAAGCGCCCCTGCTCTGCCCGAGCTGCATGGGAACCGGGAAGGAACGACTCGCTCGTGTGCGAGGGCAGCTCGGACCTCGTCTTTCAGCATTCCACGCCGGGTCTCGAGCGTCCAGTTGCCCAGCTCGGAGGGTCGGCTGCAGCATCAGGCTGGTGTGCTGCATCGTCGACGAGCGAGCGGCTCCGGCGGCGGGCCCTCCGGCGCGGCGGCCTTGGGTCGCCAGGTCCTCACTCTGGCTCGCATCGGCAAGAGTCCTGCAGCGCCACTACTGCTGTGGTACTATCATGGCATGCGCAGGAGCGGAGCAGGCGCCGCGGCCGGACTACCGGCAGCCGCCTGGGGCTGCTCCTCTTTCTCTTTCCTGCACCTGCACGGGAGCGCCTTTGTCGGCGTCCGAAAGACTGCCCTGCGGCTCTTGTTCTCGCAAGTGCCCCCCATGTGGAGGGGACAGGGGCAGGCAGCACGCCATCGCAGCATGCTTGGCGTCGCCGTCCCGGTTCCACCGCAGCGAAGCAGTGCCAGCATGAGCGTAGCGCCCCACGACGGCCCCGCAATGGCCGCCAGAATGCGCACAATGCTCCGGCCTGCTGTCCGTAGCGTGCATTGCGGCTAACCCCCAGAGCCACGTCCGCCAATCGCTGGACTTGCGCCGCGACCTAGGCACCGAGGACGACGAGGTCCAGACTGCGCATACCCGACGGGTGCCCCAGCAGCGTAGAAGCGACAATGAATGGCAATCAACAGACCTGCGGCCAGCGTACGCGGTCGGCTCCAGAGCGCGCACCTGGCACGGCGGGGAGCGCTGCGCCAGCTCGGCCGTTCTGGACCCTCTTCGCGCTGCCTGTCCGGTTGGTCCTCGTCGGCCATCGATTGTCCCTTGTGCGCTGTCACAGAGCAACCTGTGGCGCACACGGCAATCCCAGCAGCCACCTGCACGGCGCCGCCGCTTGTCCGCCGCCCGTCGTGCCTCCGCGCGCTGACGTTGCGGACCTGGAACGGACGGACATTTGAGCGCCACGGCACGTGTGTGCGGCGGTGTCTGTCCCCATGCTGAGTTGCTGCGCCGAGCGGGTCAGCCCCATGGGAGCCTGGGAGTCTAGGAGTCTGGGAGTCGAGTCGGGCGACGAGGCCCGCCGAGTGCGCTCTCGGCTCGCCGCCGGCGTTGCTGAAACTGCGCTCGACCTTGCCCCGGGTCTTGGCGCCGGCGCAGCTGCCAGTCGCGCCGGGGACGTGCCACGAGAACGGCTGTTCATCCGCCGAGCACGGACTCCCATGCTCTTCCTCGGGCAGCACGCAGGCAAGGAGGCAGGCCTCCGCGTTAGCCCAGCGTGCTGGTAAAGCGTGTCACGGACAGGACGTGCGTAGTCGCACGCTGGCAGGAATGCTGCGCTTCTGGCGCCGACGCTGCGCAGCCCGCCCTGGCCGCTGGTGCTGCTCGAGCGGCATCCGTCTCGCCAACGTCGGAGCCGTCTGGGCAGCGTCGGAGCTGCGCCGACGGCCGTTAGCGCTCGCCGGCAAAGTCAGGGCACGGCGTCGGCTGCGCGCTGCTGCGGGGCACAGCGCTATCGGCATCGGCCATGCGATGGCCCATGGGAGTCCGCAAGCACCCGGCGCTTCGGGGCACGCTGCGATGCTGCGAAGCGAACGCTCGCAAGCACAAAACTGAACGGCCCCAGCACATCTCACTCTCAGTGCGGTGGTACGAGCAAGGACGGGCGCAGCAGATGCCGCACGTGCAGCGAGCTAGCATGCGCATCCGCCGGCTCTGCCACGCGCGACGGCCTGTCGAGGTACCTGGCCCGCACCGCCCATGCTTCTTGGTGTCGCCGTCATGCGCTGTGCGGCTTAGGTAAAAGCAGGGCCGCCGCCGGAGAGCTGCAGCAGAGTGAGATCTGGTCGCTGGACGGCACCGGCAGCACAGAAGCTGCGGGAGCGGGCGGCAGCGGCGCCGGCGGTGGGCGCCGCAGTACGCACGCATGCTTCCCGGGTCCCCGAGCATGAAGCCAGAGCACGGCAGAGCGCCAACGAGCAGGCACGAGCAGCGCCAAGGGCGCGCCATTCCTTCCTCCTGCGCTCGGCGGTGCTGAGCCTTGTCACCGCCGCGAGCACGACGTCTCGAGCGGAAGATGAAGCGAGCGGATGGCTCACGCGCGTGACGCTGCCTCGCGGCGCGGCTGACATGCCCATCTCATGTCTGGGGGCCATCGCGCTTTGCTGCGTCTGCAGCCGGACGATGTGCCTGTTGGCCCGCCGAGAGCATGGGAAGGACGCTAATGCGGGCGGGCGCCACGGCGCGCGTGCCAGGGCCCGTCCGTGCAGTGCGGGCGTGCGGCAGCTGCGGCACCGCACGAGCATCCCGGGATCGCGGCTGCGGCCGCGTCGATCAGCCGGGCACGGCGCCGCGCCCGGGAGCTGAGCGGCTGCGTCTCACCGCCATGAGACGGGAAGGACGCCCTCCCTCCCATGCCCGGATGCTGCTGCTTGCCCCGTCATGCGCTGCAACCCTGGCTGCGTCCTGGTGCTCTGCGGCCGTGCCGTGGCGATGGCCTGCGCGCCTCTGCGCATCGACAAGGCAGCCGTCGATGGTACCCCTGCGTCGCCGGCGGGGCAGCTGCGAGTACCGCCAGCGGCCGCGTTGCGCCTGTCTTTGTGCCTGCGCTGTCGCCCAGGCCGCGCCGTTTCCCCGCGAAACGCATCGGAGCGCCCGCGCAGCCGTCGGGTGGACGGCGATGCGGGATCATGATAGCTTCAGAGCTCGTCTCGGCACCGCTGGCCCAGATGCAGCGGCAGCCGTCGTCTATGGCGCCAGCGCCCGGTCACCGCAGCCGACGCTACTGCACGCAGGCCCGAGAAGACAGACGCGGCAGAACTGCAGACGGCGCCAGTGCAGCGCACGCCGGCCTGGAGCTCGGCTGCACTCACGCCGGGCACGCAGCAGCGTTCAACGCCGGCGGTGCAGGTGCTGCGGCATGCCCAGCGCTGGTGCACAGAGCCCGTCTCGGGGTGTCTGCAGGCGTGACGGCGCAGATGCCGGCGCGGCGGACGTGTCGCCGAGGGGCGATGGAGGCGCGACGGCGGCACCGCCGTTGCTGCCGCCATGCGCCGCCGCCCCCCGCGCCACGGCGCATGCCCATGTGCCTCTGCAGCTGAATGCTGCATGCTGCCATGCTGCGGCTGCTGGCTGCCTCCAGGAGCTGCTCGGCGCCGCTGCTCTGCCCCCTGGGTGTCGGCGATGCCTCGCTTCGCCGCGCCGTGCGCATTCTTGCGGCCCGCCGTGCAGCAGGCGGCTCCTTCTTGCTCTTGATCTTGCGTCCGCTCTGCGCCTCTCCACCATCTCCCTCTTCCCTCGACGGCGCCTTCTTGCTCGCTGCCCTCGCCATCGGCGCCCCCCTCGCTGCTGACGCCGCGCCGCATCCCGACTCTTCGGGCGCGCCTCAGCTGTTCTTGCTCGGCGGCGCCGCTGCCGCTGCCGTGCCGCTGCAGCTGCACCCTGCCGCTGCATCTCGTCTGCGCTGCAGCGTGCGCGCATCTTGGCCTTGTGCCGCTCCTGCACCTGCTTCCACCTCGCCCAGCTCCGCCCAGACGGCCGCGGCAGAAGCAGCTGCCAGCGTCTGACGCCGCGCGCCGCTCAGCATCAGGGACCGCCGCGGCTCCACCTCGGCCCTGCGCTCTGCTGCACCTCACGTCTGCACCTCTGCGCTCTGCCTTCGATTTTGCACGCCGCCCGTGCCCCGACGCCCCGACGCCGACGCCGAAGCCGACGCCGAAGCTCTGCTGCTGCTGCCGCGCCGCCGCGCTGCACCTTGCTGTCGCGGGCCCGAAGCGGCGGCGCCTTCGGTCTCAGCTGCCCACTCCAGACGCTGCGACGCAGCAGCAGCAGCATCTTCCTCTCCGCACGCCCGCGCGCCCGCGGCACTCTCCCGCATCCGCTCCCTCGTCTCGTCGACGGCGCCGTGCGCTGCTCCGCTGCACTGGCTGCAGCTCAGACCTGCGCCTTCTGCGCCTTGCCCTGCACCTGCACCTGCTGCAGCGCCCGCACCGGCTGAACGTAGCGGCGCCTGCGGAGTGGCCCGAAAAGGCGCCCGCGCCCACGCCCTTCTGCCGTCGAAGGCACCTGGCAGCCGCGCGATCCCCAGACTCGACTGCGCTGCAGCGTCATCCAACCCAGGCGCCTGTCTCTCTCCTCCTCCTTCCGCTCCTCCTGCCTCTCCTCTCCTCTCCTCTTCTGCGACGCCCTTTTCGCTCGCCCTTCACTTCTACCCTCACGCGCAGCCAGGCCACCGGCCAGCTCTCTCGCGCACAGCCACGTCCTCCCGGCACTTCTCTTCCGCCCCTCTTCCTCTTCGCCGCCTGCGGCTTCTCGTGCCAGAGCGTCTCTTCGCCGCCTCTGCCTTTGCGAAGACGCCTTCGCACCGAGCTCCTCTGTCGAGCACCTAGCCCTGAGTGTCGAGGTGAGCATCTTCGCAAGGCAGCGCGTCGCCGCATCGACGACAAGGAGCACAGCCGCACGCGCGCCGCGTGCTTGGCTCTGCACTGCCGGCCGGAACCCTGGCCGCGGCCGTCTAATTCGTTCCACTTCGCCTTCTGCGCTGGTCGCTCTCGAGATAGAAGCAGCAGAGTTCGGGCACCTCGCCAGCATCGAGCGGCAGATCGATCTTGCCCAAAAGCGTACCAAGGCGCGAGCGCTCTACCGGGAGCTCCTGTGTCTCCTGATTCGCGTATCGGTGCCTGCGCGCATTGTCTCGCGCCCACTCTTTCGGGCACCTCTGCCCTCCTCTCAGCGCTCCTTCGCTGCTGCGCTCCGTTCCTAGATCAACTCTACGCTTCATCGGTTCCGAGCGCAAGGCGCACACCAGCACTGCGGCCCGAGTCTGGAAGCGCAGCACATCGCACGCCGCCAGTCTCACCGCTCGCGCGTGTCTAGACCCCGGACTCCGGCCTCACTCAGGAGAGCACGCGCCTGCTCTCGCAGCGCCTCTGCGCACGTCCACGCCGGTGTTGCTTCTCGTCCGACCACGACCGCCGCATCGACACTAGCTTCGATCCATCGGCCCCTTCTGCCGCCTCGACCCGCAGCTCCACAGCTACAAGGCGCTACACGGGCTTCTGAACTGCTGTACTGGCGTTGCTGCAACAGCTGTCTCTGCGCTCTGGCAGGCTTGCGTCTTAGCGATCTGCTGGCACTCCCAGGTGAGTAGTCTCGCTGCTGTGTGGGAAGTGGAGGTGCATGTGGGCGCTGGAAGAAGCTGCTCTAGTGCGTGCTGGCTTGGGCAGGCTGCTGGGACGCAGAGGGCTTGCAGGTCTTGAGCGCATGCGCCTCAGCGGCATGGCCTGGGCTGCAGCTGGGATGCGGGACCTCGACTGTGGTGGACAGCACAATCGGGCCAGGCACACGCTCCTTCTTGCCGCTCCACTCCATGCGCGTCGGTCGATGTGGGCGGCGCTGATTTTCGCTCGAGCTATATCAGCCCATCGTGTGCAGTACTGACGGCTTCTGCTCAGCGCACTCTCACGCACAGCGTCTGTCGTCACCGCTCCTCGTCTGGCTTTCCTTGCGAAGCTTCCTGGACATTCATCTCTCGACACACTTCGTCCGTTCGTCGAGGCGCCGGCGTCGCTTCCTCTGCGCACTCGCACCGCAGAGATGTGGAAGCAGGGCGACCGGGACGGCAGCGAGCCTCGCGAAGGCGCAGATGCCGAGGCCGAATGGCAGAGACCGAGACAAGGCCTCTCCGTCTCTGATCTGCTGTCCTCGACGACCACTCCAGAGCGGCCACGATCCTCGCGCACGAATAGCGGTCTGCGCGAGCAGACAGAGCGCAGCGTCGACTCGCCGCAGCAGCAGACACAGACGCCGCAGCACCTCGCTCCGCCTCAGGGCTCTACGTCGTCTGTCTCCCGGCCGTCGTCTGCGGCATCGGCAACGCGCGTTCCGTTGAGCAGCGCACAGCGCCCATCGACCGGCGGCAGCGCAAGCCATGTGCCACTGCCCGAGACCACCTCCACGGACAGCAGCGGCGTGGCGTACCAGTACACGGCCGTGTCACAGATCACGCAGGGGCGCGAGAACATGTGAGTGTGACAGAAGACGCGCTCGACGCGGCGCATACATGCTCTTTGCCGATGCTGACATTCCGTCTCTTCCAGCGAATATCAGCTCACGGTGCGCGAGCAACCGAAGCACTCGCGCATGTGTGGTGTGGGCGAGAAAGGTGCGCCTCGCGGCGTTGCGCGTCGAGGCACGGAGCTTACCCCGTCATCACAGCCGATCGCCGACCCATTGACCCGGCGCCGATCATCCAGCTGCGCGTCATCACCCACGAGGCCAGCTCGCGCGACCGCTCCGCGAGTGGCGCGAGTGATCACTCCGGCGGTGCAGCTGCGGGGTGTTCCTCTGCCTCGCGCCTCCGCCGCGGCGTGCCCGTCACGACCCAGCGTGGCGAGGGCTGGGAGGACAAGGCCTGGTACCTCGAGAATCCTTACTACTTCATGTACGCCATGCTCGCCGACGCCGACACGGACGAGGAGCTCCACCTGCTGCAGGACGGCAAGACGCGCTACACGACGGGCAGCTGCGTGTCGTGCCTCTACCATTTGAAGGACATCGACGGAAGCCACCAGGGCTTCTTCGTATTCCCGGATCTCAGCATCCGCGTCGAAGGACGCTACCGGCTGAAGCTCTGCCTTTTCGAGACCATTGGGTGAGTCAAGTGCAACGCGGGTGGGCGGCGACGCTCATGCTTCCTGCCGTAGACACGAGGTGCACCACTGCAAGTCCATCTACTCGACACCCTTCAGCGTGTACACCGCCAAGCGCTTCCCGGGCATGGAAGGTGAGCACGCTCGCGTGGCGCCGCGCACTCGTTCCTTCTGACACTGGCCCGCCAGAGTCCACGCTGCTGTCCAAGTCGCTCGCAGACCAAGGACTGAAGGTGCGCGTGCGGAAGAACCCTCGAGCTCGTCGCGGCCGAGTCGGTGCGAAGCGAAAGGAAGAGGGCCAGAGCGACGAGGACTCGGACGGCGAGGGCGCAGGCGGTGCACGGCGGCCGCTCGCTGGAGAGGATGTGGTCATGCGCGACGCCAAACGCATGCGCAGCGACTCAGCCGCCCAGCCGCCCAGCCGTGGTGCGTTCGCCTACGCGCCGCCGGACCGCGACCCGCGCGAGTACAACGAGCGGCCAGGCTACGCAGACGAGGCCAGCTATCGGCGACCCTTGCCGCAATCGCCGTCGTTCAGCAGCCAAGAGGCGTTCTATCCGGCGCCGCCACGGCGCGCTCCCGAGCTCATGCATCATCCAGCGGCATCGCGGCCGCCCTTCGAGGATCCGAATGCTCCTTACGGCTCAGCGCATCCGCGCAGCTACGCGCCCGCTCCGCACCACAGCCAAGCCGCCGCCTCGCCGACGGACAGTCCGCGCTCGCATCGCTCGTCGCCGCCGCATACGTACGACGGAGCACTGCGACGCCCGAGCCCAGAGGTGCACCCCGTGCCGTATCGCACAATGCTCGCCGAGCCGACGCCACGAATGCGCGCGCACTCCAATGCGGCTCTGCAGGCCAGCGCGCAAGCGGAAGGCAGCTACTACGGCCGCGCTCCCAGTGACATGCGCCCGCCGCAGCTTCCGCCTCTGCAAGCCGGCGGCAACGAACCGGCACACGCTGCTCATGCTGCCTACCTCAGCAGCACCTCCTCGCTGCGCGATCGCTCCCGCAGCGACCCGTCGTCGCAGCACGCCCTGCTGCGGCGCGACCCGCCGCTAACGCGCCAGACGCACTCGTCCGACACGCCGGCGCCCTTCTCGGACCGCACGCTGCCGCCCCTGATGCAGCCGTCGTCGCCGTACGGCCCGCCGTCACACGGCATGCGCGAGCAAGCGCCGCAGCAGCTGCCGCCGCCGCCTGGCGGGCCCAGGAGCTATGCGAGGCACCAGGACGACTACCGTCCGTCGCCGAGTTCCGGGCCGTCTCGCTCTGCCGCTCCGTACTACCCATCACAGCAGCAAGGAGAGCCGCATGCGCCTGGCCGCGTCGGCGCCCCGGCGTACGCTGCTGAGGATCGGGAGCGCGGCTATGCGCCTCCGCACGGCCGCACGACGCCGCAGCAGCAGCATCAGCCGCCGCAGCTTGGGCATCCTGCGCATCCGCAGCAGCATAGCCCTCCGAAGAGCGATCGTCGGGAGCATCAGTCGCGCTACCAGTACTGAAGCCGCCGACTAGAGTGAGTCCCTGCTGCGTCCTTCCGCACCGCTCAGCATGAGGCGGATGCTGGCGGTGCGTGTCAATTCAGCACATTTCACTCAGTCGCCCCTGTGTGTGCCGTCCAGCGAGGCTCTCGCTCTCTGGCGGCTCTCGTGTGCCCGCCTGCCATCACGAGCTGCTAGCTGAGCAGAGCGTTTGTGTACGATGCCATTACGATGCGTCAGGCGGCGGCGCAGCAGCATCTGTGCGCTCCCAGATCTTTGTGCCCTGCCGGTCCTCGACGTGCGTGACGTACTCGAGCGGCAGCACGCCGCTCTCGCCCACGCCGGGCGTGAGCACGGCACCGTTGGACGCGACGAAGAAGGGCACCTCGGCTGCCAGCGCACGGTGCATATCGATGTGCACGATAAGCGGCGAGCTCGTCCGCATGCCTGGGGCAAGCATGAGCATATGTGGGCTGCGAAAAGGAAGCGCGGACACTCACCGCTGATGATGCCGCTGCCGGGCCGGCCGGCAGCGAGGTGAATGTGGTTGCGCTTCATGCGAGAAAGGCCGCCGGATGAGCGAATCGCATCCCAGGCGGCCGCCGTCGTGCCGTGCAGTACCTCGACGTCCAAGGCGCCAGAGACTCCTGAGTCAGCGTCCGTAGCCGGATCACCCTTGTGCGTGAGCTTGCGCAGGTCTGCGATGTTGTCGAGCGTCAAGGACACCATGTCAAGATCTTGCACCTGTAGCGCGGAGGATCAGCCCGCCAATTCTGCGGCAACGGAATGAAGCTGCGCGCTTGAAAGCTGCACAGCGCCCACACTCCACTCACCGAGGCAACGCTATGGCCCTGCACCGCTCTGATGCACTCCTCGCCGTCGAGGTCTTTCAGCTCAAAGCGCTTCTTCTCGTTGCCGTCGACAACCTCGCGCACGTCCTGCGCCGTGGGCGCCCTGCCATCGCCCATGTCGAGGCGTGCCACTCGTGGACGGGCCAGAATGGCGGCAAGCGGGACGAAGCCGTCTGCACGCAGCGGCAGGGACTCCTTCTCGAGGCCGTGGCGCAGCAGGTAGGCGAGGGCGCGCGAGAGGCCCTCGACGGGCGACACGACGCCGCGCGGCCCACGCGGCGCCTTGGCTGCCGTCTTGCCGCTGCTGCTGCCCGAAGCACCGGCTTCTGCAGCCGGCAATGTGCCGGCCGCTCTGGCCGCAGCCTTTGCCTTGGCGGCGGCCTTGATCGCCGCCTTAGCTGCCTGGTTGGCGGCACGCGAGGGCGGCGGGCGCGGCGCCGACGCGGCCTCGGGGGACGCAGCGGCCGCGGGCTCCGCAAGCGACAGGCTTGCCAGTGTCGGCGGTGATGACATGGCGTGCAGAGCGCGAGGACTGTGCAGCGGAGCAGAGCGTGCTGTTTGGGCTGCCAGCGCGAGAGTGGGAGTGGGGAGCACCAGGGGGCAGCTGCACCTCCACAGCACAGCACCAAGAGCTGGCGTATGGCGCAGACAAGTGCGGCGTCGCTCGCGCCAGATGGCGCGTGGGAGCAAGCGCGCCGTCGCGCGACGCCGCCGTGCATCGCGCGCATCGCACGGCTGGCGGCCAGCGGCTGATCCGGGGCGGGCGCGCTGCGCCGAGAGGAGGGAGGCGGCCTGTGCAGCCTGAACGCACCCGCGCGCGACGGCGTCTCCTCCCGCCGCCCGGCGTCCTACGCTCGCTGCTTCCTCTCCACCCTCGCCCTCTCTCATCCTCACTCACCGCATACCTGGCCTGTCCGCTCTCGTGCGCTGCACTGCTTTCCGTCTGTGCCGCCGCACTGCCCGTGTGCGCGCATCCTCCCTTCACGTACCTTCGCTCCCGCCGCTGCCTCGTGACGACCTGCCTCTCCGCCGCTCCTGATCCTGACGACCTGCTGCCCGATCCGCCGCGCATCCTCCTCGCTCTTGCATGCCTGCGCCCTCGTACGCCGGCGCGCCCATGCGGCAGTTCGGCGGCGTGCCCATGGCGCCCTCCTCGCCCTCGTCCGGCAATGCCGGCATCTCGCCGCCCTCGTACCCAGGCGCCGGCCACGCCAGCGGCAGTGTCGCCGCGCAGCCGCCGCTCAACTTCCCGGCGCTGCACCTGCATCCGCTCAACGACTCGTTTGCGCCCAAGCAGATCAGCCTCGCGCCGCCCGGCCCGGGCAACCGCATCAAGATTGGGCGCCAGACGAACGCCAAGACGGTGCCGAATCCGAGCAATGGCTACTTCGACAGCAAGGTGCTCAGTCGCATGCACGCCGAGGTGTGGTCGCAGGACGGCAAGGTGAGTGCGACGTGTGTCCCAGTCATGAGCTCTATGTGGAGGTGGCTGGGCCCTGCTGTCATAGGTGTACCGCGCGCCCTCGGTCTGACACCTGGGTCCGACAGGTCTACATCAAGGACGTCAAGTCCTCCAACGGCACCTTCATCAATTCCGAGCGGCTCAGCGCCGAGGGTGTCGAGTCGGACGTGTTTGAGCTGCACTCGGAGGATCTGGTCGAGTTCGGCATCGACATCGTCGGCGACGACAACAAGACGATCATCCATCACAAGGTCGCGTGTCGCGTCTTCCTCGTGCTCACGGCCGAGGATGCGATGAGCCTGCGCGCCGACTTTGCCGCTCTCTACCGCGGCGGCGGCCATGGCGGCCCAATGGGCGGAGCTGGCATGGGCCCGGGCGCAGAGGGCGGTCTGCGGAGAGGCAAGAGCACGATGAGCTTCGACCACATCCTCAGCCGGCTGCAGAGCGAGCTGCAGAAGAGCCGCGAGACGGGCGCCGAGCTTGGCACGCTTGCAGGTGCGATCGGCGAGGTGGGTGAGACACTCGGCGGAGGTCTGGTAAGTGCATGTATGCGTCTCGCTCTCGCGCACGGCCCTCTCACACCATATCTGCGCAGGCGCCCATGCAGAACCCGCCGTACCAGCACCAAGTGCCGCCGGATCCGAGCGAAGCTGCTGCCGCATCGGCCTCTGCTGCGCAGTCCGCAACTGTCGCGGCCTTGCAGGAGCAATTGGCGTCGACGCAGGCCTCGCTGGCATCTCACGTGGAGAAGATGCATGCGCTCGAAGGCCTGCTCGCGGAGCACGAGACGATGCGCAGCGAGGTCGGCAGCATGAAGGCCGAGATGGAGAAGGCGAAGCGCGACATCGACGAGATGAACCTCGCGGCGTTGAGCGCAAAGTCGCAGCCGCGTGCGACGAACGGCACGAGCGAAGAGGAGCAGGACTTCGACGACGGCGCCAGCGTGGCTAGCATGGACACGGTGATGGCTGGCGATGCAGGCACACGCACGATCAAGGGCGCCGGGGCATCGGGCGATGAGTCTGCGACAGACGAAGACGCGCTGCGGCAGCTCAACCACGTCGGCCCGCCGGCACCGGCGGACGAGCCGCCGGCCGAGGAATCCAGCGCCGTGCCGGCCGCTGTTGCGGCTGCGCTTGCAGCTCAGAACGAGGCGCTCTCGACGCGTCTTGCAGCGCTCGAGGCACAGCTCGAAGAGGCACTTGCAATTGGCCGCAACCTGCAGGCTGAGCACGCCGGCGCGACCGAGGCCGTGCGCGCGCTCGAGGGCCGGATGGCCAGCCTGGAGAAGGAGGTCAGCGAGACGTCTGCACGCGCCGAGGGTGCCGCTGTCCGCGCTCTCGAGGGCCGCTTCGTCGAGTGGCGAAGCACGCTCGAGAGCGCGTGGGGCCGCGAGCGCCAGGCATGGGACGCGGAGCGGGATGAGCTCAAGCGCGTCGTCAAGGCCTGGGACGAGGCGAATGGCTGGCTGGAAAACGAGGCGGCCAAGGCTGCCAGCGCCAACGAGAGCAACGGCATCGCCTCTGCCTCTTCGCCGAACCCAGGCGCGGCCGGCAAGCGGCGAGGCAGCAAGAGCGCAAAGCGACGCGCGGCGCGGAGACACCTCAACCCGGCGTTGCGGGCCTTGCTGTACCATTCGTCACACGCAGACGTTGGTCCGCTGGACGATGACGAGCTCTCGGACGTCGACGAGACGCCGCTGGGTGCCGCGTCTGGCCTCGGCGTCACCGGCGCGGATCGCGCGGCAGACTCGACATCAGAGGCCGCGCGCTCGGAAGACTCCGCCGAGCGGACAGACAGCACGGCGGCGACCAGTCCGTCCGGCAGCATCGCTGCGCTGGCCAAGTCTGCCGTGCCGCCGCCGCTCGCGAATGTCGCCCAGCACGGCTCACCACGAGGCGGGCTTGAGGTGAGTGCAGCTCAATCGCCTCGTCGGAGCGCGCGACGATCTGAATTGACACGACGCTCCCGCGCACAGAACACAAGTCTGCCCATGATGGGTGCCGCCGGCGTCGTGGCGATCGGCATGGCGGCGTGGATCATCTCGGGCAAGGCAGCGCCCAAGTTCAGCTAGCCCGCTCGCAGCGTGCGATGACTGCCGGCGCGCTGCATGCGCCATGACGGGCCGGCCGAGATGTCAGAGACGGGCGCAATGATCAGCTTTGTCTCATCACGAAACACGGCAGTGTGACGCGGGTATGGCCATGCTGGCAGATGACATTAGCAGATCAGAACGAGAGCCGGGCATGAGCAGCCTTCCGCGTGCATCTCGTTCAAGGCGGCGCGACATGGCCATGGCGGCCGGGCGTGCCGGTGTCGCTGCCGCCGCCGCCTCCATTGGACAGGTTGGACCACCAGGCCGCGTCCATGCCCGGCGTTGATACCGAGGCAGGGCTCTCGCCCATCTGCTGCGGCGTGCGCTGCTGCGCCGGTGCGTGCTGGCGAGGCGCGCCAAAGTGCTGCTGCGGAGCGCCTTGCGTATGATGCGCATGCGACAGCTGCGATGCCTGCTCTGCAAGCGGCGTCGGTGCGCCCGGCGAGCGCATCGAGCCCGACGCCGTGCGCTGCCGCTTGGCTGCGTTTTGCTGCTGCTGTCCATCATGCTCATGCTGCGACGTCGGCGTGCCGTACGTCATGCTGTTGCTGCTGCTGCCGGCGCCTCCGAGATCGAAGCGATGCTGCTGCTGCTGCTGCTGCTGCTGCTGCTGCTGCTGCTGCTGCTGCTGCTGCTGCTGCTGCTGCTGCTGCTGCTGCTGCTGCTGCTGCTGCTG